GTAGAATTAATTTAGATTATTTAATACTAATTTATATTATTATTAATTATATATTTTATATATATAGTAGTTTAGTTATTAGTAGATGTTTTTTTATAAAAATTTTATTTTTTATTTATTTGTTGGTTTTTGAAGTTAGAGTTTTTCTTTCTAGGAAGTTCGTGGATTGAGGTGTGGTATTTTGGAATTTCAGTATTATGTGATTTAGGAGAGCATCTCTTGATATAACGAGTTGGTATCAATGTTGATTCCACCTTGCTCATATCTTGTAGAAATAATAGTTATGATATAACTATTTTGTTCTCAAACTGCTTCGAGTTACAACAATCTGTACCAAATCTGTCAAACTTGCTGCCCCAATAATTTTAAAAGTCGGTACATCTGATTTAAAATATCTCAAAAACCAGCTTCTCAGCTCCATCGTCTGTAGTGAATCAATTCCGTACGCCTGAACTGGCTTACTATGATCGATATCTTGCGGATCTACACCAGCTATAGTAGATGCGATTCTCTCGATAAATGCCGCGAGTACTACTTCAGTAGCTTCCTTATCACCTGCCGCTGTAGCAAATCGGGTGGTAATGTTCTTTTCTGGCGATGAGTTTGAGGTTTCAGATTTTGTAAGACGACGCAGATTCTGGAACATAGGATTTCGTCCCCAACTTGTTCCGAAGGGGTCGGATTCTGGATCTATATGGAGAAGGTTGAGGCCTAAGGTCATTACCGCTTGGTCGGATTGGACGGCGGTTGCGTCGGGAGCAAGATAATAATCTAGTAGAGCGTGGAACTCTGACCGCCGTACCGGGATACATGAGTTGAGAGCGAGCATCATTTCCTTTTGCTCGTGATGTTCTGCCAAATATCCATCCTCATCCATGAGACCAAGTTGCAATGACATGGCCTTCAGACCGTGAGCTACGCGATGCTGGGCTAAGGCATCCATATAAGTGTTCGCAGCCGCATAATTGCCCTGGGTTCTAGCGCCAGTGAGACCCTGAAAGGAGGATAGGAATATGAAAAAATCCATATCCTTGGGTAGAAGACAGTGAAGATTCCAACTCCCAGCAACCTTAGGGGCAATCGTTGAAGTCCACTCTAAATGTGTCATGTTGGCGAATATAGAACTCTACAAGAAACAGTCAGAATCGTATATCAGAAAGAATCCTGCCTCGAATCCACGCGCGTGCTGTACATCACAATATAAGGAGACCAGGTATCTAGATTCGAGGGTAGCAATAAAAGAAACTTACCTTGAGGACCATACTAGCTTGTATACAACCCTTAATAGGCGGCATAGCTCCTGTGAGCGAGTTTATGGTTGCCTCCAAAGCTTTGTGATCGGAGATATCGCATGCTGGGGTGAAGCAGGCTACGCCTTGCGCCTGTAGGTCTTCTATTAACTTCAAGGCTTCCGCCGTATGTGGACCTGATCGAGAAAGCAGAATGAGGTTCTTCGCCCCTCTCGCTGCCATCCAACGGGCCACATCACGCCCAAGTCCTCCCAAGCCGCCAACGATTACGTAGGAAGCTTCTATATTAAATGATGATCTTTGCTTGGGTTTTACGATTGCCTGTTATCATCTGTTAGAATCGAACGTATATGTGGCTGTTATATTCCGGAAAAATTCTTACTTGTACTTCATCCATCGACTCCATATTGACCACGATTTTTCCCGTCGATTTGCCAGCTTGCATCAGACGAAAAGCCTCAACAAGGTTCGAAATCTTATACGTGTGAATGAAGTGCACAGTATGGAAGACACCCGCTTCGAAGTTTTCAAGAACTTCATTAATTAATCTTGTAACCTTCTTGGGCCTCTGTAAAAACATATGGCCTAGATCAATAGCATTAAAGGAGCAATTATTCTCGAATTGCCCCATTGGAAGTCCGCTCTGCGCCTGAATATCCTTTTTCCCAATTTCGATAAAGCGGCCGAAGGGAGCAATACAATCCCAGGAGCTAAATAAAATCTTACCGGGGAGTGAGTTGAAAATTACGTCGACTCCTTGGCCACCTGTTAGGCGCATTACCTCTTTTGTAAATGTAGAATCTCGACTGCTGAAGATGTGGGTTGGTGGGATATCATATTTAGAAGTTAGCATCTCCCGTTTATCCTGAGTTCCGACGGTGGCAAACACGATAGCCCCGAGATGTTTGGCAATTTGTACCGCAGCCTGACCGGTACCACCTGCAGCAGAGTGAATTAATACGGTTTCTCCGGCAGATAGTTGAGCGATATATCGTAATGAATGCCATGCCGTAGCAAAATTGATGGGTATGGAAGCAGCCTCTGTAAAGGACATTATATTATCTCCTTTGCCAGGGATTCGAGAAAAGCTGCTGCCGCGGTTACGGTAGAATGTTCTATAAGCATTTTGAGCGAATCCACAAACCCGGTCCCCAGGTTTCAGCCCATGTCCTTCAGTGTCCGGGCCAATGCGCGTAACAATGCCGGAAAGTTCTTGACCGATGCTGTTTTCATCTAAAGCACCTAAGGCGATCAAACAATCTTTGAAATTCAAGCCAACAGATTTAACTTCCACCTCGACATCGTTATCTTGAAGGTTTAAACCGTGGGTCTCGTCTTCGATGAAGTGTATGGTATCTAATACACCCGGTGAGCCTACATATATCCTCATAGGTGTCTCACTATCCCACCGTGCCGGCGCAGGTATGGGATCTGGTCGGGCCAATTGCAATGACCGTGTTAATTCGGGAAGCTCTGTTAGCTTGAGGAATTGGATGTCTCCATTTGACTCCCGGTAGGTCTGCGGAGTATTCAGACTATCCGTGGACGAGAGGATGACCTGGGCGACTTTTGAAATGGCTTGAACGCGGGCAGACGCCTCTACACTACCTGTTTTGAGCGTCGCAAAGTTGGTTAAAGCCTGTTCTTCCCGGACCACTCTGGAAAGACCATCAATTAGGTGCTCAGAACTGAAATTCTCTGAAAGAACATCAAATGTCTGGATCCATAGAATATCTTGTCTTCCACTCAATGCCCTCTGTATCATAAATAATTGCTCTTCGTTGAGATCGAATAGTACGGATGGCCTATCGACATCCCAGAGCACGATTTTGAGATCCGCCGTTGAACTTTCGAGTGTTGCGGTATCCATGGAATTCAGGATTTCGCAAGTAGTGGACTTTCCTTCTTGTAACTTTGATCTTAGGGCATTGGCAAGCTCTTTGATCCCTACCGAAGGGTTATGAACGTGTATCTCGATAAATTTTGGCTTCACACTGCTGGCAATGTCCCCAGAAATGGCACTAGGGCTGTCGGTTGAATTGCTTATGAAGGTTTCCCAGCTTTGCGCCCAACATGTGTGAAGGTTTGCCGACGCTGCTACTTCCCCAGTAGCGCCATCACCACCTGAAACTCTTATCATCTCAAGCCCTGAATACAGAATTCTTGTATTGTTCTCTGCGTCAACAACAGCTACGGATGCTTTGACTCCACGATATGTATGGGAGTCTGTCCAAGCAGTGGCAGATAAAGTTCTAGCGTTGCGGTTCAACCCGGCGCCTGAAATCCAAAGTTTCCTCAACTTAGTAGGCGCTAGAGTTGGCATGGAAGTAGGACTTTCTCGAATAACATTAGCAAGTGGTAACTGCAGCAAGGCATCCAGAGTTGTCGGGTGTATAATTTGTGCCGATTCGAGTGCTCCGGCACGAGAATCGTTCTCTTGGGAATTTGGCTGTTTGTATGCGTCTATTAGTCCGTGAGTTTGTCTTGGTACGGACCACTCAAGCTTCCTGATTCTTTGAAACCCTGGCCCAAAGCCATACCCTGCTTGAAAGAGAGCCTCGTAAAATTTGGATATTGGCACCTCGTGAGGTGACGAGCCAACGACGGGCTTGAGCCTCTCGTCGTCGTGATTCTCATTCTTAAACTCCGCTCGAATAGACCCCTGACAATTTTTTTTCCAGTGTCCGGATTCATGGGAAATAATGGTAAACTCAAACCAAGAATCAGGCGTTAGAATACCGTCTCCAACTGGCCGCACTTGTGTCATGGTTTCCAAAGATTCCGGTGGTTTAGGTATTTGCATCGATGTAAGGAACTTAACGTCCTTAAGATGAAAACCTGTAGGTATAGCTTTATGAAAGTCCCGAACATACTGGTTGAGCGCCTCAATCGCCATAGTTATCATACCTGCTCCAGGATAGATGACCGAGTTTCCAATCTGTATAGCCGGTTTAATTAGCAACCCAGTACCTCATGTATACTTAAATACGACGGGAAAAAAAACTTACGATGTGGTCCTCGATCCAGTCAGACTTGGATCGGCTTAAGTAGTTTCGCCAACAAGCAAAATGTGGATGAGAATCGGGGGTGGGGATTCCCAAAATCTCATTGGGTTTGAAAGCTCGAGATCTTTCGATTTGACTTCGTCGATTCTCCTTCCAGTAGGACCGTGTACGTAAAAACGGATATGATGGGAGGTCAACGATCGGGGCAAGTCTAGGACCATTATTATTCACGTAGGATGAATCAATGTGAAATCCGGAACATTTCAGGCTGCCCATTGCTTGGAGGAAAGAATTTAAGCTAGGTGTGCCACGAACTAAAACTGAATCGTACTGGATATCCTGAACAGATTCAAATGTCTTTATCGTATCCCGAAGCAAGGTCTTTAAGGCACTGTGAGGGCCAATTTCCAATATATTTGTAACGGTGATCGCTTTTCGGTGCCGTAAATCGAGTTTTGTATTTCGGGTTTTTCCGGGTAGAGCCAATCGGTCGAGTGCAAGAGCACTCTTCACAAAGTTTACCGGAGAGCACATATTCGTTACCCAATAGTCTAACCCCTGAAGACAGGCACTCAAAACCTCCTCCCCATTTAGATAGGATATCATCGGTATTAAGTTCTTTTCATGGCGTGATTCCAGAGACCCAGCTCTCGAGAAGTATTCTTTGGCCACATTTTTCATATGCGGTGAATGGTATGCGCATGAAACCTTAAGCTGACGCGCAAACACATTAGGATGTTGAGCCTCCAGCGTTACTTTCAGCGCTTCGATATGACCAACGTCACCAGCAATAGTCACATTTCTAGGGCTGTTGATGCATGCTATATGGAGATCGTTATAACCTTTACTCGAGAGATGGTTGATAATAGGAAGGGTCTCCTTTTCTCCGAGGCCAACGACCATCATAGTACCATTACTGCTTGGATCTTTCGATGCTGCGGCTCCGCCCATGCCTCTGAAATAGGCTATTTTCATCGCGCTTTTATGGGAAAGCGCACCCTTACAGTAGCTATGAGGGCGAGTCAGAACAGTTCGTTTCGATACTCTAGAATACTTGTAAATTTGGATTAGAGACTTACGCAGCAGCTACTTCTCCTGAAGAATGTCCGAGGACAACCGCTGGTTTCAAACCGATGTGTTCTAGGAGGTCGACAAGCGCAATTTGAAGGGCAGTGCTTCCTGGTTGACTGATATCGGGGTCATTCATCCGAGACGTTGAGGCGTTCTTGAACATTTCTTCTGAATCTTTGAGTTAGTATTGTATCCTTTATTCACTAGAATCTGATGATTCAGGTTACTACCTTCTAGATCCCATAGACATCCAAGCTCGGCAAGATATTGCGAGGACTGTTGAATACTTCGCACAAAAACATCATACTGCATGAGATCCAACCCCATCTGTGCGTATTGTGCGCCTTGCCCGGTGAAAACAAATGCAAGAGACGGTTTTGCGAATGAACGTTTGGGTAAGGATAGTACGCTGTTAATCGACGTCAAAGTTTCCAGAGAATTAACAACTGCATACGATTTCCACTCAAGGGTATCTCGCTTATCCAAGGTGAACGCAAGGCGTTTGCACATATCCATTGCGGACTTAGAATTTCGAACCGAGATCTTCAAATATTCACTGTATAGTTCTCCGATACGCTTTGTACCCTCGCGATCAGCTGCGGATAAAGTTATAAGCTGTGGCCTAAACTTTGCAGCTGGAGCTTCGAGTTTCACATTGAACCCATCGCTTGCGATTTCAGACCTAGTTTTCTGAGTATCGGCGACAGGGCTTGATGTCTCGTATCCTGGGTCCTCACTACTAGGAGTGGTTATTTCATTCGTGATTGACGGGATTGTACTAGTATTATGGAGCCCTTCAAGTCCATATTCGATCAGAGAATTATAGGCATCGTCCATGACAATATGCGCGTTGGTTCCTCCGAAGCCGAAAGAGTTGACAGAAGCCCTACGCAATCCTTGACTAGGCCACGGAGTAGGTTCGACGGGAAACTAAATCTCAAGTTCAGCTGCAATCAAGTGACATACTTCAATGTGCCAAGGGAAACGCTGGCGCCTACCTTGAGTCGGTAATATTCATGATCAATAGCAGGGTTTAGTTCCTCAAGGTCTGCAATTGGCGGTATAATACCTTTTTCGAGGACAAGAATCGTTTTAATAATGCCCGCGATTCCACTAGTAGCTTCCATGTGTCCAAAGTTCGATTTTAGTGCCCCACTAAATTTAGACGCCCAAATTAGCAAAGAACAATACTATGACATCGGGTTCACGCATTTTCAGATATAGTTTAGGCTCATGCGCTAGCCTAGGAGACTTCGCTCACATGTGAATAGGGTCGTCATCACTACGAACGCCACGAAATGCGGCCCCAATAGCATGCGATTCGATTGGATCCCCAACCACCGTGCCAGTCCCATGAGCTTCGCAAAACCGGGTTGGTTCCATCGACAGCCCAGCTCTCTCATAGGTCTCTCTAATCAGAGCGAGCTGCGATTCTCCACTTGGTTGAGTTATACCCGGGGTATGGCCGTCTGAGTTGCTTGCGCTTGAGCGGATCACGGCACGAATGGTATTACCATCCCGAACCGCATCCGACAAACGTTTCATAATAATTACTCCAAATCCTTCTGCGCGAGCGTACCCATTTCCCCGGGAGTCGAAACTATGACATCTATAATCTGGCGACAGAAATCCCATATTCCCTAGGTACGTATGAAAATCTGGCGAATGAATAAGACCCGATCCGGCAACGAGTGCCTAACCGAAGATTTAGTATATAAACTTAACCAACCAATTAAACCCGTAGGTTATCTTATAAACTAGTTTTTGGATCTCCAGGTACATCTCATAGGAGACACTTGATCCAGAACTGAACTTACCATATCTGTCTTTCTCGCTGATAGTAGTTGACATGCTATGTCCATTGCAACAAGGCTGCTTGAGCATGCAGTTTTAACCGTCAAACTCGGTCCCTTCAAGTTAAAGAACCAACTAAGTCGATTCGCTAGGATACTATCTTCCGTGCCGGTACTTGTGTACTTAGCGGCGGACTCGGGCTCCCTAGAGCTAGCGAGAAGATAATCCATAGATAGGGCGCCAACATGCACCGAAGTCCGACTTCCGCTAGCCTCTGCTAGGGTGACGCCACCATTCTCAAGTGCGTGGTAGGAGCTTTCAAGTAGTATCCGCTGTTGGGGGTCCATTGCCATTGCCTCCTCGGCTGTTATTGAGAAAAATGGGGCATCAAACGCGGTTATGTCACCGCCAATGTGGTAGCCTTTGGGTTTCTGATCCTGTTTATTATCAGTGACTTTATTACGAACAAATATGCTTGCGCTTCTGAATCCCAATCTGCTCAGGGAATGCATTTGAAGATGGTATTGATAGCTGGTGAAGTTGTATTACCAGAAATCCAAGCCCAGAAACCGCGGCGGGTGTGCGTTGATAGTGCAAAGATACAACAAAGTCACCGAAAGGTCTTAAGCATGACAGAAACAAATAGCTTTTTTTAGCATAACTTTTGTGAAAACTTACAGTACTCCCAGCAGCCCGTATATTTCTAAAATTCGCAACGTTGAATCTGTTCTCTGGCACATCCTTTAGGGCAACTTCACCATTCACCAGTGTCTTCCACAAAGAATCTGGATCTTCGACTCCAGAGGGGAACCTAAACGAAAATCCGATAATTGCGAGAGGCTCTACTGCCAAAATAGGCTTCTGGCAATTTTCTGCCGCCATTTTCCTGACTGATGGTGTATTTGTAGCCAACTGGGGGCGGCTTGTGACTTTGTTCAATTAAAAGGTAGAAGCTTCTGTAGAATATGTGTACCGTCGCAAGCAAGATGATGCTTCATGATGGCTTGTCAGCGGATATTTAAACTACGATCTATCACCATTGTTAATTGGATACATATACCCCTTCACCCAAAATTTAGGACTATCAACCTTTAGGTGAGTACTATCCTTTTGGCACTTGAAAGCGAAGGATTTATATTCATTACAGCCACCCTCCATGGTTTAACGGATTGCCATTAGGATATCGAGTGCGCTACATTCAGATACGCGATAAACTTAAGCCCAGGATAAGATTATTGGCTAGATAAAACATAGTCACATCTACCCTCTTTGAAGCTGAGAGCACGGTTTGTGTGGTTGTCGGGTTGTAGGTGGGGAACGTCTTATCTAGTGCATATAGGCTAAATGTTCTTTGTAATCATACTTTCAATTTCCTCGACAATGGTAAAAGCAATTCTGATTCTGGAGCAATCGAGAACTGGAGCTGCGTACTTTAAATTCAAGACAAAAGAACCTTAACCTCTGGCTGTGGAGCTCCACACTGTGGTCCCGCATTGTCCATTTATAAATGAATCTATCGATATCGGTGAACTATTGATAGGCGTACGCCGTAGGACTCGGGCTTTTCTTTTTCTTTTTTTCCCAACAGGAATGACTAAGGTATGGCATCTCTCCCATATAGAGACTTGGTCTCCAAGAACGCATGATCAGGGTCTAGATACTTTGTTACAAAAGTAGGGTCATTATCAGTATACAAGACCTCTAAACTGTTAACTAGCCCACTTCGTATGGCAATATAGTTTGCTTCATAAGGAATAATGTTTCTCCATTTTTGTGGCTTGCATCGCCAATTCTCTTGCCACATTAAGGTTCGACGCGCAACGCTGTTTTCTTATTATATCGCGGAGTACTAAAACAACTAGCCTCGGTCCGGTAACTTGTTCTATTTTTCGCTAGCGGCGCATAGCTACCTTCATACCGCCCCGATTATCGCAACTTCAGATCTTTATCCCAGCCGTAATATTGTAGATCTTTATTACTTCTAGTCGACGGCTGGATACCTATGGAATATTGTTGCGCTTAGGAATAACCCCTTTTGAGGGTATAACCATATATCTCAGAAAACATCCGCGCTTTTATACCTTACCGGGAAGAGTACCAATGCAACTTTGTTAGATTCATGAATTCAAACCAAACTTGGGTAGGTTACTATAGCAGACTAGCGCTACCAACGTGGACCACTTCACGCGAATACGGCTGGCGGTACTACGTACTTCTAACGGATATATTTATGATGGTTTCCATCTTTATAGAGGTACCCTCCATCGTGTGGGGTTGCCTGCCACAGGGTAGAAATGCCCTCTATCGGGATAGTTGGGATTATATATTACATCCATAATAACGGACATCGAATGAGAATTTTACTGCCATGTTATCCTCCTTGAAGCGTCAATAACGTTACACCGCTTCTAGGTTTGGGCGCGAGCGAGACAAGTCACACCGCTTTCAAAGAAACATTATTTAACAAATTCCTGCCTCTGCTCAATCGGTTTGAATTTGTCAAGGGTTGAGCGCGCGGGCTATTGGCCAAACCGGACCCGTAGAGTTATAACCAAGGTCAAAACAGCTTCAGTCTGCTATCAGTTCATGCAGACAATTTACTTACGGCCTTAGCGGTAAACCTCCTTTTCTGCTACGTTACTAGATTACTAGGATCTTGAGAAGAGAAAGGATATCAAGGGCGGGGTACCACTGGAGGATAATTCTATTCAGAGCCGACACCGCGCAAGCCTGAAAACTCAAAACAGCCGCAGATAGTATTATATTAAGACATTGTTCAAACACAAACCCGCAATCAATCGCGATTGCGATTGCGAGACAAACACAGTACGGTGCTTGCGGCCTTCAAGCTCTAATAACTTGAGCTAGCCGTATATATCTCCCCATTACAGTATACCAAATCCAAATCCATTATCTCTGAGTCTGGGGCAGCAGACAACTCCATCCGTTAAGGGTGCATCCCTTTTCATAAAGACAAAGTCCCTTGGAATGGGATTTTTTGACAGTTTTCGATGTTAGTAGCTAGAGTTTTCGATCTCGGGGGAGATTTCGAGGAACGAAGCCAGGGAGTGTATTTCGGTCGAGAAATTGATTTATTATGGAAGAAGCAGTTATTAGGACGGAAACTCTGGACCTCAAATGATGCCAGGAAATTGCCCCCTGGTTTTCTTCGGTAGCTAAAAAAAGCAGAAAAGGGAGGGTTGAGCTGTTTAAACCATTTTCTTCGTTCTTTCACGCCTTTCGCCGATGAGGACTACTTGAGAACTAAGGAGATGTCAGCTCTCATATATATTGGAAATTGAACCCGCTGGCGCGTGCTGGCTCGATCGAATTGTATATACACCTCTCATCGTTTCTCCTGCTAGGAACGTTAACAGATCTGCCATACTAAAGGGGACGGAAACCATCAGAGTCTTCAATTCTGTGTCAGAATAGGCAAATCGTAGATATAATAGACAAATTTCACAAGGTACTGGTATCGGGTTCGTGGCATCGATGAGGTGCATTTTTTGACAGTTTGTCTGCAGCTGCGTTTTTGATTTGATCCCATACTAAAACGCCCCGTCAGATTTCCTGCCAAGTCGAGCTCCGGACGCTTTAACTCAAAAGCCACAGAAAGCCCTGCTTAATTCAACGGACATATAATACCGCCTCCCATTTTCAAACGGATCTTTACGTTTTTTTTCAAAAGACGTTTTGTCCCAATTTAGCTATGCGCAAGTTAGACTAGGACGGATTGTCCGCTTGATGCCGCATTAGTGCCTTTTTAGGATAGACGAGCCGACTGACTACCACATGGTCAAATCCTTGATCCAAGTTATAGAGATAAACGAGGTGTTATAATTAAATGCAATATGAACAAAACTTTGTTATAATCGCTAAATATAACAGGCAACATTCATTATCGTGATACATTCGCAGAACGGAAAGAGATAGGATCTTAAACGAATGAAGCACTCTCAAAAGTAAATACGGGTAGCGATAGCCCGGGCTTTTACCGGCACTATCAGTCCTTCATATTTATTGTTTCGAATCTTTAATTGATTGCCAGGGTTCGCTGTCTCGCAAGCCGCATAAGCACCGGGTTCAGGACTCTTTTCGGTGAAGCAAGTAGCGCCAACCGGACAATTTGTTGGTCCAGTCCAACACCTCCCGCCACACTGACCTCCAAGTTTTGCCGTCGCGGATGGAGGAGGAAGTGAGACCGTGAATTCTTGCCGAACAGTCGCGCAGGAGTTTGGACATTCGGTCCCACGATAAGCTGTTCCAATGGTATCCACACATTGAGAATAGTCAGCCGACTGACAGGCGCAAGCTTCACCTACGGGGCAACGGGTCATTGATGTCGCCCAAACTACTTGAATTAGTTATTTTTTTCTTTTCTCTCGCCATCTTACAGTTTCAGAGGGTGAAATGAGAATAATCCTCACATTCTGTGGCTTCAGGTTGAATAGTTCCTCCACACTGACCAGACGGCTCTGCCAGATCGGTGGGTATTGTTTGGGCCTCCCACTCGGTGACATCTGGTAGCTCTTCCCGTTTCTGTAATATCCGATCGGAAAGGGTTGGAAGGCACTCGGTTTCTGTTCTTATCGAAGTTGGAATGCAAATACTTGCATTGTTTGTTCGGCAAGCACATACATAATCTATGGGGCAGAGGTTTGATGTGACAGCTCTGATATCACATTCTTTATATGGGGCGGCCATGTAAGGCAGAAGCTTTGTGATAGCGTATGATACCGTCTCCGGGGGCCCTAAGCACTTGCAAGTGCTTGAAGCTAGGTCTGCTCGGGCCTGAAGTTCAAATGGTATGACAATGTTTTGGGGCCCTGCTTCTGGGCTCTCAGTTATGTCCCGTTTGTGAGGTGCGAAACTAAACCCTTTTGTCCACCTGATTTCGAACCGGCGACTAAAAGCAATGACTGCAACAGCATTGAAAAAAATTGACAAAAATATAAGCCGATAGCAAAAGTTGAGATGCATCTTCGCGGTGTAAAATTATATAGGTGTAAAGAGGCAGTATTCAGAGAAGTTAGGGAAGATTTTTATGAGTGTCGTTTCGACTCCTTTTAAAATCCTTGTCTATGAAGCACTTTGCTTAGGAGGCTGTCAGATATCCGCTGAGACTCGGCTTCACCCAAGCGGAGGCCCATCTAGACTTTACGCATCGTGCACTGGAATAGTTTTAAAGGGTATAGGCCATGAAGATGGCGTTGACTAGATTAATGCTCTTAAATCGTCCAAAGCCAACCCACCCTCCTCAATTCCCATTTTAAAGCTGGGCACCCGCATTGAAATATATTCTTGTCCTGAATCTCGATACTTCCAAACTTTCTTCTCACGAGGGGTCGCCAATCCAACCTACAGCACTACTGCTTCTCCGTACCGATACTCTTTTTACGATGTCTGACACCGGCGATGAAAGTTTCGATGCTGAAACTGTTCTTATTATTCTCAGTTCCTGTTTGTGGGTCGGGGCTGGATCGCCAAAGTATTCTCATCTACGAACGCTCGCAGTTATGAAGAGATACGTCGCCTTCTTCGAGGCAGCTAATTACACTTTCACCCCCCAAGACTTAACGAAAAACTTCGGAACTAGGCCTTCTGATGCGCCCCTTTTTATCGAAAGAATGGGCGGTGAAGATAATATGATCCAAATTTTGCTCTCCATTGTCGACGTTGAAGCCTACCTACCTCACCCCAGGAACGACGGTATCGTTTTACCGTTGTTCATTGCTTTAACAGCCATGACGACCATTGCAGTTGCCCTACGGATGTGGTCAAGATATAAAGTAGCAGGCTCCATTCAATCATTCGACTATTTGACAGGAGCAGCCTATGTAAGTTTCCCGATTTTATTTTGCACTTTCACATCAAAAAGAAGATTTAATTAACTTTCGACCGACATCCAGTTGATGACCGTCGCCTGGGGTGGGATAGCAGTTTACCATAGTAATTCTAGTGAGTAGATAGACACCTACATGTTCAACCGAGGATGCGACTAACTTCGATCCGATAAGATGGCGTCTGGGCGGCTTTTTGGGATATGTCCTGGGACACTCTCCGCGAAAATTATCGGGTAATTGCCTCTTCCAGGAGCTGATACACTCCAACAAGCCCTTATGCTAACTTGAAGACTTTCAAAGATTACATTCATTCTCAACGTGTTGTACCCATGGGCTATGTTGCTGATCAAGGTCTCGCTCTGTTTATTTTACTACCAAATGACAGCCATGACCTGGATCCGCTGGGGGTGCTTGGCAACGGGTTTCATTACATTCGCCAACACAATCGCAGGATTCTTCGTCCCGATCTTTTCGTGCAGGCCAACGAACTACTGGGATCATTTGTTTGAGTCCCCCTGCAGCAAGGTAGATCGACGAGCAGCTTCAATCGCCGTTGGCGCCATATACATCCTCACCGATGTCGCGACATGGGCTTTGCCAATGCCTTTGATATTCCAGTTGAAACTGAGCACGAAACAACGCATTTTGGCCTTCTGCACGTTTGGCATTGGTGCTGTGTAAGCATCCCATTCCGCGAAGCCTTTCATTAAATGACCATTTCTAACGTACTGGTCTGTTTTGGGGGGATTCAGTGCATGCGTCGCTAGCGGTTTTCGACTTGACGCTGTTATCAAATTTACGAAATATAGTTCACAAAGTAGCTCGACCCTGTTGATTGACGCGTGGACAATGTAAGCCTCCAAATCACTTCCACGACAGAAACTTTGATTATTCTAACACATCTTGTTCGAATAGCATCGAGATGAACATTGCGCTCTTGTGCGCTTGCGCTCCAGCAGTGAGGGCACTGGTTATGTACTATGTCCCCAAACTATTCCCCAACTTCGGAGCAGCCCCTACGAAGAATTCCACACAAGACACGAAAGCCACCGACACCACGAAATCACAGCCTGCCACAAAAGTTACAGCAACAAATGGGACTGAGAAATCGTAGATTGCTCTCGAAATTCTACTTCACCCTAATGACTTGACGACAATAATTTGAGTTTTGTAATATATATAAATGCCCTAATCATGTATGAATTCGTAGCGCAGCTGGTATCTTGTAGAGCCAGAGCGCGAAGTAAACTTTTAGTTTTAACCATGTCCGCCGCTGTTACCGATACGTAAGTAATTACCTAGGTAGTTTCTCTTTCTTGAAGTATATGCACCGCCAAATATTTGTGTAAAATCTTAAAGACCACCCGATTCGAATTTACACCGAAGCAGTCTGAACATCTCAGTATATTGACGGTTACAGAATGTCTAGCCGCCACAATTTTGTATTTGGAGGCAATTTAAGAGTACCCCTTAAATCGAATTCGCAGCTTAAGCCTAGATTTGTTAAAGCTCGGTCTTTCGAAGAAAGCATTGAGTTGTGAAGCTTTAAAGCCAGCTTAAAATAACGCAGCGCCTCGGCGATCAAGTCCGGTCAGCGATACCCTGCAAAGCCGGCTGATGAACCTTTAGCATCTCCAACATTTAAAATATTGACTTTGCTCTAATTTGACCGTAAAGCTCCTTTACCGACCCCCTAAAATCTAAATACTATAATAGTTTGAGATTTCGGCGATTACAGATCGGCGTTGCATGCATCAGCATCGGGGCCTCATCCTTGATATTTTGAGGATAGGAGGGTGATCTTACAACCTTTAATTGAATTCGACCCTATATCATACATCTAAGCCAAGGAGTTACTATTCAGGTAATATATTATTCTAACTAACTAACTAAAAGAAACTCATATTTCTACAAAGCCTATCTTGTTGGAAACGTCAGAGTTTGCACCCCCGTGAAGCTTGGTTGCTCCTCCTCGAGATTCTTGATCAATCCGGCTCATGAATTTAATTCTAGTTCATGCTGTTAGGAAATCCCCTAACACGAGGAAATATTGAAGCGACAAATGTATCTTTGAACAATATGGGATCCACTTCTCTGAGAGGGGGTTTACCTAAGAATCTTGATCATGGCAGCGAACTACTAGAATTGAGAATTGAGATCTCAAGTACCCCATCCCCATGCTGTAAAATTCGCTGTCGGCACCAAGTTGATACACCTGAGCCATAAAGGCTCAAAATTAATACTACCAGATCCGAAATAAATATTTGGTAGATTCAAACACCAAATGGTTTTTCTATCACCATTTGAGAGAGAAGTACTTAAACGGCTGAGTTCCGTTATTAAAACGTCCTTTGGCAAAATGGCAGGGCCCTACTTGGCTTCTGTACCGCTCATAGTGTTTTACACAGCCATTCCTGGCCATTGTAAAGTCGTTGAAAGGAGATATACCGTTGGAGACGACCAGATACTCGCGATCTTTCATCGGAGCTGCAATATAGTTGAATTTCCGCCCCGAAGTGATGGAGGTCGTAATGCTCCTAGCTCGGGGTATGAATGAAGTACCTGATTCGAAAGCTTGAAGAAATTGCGACTTATTTTTGTTATCAATTTTGGATTGGCTGCCATTGCAGGCTTTGTTGTGTAGCAGCATAACCAGCTTAGCTTATATGCATGTAGGACCGCCATTTAATTCCATTGGACCCAAAATATATCTACAAGCTGGGTGTATACAAACTTACCTAGGCATCTAAGCGTTAATCGCCGCAACTATCAGTCAGTACTCACGCCTCGGAGCTAGGATTTGCTGCCGAGTCTTCTAGTCTAGCTGTGATCAGCGCTGCTAACAGTAATTATAACCAACCAATTAAATTGTGGGACCGTTTGCTGTGATTATCCATGCGTTGCAAGTGTGGTTGTTTTGACACCATCTCCCCGCCATGTCACCCTCCCACATCGCCTACTACATTTCTTCCCATGGGTACGGCCATGCGACGCGGGCTATACAACTCTGCCATTCGTTTTTGCGAGCTTATGATGGTATTCGAATCACAGTTGTCTCACAGGCTTCTAGTCAGATCTTCCTGCCACTTCTCAACGCCTCCGACCGTGTAAACCTCCGCCCAGTCAATATTGACTCTGCCGTTATCCAACCTACCCCGTACAGCCTCGACGTCAACAAGACCGTTCAAAATCTCTTGGACCTGGGTAAAGATGAGGTCGTTAAGGAAGAAGAGGACTGGCTTAGAGGCCATGACGTTGATCTCGTCCTTGTCGATGCTCCATTCGCACCCTGCATTGCTGCATCTAGAGCGGGTGTTCTGAGCATTCTCATAACAAACTTCAGTTTCGCCGAAGTTTTCAGTTATTTTACTTCAATGGTCGAATCTGACCTTCAAATTCCGCTTTGCGAAGTTGTGAATACGGCTGTCAAGGGATATTCCCATGCTGATATCTGGTTGCGGCTGCCTGGGTGGCTCCCAAACCCCGGGTTTCTTCCAGCAACGTTACCAAGTTCCACGTGGGTTTCTGACGAGGTTCTCACAGTATCGACTAATGGCACCGTCACACCAGAATACTCGATATCCCGTCCTAGTTTCCAAAGGAAGATAATCGACACACCGCTCATATCTCGCCCTGCCACAACCACATCAAAGGCAGATCTCTTGAAGATGCTTGGTATCCACCCATTTCTTCAAACACACAAGATTCTTCTACTACTCCTTCCCCTCCCGGATCCACCACCTCAAATACCTTCCGACTGGGTCTGCGTTATAGCAGGATCCACACCTACTATGCCCCTCCCAGATCGGTATTTTGTAGCGCCGGGAGATATACACATTCCGGACGTCATGAAGATCTCAAGTTGTGTGATGGCAAAATTAGGTTACGGCACCGTGAGCGAGGTACTAGCCGCTGATGTTCCACTTGTATACATACCAAGGAGACAGTTCGTAGAGGAATATGGTCTTCGGCATCTCGTCGAAACGTTCTCCGGCTATGAAAACCGCGCGGAGCGATTGGAAATTGAAGAGTTCGAGAAAGGCTACTGGTGGTGGATGGTAACAGAATTAGCCGGTAGAGAGAAGTCCGGCGAGCCAGCGGGCCTCGTCGATAATGGAGATGCAATTCGACGCATCGTTGTAGAGCAATGGGAGGGCTGGAAAACTTCAGCCTGAGGAAAGCCTACAGAGTATCTTATCAACCGAAGATTTAGAACTGAGCATTGAGGTTTCTTTGAAATATATAATATCTATGGAATGATAAAATTTTTTAGAACAATCTCTTTAGTGAACAAAAGTTTGGAATGAAATGGCATAGGCAAGTGCTAATGCTGTTGACCAGATATGCCGAATATGTCGTTTATTGACGATGGTGGCCTTCTTATCCACCTTCCAGAACATCGAGCGTTCATCCGGGGATGGCTGGCGAAGGACTTTCTCTTTTTCGGTTAGTTTTCCTTTCGACAGTGCAGGCTAAGCGGAATCGCAAAGTAAACTGATAACATTCGGGTCGCTGGTGATGACAAGGCTAAGCTTGTCGAAATGAGAAATCAGATCCGCGTGAGTCTGCCGGCATTTCTCCCATCTAATTCTTGAGCATTCTTGGACCACGAAATCAGGACAGTAAGAAAATGCAGAATCCGGCTTTGCTTGAGACTCCGCTCGCATTTTCGCCATATAGAGACGATACGTCAAAATCTATTGCATGTGCACGTCGGCTGGGGCCTCAAAATCTCCTAATTTGAAGGCGGGCCAACGTTACAGCGTGGCCAAAAGCGAGCTCAGTTATTCTCACCAACATGGGTATCTAGATACCTTATTGTCGGCGAATGTTGGGTTGGACCCTCGCCAGGGGTGCCAGACAATGTTCTGAAGATGCAGTTTTTGCGTTGCAGACCATAATCAAGAAAAGCCATAAACCCCGGACAGTTCGACAGGGATGCACATTCCTTACATGCCTACTCGGAAAATAGATCAAAGCTCTCTTGGTAAACTAAATAACTCTCATGTCGAAGAAGTACAAATACCCTTTGACATCCACCTTGGGGTCCAAGGCACAACCAATTAATGTAGTTAACCCCACCCAACCCAATACGTATACCATTTAACAAAACTATCCTAACAAATACAGCAAGAACAAAAGACGGAAACCAATACTATCCAACTCCAAATATAAACCCAGCAGTAACCGGTCACCGTGTGCAGGGAGGAGGGCGGTAGCATCTAAGAGGAACTATAAAGCTGAGTGCTTCACTCCCAAATTGGGTCCAATTTTCAGAAGGTTAGTAATCTCCTTGAATGAAACCTGGTATAGTTAGCACAGATAATTTCTAAACTCAAAATAGATTGTTCAAATGCAAGAATTCAACCCCTCTGTCATTCTTTCGCCGGAGACTCTGAAGACACTTTCGACTCCGCTCTCAGTCCTTTGCTTTCTATTTTTCTACCTATCACTCGCCAGCTTCATCTTTGCAACCTTAGAAACGATCCTAGGAATTGTTAAGAAAGATGACCAGAGTGCAAGTTGGTGGAGGCGCTCGAGGCTAGTTGCCCTGACATATTCTCAGATGTATCTTTCTCAGCACTTCCTTCGCATTGTCACATCAGGCAAGCCGGGCACCGACGAATCGGAGAAGAGCTTTTGGATGGCATCACAAACGATTGCTGCTGGAGTTGTAATGTTTTCAGTGGTGAAACTACAGAATACAACTGAAAGGTTGCTCATAGGACAGTGCTATAAGTTGGAGCGCCCTCAACTAGCACAGGTGGTTCTGACTTCGATCGTGTCTTTCAACATCCACCTTGTTGCCGGGCCGCTTGCTGCGGCCTTGACCGCAGCTGCATTACTAGTTTCCTTGGATTGGAGGATCCTAATTTTGCTTTTCGAAGGAATTGCTAGCTGGAAAGCTTCAAGGGGAAACCAATTGGCCGACTTAACCTGGGGAATGCTTCATGTACTACTTGCAGTGGGTTTACTCCGAGCAGTGTATAATTTCGACAAGCAAGAGGGCCAAATTGCACTTTCCGCCGATGAAGAAAGTGCGCTAGAAACTGTAGCAGATGAGAAACCAGAGGCGGAGGTCGATATCCTGAAGCCTTCCACATCTCTGCCTACCAGCCGACTGTTCATCATGCTTTGCGTCTTGATCATTTTCGTAGGAGCTGTTGTTACGACCATTTTCTTTGGGTTGGAAAAGGTTCTTCTTCCTGGGCTCCTGGCGAGCCGTGATGCCATGAATGCCGAGGCGCTGGTTCTTTCACGCATGTTTACAACAGAGGCCATTGGAGTTCCACTGGTTGCACTCCTAACGTAAGTTTCCTGACATTCTAGATGCTCCAAACTTTTATTTTCTAACCTCTTTTCCCCTACAGAGCCCGGGAATTAAGTGGGAATTCGATTGTTCGATGCATTGTTGCTGGCCTCACTTGATCATTAGGCTCATATCCCGACTTCTAGCTAGCTTTGCTTTATCCTAATAGTTTTACGATACCCAATCTTGATTTTTGTTTGATATTTTTCGCCTGAGGCTCGATTAACAGAGTTATTGTAAATAGTTGAGTTCGAGCGCATACACATACACGGATATACGCACATGCTGTCCTAGGCCTTCGGCTATAGTGCTTTCCCAGTCTGGTTACGAGAGGGAACTATGTGTTGCGACATCCCAACGGGCTATGCGGGCCGGTGCCCAGCGCCTTGTTTTAGGATCCCCTTGCTATGTACGGTGTTTCGCTCCGCACAAATCTCCATAAGATGCAATACCCCATATATGCATATGCCACCATCTTGGAAGGTTGGAATTTAGCCTAGTTAATAAAAGTTCGGCCCGAGAGATAACCAGGGGTTGGGGCGCTCCAATGTCCACTTATCCGCTCTAACTGTTTTAAAATCAGCCTACGTTGATGCTGGGCAGACTTTCCAGCTGATGGACAGCACACAAACGCGAACAGGACACAACATCTCGATGGAATATCAAGACGTGGTTTACTATGTTGTTCTAGCCCCGGGATAAAATGGTAGCAGCACGATGAGGATCTGGCGGGGTAACCCATGCAATGTGACCCCTCTGAGGGCAGCGCTTGGGCTTTCCTGTTTTCTTGAACAGCTTTTCAATAGGCCGTACCACCTCTTCCCTTTAAATTCTCCTAGCTGTCTATATGTTCTGGAGCTTAAAGTTCATAGTATGCTGGATTTTACGATAACTCGGGTCTAGTCGCTATAACCCTCAGTCGATCAGAAAAGTCGATTATCAAGTCATACAGGTAGTCATTATTCTAATGCGCAGGCCGGTGCAGCTAGCTTGTAAAAGCTCCACCGCTCTCGTTGCCTTCCATGAAACTTCATTTTCATATCTGAATTGTCACGATACGGCCGCCACCTTGTGTATGCGGCACTAGTTAGAAATAGCCAAAGTGTATATACCGGCCTAAGTGAAACGAGCCGTCGCAGAGACCCAGGCGCACCGGGTGGGTAGTCCTAGAAATCTGCGGTCTGGGGTAACTTGTAACTTTATTGGATTTTGCATGCCTCCCTTGTGACGTTTAGGAAGGAGACCAGCTTTTGCCATTGAATTAAAAGAAACAAGTTTTAGAGTCCACATTCATTATTAATTTGAGTCCTATCTGGTCTCGTTCCCAGACGTCACATAGGGAAACAGACCTATCGTTTTTATAAACCATTCTTAAGTTTTCTATGCTAAGCTACACGCCAGGTTTATGTATCCATATCAGTTTAATAGTAGGAGCATGGACGCTCCAAGAAAAATCCATTCAATAGGACCGGTTCATAGTCCGGCCTGTCGATATATAAGCCAAATATCGGGGGTTCTGTCGATTCTGTTGATGATCTACTGATATACATAACTCAGATCCACCCAACTGGTATCACCATCCAGAATGGATGTTGGGTTTACAGCGCCACCAAGTTTCGAAGAAAAGGACACCCGGGTCCCACTTGCCCCATCTCCTGTATTGTCATACTCTTGGAAAGACACATGGTCAGTATTTGGAGAGCTCGAGCTCCATTGCGACCACCCGGCACCGTTGATAACGTTGGAAAGAACCGTCCTCTGAACAACAACACGAGCATAGTTCCTCCAAGGGCGACCCAAGTAACTCTTGCCAACCCCAGTATATCCAGAGGCTGCAGCGATAGAAGATTTATCGATAAGATAATAAGAAGGATTTGAGCTTGAATCTCTTCCATTTGCGGTGACCCAACCATCACCACTTATACGAATGACACACTGCGATCTTTCCCATTAGTGACATCTGCAGATGATGGTCGCGAGGAGAGCGAGAATATACCTGGCTAAAAAGGGCTCTTGCCGTCTGGCCGAAAATAAAATCGCTACAAGCCGGATTTATGAGAATCTAAATAAGACAGCTACCAATTTGCGTATACGCTAGCCCTAACTTACGTTGCTCCCTCGATGTAACATTTTCCGTAAACCTGGTATCCCACATTCGCTAGGACGGTATCTACAGTGGCCGTTAGTATTGTCATATTTACGCTGTTCCTACTTTAATATAGTGACTAACCTTGATAACCAACAAATGTGCACCCATAAAAGCCTACCGTTGCCGAATTAGAAAACACCTCCCAAGAATATCAGTCAACTTCAGGATCATCCTAGTATACCCTGCTTGTCGGCATAAGCGCTTAATGCAAGCGCTTGCACACCCTTGCCTCTGGTATTCTTCACAATTATATTATACATTTTTAACCCAACTGACCGCGACTGAACCGTTGCTATGGTGTGTGAACCTTAGCAGTCTTATACTCACGGAATGTTTCTTAAGGACGAACCGGATAACTCATTGTTGCCCGCAATGTCTGCGCCCATCGAGTATGTTATGGTAACGGTGTTTCCGGAATACGAGGATGTATCCGTAGTGTATCCATAGATAGATAAAACAGCTTTTCGAGCCGGAATTTTTACTTGTTCGTCATAGGTTCCTTGGTATATGAATATTGACTGTGCTGAGGTCGAGGTGGTGCTTAACGCGTTCACTGCCGCTTGTATCTACAAAAGGCCCTTAAGTTCTTTCAACCCCTTTGCTTCATGGATATCCAAAAACATACCGTTCCATATTGTCCAGAGGATGGATTTTTACTAACGACGAGGGAGCCGGAGGGCGGCGAAGTTCTCGAGGCGGCCAGTGCGACAGCGAACAGGGGAAAAAACACAGAAAAGATTTTCATGTTGATGATAAATATTAATATCAATATATCAATCACTTCAGCACAAGCGTTAAATAGGTGACACAAAAGGTATTGTCTTCATTTGGAGGATTCAAACATCTCCTCTTTTATACATCGGTGGGTTGCTTAATTAACCGCCTAGTGAAAGAGGCGGACTCAAACCCCAGTAGCATACGACTGTTGTTCCGTGGAATTTTATTTCACCGTTGGTTTCTATCTCAATTTTCGACTATGGTTTAGATCAGTCAAGCTGACATTGTTTGAAGCCGCTCTGAGCAAGGCAGACATTTGGGTTGGCCTTGAACCCTATATTTTCAAACGACCCCTTGTTGAACCTTCGGCTGGAGCAACCGGCTAGCGATCTAACGCCTGTGATTTTGCTCAAATACACATATAGAGGAAACTAAGGCCTCGGTCCAACGCGAATGCGACCATCGGATGGACATACCTGAAGCGAGGATCTAGGATCCAGATTCCGTTCTTTGGTTGTGAATATTTTGCACCAATTATACGACCTTGAAAAGATGGAACGCTGTTTAAACATCTGTGAGAGGTTAAATACATGGTCAGGGGCACGGGAAAATCGGTGTGAGGCACAGCGATACACCTTTGCCAGTCGCCAATGTATTTCCGTATACCTCCTTCTATGCATCCATTATCAATTTTAATTCGCACTAGAAGAAAAAGGGAGAAAGAATAAGGGCAGAAAATAGGAACGTGACAATGCAAAAAACAATGAACAAGATTGATACTAAAGTAATCAGGAAACATCACCGCTTAAAATAAAGCCACCCAGGAATTACAAGTAAAAATAGTAAATCTATGAAAAGTGAAAAGGAGAATGGGAAGAAGGAGCCGGGAGTATTCGTTAATTATATATATCTGTGTAACATGTAGCCACTAGCGCTGACTAAGATTTATGACGACCAATGCGAGCGGGAGGCTGTCAATTTACTCAGCGGTAGGAGACGTTGGAGCAGGGAAGTACCAGGCCGCCACAGCAATAATAACATAAGTAGCCATTAAAAGTGTGCCCTCTAAGAAATTCGACTTCCCGTCTTGGATCAGGTAGTTGACAAGGAGAACTGATACGAGGAGTAACACAACCTGCATGAAGATTTAGCAAGATCTTTAACATTCTGTATTATGGAAATTATACCTGAAACCCATCGAAATATAAGGTCATCTCATCAATCCCCATAATCCAGCCCAGAACGACAATGAAAGGGATCACTAAAAGAGCAATTTGCATACTGCTCCCAACTGCAACACCAATAGCAAGATCCATCTTGTCCTTGTAAGCCACTGTCACAGACGTGGCATGTTCTGCAGCGTTACCGACGATCGGGAGAAGAATCAATCTTAGGAGGATAAAATTAGCCTCAATTGCTGATGTGTGATTCTGAGGGGGGTTCCTTAGCTTACCCGACGAAGTACTTGCTTATCGGTGAATGTTCTACAAGATAGTCCAATGAGTCGACCAGAAATTCCGCACAGATCGCAACCAGTGCGGTTGACCCTACCAGAAGAATAACAGCAGTGAGTAACAGAAGTTCAGGCTGGGGGCCTTCCTCTTCATCTTCCTCGTCAACAGCTTCTATCTTAGTAGCCTCAGCACTTGAGCCAGAACCGGCTGCTGTCCGTGGATATGCTTGCCCTTGGATGGCGGAATGGCCAAGAGTCGCTGCACCTGCATTGGCGGACTGTTGTAAGAGATGTTGCATAGCAGATGGTTCCAATTCGCTTCGTTTGGGTGCCTTCTGAGACTGTATATTGAACAACTCTGCATGTGACTTAAGTTGGAAGAACAGATACACTCCATAAACAAATAGAAGAATAACAGCAGTCCCTCGGGATAGCCCAATAATTCCTTCTTGTAACCTCTCTTCGTTCTGACCATTAGAAGCTCCTGCCCAGTGGAAAGCCGACGGAATAATTAGAGACAGTACCGCGACGGCCAAAAGTGAAGATGCTGTTTGGGCGACAGTTGTATTAAAATATTGTTCGACGCGGTTTATTCCCCCCAAGAAGAATGCCATTCCCATTACGAGTAACAAGTTTGACAAAATAGAGCCGATAAGTGATGTCTGTACAACGACGATTTCATGTTTGACGAGCGCAATAATCGATACGATCAATTCAACGGCATTCCTAAAGGCCGAAATTTTGAGTTAGTATTAACCCAAAGGATACCTTCAACTCGAATAGGTGGAAGCCTCACCCAAAGCTAGCGTTTAGAAGCCCGCCAAGAGTCTCACCCGTCCGCAAAGCAATTTCTTCCGTACCAAAACTTAATGTGCCAGCAAGCGGGATAATAGCAAGAAAGTTCATCACAAACACCACAATGGGTGAGACAGATGTAAAATGCAGTGCTATTCCGACTGGAACAAAGACGAGGAGTATGTTGACATAACTACTAAATAGTGCCGCCTTTAGTTGTCCAAGTATCGACCGGTCGATATGGGCTTCTGCCCGCTTTCTTTCGTCTCTTCGTTTCTCTTTCTCCCTTTGCAACAATTCCTTCCTCCTTGCTTTCCATTCTATAGAGCAAAAAGACTGTTAGAACTGACCAGTCATCCGCTAGAGTCGAGTGGTCGGTACCTGCATGAGAAGATTTGATATCTGTGCCAGTCGATATGCCAGTTTCACCATCTGTTTTCGGTTTGTGTCGGTGAGCGGAGAAAGGTGCTATCACGCGCCGGCCCTCATACTTGGACCAAGATTTGACTTTATCTATCGGAGAGTCAGTTATGTGTGGGGGAAACAGCCAGCTCGCTTGATCGTATTGTACGTACGCATCTTCAAAATACGGTGGAATGGTCGCAGAGTCGCGATAATTTAGGTGGATATTCCCTTCAATGCATGAAAGTGGAAGGCCGTACTATATCTTTGAGTTTTGTTTTAGAAATAAAAAAATAAGAAACAAACTATCAGAAGCAAGCAATGTAGCTATTGTCTGATTTCAGTTTAGAAAATGGGTGTTATGATTCAGGAGGTGGTGTATGCGGAGATTGCACTGGTGCATCTGTCAAACCACTCAATATATCATCGCACTAGACAAAATATGCATTGTGTAGTACCGACTTATACAGGACGAAATGAGCGAAACACTACTGGTATAAACATGGAGATCTAAGAACAAGGTCATTTCCAGGCGTCAGCGCCCCCTTCGCTGACCACAGAACCAATGCATGCGTGGCTCCTCAGAGGACGAAGAGACGAGGTTGTTTATCCACGTTCATCCTAGCTTGCCGTCTCAGCTGAGCAAAGGCTTCTAGCAGGGCTGACATCTGTCGCCTGGATTCGATTACCACATGCAATAAAAAAGCAGGGGAGATATGGAGGGCTATCAATTGGAAACTCGCGTATCCGCATCGAAGGAAGACAGAGCAGGGTAGGTCTGTGGTTAATATTCCGTCAGGATACGTCAGTCGGCATCGAGCTTCTCCCTTGGTCACGGTTGATCAGCCAAGGGGCTGACTACAAAAAATGCTTGATTTCAATTGGCTTTGCTTGGAAATCTCTCGTCAATTTTCTTGGTTCTGATGACGTGTTGATTATCATTCCGAAAAAATCAGCCACTTCAGCCGTATTGCCATTGTGGTGGCGCCACCAACAGCTCGGTATTCATTTTTCTTCTCATAAGACAGCCCGTATCAAATAAATTCAATTACGTTGCTAATCGCTTTTTGTTCTGCTCATCCAGCACCATGTCCCGCAGCCTCAATAGCCCCTTCTCTTCGGCTTCCTCAATGATAGTCTTCCCTTCGTTCGTCCGCAAAGAAAGGTCGCAGTTGTTAGACAGCAACAGGCGAACAACTCTCTCATAACCCGAGCCACTTTGGAGACTCAAAAATAACGCTGTCTGGCCATCATGATTTTTGATATTGCAACCAGCCCCTTGGATTAGAAGTAATCTTACTACCTTATCGTGACCCCCCTTCGCTGCTAGATGTAAAGCTGTGTGACCGTCATCATCTGCCGCGTCTACGTTGCCTCCAGACCCGACAATGCCAATCAACAGCTTATCAACAGCCCTCTCGAATCCTCCTACGGAAGCAAGATGGAGAGCAGTTCGTGATTGTTTATTCGCGGTAGCGTAGTCGAGTTTTAGTTGCCCAATGACCCCTACATGGCCACCAGCCGCGGCCAGCAGCAAGGCGTTGTTTCCATCCTTGTCGACGGCGCGTACATCAACTTCGACGTTCTGTAGCAGATGTCGAACAGATAAAGCATGGCCATTTTCTGCGGCAAACATAAGAGCAGTCTTCTGTCCTTCCACTGAAGGCGCATTAATGTTGAATGTCTTAGGTTCTACAAGTGCTTTGACAATTTTGTGCAAACCGCTTTCTGCGGCATATGAAAGTGGGGTTCTCATATCCACATCTTGGATCTCAGTCATGGCGTTGTTGTTGAGGAGCCACTTCGCTACCCTGTAGTTCCCTATTCGCGCGGCCCAGGACAACGCAGTCATTCCCAAGTCGTCCTGGCCATTAATGTCAAGCGGAGTCTGCTCGAGATATTTCAGAAGTCGATAGCTATTCGTTTTGGTCATCTTGATGATGTTCTGGGGGCTACTCATCAGCTCATGCAGAGCTTTCATGTTCAATCCAGTCTTCATAATGCGGCCCTTGTAGATGCTGGTACCTGTCTGGATATCGATTTGTAACCCTATCCAGGCATACTGATGGATAACTTGGGATGAACCATATTGCTCCAAGGTTTTGATAAGTCCCTCAAATCCAAACCGCGAAATTTCGGAATTCAGCTCCTTTGCAGAGGTACTATACAGCTCCCCCAGGGCTGTCAATGTAGCTTCCTCCTGAGCCCCAACGATGCCGGGATACTTTATGGCGGATAATAGCAGATCCTCGACTTCAGACAATCTCCGCTGGATATCTTGAACCGATAAGTCGTCTAAAACCGCGCTCACAATATCACTAGGTCCTGGAATGAGGCGTAGGTCCATAAGAACTGTGAAAATGCAAAGATAAGCGTCCTCCTTTGAGCCGAGCTGCGCTTTTTCGAAACTTTCAGCAATTTCCTCCACAGTAGAATTTTCGAACCCCAGATCATCTTCATTTGCCCCTTTTCTGATGGTCGTTTTCCCGCCGATGCCCCGAGCGCTCTGGAGAAGCGATCTCAGAAATAGCATAAAAATGTCCTGGCTACACATCTGTAGTACTGAGTTGTCGGTGTGGACGAAAGATACTCGGAGAGTATGGCCGTCAGCCGGCGATACTGGCATGCCAAATACGTGATGCTCTGCTCCCTGGCGCCCACTCCATTTACTCAGGTATCCTCTATTTTTTCTCGTCATTTCCTCATGTTGCAAGTTAAACCGGCCTTTCACCCAGCGAGACAAAAGCGCTTGAGTGAATTTGCCTTCCTCTTGGCCGTCAACCTCTGTTGCATAGACAGCCCTGAGAGAGTCCCGTGTCCTTGAACTTCGTAGAGAGAAACTAAATGCATGATATTGTTCAGCGTCAAATCCAGTAAGGGTTAGTGCCCATAGGCCCAAAACGCTTTCAAGTTGTTGGGGGCCCCGAGGAACCTTATATGCTGTAGATGCGCCTTTTCCATGTTGAAAATTTACTTTCCAAGTATTCACTCCGCCTTTTTCATCCGTTGTAGTGAGATTGAAAGACCAATCATCTTCCTCTCGGGGTAGTGAGCCGGTTATTAGCGGCCGAGTTTTGGATATTATGTCAAAGGTTGCCTCGATCGCTGACTGGAGTTTGTGAGCCGTATCTCGTACCTTCAGATCGTCCCAGAAGAAGGTTTCGAGAGGGTCTAGTGTTTTCTTTCGTCCACGAGATACACCAGGAAGACCAGTGTATTCTGCCAAGCGGCTTCTAGCATCCAATAGAAGCTTCCCCATGTTTCGTTTTTCACCGGTTTCGATTTGCATTGCGCCTATTTCAAATCTTATTGATTAAGAGTTCCTGGGAGTTGGCCAAAACCAGGCACCGTCGGTGATAGGTTGCTTACGTTGAAAGTGGCTCTCCGGGTCTGCTGACACAAATACCCCGGTGATGCCGTGAACTTGCATAGTAAAAAGGTCGAGTTCATGGCCGTGAAGGAGCTTAGGATCCTTTATCAGAGGATGTTGGTTGTGTGAGTCGAGATCAAGACCTGGCACCGCGAGGGACGAAATCACATCTCCAGACTTATCCAGCCGTTTAGTCCGAAGCATGGCTCTAATAATTGCCATAACGAGCGTGGTGCCAATCTGCGCCAGTGTTACACTAGCGTGCATTCCTCTCAGTCCAACAAATTGAGCCACAAATCCCAGCATTGAACACGTAACCGCGATCCAGAGAAGATTCTCATTTCTGTGCGGGGATTTGGTAGAAACAATATATTCTGGACCGCTAAAGGAGCCGATATATGACCCAAAAACCTGGTCACCGATTTTTTGGCCCCCCGGTTGAATCCAATATATCTTGCCTTCGACAGTATTATTGCGACGAAAGCGAACTTCAGTAGAGCTCCGCTCGATGAGAAAGGCGCACAGAAATAAACCAAATGTCACAAATACTGTCCCAACCAGTGTAAGAGCAAAGGTATAGGTTTCAGCAGGTCTATCCTCACCGCCAAATCCGGCTGTCACAAATGAATCTGGATAGACATACACCGTCAAAGCGGCAAATACAAGAACCCCTGCGTATCTTTATTAGTGAGTTATTCTTGGACAAAAAGACATAGACGCACAGCTAACCAGACTGAAGAGCGATACCAATCGCAGCAGCTAGATAGGTAACCGATTTGGGAAGCCGAACGATACCAGCATTCAAAGAAAGATTGGGCCTATGATATCTAGACACCCGCTCTATTTCGTCAGTGTTCAAAGGGACACCGCTAGATGAAGTTTGATGATAGGCAGCTTTTTCAACTCCTTGAAAGATTGCATCCCATAGCATCGTAATGCGTGGTCCGTCATTTCCTCCATCGTATTCGAAGTTGTTGGAATTCGCTTTCGGTTTCACAACTACCACTTCTAGAATTTGAGGTTCGCCGAAAACACGAGCAATCCCTCCTTCATTATAAATTTCGGCCGTGGTTTCGGAGGTGCAAGACAACAGTTCGATTTCTGCAACACCAGGACCCTCTTGGGCACGTCCTATGAAGGCTCTCAAAGAAGCGCTGCCACATACTCTGATAACAGATACGACCGCAGTAAGCAATCCCAATGGCGCCATCGCAAAAATTATGTTGTCCCATATTGTGAGAGACTCGCTGAGAAACTGTTTTGTTACCTGCTCTCCAAACAAAGTAATAAGGGGTGCCTGTTGTTGAAGCTTATGTTAGAAAACGCCGCAAGCCTAAAGGCTGTTAAACTTGTATATTGCAAACCAAATCAGTGGCGAAGTTGTTTGTAAAATCATTCCATTCTAGCTGGCCCTGCACGACGTGACAATTAATAACGAACAGCGTGAATATGACTAGAGTGCCATTAGTTTTAAGGTTCTTCGGATAGGACAATCTCCCACCGCGGCGCGTACATACCTCTGCGTTGCATGTTGGATCTTTTGGCCTCCTTATCCAGGCCAAGCTAAAGAAAGACTATACTAGCTTCGAACTAAAGACGGGAAGCTATTGCTAGCGTGGCTTCTAAGTCTTGGGGGTTAGAAAGAAGTTGTTGACATCTCCTAAAGTGAACGGTGTGTATATATTTTGAAAGGATTCGACTGAATCCAAACAGCCTCCATGCGGCTGTTACTACGTATCTAATAATAATGGTTGATCCTGGGACCAGCTGAAGCGCTAAGCTTGAGCTGACGCCCTTGGCAGCAAAACATAAAGCGCTGTGCCATGCAACAGGGATGCTTTGCGGGAACAAGACTACTTTGCAGCCATAGCTGTGGCTCAGCAGGCATATTGCCATGTACTATGTAAAGCTCGCGGCCAGCCGCCTGATAAATTGAGAGGTTTCAGGGATTCAATGATCGTATGGATGATCAGTACAGCACAAATTCAAAGTTCAGAATCTTCTTAAATCCTTAGCTTCGCTCGCCCCATTAGTCACCAGTTGTTATCAACAAGGTGGACCTACAGTATCTGACAACTGACCAACCGGAACTAACGAGCTTCCGAAACCCATAAAAGAACCCCGCCAATGCAGGTGTTGTGAAATGAGGACAAAGCTATGGAATCGGCCGACTTTGGTTGCGAGATCCCGTGTCACGTGAACCTAGAGCAGGAAACGTGATTTCAGCATCCTTCACCATAACCCCTTGGTGCTGAATCAGCACCCGAGCATCTTCCCCTTCCTTTGCTGAGAAATCCCTTGTGTCCATTGCTGATTAAGACTACTACTAAGCAAGCCATTATTAAATTGAAATCACACCATCTGCATCGCCAGCGGAACGGGTGCACGAGCATGCACAGTCTTGAATCCGGGTTCGTTGTCGTCGTCAGTCGGAATTGAATCCGAAGGCGAACGCGAACTGCTATGCATTTTCTGCCGGCAATTTCTCGACCGAGAAATACCCTGGATTCAGGGCCACAAGCGACTTCCAAGCAGCATCGTACATGGTGTCGCCGGTTCCAACCAAACTTTCACCACCATGGCCACGGACAGAAAGAGATAAAAAGCCCACCTTTCCCTGACGGTTGTTTAGGTTTTGGATTCCCTCTGTCAGTCAATTTCCATTAACAAAATTCAATCAAATCATTGTCGACCACAACAACACCCAACCTTCCTCCCCGTACACCAAAAGATGGCAGCCCACGAAATCGTTATCTTGGGCGGATCCTACGGTGGCCTCGCCACGGCGCACGATCTCGTCAAGAAATATATCCCATCCGTCGCCAAGGTCACCGGCCAGAAATACCATATTACTATGATCTCGTTATCTACCCATTTCCACTTCCCTGTCGCCGTCCCTCGAGCCGTCGTGGACCCTTCACTGATCCCAATTACAAAACTCGAGGTCCCCATCAAAGGAAAAATCCCGTTCCCAGAAGATCAATTTACTTTTGTTCATGCTGAGATCACATCGTTCGATCCAGGCTCTCGTACCGTTTACTACACCCTTCTCGACGACGAATACAACAAGGGCGCAGGGGGCTCCATCCACTACGACTCGCTTTTCATTGCTCTCGGCTCGCACACCAAGCATCCTGCCTTCAAGCCTAAAGCCTCCCATCTCGAAGTTATCCGTGAAATAGAAAAGCTCAACGGAGAGATCAACGGCGCTAAAAGTATAGTTATCGCTGGTGGTGGCCCTGTTGCAGTTGAGACTGCTGGCGAGCTCGGAAGCAAATATGGCACTTCCAAGTCCGTTACACTTGTCACTAATGGGCCACGCCTGTTACACAACGTCAACCCTGACATTGGAACTAACGCCAAATACTTTTTGGAGAAAATGGGTATCCATGTTACCTTGAATGCTAATGTAACTTCGGCTACAAAACTTGAGACGGGCCAAACACGAGTCCAGTTTGGACAAGATCAGTCTGTCGATGTCGATTTGTACATCGACGCCACCGGTGTCATTCCAAACAACGAGCCTATCCCCAAGGAGCTCCTAACTGATCGCGGGTTTTTGGAAGTCGATGCCTACCAACGAGCTACGAAGGCTGGCGCTTTGGTATACGGAATTGGAGATATCGTTGGGGGGTGGGCACAGATCGCAGAATTAGTCTTCATCAAAGGCGTGGTATTCGGGAATTGGGCCCACGAAGTCTCAGGTGGGAAGGTTGGCAAGGAGACAGCCTGGGAAACGCCAAAGAACAGCATGATGTTGGTACCCGTCGGAACTAAAAAAGCTGTTGCGACTGCCTTTGGCTGGAGGTTTCCCTCAATATTTGGTTGGCTTTTGAAGGTAAGAAGATGCTGCCTATATTCCAAATGAATAACGCCGCTAATAAATTGTGTAGGGCCGAGATTATATGATTGGGAAGGCTGAGGCAACAGTTACTAATGGTATTTAAGCTTTGCGATTCACTGATAGTTACAACAATCATGGCCTCGCCGAGGTTTGGAGTTCTGGCATAGATCATGGCTTCGTATATTTATACCCACATTTGAGGAGTCTGGTAACAAAACAAATATATACCTACTTATTATAATCTTAATCAAAGGCCTACCACGGCCATCAATATTTTCTCATATCTTCTCCAATATCGCGCTCGGCTGTGAGACACATGGGACTCATGCACTAGATAGCTCGACGTAAACATGCTCATCCCACATCCTCTGCAAATCGGACCGCACCGGCAAGTATTATCCTCCATTGAATATCTTCAATACCGAGCATTAGCCAGTATCATTCCTACTTCTAATTAAGCGTACAAGATGAAAGCATTGTCTATCTTTCGCACATTTTACTGCGCTGCTATTGCAGTTGCATCATACGGTAAGGATTTAATATTTTCCCTTCACACTTTACAAACAGAGAAATCCTACTGAATACTAACGAAAAGCCAAACGCCATCGTTTATATGCTTAGCGTTGGCAGCACCTATGGAAAGCTTAGAAGCTGAGCACCACTTAACAAAGCGGATGCTCTCAGCTAGTAAAGCCGCAAACTACTTCGGCGGGTTCCTACTCGTACCCCGGTCCGAGCTCTCTAGCTGGACCACCGAAAATGCCGGCCTACTTAATTCCTATCTCGTATTCTCCCGAAAGGTCCGTGAAGAAATCACTAAACTAAAAACAGAGCCGTATGTCGCCCTACTACGAGCTTACTCAAGTCGATACGCCAAGCAAATGTACCCAGACAACCCTTTAGTCTTCATCTCATGGCAGGAATTCGTCAACGAAGGTCTCATAAAAGCTTTACATAGACCGTGGGGCGAGAAATGGAAATTGCCTGAATTTACTCTATCCCCAGACGACCGACTCAAAGGACTCTCCGCTGGACTTTTGGAGGTATACCCTCATGCGGAAATTGAAAACGAAGAGGACTTCAACAATAGGCCACTACTCCGGTCCGCTAAAATCACAACCGTCGAATACGTCGCTGAGTTTTCGCTTCCATTTCCTAGTATATCGGCGCTGAGCGATTGGCTGTTCGATCCTAGACCTCCTCCCGATGAATCAGGCCAAGTCCAAGATGACTTGGATGATTTAGATGAACAAGGCCAAGTCCAAGATGATTTAGATGGCTTAGACGATTCAGATGATCCATTGTTTATAGAACTTGATCGAAGGGAGAGGATGGAAGTAAGTCTTCGGGCAATTTATAGTCAGTTAGGGGTGCTAGTCGAGGATCTGAGGGGGTTCAAACTCCAAGTCCAACTTGCAGGGAATATTCCGATACCGCCAGAAAACGCGCAACCTATCATCAAAATAATCAAAGAGACGATTAATGGTTGGGAACGATTAAAAGATTTAGTTGGCGTTCTGGCGACAACGATGCGTTTGCTGAAGGAAACGCTTGAATGAATGTGTATCATAGGTTGAATATATGTCGAAGCTAGCGCTATAGCTAATCCAAGCCTTGTAGACTACAAATCACACACACCTTCCGCTTTTTTCCTTTGTCTCTTGAAATATCAATAAAACTCATTCATTTATCTTTTTAAATTTCAATCAAGCTTTGTTTGGGTGGGCGAGCATCCGTGATCGGCTCTAGGACTATGTTAAACTTAGACATTCTATATATACTCGAATCTACCCATATATGTCGACCTCGACCTAGGCCTATCGGTATCCATATCAATAACTATCGCGTCGTTAGAATGCAATATCAAGATTGGCCCTTGTATGTGTACATGCATGTACCCATGCATGTACATACATGTTCAAACATTGCGTGTTCATTCCCGTGACTGTGTTGCAGATTGGTGTCACCCCACCCTACCGACTTACGACTGCACCAATTGCCTACCTAGCTTTAATGACACTTTCCTCGACATTCTTATGTCAGTCCCGAGGCATCACAAGGCTTGGAGTTCTCAGAGTGGATCAGTTTCTTGCATCTCCGCGAGCTCGAGTTGTGAATGGATTCAGCCTTAAACACGACCTACACCTCATTCCAGCCAACGTCATCTCGAAAAAGTCTAAGCACATGATGGCAACCACTAATTCTCCGAAAATTGCACCTTATGGAACGTGGGAGAGCCCCATCTCGATCGAAACGATCTCGGGGAAGTCGATTTCCCTACAAGAATGTGCCGTTTCACCGTTAGTTGCTTCCTTTATTGCGCCTACACTGCACTTCCGAATTCGAGTAGCCTCTGAACCCTCGGCGTTTGATTATATTTGCTAATACTATTTCGAAGTCTAACTAAGGCAATTTACCATCTTGAAGGAAGACCTGCTGAGGCTGGCCGAAGTGTCCTCTGCTACACGCCTTTTAATTCCTCAAGCAGATTAGAGGTCATCCCAAAAGACTATAACTGCAGAACGAGTATTCATGAATATGGCGGCGCAGCATTTAAGCCCTATCCGGCCGAGGAGGCGGTAGTCTTTACTATCCCTGGAGATAGCAGAAGTGTTTATAAAGTAGCTTTGACAAAGGATGATCATGGAAATATCTCCGCCGGGGAGCCCGCAACCTTGGTACCCGGCGTCTCAACCAAACGATATGGGAACTTCGCCATTAATCCACAAGATAGCAAGTGGATTATAGCTATCCTAGAAGAACATCAAGGCTCCCGGCCCGATCAAGTTGTGAATAGCCTCGTTTCGATTTATGGCGAACCTGGAGATACAAAGGTTGAAAGCGTAGCAAGGGGGAAAGACTTCTACTCGTCCCCTTCATGGAGCCCCGACGGATCCAAAATTTCTTGGTTGCAATGGGAGCACCCTGATATGCCTTGGACTGGCAGCCAGGTTTGGATTGCTGATTGGGTGGATGGTAGACCGCAAAATCAGAGAGCCGTAGCTGGAAAGCCTTTGGCGGAGAGCACTAGTCAGCCTAGGTGGAGTCCTGACGGCAAACTATTCTACTGTAGTGACAAGACAGGTAATTGGTGTTCCAACCATGTAATCTCCTTAGTAAGACTACTTATCGTCCCTTGTTATAGGATATTGGCAACTCTACCAGTTCTTGGAAGATGGTTCTTCAAAACATATTACCCTTGAGGGACTTGACCATGGAGAGTTTTCCCACGCTGAATGGCAAATAGGATGGTAAGCTAAGTATATCAATCCTTTCAGGCCCAATATCTTACAAAAGTTTTAGGCATTCATACGACTTTCTTACTTCCACCAAGCTCGTTGCTAACTACACCGCCAATGCAACATCGAAGACTATTCTCATAGACATAACAGATAGTTCTTTCAAAGTCCTCGATCTCCCCTTCGTTGATACACATGCAGCTTCAATCCATACTGTGTCGGAATCAACGTTCACAATTATTACTTCAACCGCTTCGACACCATCTACTCTGTACCTCTGTACAATATCTGGAAAAGAAGTGACTTACAAGCAGATTGCCTGCTCTACGGAGATATCGGTTCCCTCAAATCTTATCTCAAATGCCCAGCATATAAAATTCCCTCGTATCTCATCCCCAGAGCCTGATACGGAGGCTTATGCCTGGTACTATCCGCCGCAGAATCCTGAGTATAAAGCGCCTGAGGGGGCGCTTCCTCCTCTTGTAATCTCCCTGCATGGAGGTCCTACAGCACACTCAACTTGCGGACTTGCCCTCCCCATCCAATACTGGACCTCCCGAGGATATGCCTACGCCTACGTCAATTACACTGGTTCAACGGGCTACGGTCGAAAGTTCCGTGATGCCCTCAACACCAAATGGGGTTTAGCCGACGTGTCCGACGCTGCAGACTGTGTCCATTATCTTGTCTCGCAAGGCCTAGTTGACAAAACTCGTGTAGGAATTGTTGGGGGTAGCGCTGGAGGATATGGTGTTCTACAGGCAATTTGCTCGTACCCCGACATCTGGGCAGCTTGTGTGAGTAACTACGGCATTAGTTCTCTCAGAGCTTTGGTCGAGGATACGCATAAGTTTGAAAGTCGATATATGGACAATCTTCTCTGGAATCTAGATGCATCACAAGAGGTCAAAGATCAAGTACTAGACGAACGAAGCCCATTGCTAAGAGCTGGAAGTATCAAGGCACCAGCTTTACTCCTTCAGGGCGTTGATGATCGAGTGGTACCAAAAGAGCAAGCTGAGGAGATGGCCAAGATTATCAAGAGCAACGGGGGGGTAGTGGAAGTGGAACTCTTCGAGGGAGAAGGCCATGGATGGAGAAAGCAAGAAACAGTTGTTAAAGCAATCAACTTACAGGAGGATTGGTGGAGAAGGTACTTGGTGCGGGCTTAGCCGAATATATGCCAGCATTAGGCATGTCAATTTAACTGTATCTTACGAGACGCAATCCTCGAACTTCGAACAGAAATGCAGTCTTTTCTTACGCTGATTGATAAGATAACGTCAAGTTGTGAACCCACGAGAACAAACGATTAGCAACTTCCTTGCTCTTAGTGAGCTACATCCAAACCAAGACAGTCAATAGGCTCACATGCGAGGTTGGTGAGCTGATTATTCCCTGTCCACACGACCCTTTTCCCGTCTTGCACATTGCTGTCGTTCCAACTTCCTAGAAAAGTTCCCTAGCCCGATGAGATTATTCTTGGTCTGCGGGATACGAGTCTTGGATTTTGCTCACTTTACTTTTTTTTGGTCTCTAATTACCTGAGACATCGGCTATGAAAACAAAATGATACCCACGATAACCCAGCTTCCCCACTTTTGAAAAATCCCTTTCCGTTTCTATGTACTCAACAATATCGGGTGCCCATATGTCGTGATTGCAGTGCACTGGATTTATTCGAGGGCTTGGGGGCCTTGCCCTCCTCAGCCGAACTACCTGCCCGATAAGGCTGTCGCCCGACCTGCAGAATGGCGCATTCTTGTCCGCGTGGCGAGTTAGCCAAGCGCACCACGGCGAGGTCTCGGCCGTATTTGGTAGGCGAGAACCAGGAAATCCAATGGCAAAACTTCAACGGAACCTTAAACCAGCGCTTGCGATGGGATGATCAACAATAACATTGGTTACCTAGGATCTCAAGGTTGAGTCGCCATTGAAATTGAGATAAGGTCGAGAAGGATATTGATATCAAGGTCTCTATCATCTCTGTTAATGTACATTAAGGTTGATATCACAGAAGGTCGATCCGGTCTGCCAGTTTCTGGGAGGCCACCATGCATGACTATAGCACCGGGAAACATACAAGCTTCCAACCGTTTCCCGTTTATTTCCTGACCTGTCGGGTCTCGCAAAGACGGCATATCTTAGCGGATACAGAAATTCCGTTCATTTTGCCTGTGATTGGTTTGGCGTCGAAGACCCGGGTTTATATTATCGGCGCCACCCACATGCACGGTACAGTGCACTCGACATATCCATCTAATCTTCGAAATTCACCAGCCCAAGACAACACCTTAATTCTCGAGGCGGCGCCGGATCTGAGCTCCTAAAAAAATAATTCATGGAGTCACAAATGTTGCAAAACAATTCTTTAACATAGGGTTTCTCTGTGGGATGAAGTGTTTATGTGCATATGTGCCTATCCAAAATCCGGTTCAAGGTATTAGAATCCGAATCCAGCCAGCGACAGTTAAGATCTGAATCAATCACACAAACAACACAAAAATGGCCACTCGAAAGGACTTTAAATACGCAAATAGTGTCGCTCTCTATCTGGGCTGTGCTGCAAGACACAAGTTTGCTAATGTTCGAATTCTCGATAAAATAATCGCTGTTGCCGAAATGTATGACAGGAATCCAAACACCACAGTCGCAGAAATCGCAGAATATTTCGAGGCACCACTTTATGAAATTGAAACATTTCGCCTCTCCCTTTTCCGTGGAAGTGACAAAAGCATGATGGAGATGCTTCAATATATTCGAGATATCGCCCCAATACTGCCGCACCCAAAGTTTTATCCAGCTATTATCCCATTGGTTGTATCATTTACCATAGTTGGAAGCTTAATCATGATTGCGCGGTTCTACTCGAGGTTATCGATACTGGGTCGAATTCCATCTTATGACTGGATAATGCTTGTTGGCTTCGTATGCATTCCCACCAACTATGAGCATACCCTTTTCACAAACTTACCTACAAGATTCGGACTAGGTTCTCGCGGAAGCTATAATGGGTGTCATTATCGCCGATTCCTATACATCTAGAAACGGCACCGCAAATTATGACCAAACATGGACTGATATTGCCAACGACTGCATTGTGAGTACTCAACAGTGAAATTAGTTGCAGAGTCTCCTTCATAATTGATTAACACAGTGACCAGTATTTAAACATAAGGGATGTGTTGTACCCCGTTGCCGCTCTTGTCATAAAATCCTCTTTATTGCTCTTTTATTGGCGGTTGTCACCAAATAGCAGAGGAATTCTGCGATGGGTCATAGTCGGTACTTTCATAGTATCAATGGGCAGCTGCATCCCCGCCGTAGTCGTCAATCTTGTGTATTATGGCAAGGTTGATTGGTGGAACTATATATTGGATCCGACTCTTTCTACTATTTCGTGGCTGAACTATCCGTTGGAGTTTATGATTACCGGTGGTCTGAACATCCTTACCGACGTTATCATTTGGTTAGGCTACCTTCGCTCTTGAAATTCAACATTAACTAAACAGATCCGTATAGGGTAATACCAATCATCTTGATTTGGGGCCCAATGAGGAAACGTGGGAAACCAGAAAGAATTGCAACCCTCATGTTATTTACGCTCGGTGCCGTGTAAGTCTAATCCTCAACTCGTATGGTACTCTAACCCGTTGCTTGGTCCCTAATTTTGATATGGTTTACAGCGTTTGTGTGACTGGTGCGCTACGAATAGCGACTTTTTGGGAACTCACGATGGCAGGTGGAACTGGTCCGCTGGCCAAAATCCCGATCTCTGTCTGGACAATGTGAGTTCTCCGTCCCAAATTCGAATCTCGAAAACAGATTCACTAACGCTAAAATACCCGTCCAGTATTGAAGTTCAGTTAGCGATAATATGCGCTAGCGTTCCCGCCCTTCGTGCCCTCGTAGTTAAATATTTCCCCAAGATCCTCGGAATTCGAAATTCTATCATCATTGGTTCCACGATTCGACGGAGATCACGAGCTCTATCGCGTGGCCAAGAGCTAGATACTTTCAACGACTTCGACTCAAAAAAGCGAATATCGTCGGTACCATCCGCCTCGATCCCCGCCGTGAAGTTGCACAACATCAATTCAAGGGATTCAAGATCGTCGCTGGATGCAATAGATGAGTACGTCTAGACTTAAGCTATCTTCAGAACTTATAAGCGTTTCTTTTTTGTCGTCCTATAAACATGTAATACCGTTGTCCGGGTATTTTTGTGATGATTATTGGTTTCAGGGCTCTCGTCGGTGGGAGTTATACAGGTACAGGGTGTTTTGGATCTCAGCAGTATTATAGCATATACCCACAGGTTAACGATACCCCTTTCAAACGGCTACGATTTTCTCTTTTGTTGTTTCTTTCGCAATGCCTAATATTAGTCAATACGACCTTGATTTTATTGCAATAAAGAAAAATGTGTTTGCTCCAATAGCTATCAATATTGATAGTTCGTTCATAGCTCTATACGTATATACTTAAGTACTCACTGTGCTAGAAGGAGGGGGTTTATTGATACTGTGTTAATACAGTTTTCTTTGGTTATAATACGTATTAATACGGTATTGGGGTGCCGAAGCGTTTTAATATAAGACTAGGTATTGCTGTGTTCAATACAGATTAGAGTAGTATTAGAGATGAAATTTTACTAATAACTCGGATTCGAACGGTACTGAAAAACACCACTTTTCTAGTATATCCGCGTTTAGTGCAAAATACAACGCAACACAGGTGGTCGACCGAGTTCTAACAAGGACAAGTTGATTCAGCTAGTCCTATGGTTCGGTTTGATTGAACTCAATTGAGAACGACTCAGCCTAAGGCGTAATATACTTCTTTAAAGGCCTTGGCAGGTTAGCTACTTTCTTAGCAGTATACCGGTAATGCCCTTTATAACCGCGTTCTTTTCTGTAGTAACAAGTAGCTAGTATTTCCTTCAGTTTTTTTCTTTTTTGCGGGCTAGACGTTTTTGGTGATCTATTTGTAATATTCGTCCTTGCCTCTCGATCTAGTTGCAGTAGTATTTGTCTTCCAATTTAAAGGCTTCTAATTCTTTTTGTGTGCCATTGCAGCACCACGTACGCACATACATCGCCCCTTGTTGTCAAGTCAAGCTCCTCGTTGAAATAAATGTATGTGTTCATCCCACCAACCACCGCAGCATTCACTATCGATAGCTATCTGCACCCGCACATGGCATAAGTCAATTTTGAATCGTCTCTCAAAGCGCCGCCGCACTAGAATACTAATTGCCAGTAATTGATAATCCCCTAAACGATTCCCGTCATTCCCGTAAACCCTCTAGGAAACTTACGAAGCATACGCAAATAGAAGCCGTATCAGTACATAGCTAGCTGCTTGCGTATAATCAAGGGCATTCGGCATTCATACAAGAGTTTCAGTTTTCAACCATCATCCAAGCATAACCAAGACTGGCACATCTCGACTTAATTACAACAAGACAGATTCATATTATCCGAGTTCTCTTCTTGGAACATAGCGATTCGCTCTCCCTAGGAAAGCAATACTCCCTCACCGAAAAATAAAATTCTAGGAAAGTTTACCTAAGTCATTGCTGTAACAACCCTGTAGAGCATAACCCCCAGCAGCGACTCCTGCATTCATTTCGTCGACATCAGTTGTTTAAGAAGCATCCTTTTAAAGGGAATATGTGTATTTCTCGCTGCATTTTGCCTTGACTCGCCAAAATTGTCGCATCCACAAGGGGAATCACACCGACCTAACTTACAAGCATTCCAAGCATTCCCTTGGAGACCGTTTCGAATTTCTACACCATTACCCTTCTAGGTCTGGGTACGAGACAAACCATTACCGGAAAGTATACGGTTACATTACTTTTCTTTCCGCAAGAAAGTTTGAATTCGAAAAGCGAGAGCCACTTAAGCCCTCGAGCAGCGATCTAACCTCTTTTCCGTTTCCACCGATAGCCGTGTAGCGAATGCTATTGCATGCATTGAGCAAAACAACTTTGCTAAGTAACTTGGTTCGATTTAAGATACGAATACTTCTAATCGAGGAACAGGACGCTGGGTTCACTGCCCTTCTCATAATTAACAGCGCATGTGCTTGAAATCGTGGCGTGGGGATTCGCAAAAAATTACTACACCAACATCCATACGGTCTGCCATCATGTCTTATTTTCCTTTTTTTCTTTCACCTTCGCCCATATCCATAACTATCTTAGATCGTATTATATTAATACATTCGCCCCTTTCGTTTCTTGAAGCATTCGTATTCTTTTTGATTCTTTTCGTAACAAAACCTTTACCCAAAACTTCTCTTTGCCACATTCCCTCGCTTTACACTTTTGCCCAGTATAGTAGCAACGAGAAAATTCAGCAGTCAGCCTCTCGGCCTTTCAACTATTGGTGTTTCATGTTTCATAGATCTTAAAGCTTTACGGACCTAGGAGCCGATGTAATATATAACTTGAAAACACGAAAATAAAACGCACCCTCTCTCGTGGTAACAAGGCCTTTGCGGTTTACTCTTTTATCCGGAAAGCCTTCTTAAGAATTCTTGAGGGCTACGACCGACACATGCTATAAAACGGCAAAATAATTGAGTGTCTATCTAAAAACCGCGCGTTCAAGGAGCTCGGGCTATTATAGCCCTAGACAGGTTTATAGTAATGTAAAATCCCAATCGGCTAGGGCAATTTAAGTCTCGTGCGCGTGTTACCCCTCTTTACTATTGGAATGGTGCTTGCTGATATGTGTGGGCCCATCTAGTCTGTGGTGGGTGACCAATCCAGAAACAAGAGGTTATTTGTATATATGCTGGTAGCGGCTCCATTGGGGAATGCTAGTTATCCCTCATGAGATATATCGTGGCTAATGTCAAATCAAACCGCCTGCCGTCGTGATCGTGATCGTGTGCGTTGCGATTGCGAATAAAACTCTCAATTCATGAATTGAACGTAATTAAATCATATCTAAATATCGATTAGAAACAGTTTAAGTCGTAGGAATACCGTATTTTCATACAATAACAACCAGGTGTCATACAACCCATAGCTACTTAAAGGTATATGTGGCATCGATATCCTTCTTCCTTTCAAAGCACTTTCTTGCCGTTGATTTCTATGTTACTCAGACCCCAATTGATTTAAGAGTTTCTAGATATTTATATTTTTAGGCAAAAAACGAACACACAGCTATCAAGATACCCATTGGCCCTGACACATTTAACAATTATACTTCAATCAGCTTTGCATAGATTGATCCATCTTCCTTTAGTTCCTGCCGATTTTTCCTGTCTGTCTCAGGACTATGAATATGCATAGATCGTCAGATGAGAGTGACTCTTCTGAGTCATGCTCTTTGTAAAATAAAAATTGCTCCTAGCTAGTGTAAAGCTATGAAACAAGCATCTGCATCTCATCAATGCATCTTCTTCTTATAATATTCAATATCTAGTGGCGGCCATACAATCTTTTGTTTCGGGGGCAGAATATATATCTATAAAAGAACATACAAAAAAGCAGTCGACCTCCAGCCAAAATTCATACGATCTAAATACTCAACTAGACCTAAAAAATAGCCCAAGGATTGCTTGAACCCCGTTTGATATCTTTCATATTTTCTAACTTCGTTCAATAGTCCAACATTTCTCGACAAGGGCACGTATCCGAGTTGTTCCTAGCTCAAGATTACGTAACCTAATTGTTTTTATCGACAACAGCGTCAGGTGAAATCTAACTACATGAACAAAAGCACAAAGGTTTTTAGATATAAATTCGATATATCGGTACAAACGATAGTTAGTATGTATATATAGGCTTCTAGGTCTGACTACTAGATCAATATAAAGGAAAATAACCATCCGGTCGTGTATTAAATAGGAACTAGAGAAATTCGACGAACTATAGAATCAAAAGCACAAACTGAAAAACGACTGTAATCTAAACGGAAAGAAAAGGCTCTCTACTGTGTACCATCCTCCTCTTTATCGGCTGGCCAGAAAATAAACCCGACCATAATAGCATACTTGATGGCAGCCGCAAACCACAAGACGGCAGCCATACTAGACTCCCTCATGATCCAACCACCGCTAATAGCCCCCGTCAAAATCAGCACTGCACTAGCGATTCTTTCATTCCTCTTAACATTGACAGGTTGGAAAAATAACGGATCGGCAACAAGATCTGAGTACAAACTTGTCAGGACAATAGACGGGATATGGTTGTGTCCAAACGACCTAGAAGCAACGATCTGCCCCGCGGCCTGAAATGCAAGGAATGCAAGTGGTAATAATGATATATGGTAATAAGGTGTAGGCCCAGATGCATGCAGTTGCTCTTCGCGGCCAGGAATCGGGACGACTTTGCCCTCGACTAGTGAGGCAGCAACGACGATAAGGGTCGCCTGAACAAAAAACGACGTTACCAACGTTCCTCTGAGTGTCGCTCCCACTTTACGGCTACAGAAGGCTATTGTGGCAACTCCGAACATGAAGCATCCTATCGATAAGAGAGAGCTCAGCCAACCAAACGGTTTGCTAGCTGGTTGACGAGATGCCCCGAGGCCCAAGAAAACCGTATTTCCTTGAAGTGTAAAGATCGTAAGAATGTAGAATAATAATGTAGATCAAGGGACGAAACGCTAACCTGTTTGCATGCTAATGAAACAGCTCCACGCATTGTATGCGGCACTATCCGTTAATCCAGAGACATAACTGGTGGCAAGGACAGGTATTGACGTCCAGCTCTTATCGATTTGCGTTGCGTTGTATTTCCGAAAGCGGTTCAGTATGCTATCGGGCGATGAAGGGGAAGTCCAACCTTCTTCAACGTCTTTTGATTCTGGGTCCGTCATTGGGTATCGAGCTGTTCGTAATTGAAATTACCCGATGATAAGAGGAATGCTGCGAGCGCACAATGATTAAATATAAGGTGTTGTCTCGTCGCTAGACTCAACTGCGTGTAGTTTAGGGTGGTCAGATAATTCTAGGAACCAAAAAAATAAAACGAGTCAGGGTCCTCCCGAATTTATAGTAAAAAGGTCAAGATGAAGATTTTAAGGTTGCCGGAGCTCCCGACTGGCTAACATCACTCTTGCCCTCAACCATACTTCAAGATCCGATCAAAGGCCGAAGTTTAGCGTGGGTGTCAGTGGTTGGATTCTCGATGGCATCATCGGCTTGGCAATGCCATCCCACGCAGCACGCAGCTGGAGAAGATACGAGATTCCACGCGAAATTGGAGAGCCCTCAGCTTGTCTAATAATCGGGTTATACCTAATCATTTACATAGAATAACTAAACACTTTTCCAACGCCCTTGCCTAATTGAGGATTTCAGGGGGAAAAAATTTAAAAGAAAAAAAAAAAAAAAGAAACAACCCCCATCTAGCCTTGCGCTCGAGATGCATCTACATCGTTTCGTCAGGGCCTATTTTAAATATATGGCTCTGATTCGCTAAATCTAGTCGCTCACGTGCGACGTTGTCAGATCTATGGGTCTTCGTAACATAATCATCTCAGTAGCAAAAGCGACACGACTAGAAATCCTATATGTTTCCATAGTCGTGGTGGTAGCAGCGCTGTAGCGGGGCTACTTGTACCTGTTTGCTTGCCGTACGTAATATCGATTGTGCTTGTCGCCATTATAGTCATTGCCCAAGTCCCCACGGATGGGACACTATCTTTCCCTATTCCAATTTCGACGATATTCTGTCCTACTGGATCAAAATTTGTTTGTGCCATTGCCACTCTCGCGTTGTCGAGATCATAAACAACGTATGCTACAAGTTTTTAACATGAGTCAGGAAGTGAATAACCCAAAAGATTTATTGTAGGGGTTTTGGACTGACCAGACCGTAGAAATGTATCACCAAAGAGACATACAGTTTCCTTTGGAGAACTCGCAATCCCCAAGGCACAAATATCCGACCCATCCAGATTCTTCGCCATGCCACCCGAGTACTTCGTCAGGGGCAGTATCAACTCCGTCATTGGTACTCGTATAGTGAGGGTGTATGAAAAGGAGTACTCCACATAAACATCATCTGTCGGGTAGTTGCAATCAATGATGTAGAGATTAAGCTGGTGGGAAAGCTTTGCACCGGTTTGATTCGCGATTGACCAGGCTAAAGGGTGGGGTAGAAAAGTAAGACTGCTTCCAGAGTCCAGAATGACGGTTGCTGGGAGGTATCTCGAAGTAAAATTGACATGCGATTTCCCGTTTGAGAACGCGACAGCAGTCAGGGGAACAGCGAAGGCAAGTGGCTCTTCTTGGCCCGGTGCGACTTCGATAGGTATGCTCGTAAGCTGTCCTGTGAACCTTTCACTATCAATGCCACCAAACAATATCGAGCCCGTGTCAGAAGCTAGCGAAGACTTTGTCAGTATACAAACATATATATGTACTAAGCCAGCTCGACGGACTCTACATACCAAAATCATCCAACCATAGGCTGAAAGCCTTAGATTTGATTAACCCTTGCGTAACCATCTCCCCCAGGAGACTGGGATAGATCCCCATACCTCCAGGGGAGTTGCTCGCCTGGTCAGCTTCAAACCCAACCCCTAAGATCCCGTATGATAGGTTTGCCGTGGTCGCAACCCCGATTTGCATACCCTCGACGGTTGCCCCGCCTACGGTAAATGTATCTTCGGCATAGTCACCCTCTGCACCAGTGCCGTCCGCATATAAAATACCAAAGCGATCTTTCCCTAAGAGCTTGAATGTTGATGAGGCGTCTCGATTGACTAATAGAAAAGGATCAATGTTAGGTGTTGTGGTGGAAGTAGACTTAACAGCCTAAATGTGACCTACAAGATCCAAAGCTGCAATCTGTATTCCAAAGATCGTAATCAGCAGGGCCATGACAGGCAGCGAGAGACTCCGAAAGAACCCAGATATCTGAACTGGCTGTGTCTATTTGCAATTGCATCGACTGCGGCGGGGTTCCAACGGTGACATTGGCAAGATAGAGAATGCCCTAGAGGTCGCATGGATATTTAACATTACTATTCGGATACATGAGGCCGCACAAATCTTCATTGGGTGATATAAAGTACCTTGTTCTCAAGCAGTTGGTGTACAATATCGTCTGGGAGATCATCCGAAGCGTCGCCGTCGTCTCTCGATTCTAGACGTCGCCCTTCGATAAATTCATCATCAAGAACGACGTTTCTATATTCAAAGGTATTGTCGCCTCGCTTCAACGGGCGCGGCTGGTGCTTTCCAGGCGTTCTTATCCCGTACTTCTGAAACGGGATTGGGAAAATCGTCGGTGGACTTGCGATTGCCAAGGTTATTCGGGTAAGGAATAAGAATGCAACCAGGGATTGAGCGAGTCCGCTGGAAGGCCGAACATGTGTTGTCGTGTGTGCAGCCGCCACAGACCTCATCGTTTTGCCGCTTCCACCAGAAAGTAGACCCGAGAAGTCGCTAACGGTAGGGACAGCATTGGTCACTGGAGGAGAAGGTTTGGAAATGCTAGTTAGTCAGAAAGTAATGCTTAGAAGAAGTGCACCGGAAGTAAATCGACCAATGACCTACCAACAGTCTCGGCTACAATGGTACCCAAAAGCACGGTTCTTGGGAACAGTCGAAGGAGATCATATCGAGGTATATAACAAAATCAATATCGAGAGAGAGAGGGGGGAGAGGGAGAGAGAGGAGAGAACCGGGATGGAACAAAATTTTAAAATGGCCGGGTCAGAGGCGATTACATATATTTCCAAGAGTACAACTAAAGAATGCCGCGCTTCAGGTTCCTTGCATCCGTTTGAATCGTCGTTTGATTGCGAAGGAAAGAGGAAGGAATCCGAGGAGTGATGACGAGTACTCTGCGCTAGACAGGGGCCAACTTTATCTTGATGAATGCCGAAACCCGAGAAACCCCAAACATTCAAATCGATAGCATTTCTGGAGCTCATGTTCATGTTCCATCCCAAGGGCCCCGAGAGTTTGGCAAGGGGAGCCGAGAGTCGTGGCACCCCCGCGATTCACAGATATCAAAATGCTACCGGCCTTTTCATGTCGTTGGGTGACGCGTCCCTGCCTTGTAATCAAAGTCAATGATCCGATCCAGCAACATGCATATGGCTGATGTCCAGATTGAATTTTCCCGCCGTCGATCGTCAATTCAAGAATAAAGTCCGCTATCACAACATTAACTTCTAAATTTTATTCCATATGTTAACTTACCTTTTTGTCAGTGTATTATAATTATCTTAAGTATATACTTTATATAAGTATGTATATGCCATCACGTCCAGTTAGGTAGAGTTAATTTAACATTGACCACTGGCCGTGAAGTCCAGCTCAGGTTAACCGGGGACTGATCTGAGAGTGACCCCATGCGGTATGCATGCCCGTAACGACCAGCTACGGTACCTATAACGTTATTTTGTTACCTGGAGTTCTGCCCTGCCGAATGATCAAGACTTAATACGGGGCCGCGTCACTATCTGCAAGCCGACACCCACAATTTGTGTTCCTCGAAAGTCTTCCCTGCGAAATCTCAACTCTATCTGTACATGCACGTGCAGGCCAGATCGCAGAAGTTCGTATCCCACAAGATTCAATATATACTGCGTTCTCATCCAATTAGTTGGGTATCCGGTAGAAGCGTCAACTGGTTGTTAATTCGAAATCTCAGGGGTGCATAAGCTTGTAAGGGATGAATTTAAGTCTCACCCAAACCCGGATTGCACAATCTTCTGACCGCATCTGTCGACATGATGTAAATTCCAACACCAACTCGAAATATTCGCCGGATAAGCATGTACACTAAGTAAGCAAGCAAGTACCTATACATATGTCTACAATGCAAAGTAGATAATGGACACCGGCACCATATGAAGGGTAGGTTCCTGCCGCGACCTCCTTTTAAGCCCCTCAAAGTCCAATTAATCCAACACCGCAACTTGTTAAAAATAAGGATATTAAACCGTTTTTTTAAAAAAAATCACATACAGTCTTTACGAAGAATAACATCTTTCAGCTCGAATTAATTAGTCGCAGACTTACTATACATAAATCCAAAAATGCAACATAAATAGGCAGATAAACTCAATTGCCTAAGAGGTAGTCATTTGCGATAAACTAACCCGTCCCACCTCCCGAGCGCAATAAACCCATCCTCGAACTCCCTAGGCCTATCTTGTCTCTCATAACAACTTTGTGTCCTGTTGATTTGTAGACTCCACATATCATCCCCACCCTGCGTCGCAAACTCCTTCTTTCTAAAGCTATTCCCTGTATACTCCAATCCCTTTGGTCCGTCCATTAAGGGTCGCCCAAGTTCATCAACCGGTGGCTTTATTCTTCGACAAAAGTCAAGCCTGGCAACTTGGTCCTGATGCCTGCTAATATAATTCGTATAGATCTCCCTCGCGATCTTGGCAATATAGGAGCAATTGATATTAACATTCTCAGTGCTTTTGTTGCAAAGGAAGATACCGGCGGTGCCAAAACATGATTGTAAGAAGCATCCGGAGGGTAAGGCCATGCATTTGGAATCGACAGGGAAGGAATCGATTATTTCTACCGCTGGGAGGATGTCTCCGTAAAGCGCCCCTGTTGTTGAACTATTCCCTTGGTCGTGGCAATCGAATGACTGTCCGTGCTGAATTGGATTAACGACACCGGCTTGTACCGCTCGTTGGTGCGGTTGCACCGGGTTTACGGGAATTTCTTTTATCTCATATTTATGGTCTTCGGATTCCAGGCTTTCGAACATCAACTATTACACGTTAATGCCCTGGTTAACTTCTCGTATCACGTATATGCTATGCAGTATGAAAACTCGGTTTGTAACAAAATCTTACAATATCATCATCTGGCCTTTTTGCAGCGTTGGATTCGCAAGCCTCAAAGTTGAACCAATCGCATGGCCCCGCCAAAGTCACTTCCTCCATACCTCCGTCTATCCAATTCACAAAAGCTCGAAGTTTGGGAACCTGGTGCCAGACAAATCTGAACATTAGTAAATGTCAAATACATATCCCAAATATTAAATAAGGAATTTGGTAAGTGGTGCATGGTGCATACCTGGCTCAAAATCTTCTCCCCAAATCGAATCCCTTCCACCATTACCACCCAATACTGGATCCACAATGCCGCCACGACATTTACTAGAAACACTGAATCTAAAGGCCATTCCTCTACATTCAGCCCTCCAAAACCAAATACACCCGACACTGTCAGGTTAGCCGTAGTAGGCGACATCAATGAAGTCACCGGAATACGCATATGCCCACTGCGCTGTTGTACTATTAATACTGTCGTCTAGACTCGAAGCCTCTTACTCGATTAAGCAGCTGCTGGATATCCCAAAACTTCAACTCCTAGATTTGACCACCTAAAAGATCGCTATAAAAATTGAAGCAAATAAATAAATCTCATGTTCTTGCTGCCTTTTGTCATCAGATATTAAATTAAACTTAACACCATGGCAATAATACGGTCTTAAGCTTGATCTAATCCCAAGTCCCGACCCAAACGCACAGCATATCGCAACTGTTTCAGGGTGTTCACGGACTAATACCTAACCATATACTTTGAAGTTGGTTTTCTTGGCTATACGGCGCAGGCCCTCTAATTACTGGTAATTATAGTACCCCAGGAGTCAACCTCATGCGAATTTGACAACAAAATGTTGGACCGGCCCTAGAGACCAGGCGCAGATGAGGGCAGGGGATCAGCCCATGTGTTTTTTTCGTAGCGAACATACTTAGGCATGGGGCGTCTGCTCTAACGCCGTTGTAATCTTTGACAGGAAAGTGTTATAGCGTTGTTGAATTGCATGAAGTGCATAGCCTCCGCGCCGTCCCACAAAATGCTCCTTCGGTGGCCAGCCCAAATATAATCGAGAGGCAATATAATGTTGTAAATATTTCTTGCACGCTTGCGTTGAAATGTCGCAAGCGGCGCAAAATACTGAGAATTTGCCATTGGCTTGGTCTCATTGGCATTGGCCCATACATCGTGTGTTAATGCTACTATACAAGAAACTCCGCCGTATAATTAATTAATTGATCACGACGCCTAAGTAGAAGTGACCACGCCAACTTGATAAAAAGGAAACACAGCACTACCACAGTCTCGCTGAAGAAGAAAATGATTGCTGGGGGGTGGTCTGCACGACCGTGAAAATGGGACCCGTAAACAACCGAATCCAGTTCGAATGGATATCATGCCTACCTGCAAGAAAGAGAAAAAAAATACAAATCATAAAAAAGGTCGTGAATCGAAAGCATACGCCTAAAGCTCCAAGCAAGGAAATGAACATTGATCGTCGTAATATGTCATGATAGCTAATATCACTACTCCGGGATATTACCTGGCATCTCCACCCTAACGGTCCTCCCGTTGGGCTTCTTAACGCTAGGAGGAGTAATCCGAATCGCTGGAACCCTTGGGGCCGCTGGCATCTCGACGGGAGCAAATAGTTGTTCCAATTGCTGGTCAATATCACCGGATCGGGGAGGTGGGCTCATAATGGATGCAGCTGCTGTCGGTTGAGTTGGAACGTCACCTGGCATCTCGTAATATACGGTGGGCACAGGTCCATTGGCCTTAGCTTCCATCTTGAGGCTATCTGAGCCCATTCCCATGGCTTTCTTTTCTTCCGCCATGATACCACCATCAGCAGCAATCTTCTTCTTCCATTTGTCCCTCGTAAGCTTGGCCATCCGCCTTGCACATTCCTTCATGTCGGTTCCAACTTCCGGCCCAGCAAGGTAGACTTTTGTGGCCGTACTAACTTCACTCAACCGCGACCATTCGTTTAGAGCAACCTCGCCAACACCGGCATCCACGTTGAACCTGAAATATCTATTTTTGCTAATCCCATATCTCGTCAACTCCTCATTTAGAACATACTGATGTGTCGTTTCGCAGTAGTCGATTTTCGTCATTAATCGTCGTCTAGCCTGCGTGAATTGATCCAAACTTGTCCCAAGATTTTCCCACCATTGGACTTTGTTGTCTCCTTCCCGTGCTCCTTCGGGGCGTTTTCCGGTTCCGAGAGACACGATAAGGCCAACTTCTCTGCCTGGCCACTCGTTTACACACGCTTCCTCGAGAACCGTTGGTGTCGGATTATATCGTCCGGTCCCCTCGTCTAAAAATACATCCTGGTTAATACGGATAGATTTGAAAGCTGCAAGCGTGGCACATGTGGCGCGACCAGCTTGCCAGATCCGACAATCGGGATAAGACATAGATTCGACACCCGATGAGTATGTTCGGAATATTGCAGGCGTTGAGTCGCTAGAGGAACCTTTGTAAACTGCCGTTATCATACTAAATGGGTCGCATGGTCAGTATTGAAATTTACCGGAACTTGAGGCTAAACAGAAGACTTACGTTTTGCATCTGCCCTTTCTCTTATCATGCATCAGCGCATCAGCATTTCCTTGGCGGAGTTTTCTCCCACCCTCCAGTGAGGCGATCCTGCTAGCTTCTGCGATCGCTTTGATACTATCTGTTCTCCCCATAAGACTCATTCGTCGCTCGAGCTCCTTTTCTTCATCTTCGTAATGGCCTCCACTTGGCTCTAGATCCCAATCCTCGTCCTCTGAGTTCATCTCCATATTTAGGTCGAGATGATCGTGTTTCGTTCTCTCATATACAACTGTTCGAATCGCTCTCTCCAGTTTAGAGGCTTTGTATAAAGTTTCGCCATAAGGGATTCCGACAAATCGTTTATCTGTTTCAAAAACATAGCGGGTCATTCTGGTATAGACGTCTTTGCAAGTCTGGACTGACATCCGAAGGCGACCCAGCATAATGGCAATTAGGCCCCCCGTACCAGTCCCTCCAATAAGATCGAATACCTCGCACGGCTTTGTAACCTCTTCTCCGCGTCGGGGTGCGCGACCGTGAATTTCAACGAAAATATCATGCATGAGGGCCTCGAGGAGAAGTAGTGTAGAGTATCCACGGATCCCACCGCCATCTGAGTCCAAGAATGTTGTTAGTCATTGTCAATCATACAATACTATGGAAAAATGGAATCAAATAGACAGAAGTGAGTGGGTATTACCTAGCGAAAGAATCCTTAAACGTGATCTCGCGGCATTCTTAGATCTTCTTAATCGCTCCATTTCACCAAGGTGAGCTTTACCCTTTGTGCTTTTCGAAGCCCCTCGTGGCCTCTGCGCCCTAGCATCACTTGTCGCCTGCGACTGCGATAAGCTTATCTGGCTCATCTGAAGATTGGAACTACTTTGCAAATTGTACACTGGGTTTTGGGGCGGAGATTTTGGTGGTGGTACAGGCGGTGAATCATCAGCCCTCGGAGGGAGGAAGGTAGATGACGAAGAGGGCGGGATTTGCGACGGGGGGCCAGGCCATCGTTGGTCGTCAGATTTTCTCCTGTGCGTATCCTCTGACAGTGAGGGTAGTTGGGGTATTCTCGGCAGAGAACTTGATGCCGGATTTTGATTGACTCTAGAAGGAACATTATGCCTCTCTTGTCGGCCATGATCGTTTTGTGTCGATGTATGTTCGCGAGGGGGCAGAGGCGGTAGATTTGAAGTATTCGGATGATGATGGCCGTCTGGTAAGTTTGGCAACTTTGGTGGCCTAGGAGGAGGGGCCTGAGAGGAGGACGATGAGGAAGGACCACCGGCCTGAAAATAGTTCGATTGCGCTGGAGTTGGAGTCGCGGGAGGAGTGACGGGGTAGGGAGGCACGAAGCCGGTTGGGTTGGGGAGCCTCCCAGCCATGGCTGGCTGATAGACGTAGTTTTCCTTATCGGCCGGACGAATTCTGTTATCCAAAAATATCAAAGCTAATATGCTGTTGGCGACACTATCGGAAGAGTATGAAAAGCTAGAATCGAAGGTGGCGATGGCGGTTGATGGATAGAAATGGAAGGCTGGAGGTTGTGATGGATGGATGACTGAGGATAGGGTAATATTGGTTCAAAGGCTGGAGGCAAGGTAAGGCAGTAAGACTGGCGGACCAAACCCGCCGCCCAGCTCGTTCGGCTTGGCGAATGCAACAACAATCAACCCAGCTGCTCAGGCACATATGCATGTAGGTAGTAACGTACTACATGAACTCGGAATGCATCAAATGAAACGTCAAAATTGAAAGGCGTTTTCAGCACTGAATTCCAGATTGGGAAGATATCCTTTTTTCAAAGTGAAGCGTGAGGCGGGTCGCAAGGTATGAACGTGTACGCCAAAGCTACGGCGCCTGAAGCAACTACTTCGAAACTAGCAACTGCTTGAAGCTGTAGGTCCTAAGAATAATTCAACGATCAAAGGTAGCACAGATAAATCCGAGGAGGGGTTTGGGTTATAAACGGCGACGGGCAGCCAGACGTGTCGCGGCTTTGTGGCTTCGTAGGATACATAATCTAACAATAATAGTCTATATCGAACCTACCGCCATCCGCCTCTCTCTTTTTCGGTAAGCTGCCTTCTAAGCTCTCTTCATCTACCCCATATTCTCGTATAGGATGGAAAGGCTAAGCCTGGGTTCGTAGATCTCACCAGCGTCCTAAAAACAGACTACGCTTCCTTTCGCAGAAAGGATATGTGGAAACGGGAACAGATGGCATTCTTCATCAAGCACGGAATTTAACGCTCGCATCTAGAAGAAAATATAGCAGGACAAGGTTAGTCCGGTGAATGCAGTATGAAAGTCCTCAGGTACCGTCAGTTATTGCGTTCCCGCTCCATTCCTTCAACCTTGCCGGACACCGACCCAGAGGTGTGTGGCCATCCGTTGACTTTCCGGCTGCCTCGATCCAGGCCTGTCTACGTCATCCTAGCTCTCCAAGACCCTTGACCTCCCCTTGGCGGTCCAGGATGACTAAAAAGATTTGTCGCTGAGCCAATCGTAATTCATAACCAGAAAAGGAACAGTTGCCAATGATTGGCCTAGCCCACACATGATCCAACAAACCTTGCTCTATATATGCATATGCATGCTTTGACTTGGGCGGTCATTATCTCATTCTCTCTAAGAGCCAGAGCTTCCAGATCCAGCATAATTGGACGGAATGGTTCACGGGCCATTGATCTGTTCAATTTTGAACCCAGTGTTCTATTATTTGAGACAAGGCAATGGCAAAATATCCACAATGCAATAGGCAAATTTAATTGATGCAATATAGCATCAATATTTCAACTGTGGCCAAAACTGTGGCTGGTGTAGAACCAAGCTCCTTTGATAATATATGGAAACAGGATTTTTATCGGAACCTCCGGGGAACGCGACGTTTGCTGGATGGATGGATGGGTGGATGGACGGATAGCTTCTGCTAGATGTTCGTACTTCTAAACAAATGTCTACATAGTTCAGGTTATACGGAGTTATCGTGAAGCCGCCAAAGCTAAGTCACTTGACCAGACAATCTCGATGGAAAGACTGTAGCAAATACTAGCTGGACTATAGAGACCCCGAATTTCACGAAAGGCAAATTGAAAACTATTTGTATGCATCCAGCAAAGATAAGTATGCGAGCGTCTGGCCCCGAGACTACATTTAGGGGTGGTCTCGAGGCTAATTTAGGGGTGTATGTGAGCTTTACCCAGTTGCATGCAATATTGGGAACCAATGGTTTAGCTTAGAGCTGGTCAGAAGCTAGGCAGTCGATTTAGATTTCGTAATCGCCTCGAAATCATGGGCTCGACTCGCAAGGTATTCAAGGGCCTCCACCATAGCTTCTAGTATACCCCCCGGCCGCGTCTTTAAACCCCAGATCTAGATAGTAGCAAAGAAACTCGCCATTTACAGATCTCCTTTGATCCAACCGGGGCTCTTCTGTCAACTTCATAGATCCGTACTTGAGCTTTAATCCAATACGCAAGATAAATCCGTTAAGATATAAGACCGTGGAGATATAAGATAAGTTCACAACGTTGATCACTATATTACGATCTATATATTCGGGCGTTATTGTTGGTGCACCTGCTTATTCGTATGTATTATAAGTTCACGATCGTATAAGCTCCCACAGAGCATGCAATTTAGCCAAGGGTAAAAGTCTAGTAAGCGGTAGCTCCAGCTTGTCTCGTCGCGAGACTCCTCAACTGTGCTTGAGCACATAGCAACGTGAATTCGCGCAGCTCAATTTTGGATCTCTCAACCTTTGTAATTACTAGTACACTAAAACTTCCTCCAAAAACAACTGTATTTGAGGGATATTCAAGGTAACTTTGGAGCACACGAATGGAACCACGTACACCCACCAAAGAACATGATAACCATGGTCTTGCTACATATATAAGAAAGTGTGGTGTCGCCAGGCAAAAATTGACACGGGAACCCTGTAGGCCTCTGGTACTGTTAGACTTTGTCCAACCTTGTGTGATATCTACTTAGTAGGTACCTAGGTAACCATCATAACGTTAGGCCGCCAGCTGGTACACCGGTGGTTATATACTGTCCCTATTGAGCATATTTGCTTCTCTCAATATTAATACTGAATAGCCCTCTAGCCCCAGGTATCTAAACATATAATAGAGGTGGGGATCTCACTTACCAAGTATCAATTAAATTCTGTAGACATGTTCGAATGCACAATTATAGTAACAATCGGCTACCAACCTACAAAAAAAGAGGACCATGTCCTTCATGCTTCAACTTACATCTGTGTTGCCTGTGCCATTTCAGAAATCAAGCTTTCCGACAAGACGCTTCAGGAAACACAAGCTTTCTAGCTTGCCCTGCTCCATGCAAATGCAAAGATGTTAACATCACGACCCACCAGGCCACTTTTTACCCATTTTATGACACTTGATCGGATGGACAGGCGGCATTTCACTTGAAGCATTAACAAGCTTGGCTGCCTTGCCAGGCCCAATACAGATATCTATTCCCTGAATCACTAACTTGGTAGAGTTGATAACGTAATGCATCAGCTCTCAGCCCAACTAGCTTCGTCACAATCCGCGCAGTACTAATGTTTCTGCTCCAATTGGGGGGATTTCATACAGCCGTAATCAATGGGCTGAACCTATTGTTCTTCTCTTCGGAAGTATAAAGAAAAGCTTATTATTCCCACGTCCTTCAAGTTAAGCACCACGATCTCTGGTTTACAGACATAATCGTTCTTTGATCGGATCTAAGGTTTCGAATCCGCGAACCGAATTGAACGTTGAACCTACGTCCCAATTCAACCCATATAGGGCCTCGTTCCCAGACATCACAAAGAGCAAGAACGTATCCATTTTTGAAAATACCACACCAACACATGCGTCACTCATGGCCAACCCCTTCCACGTTCTGATCGTAGGTGCGGGTTCCGCCGGCCTCGCCGCTGCCGTCCTCCTCCACAAGACCCTAACAACCCACTCTCTCCCCTTCAGAATCTCCATCTTCGAACTTCGCTCTGGTCCATCAACTCTAGGGGGCGCCATCAACCTCACTCCTAACGCCGTCAAACTCCTCGATCACATAGGAATCCTGAAAGATCTCAAAAATTCAGGATGTTCTGTAAAAACAATAGAAATAATTTCCTCTCGTACCCTCACCCCACTCGGAAATCTGACCTTCGGAGACGTAGACCGCTATGGCGCCAACAGTCTACGTATCGCGCGTAAAGATCTTCAAGCAGCTCTCCTCGCTAAAGTCGCAGAATTGGGGATTGAGGTTCTATTCTCCAAACGGTTAGAAAATATAGAACAAACGGCAAATGACATTACGGCTTTATTTATCGACGGATCTAGTGTAATTGGTGATATCCTTCTCGGCTGCGATGGAACCCATTCCGCCGTCAGGAAATGCATCGATCCCGACCGTAAACCAATCTATACCGGTCTCTCGAACACTTATTCCTATGTCAACCCAAAGGACTTGTCTTCACTACCACTCAAAGATACATCCGCGATCATCCAATGCCGTGTTGGATCTCTCCTTCTAACGTGGAGCACCCCATCCAGATCCGAAAAGCTATTCTGGGCGGCGGTAATGGAGGTCCCTGCACCCCAAGATCTGTCAAAAGATGGGTGGAGAACCATGGGCGATGATGTCACAAAGATGAAGCAGAGAGTAAAAGATACATATTGCTCCGAAAGAGATCCCCAGATGGGATTTTTCGCTGATTTGTTGGAGCAAACGAACGACGATGTATACTTTTATCCCGTATGGAAGCTCGAGATGAGTGATAAATGGTGGGAAGGAAGGTGTTTATTGCTTGGGGATGCAGCCCATGCTGTAAGTTCTGCTATCTTGTCTAGTATTCGAGTCGATTATATATACTAAGAGTTTCACAGATGCCACCATTAGCACAGGGTGTTGGATTAGCCGTTGAAGACGCCGCTCTTCTTGATAAGTTACTAAACGCTCACATTCAGAACACTAAAAATGCAAATAACGGGGATATCAACATGAAAGAAGTACCTTGGGAGGATATCTCCAAACGGCTAGTAAAAATCAGAATGCCAAGAGTAAAAAAGGATTACGACCGATCAGTTGGCGGGTTTGAGGGATTGAAGGATAAAGGATGGTTCGCTGCGGCGCTTAAGGACTGGCTCGTATGGTTCTACCTATGGGCGGTAGGTGTCAAGTTCGATGAGGCTTTCAAGTATGATGTTATGAAAGAGCTCCTGGATTAAAGTAGCTGTTGGTTGTCTTGCTGTTTATTCAAATTTCGGCGCTTTCCTTCAATTTTCTCAAGTTTTTATAGCTTATTTATTTTATTCATAACATCATCATCACCGGAAAGTTCTGGACTTGGGTAATATTCTCTTTCATTGCAAGAATTACAATTTTTATATTTAAAACAGCCGTCCTGAGAATGATAGAAATTCAAGAGCAAGACCTATCCCCACCCCTCACAAACGGGAGTGAATAACACTAGATCTATAAAAACCTGGCAAAATAATGAAGTTCGAGTTTCTAAACAGCGGCAACGTGGCCTCGACGTCCAAACCGTCGTTTCTCACCGACAACAACTGGTTCGCCAGCAACGTCACGCTTGCGAGCCAAAAAGAACGAGATAATCATTGTCAGGAAGAAAAAGATACTAGAATTCAATATTTAGTATTGTATATATAATACGATTGTAGAAAAAGATAGTAGGGTGATCGGCTTACATTTGAATGATCAATAAAGCGGCAGCTAATCGGATCAAGTTGCAGTTCCTGAACTCTCCGCTAGTGGAGAACCTGTCACTACTCTCTCTAGTGTAGATCAAGAAAACGGCCAACGGGTTTCTAGAGCATCGAATGTGGTAATTGTGACGGAACAGAATAGTAGAGGCGATATATCCGACGAAGAGAGCAAAGTCGGCGATAGCGCTCACAATCTGAAGGGCACCTTTGAGACAACAGATAGTGATAATCGAGAAGGTGGTAAAAACGATAGCGGCAGCCGAGAAGCCAAGAGGAACATCGACAGCATTGATACTGGTGTATCTAGCCTTCTTGATTTGGTGATGGAACCAAGCAAAGATGCCAGTGAGGATGACGGCAAAGGCGAACTGGAAGAATCGAAGGCCCCAGAGACCAAACTTTGAGATAGAGGAACCGATAGCCATTGTGAATGAATTCGTTAACGACTTTGGGGAATTAATTGGCGGCAATGGATGTTTTGCTTGATTGGAGGTTAAGGTAGACGTTCTTGATGAAACGTTTAGGAGCTTGCTGGCTGCGAACTAGTTGAAATCCAAATACCACGAGGATGCCGTGCGATAGATTCGATGTGATCCAAAGCTAGTGAGGCAAGCCTTTGTGGGACGGTACTAATTAGAGCGGGTTTAAAGGGAGATACTTTCTCAACTATAATGAACAATTTCGAGGCTGGCCAGCTGGAAGGATGACGAGGAGCGGTTTTGAGAACTATATATGCACCCAGAACACCACACCAACCATCCGATATCTCTATCATGAATGACGAAGAGTCGACTATCGGTACACGATTACGAGTTCTTTGCATTCTAGTCAGACGTCATTCACTTGCCCAGGTGGGATTTACGATTCGATGACAATGCCGTGACACAAACATCACCGGCCACTTTTTCAATTGTTCGGGCGGTAATGTTGCTCTAAGCGAAAAAATAAAATATAAAAAATAAAAAAAACCAGTGGCCATAGCCGAATGATATCACATTCTTTCAATTCTCCAACCGCATGCCGGAATTGTTCTGTACGTTTCAACGCGGAGACCCCTGCATTCTATGACAGTTTAACGACGATAGCGTCCAGTTGTCGAGACATTCACGTCTACAAAATTGAATAAAATTTTGGAACGGAAGCCGAATTGAGGAAACCCACCTCAGAGCAGCCAAAGAATTCCATGTCAGCAGGTCCATCATTAAACAGTCACCCGAGGGCGGCGGTGCCTTTCAAGGCGGATTAGTTAGCAGTCAGTGACTGGAATTAGCACCCGCTCCATACAATGTCTTTCCTCGCATCGGATCGGAAAATTCAAGCGTGACCAATTATGTAATTCCAAGGGAACATCGACATGACAGGGGACGATACAGGATTTTAGGGTGTCCCAACAAGAGCTCGAAATTTCGGAAAGTTGTTGCCGAATGTCTTGGAAGGCTTGGTGTAACGGCATGCAGTTAGAGCTCACCGATCCGGCACAATCCGGAATGCAGAACAGGGTATGATGCCATTCCCTAAGATGGCTTTTTGGTGACGATTCTCTATGTAATCAGGGCTTAACGAGCGCCTTCCAAGTTTCCCGGAAAGAAAGAAAGAGAAAGACAATTCTTTTGTGGTCGTGCCGGCCTTGTCCAGCATCAAGCAGGTACCGGAACATTAACTTGGCAATCCGGCGTGTTTTGTGGCTGTCGAAGCCCCGGTATTGCATTGGCAAACATGGAGCGCCGCAGAGAGACAGCAGCTAGTGGCGTTAGATTTCTAAATGCGCCTCGTTCGATTTGACTATTACTAACAAACAGCTTAGCTTTGACTTTTAACTACCGAGACCACGAAACTTTCTACTCGAATCACGTAAGCCTAGTATAGCCCAGTGCATGTTGACGACCAGAGTTGACGTAAGGTGGTGCTAATCTATTTAGGGTGGTCAATGAAGCTTTGAAGGTTCCCTGAGCCGGTGATCTCAAATCTATTTTTTTAGGCTCTTCTATAACGTATATAACGTCTACGTAGTAGGACGAGATATATCATACGACACCTTATAATTACCAAAGATGAACGCTTTGAAACAGATTTAGATATAAAGCTAGCTAAGTTGTATCCGACCACGATGCTATTATACTGGATATACATTGCTTGCCACCGACAGGTATATAACCCCCAGTTACTACCCCCCCCCTCCGCAATACCTCAAAGAACATTCACACAAGTTGGAAGAGGGTCGTCTTCCAGAAAGCACTGCCTACAATCCTTAAGATTCTCCCATCCAAAGCTGGCTCTACTCGACTTGCCCGAAACACTGGCAACTTCCATAATCTCATTCTCATTTGTAAAACACTGGTCCTTATTCGGGTTCTTCCCATCGACAAATCCATAATAGCAGGGACAGACTATAGGGCACCTTTCAGGCTTTGGTGGGCATCCCTCTCCAGGATTTCGACAACCAGCTGGGTTGTTTCGAGCTTTGCAGTGATAAATGAAGAAGTCGATGGAGTTGTATTTGTTGTAGAGGTTATCCCATAGGCGCTGAAATCTCAAGAAAGCATATTAGTAACCGATACCACGCAGGCTTCTCCAGCTTCATTTACAAATATGTACATACCCTGATGTTATTCACGGTTCTATCCACTTCTATTATTGCCGCTTTGGTCAACGCAATTATAGCAGTATTTTCCTTCGCACCGGGCACTTTAACTGTGCTACGACAGACAGCAGCCCCAGCTGCTTCACGAGCAGATATTACGGCGTCGAAAAACTAAACAGAGTAAAATAAGCACAGATCTTACGCGAACTAGCTGGTACGGTGTATATAGGTTATCTAGCCACACTACTGACATTTTCATATTCCCTAAGGATAGCCTTTCTCTCAGGACAAGTCCGTGCTCTTAGCAGTCCCGGTGTTCCAGGATAAAATCTCTGAGGGTTAACAGCCGGGAACAATGTCTTTTCCATATATTTGTTTAGTCTTTGCAGCTGAAAAGTAACATTACCCGAAATATCAACAGCTCCTATCAACTTTGGCGTCCTGTCGAACTCCGCCTTGATGTGGTTTGTGAGAGTGGTTACATCTTGGAGGGCAAATTTTGGAAGTATTTTACCATCCAATCCTCGCTTGCCCCCAAGTTGACACAGAGCCGTGGGCGCAAAGGCTAGCAAGCTGAAGTAACAGACGGTGAAGACTTTCATTATGAGAGACTAGGTCTTGTGAGATATATCGGTGAGGATTTGTAAAGATGAGCGAACAGCAGAGTACAGTATTTGACCAGCGCTGTGGGAGAAATGCCTCTTCTTATACTATTTTCTATCGTGAGCCCACGTATTTATGGAGCCCAGAGAATGGGCTATATATAGGCCGAATGGAATCCGTTCAGTCGGTCAGCTTGGGTGTACTTGCGATTTTTTGTAGGTATTATTGCACAACAAGGTGTCGAAGTGAGGGATCAGCCCCAGCCGTACCATATCTTGAACTTTCTGCATCTCCTGCAGTAGTTCGGGGGACGCTCTAAGAGCAACCCCCAGGCTACCTGCAGCTGACTAGCCCGCTTTGTGTTACTGAGCCTCGGTTCACAGTTAGTCTGGGAGTCGCGTAGTCTGGGGGTTGCTAGGTTCATGGTTCTCAATGCCCTCTACATTATAAATTGAGGTCTCTAATTTCCAACTCGGTCGGAAAACTAGCCCGGCTATCTGAAAAACAGACAGGATATAAGACACGGAAAGGTGGGGAGTGAAAGCGCTAAACTGGACTGGATTCTATTCGTAGTTACTGAAGATTATATGCGTCTGCCTGTGGACTATCGTCTGCACTGTGACCTAACTGCAGGTCTGGATCCGAAAGGTTTTTAACTGAGCGAAGGGCTATTTAATTGGTAAGGTCCCTTGCTAGCCTTCGCGATCAAGATTGATAGCTGTAGATCGCGCAGAAACCTGCAGGTCTAGATTTCTTATATGAAATGCCATAATGTCTGGGATAAGATCTCAGGCTTCTATTTCACATCCCTTCTCAAGTAATATCCCTTGCTTCCGGTTAAGTTTGCAGGTGGTTAATATGCACATCACCAACACTGGATTCTTGCATATGGCTAGCACATCTTCGTCCGAACTATTGGTAGAGCGGAAATTACCGTGAAGATCTGAGTGGATAGTTGCGCTGGGTTTCGCAGCCTATCTCAATCTGGGATCAAGCGAGCCGGCAAATGCCTAAACACGGGAAGGGTGCCCAAATACTAATAAAAATCGGAGAATTTGTAATCAGTATTCCGTAGATAATTGCATTCTGGGCTACGTTTATAATTTAGCGAGCTCTGAGTGGAATCTTTAGATCTTTCACTTGCGAGGCGATGGTATATGTGCCTGGCCAGGAGGCCATGGTACCACTGCTGCCTATAGTCATTCAAGCAAGATTAGTCTGGGGTCGCGCCGAAGCGCTTGCAAGGAGCAAGCAAGATGTGATTTCGAGTTGACGCTTTGAGTATAATGTAATCTGAATTATATATTCTGCATAATAACAATACAATACTGGGGTATATCCTGCTCAATCGGAGATGATAAAAAGAAATAAATGCACAGGGTATCATGTAGGTAGTTTACAGCTCATATTTCACGTTCATGGGGATATTGATCTATCCGTTTGTATCAAGCTCACATTAGGAGCACCCCTCTAACCTTCTGTATCCCTAAGGAGCCTGGTGGTCCTAATAGGTGATAGAGGCCTAAAGCATGAAGAATAATGCTCCACCGGCAACAAAGCTCCCAAGAACCATGGAGACAAGACTTGGGATCATATGTGTTGCTGAGTTGGGGGTCTCGGTCGGAGCACTTGGACCCTCGCTGGTTTGCGATCCTTCTGCATCGATGGCAAATTCGTTAGTATTAAGAGCTTAAGAAACCTTTTTAATAGTCTGGGCATCTGACTTACGGGTATTTGAGGAGGTCGGTTCAGCTGGTCCAGTAATGCTGCCCATCGTAGTTGGGGCTTCGGTGGGAAGATCGCTTGTCTCAACCGGACCATCCGTAATGCTACCCATGGTTGGAACAACGCTCCCGGATTCATCTGTAACTGTGGCGGTGTCTGTGGCGCTAGATGTCTCTCTAGTTACGGCGAATGTCAGAGACGGGAAGGCAGAGGCGATTTTATCCCCACACTGCTGCTGAAGCTTGTTCCATACGTCTACGGCCTCTTCTTCTGTGCAAGTACCGTCTCGAGTAGTAAGACAGGTGCGGATGGCATTAAAGAAGGTATTGGAACCACAGATACAAGATGGTTTGAGGGTATCGCAGTTAGCGCGAGCGATAGCAAGGCCATAGCAAGTGGTGACACATGGAGGGAGTTCAACAGCTTTGTCGGTTTCTCGCTGTGCGGCAACAAGGGCTGGGGCAGCCAGAAGAAGACTGAGGAGAACCGAAGAGGCGTGCATTTTTTTGATATTATCGAAAATGTGTTGTGGAGGTTGTATTTCGCACTGCAATGCAATGGAGACGATAATATGATCAAGAAAGCTTATAAACTGACAGTGAGCGAGGAGCCTGGGAAAGAGCTCTTTTTAAAACGGGTTATCTCGAGTACTTCAAGACCGCTCGATCGTATCTGGTGCCAAACCAGGTGCCAAACCAGGCAGCCGATAATGATGATAAACAGTCGCACCACCTTGAGCTATCCTGAAATGCTGCCTCCAGCCAATGGACTGCCAGACTAGGGTCGCTTGGTTCTCCTTGCGGGGAAGGTGGTATGGCCCGGATCTGCTGCACTTCTTCAATTATGGAAGCTACATTCCAACAGGTCCACTCCCACACTCACTCGGAATGCAAAACGTTGATTCTTAGAGTTGGGATGACGAGAGACCGACGCGGCTTGGTCCGTCGACGGAAGGCAGTCAAAGCCTACGTCTCAGACAATGCAACTCGCAAGGCTGGGTCCGTATAAGTACAAGGCCAACCTTGTTTGTGCCATGCGCTACTTATCGAGGTCTTAGATTATATTCGCCACACGCCATCATTATCATTCTAGCTACTTTCCACGTTGTCACGTTTGATATTCAGAGTGGAATGGACATTACGTACTTAAGTATATAGTGCGTTCGCGGTTGATACATGATACCTTAAGTTACCTGGATTATAGCCAAAAAAACAAAATCCAACAGGGCAACACCTGAAACCCTATCGATATCTAGGCCGGATGCTTGCCCAACAGATCCTACACTGGATGGCAGCCCTCAGGCTCCTTCAAAAAACATCCTCACCGTATATATCTAGTATATCATTTATTAGATAGCTTGCCGAAATCATAGGACACCATTTCGTAAACCAATAGGACACACTCTCATACAAGAATAATTTGATTTTCCGTCACCATCTTGCACTGGATACTTACGATTATAGTTAGGGCTCGTACGGAAATTTAAAATGCGTTACAGCTATACAGCTCCCAGCGTACGCTCTTTAGCCACGTTATGCAACGTGGATATTTTCAACAGCCTCGTTACACAAATCCCACCTGAATAACTCAAGCATGTCTACCAAACCACCTTATCAACCAAACTAACCCTCGACCTCGAGTTAATCGACGATACATTATTTCAACAACCCAGACGTCGAGTATTAACGGTTCATTCATACTAAGCATATGTTCTTCAAATGACATTGTCTCCCATAACAAATCGAACTTTAGCATGTTGAAGGCCTCGCATAGCGCTATATAGCTACAAGCCCGCCAAATACTCGCTACCGACCACCCGATTCCACACTCTTTCAAAATGAATTCTGAAGGCTCTCTCACGATTGACGGGCCCTCATCGCGGAGGCCATCTGTCGGTTATTCTCCCACGATATCTCTACCATTCTGGAGACTTGTCGGGGACCCCCCAGGCGATGGAAGTCCAGATAAACAGTGTGTTATATATACCCTTTTTTAAAATTATTTTTTACGGCCTGTAGCAAGGTTCCAGCCCGGATAATCTTAGGCCAGCTCTAATTGGTTCGCTGTTAGGTACTTCGAAAATCTACTGACCGACAGCACATGGTCTGATGTCATCATTGTCAATCAGTCTCGCGATTTCACAAACCCATCCCAGGAGCATAGAGCGCATCACCTCATCCTCGGCCCAGCTTCTATGAAATTAGACCAACTAATTACCCAATCCAAACAACTTCGAAAGAACGGAACAGCAGAGGTGGTCTTTAAAGGTCTCCCAAATTCTGCCATCAAGACCTTAATTGAGTACATCTATACCGGCAGCCACACTACCAGCTCTATAAATTGCACTTACCTGCTCAAACTTGACTCTGATTTTAGTCTTCAAATCGAAGGTTTCAGAGAGTACATGCTTTGGCACGGTGTCAAATACATCGTTGACAAAATGACCCAAGCTTACCTTGTCATTGGAAACGATTACAACCAACGTACCCAAGGGGCTAAAGAAATTCTAATAATACTGGAAATATTCGAGATCCTATGGTACTCCCTGCTAAGCTTCGGAGAACGTGAGATGTGCCGTCCTGTTCTTGACTCTGTATTCCAAAAACTTCCCAGGCTGCAGGCGAATCCGACGTTTGTTAATTGGTGGAATAGGCACAAGGGCACCGATAACAACATCTTTATCATGGCCCGCGCCGTCCTTCACGAATATGATGGACTAGGTAAGGAAGATGAAGACCCCGGAGAAAAAAATCTGTGGAAGTGACACTTACTTCCATCAGTATGTTCTCACCCTTACCCATGAATTCTGTGGGACCGCTTAGCCCAATTCATTCAGAAGCCTAAATCCAGCTGATACCTTCCAAACATATACGCGGAGCATTGCCTTTCGTTTCTGTCCGGGCCCGGGCTGTTAACTCGGCCCGGGAAACCTGTCCGCCGAAAATATCTTGGTGGTTCTTTTTTCCCCGATGTATTCTAGTCAGCCATAGGGAAGCTCACAAGCTTGCCAAACCCAAATTCATTTAAATACTTAAGGAGCGGTATATTTTTGGTCTCAAATATCCTTAACACTCAGCATAAGAATACACGTAAAGGGCCTCGAGGATTGCATTTCATGCAACTAGTTTTCCAATTACTATACTCGAGGCTAGGTATAGGGAAGGTCAAGTTATCCTTGATATCTCGCGATTCGCCTCAGATTCGATTGCAGCATAGCCAATTGAGTTGTGACCGTACATACGTTATGGTGAGTCGAGTCTCGCCAACACCTTATAACGCCTCTTCAACGCCTCAAAAGCCTCAGAAGCCCCAAAAGCCCCCAAAGCCCCAAGATCAGATTCGTGATCGTGCAGAAGCCACTCCGGTGGCCAACGGGAAATCAAATCGGCTGGCTCAATTTAAAGCCTCTGTCCTTTGATCAGATTTGACCTCAACCCGGCTCGATATATTTATTACTTTCGGAATTTATACTATGTAGGTGTTTAACACCGCCGCCGTCGAGCACGCAGAACCTCGCCAAAATTCGAAGGGTTCCGCCGATACGCTAATAGCATATTACCATCATGAATCCACATTTCTGAGTTTCAAAGCAAGTTTGCCCACTTCCCTGGCCCGCTTCTTTTCTCAAGCCACCTACCGAAAACAGGCGGAGACAAATGATCACCAAGTCACAGAAACCAGACGCAGACCTCACCCAAATCTACTTAATTCCTACATACATGCTTACGGAGTACTAAGTCTGTATACTTGTTGTGTAAAGTTTTTTTGGCCGTGTCATAGTAGTTAATCCTAATCTGACTTAGACATCTTCAAACATCTCAAATAGATGGGTTCGTTAGGATCGTCTCGAGAGGGTTCCACCACGGAATCTTCCAATCGATGTTATCGAAGAGGACCCACGCTAAACTCGCTGGGCCTCAAAAAATACCTGGTAGCTGGACTCCCACACCATGTCATTCGGCCCAAACCACCCAGCAAGCGAGATGGCGCCCCTAGTGCTTACCGAAAACCGTAATGGAACCTGACGATCTCGATAGCCTCGCAGATTTGTGGATAGCGAGCGGGTCTGGTCGTGGTCAAGTCGACGTGCATCTTTTCGCCGGTTTCCTCGTCGATGTTCAAATTCGTCCGCAGAAGAATGTTCGGAGCCGCCCAGAGAACACCCCCCAAAACCTGCTTTTAGCCTTTCTTTGCCTTTTAGCTAACGAAGGTGCATGAAATGGGCTGTTGCGGACGAACTATCCGCCCACGCTTTCACGGATGCTCAGAAAGAAAATGGAGAGCCACCAGAGGAGCGAAAGAAAGGAGCGAAATAACGTGAAGGTTTTCGGGCTAGTTTAGTTTTGTCGTTGTTTTTCTGGGAAGGGTGCCGGCCGATGTGGGCCTTAATGAAGATTCCGCAATTTCGAAGGTGTAAGAGTATCATAAAACAATTTGAAGATGTCCGTTTCTTCCTCTTATCTCTCTCTCCCCCGGACCCCATATCTTTTTGTTTTGATCATTGTCTCCCTTGATATCGTTGCTAACCAGCATCTGGTGACTGTTTCGACGGGAATACACCTCGATGCCTCTCTCGATCTCCGAACCGAACCAACATTAACAACACAACCGTCGCAAGATTCCGACAATGATTATATAGAGGAGGGAAAAACAAGGAGCGAAAAGGGGGTATTAGGTATCATTTTGCTGGGGTGCTCCTAGAAATTTTACTTTTACTATTTGGAATAAAGGTCCTGTGGTATAGATCCTCTTGAAGATGTATACCCCGGCTTCTATCGACGAGTATGTACTTTTGGGAAAGATCATCGAAAGGCTTAATGGCGCCGCAGTATTCAAGAGTATCCCTAAGGCAGCGATGTCTGAGGGGTATGTGCCACCAGATAAAGGGAACATAGTGTTTATCGTAGCGACCATATCAATAGCAGTGGCGCTAGTCTTGGTTGGAGGGAGGCTTTACACGAGGAAAGTCTACAGCGGAAAACTAGGTCTGGACGATTGGATGATCATTCCAGCGATGGTAGGGCCTGCGCCCGTTCCAGAAAAACAAAACATTCTCCTTGTAGACCCTGGCTAATAGTTAATAGATATTGACCTTGGGATTTACTGCTGTGCAAATACTTGGTATGGATAGCCTAGTCGCTGATAGGTCTCTCATGGAACTTTGGTAGCTAACAACCAGTTCCTCTCTTAGCGGTTAAAAACGCTCATATGGGGATGCATGTTTATGACATAAGCCCGTATGCAATGATCGAAGGCACCAAAGTCTGTATCTTATTTCCTATTTTCTTCATAGTGCCGGACTAACAAAGCTACTGTGACTAGCTTACCTACGCCCATATGATACTCTACGTCTACTCCATAATGTTCACAAAACTCTCGATAATCCTTTTTATCCGACGACTCTCTTTCGATAAAATGTGGCATATTTGTAATGGATTCTTCGCTTTTCACGTCTTATTCGGCGTCGCAAGTTCTTTGGCATTAGCTTTCCAATGCAAGGTATATACTTTCAACATATCTCTACCCTTAGCCTTAGAAGCAATTAACGAGTTCTCCAACCTCTTTAGCCCATCGCCGCTGCATACGACCTCCTAACGAAACTAGAACACCAATGCAATGCTTTAACTATGTACTATGCCATAACTTCCATCGGTGTTGCCTCGGACATCGCCCTCCTTTTCCTACCTGCACCGATAGTATTCAAACTGCAGCTACCGCTCTGGAAAAAAATTGCTGTGTTATTCCTTTTTAGTCTTGGTGGACTCGCCTGTATCTTTGCTATCTTGCGGATGATCCATTTGTTCGATGGAGTAAGAGGGATTGACCTAACTTGGGATATCGTTCCTGTCGCATTATACGGACAACTAGAGGTTACCCTGGCAATAATAGCGACATCACTACCTGCGTTGAAAGTTCTATGGAAGGGTTGGCTACCAAGACTCAGCAACTCGATAAACTCCAGAGTGAAGAGATCGAACCACAGCGAGCATAGCGGAGGAAGTGGCGAAGCACACAATCGGTACGGGAGCCTCGCCAAAACGGGAACCATAGAGATATCAATTACAGATAGGAGGCCTTCAGGCATACACGAAGATATTGAAATGGGTGGCGGAATAGCATGGCGTACTGTCGAATTCGGGAACGGTGTTCCGCCAGAGCCTGCTAGCATGGTTGTGAATAAAATGAATAGCAGAGACGGCGATGGGAGAGATAGGACACCACTGTCAACTGCAGACGGCGCCCTCTTAGACGTTGATGAGAGGATGTTCCCTATCCCTCCCACCAGATCAAGACAGAATAGCAGAGCCACCAGCGAGATTAGTGCTGAAAGTGATGTCAGCTTGGGAAATTGGATCAACATACGGAATAATTCATTTGCGGCTGTAGGGACGCCGCTCAGTCCGATGCCACAGCTGCCACAGGCGACATATGATCGGCCAAGAAAGGACTCGGAGGTAGTTGTTAGATGGTGAGCTCGAGATTGGGACACAGGGTCCGAGTGTCCTTAAAATTTGGATAGTATAAATTCGGCGTTTTAACGGGTTAGCGTTTGGGATCTAGCATTTGGCATTTGGCGTTCGATCTGATCTGGCCTTGAATTTTTCTGATGCCTTAGTGCTCACATACGTTGCATACCTAAGTCCTCGAGTATATATATCTAGTACTTAGTAAGTATGTATATATCTACAATCATTAATGATACCAAATAGTTTTAGACTCTCCCTAGTCTCGCGAGATATATCTCGGGCTGGCCAGACCTTCATCCACTGACCAAATTTAAATGTGTTGTGGTGTTGGCAGTTTGTCCTGAGATTTAAAAGCAAAAAGGCCGACTGAGAAAAAGAAATAACAAAACTAGCAACCAAACTTTTCTTCCCTCAAAATCCATCCAGCATCCCGATATCGATACATCCAACTGATAATGACCATGCAAACGCTTCAATTGGGAAACCATCAACCTTAAAACGCCCCTTAGAAGCTGTTCATAGGATCACCAAGAGCCTTTCCCACGCTCAATCCTATCCCTCAAAATGTCACTTCCCCGCCGTCTCCAAGGATGTACCCATCTTTTCAGCTTCCTGAGTGTTCTGGCCTCCTCAAGAAACAGCATCCACACCCATTCTATCAGATCAATTCCTCGCATCGGGAATCGGAATTTTAGCTTCATTGCATCTGTTCATAAACAACAGAAGGTTATACATGGAGCATCAGCTACAGCTCATAAGAAACTACAGCTCCGACCCGAAGATCGGGATTACATCAACCAGTATTATGATCATTCAAAACCAAAAAGGCTTCGTACTCAAGAAGATTTTCTAAATGCGCTACGCAAACATGGCTATGTCCCTGCTATTGATCGAGTTGACGAGATGTTAGACATGAATCGAAGTCCTTTTCAATCGAAAGACGAATTCGACAAAATTACACTCGGCCTTCTTCTGACCTCTAGTAAGAGTGCCAACGGCGAGATCCGGAATCCTTACAAAATCCCCGAGTTGAGCACAGGGCAAAATCCCGTGCGAACGCGACAAGGCAAACTAGCCGGACCTTTGGCCCCGCGTTTCTACTTTCTATTCCCAGATGATACGAATTGGCATACGATTAATCAGTTGTTCCCGCTCCAGGAACCCCCTCGGCCCTGGCACCCGATCGTGATGGCGGGCATGAAGCAAGATTATACTCGGGAGGAAGTAGCCCGAAGGATAGAATGGTCCCAAATCCAAAATGCAAAAAAATTACGGAATGGGTATGGTTGGGCAGCGCCAGATCCAGCGTCGTACAAGCACATGGACGAACTTCCTCCTCCCCCACCCCCAGTCATCCGGGAGTGCAATGTTTGCAAGAAACCTAGATACCTCATGCGGTTCTGGAATTTTTTTGTCCAACGGTGGCAGCATGTTGGTGCCCCACATCGACCAATCGACTGCGAGGGCCATCGGAAAGGAGGCGGGGGGAGACTCATGTATGCTCCAAAAGGAACGAGAATTGGGGGGCAGAATCCCGCCAAAATAGAGGATAAAGAATGGATAGAGGAAGAGACAGCTGTGAGGCTACTTTTCCGTTCTGGTTTCGTTGCGCTTCCATCGGTTAGTCCTGTTATCGGGGAGGATTTTGCGCGCGCGGCAATGAATGGAGGTGATCATTGGCCATGGATACGTAATCATGATGTTAAGCGTTGGGCGCTACGTGGTGGCCGCAAGAATGGCCTGATCGATCTTTCAAAAGTAAACCGCATGAGCAAAGTCGAAGATGCTCGGAAAGAGCAACAGCAGCAGTTCCTTGAGGAGCACACGCACTTTCTCGACAAGATTCGGGAAGTTCTCAAGGAACATCCGATCACGCCAGAGAACCTGGCCAAGATCCCTCCTGGACAATTTTATCCCGAGGATCATCAGGCTGTTGATATGTGGTATGATTTCGAGATGCAGAAAACGAATGCCATTCGCGCGGAAACTAGATCCGCCAACGACAAGAAAGCGGATAATAGACGTCTATTGCGGCAGAAACTTCGCCAGATTAGTCTAGTCCTCGAAGAGATGAAGAAGACAAAAGCCGAAATTCTTCTGATCGAAAGCGGGCAGGGTGAAAGCTGGGCGGACCCTACATGGTCTAAATTAAACACACGCGAGAGAGGCGAAATAATATCCTCCCAAGAAAACTTGGAGCATATCATCGTCGCACCAACTGACCACCAAAAAACCCCCCAGATTTTTGCACCATGGGGACGGTCCGCTCATGATGAGATCCTGGATGTTACAACTCGCTTGAATAAATCTTTCACCCCAACTGGATGGTTAAGCAAAGCTGCCCAGCCCACCACAGATAATGTAGATAGGGTCGATAAAGCTATCGACCACCATACGCTCACAGATAGCCAGGACAAAGCGTTGTTCCAGACTCCAGAGGGACCTGCTCCTACTGAAGGAACCCCACCACACCCACAGTCAACTGGAGTGTCTAATTTTAGTCTCCATTCATACTCCAGTCCCCCAAGACCAGTATCGTTCTCGATATATGAAGACGAAACAGAGGCAAAGTCTGCATCATTTCGCACAACGCCACAGGAACTTGACAACCTATATAGAAACCGCTTCCGGAAAGAGTTGGAGGCGAAGACTTTCAAGTTAAATCCTAATATTGAAAAAGAGGAGATGGAGAGACGTCGTATTAAGGAAAGGCTTGAGAAATCTGAAAAGAGAGCCATTCGGAGAGAAGAGGAAGCACTCGCCTTGAAGGAGGCCATGTTGTGGTCTAATACCAGGGGCGACCCCGCTGTGGATGGCTTCCAGACAGAATCCGAGTGCCAGGACAAAATTTAGGCACCAACGAGGGGTATGAGAAAACCCAACGAAACATCCTAGTCGATGCAAATCGTTTTGTATATATACTTAAATACTCTACGCCATTTTTAGGGGACAAGGTTGTATCTTTACTATCGATATCTAATTCGGAAGCTGTTTGGAACGTTTACTATGCCAATTCACACCCGTTTCCAGCATACGTAGCTTTTAAATCAACCAGCCAGTTGGTGTGTTATTGACCCCGAGTTGATTGCGCAATTGCACGGGCTATAGTTGCACGAGCTCTAGGACCAGGTTCGATGGAATATTTACCTAGGTATATAGTCCGTTGTGCCCTGACCCTCCCTGCCCCAAGCGGAGGAGTTTAGCAACGAGACAGCTTTCGCCCGGTGCATGTTTATGGATACACTAATTCCCATCTTCAAGTTCCATGGTTAGGCCTGGGTTAGGGTCACCGATTCCTTCAATCAATCCGACCGCTGGCTCTTCCTCATCCCACCAGTCCGGCCCAGGAAGCGGGCCCAACTGGTGCTCAACCAGATATAAGAAGTCCTGAAACTCTGGTATCCAACATTCATACCAATTGGCAATATTCCCCAACAAATCAACAAACGTAAATGGTGCCTCCTCTTCCCCATGATTTGGGTCATGATCTCGAATGAGATCTATGAGGATTGGATTCGCCATCTCGATGCTAGCTTTGCTCGCAAAAATTCTAAATTGCATTCTAGAAAACTCAAGAAATTGTATCAGTGACTGAAGCCTAGTCTTCAGAACAACTCGCGATTGCTGAAGATCAGGCTGGATGATAACACCTTCGACGCCGTCAGCATTAAAACCCCCATCACTATCTATTCTCCGCGCTAGGTTGTCAATATTTTCTTGGCCCGTCAAAGAATCGGCGTGTTTCCATCCTGGCATATCATTGATATTATTCGAAATTCTTATCGCGGCTAAAACACTATTTGCTCCAACGAGATGCATTTCATCCAACATCTCTTTTACACGATTAGTTGGCCATAATTCGTCCCATCCGCTATCCAACATCTCCCGCAGCGCATCCGCGGGAGGTCTGCGTGCGACACCAGGTCGAAGAGCTTGAGAAGGAGATGGGTCTTTCAACTTAATCATCCTGGATAACTGATCCAGCTTCGCAAATGACATACGAAAAGCTAACCTAGCTTCTCCGAGGACGTCGATTAAGGCGAGGAGGGAACGACGGTATAAGGATTCGGATACTGGTAAGAATGCTGGTGCACCGCCGCCGACGGGACAGTCTTGGTTAACGGTGTATTTAAGAACATCAATTTGCTTAGCGATCGACTCAAGATTTGTCCACTCTGTTTGAATATATCGGTTCCAGGTGGGAGTAGAAAGAACGTAACTCAGCCCTTGGGCGATGAAGCAAGTAAGGACGACGATACCGCCCCATCCGATGGAAGGTAGAGCCGCCGAGCCAAACGTGGGGACATTCATCTTCGTATTAATATATTTGGCATGTTCAATGTATACCCAAGAGAGTCTAGAGGAGTAACAATAAGTGAGGAGTTTGAATTACATGTACATTTAAGTTTTGCGCTGGTTCAGCTTCTTATGAGCATTGAGGGAGAAAATCATTGACGCATCAACCTTCGTTCTAGCTATATCATGCATAGCCAACAAATCCATAGATACACCCATATTTCAGCAGTTTTTGTAATGCATTATATATTATAAATTACTACTTGCGTTCCTGGCTAACTTAGTACTATATAACATATATCGGTCACCCATGGCCAACAGTACTGTTCAGTACTAGACATCAAAGGGCTAAATAGCTAACCTAAGGGGGTAAAAGTGTTGACTTGCTGTCACGTTGCATTTCGAACGCGCACGGCGACAACTTCAAGCTAAGTCGCCGGATCAGGCATGAAACATGAAACCTCGCTCACCTTCGTATTCCGGATCTATCACATCCGTATCAATCTTGTGATGTCACCTCGCCAGCTCACATTCCCACTTCACGTCGGGTTCGCCCTTCCACCTCTCCCACCATGGACGGAAAATCTCCCGTAGAAATCGGCGCCATTGCTGCTATTCTCGCTCCTGTTCTCAAACTCTGTACGATTCTCCCAAAATCCGAAAACAAGAAATAAAGAACACAAGATGCAACCGCGTATGTTTGTTCAAGCGGCACGGTCACTAACTACCTTACTTCTCGACACACACGCAGCGGCCGACCCTTTCGATTTACTCGAGAGGAGCAATAAGACCCCTTCACAGCGCAATGTACCGTTTAATACGCGGATTCACCACTTCACATGGGCGTATGCAAATAGCCAATATCCTTCTCGACTTGGACAGGACCAATGAGTGACTAATATTGGCATGAGACTTATAGCTGGTATCTCCCAGTAATGGGTACTGGCGGAATTGCCGTGCAGCTTCACCTACTTCCTTATCGATTTCAAGGACTTGACACGATCGGAACCGTTATATTCCTAATATCCGTCGCCATATTCTGCTTGACCAGTACGGGTTTGTTGATTCGGTTTTCATTGTGGAAGAACACCCTTCCGAATAGCATCCGACATCCAACGTGGGTTTCAAAATCTCAACCCATGCGGCTTTTAATGGTCTCCAATGCTTAATATATACTGGAAAATAGTGAGGGGTTGTTCACGGCGGCGTTCCTTCTCTCGGTCGCTACGATTCTGATTAATACATGCAACTACGGCGTCGGACACATAGGAGAGCCTTCGCATGATAATTGGCTGTCAAGAGCGATTGAGGTACTATTCTGGATCTACACATTCGTTTCAATAATACTAGCAATCGCGCTTTCCTATTTCATTATCTCCCGAGAATCACACACCCCGCAAGCCGCAACTCCAGCATGGGCGCTACCTTGTTTTCCAGCTATGCTTGTCGGCTCCGTCGGTGCAACCGTGTCGCGTACATTATCAACTGTGCCTGGAAACCACGGCCGCGTATTCCCGATAATCATTACAAGCATTCTACTTCAAGGGTTCGGCATCCTCATTTCGCTAATGTTCATCACCATCTTTCTCAAGCGGCTTATGCTATTCCGACTCCCATCCCCTAATCTACGACCCGGAATGTTTATGGCTGTTGGCCCACCCGGATTCACGTCCTTCACAATTGTAGCGCTAGGACAACTTGGACAGACAGAGTTTCGGCCCTCGGATTTTGGGACGTCAGCGAACTTCAACGTTGGCGATGCGTTTTACGTGACGTGCTTGCTAACGGGCATGCTTTTCTATGGCCTGGCAGGATGGTGGCTGCTAGTATCTGCGACCGCAGTTATCGCCGGAGCAAGCCAAAAGCATGTCCTTAGGAAGAAAAAAGTCGACTTTGATTTCCATTTGTCATGGTGGGCATTCCTGTTCCCTAATACAGGGTTTATCGGGGCTACTATTCTCTTGGGCGATATCTTTTCGAGCGTAGCAGTGAAGTGGGTCGGAACTGCTCTCGTGATCATCGAATGCGCGGTTTGGCTGATGTTGATAGTCCAAACGCCGCTAGCCGTATGGAGGGGACGACTGATGGTGCCTGGGAAGGACGAGGACGCAAATGTCGAAGGGTTTACGAAGGAAGACGAAATTAAGAGATGGTAAAACTACATCAGAGAGCTATAGATCGGTGGCGGTTTCGGCGCTTGGTATTGATATAAACTTAGGAAGGGCGCTTTTGTGATTATAGAGACATAGATTGATATACTTCTTTGCTCTAGACACACCATTTGGCCAATAGCAATAACGGTGAATTAAATTTCCGTATCAAGTGGCAATCTTGGGTTGGATCGCTAACCCCAGCGTCCCTCTAGTCTGGGGAACGGTTCCTATGCCTTGGACCAAACAATCCTTGGGGTAATCGTGGGGTCGATCAAACCCCGAACCGCGGCTCCAACCTGCATCGTGATGGCATTTCCCAATAGAATTTTTTTTCAAAGGAAAAAAAAAAGGAAAGGTCTCCGAAAGAAGTTACACAGGAGTACCTGCAAGTACGTGCCCACATGACGGTTGTGGCGTTCGCCCCACACCATGAAGTTGGCCTGGGTGGCCATGCGACCACCCGATATCTGGCGGTTACAGGCGGCAGGAAAGGCAGCCACGGCAATATTTCGTAGAGATAGTCTTGTTAGGTAATTTCAGACCACTTTGATTTTTTGCAATTATCTCGTGAGATCACGAACATTGTTAATTGTGTCCCATTGCCCGTATATAGTCCGGAACTCAGTATCTCGTATCCGTCGGCCAGCTCCGACCTGAACAAAATCGCACGGATTGCGCCTGAACTTGGACCCGAAACCCACCGACTATTGTGACGTTGGAGAAAGTCTTTTCGGGTTACCGATGGAGTTTTCCCAGTAAAAGAGAGCTTTAGAGAATATATGTCTCCACATTCAGCACTTAATTCGCTTGTCGACATGTCCCTGGTCTCGATCCTCGTTTGTAACGTTTGTATCTGAGAGATTATCTAGATAGGGTTTTCGGGATAGCCTTCAGGAATTCTGTGTTGTGGATGAGCTCGCTCCTCCCTTTGACCCAAGTCGAAATCTCACTAATTCCACCTCTCTTGGCCGAAATGGTCCCAATCTATTTCTTGTTTAACTCTCTGTGAAGATCGATACGAAGGCAAATCCGGATTACGGCGTGTAATGGATTTACTATACTCTTACAGCAAAATTTTCCCGTCTCCAAATGCAGTACTTTCAAATTTCGACATATCTTGTACGTGAAAGCCGAGGCAAAAGGCCAATTGCAAGATTGTGCTGGGTGGAAGCGAACGAAGATTAGCTGGCTAGGCAGCTGTCGCTCCTGGTCCCACATCCTCGTTCCCGCCCCACACTTAAGCATTTTCAAGCCAAGTGACGTCGAGGGATGTTGGTTGTCCATTCTGCTCAGGTTGCACCTCTCCTTTGAGCTAAGGCTATGCAGCGTTACAACTCTCCCGGTCTAGTGGAGCTGTCGCCATCGGCCCCTCACCAAGTACTCCAGCGTAACTGCAGGGCTTCGACATCCGAGCGAGACCCGAGCAGGGTTCGAACGACAATACCAAGAAAAACCAGCTTCCGGAAGTCTTCTAGCGGCATGGGTTTGCTTATCGATACCGGACGTAACCCTCGTATCAATTTTCATGCAATTGACTGCCTATTGGTTTTAACTTACGGTATCTGCGGACCCAATAAGAAGCACGCGACCCTTACCTTGGCCTATTGAAGAGATACCTGTCAGATTTTTTTCGACCTTCTGTTTCAGGCGAGGATATGGGATGGCCGACACAACACTGGCGTGTTATTCGTGGGCCGGGGCTGTCACGAAAACAGGAGGGCCAATCCGAGGAATTGGCGACAAGAAAAGACAAGCTGATGCTGAGAAATTCTTAGGTTTCTTAGCACACCATGAGCGAGTCCTTGGAAAATGCTTGTTTCCTCAAGCAATTTTTCTGCAATTTTGATATCCACGAATGGTGATGTGATATGCGGTGCAACCTAGACCTTTAGGATCCGGTTTTCTTTCCCTCCTCTTCAAAAACTTCTGCCGTTGATAAGGAGAAAGAACAAGTAAATTTTTTGGGCCGTTGGATTAATGCTCGCCACACGGAATCCAGAGCTTTAATAGGCAAAAAAGATTCAAATTTGTATCGTATGTTTTGCGCGCTAGGATAGAGTCTGCAGAACATGGTCATATCGTGGAAACATCATGGACCACCCTTTCGGTTCTACTTCCAAGTCCAGTAATCGGCCTGTCACATCATGGTTTTTTTTTTTTTTTGCCTTTCTAATACCGCGTGAGACATTCGTATACATTCATTTACAGTTTGTGTCCACCTTAAGCTTATCAGGGGAGCGCTCACACCTACTAACTGTGAGGTTTCACCGCAGAGACATTCTCACTGAACTATAATTCCGAGTTTGGAATATAAGTCGAGGACTACCCCAAGCCCTAGAAACAGAAAATTCCTTCTAACGGCGTTCGAAATATAATATTCAACCGGTTTCACCAGTTCTCACTTATTCTAGCAGTAGTCTTCTGAGAAGATATCATTGATTTTCACAAACATAGAGCTGGTTTCTCGAATAATTCACATATTTATCACAATATGAGCCAACCAGACGATGTCGCCTTTAAGGCCAAGCACGACCCTGCATTGGCACTTCCTCTCGACGAGAAGCACGAGCATACTGCAGTGCAGGCCCCTCCAGCTTACGATGGCCACGAGCAAAACCACGGCGCTTTAGAGGATGCACCCACGGAAGAGGAAATACGTACCCTCCGCCACGTCTCTGATAAGATCCCGTGGAACGCATACACGGTTGCATTTGTGGAATTGTGCGAGCGATTCTCGTACTACGGAACCACTGTCGTTTGTATGTCGGAAAATTGCAACGCATCGTCATGTTGTAAATTGTTAACAGTTTCGGTTCATAGTTACCAATTTCATCCAGCAAACCCGTCCCATAGGCTCGCGAACGGGCGCTGGTGGTCACGATGGCCAATCTGGTGCATTGGGCCGTGGACAGCGGGCCTCTACCGGTTTAGGCACGTTTAATACCTTCTGGGTTTACCTTTTACCGCTGTTTGGTGCCTACGTCGCCGATACATACTGGGGTCGTTACAAAACCATTTGCGTGGCTGTCGCCATTGCCATGTTTGGTCATGTTCTCCTCGTTATCTCTGCCATTCCTACCGTTATCGACCACCCAGATGGTGCCCTTGGATGCTTCGCCGTCGCTATCATCGTCATGGGTATCGGCACTGGTGGTTTCAAAGCAAACATCTCGCCATTGGTCGCGGAACAAAGCAAGAACACCTACTTGCGAATCGACACTCTTCCATCCGGAGAGAGAGTAATTGTTGACCCTGCAGTTACCTCTTCGAGAATTTACATGTACTTCTATCTCATGATAAACATCGGAGCTCTCATCGGACAGGTAAGCTCAATTACTTGATATAAGCTACTTGTGACTGCGCTAAGGATCATATTACTAGATCACCATGGTGTACGCCGAGAAGTATGTCGGCTTCTGGCTTTCCTTCCTCCTGCCAACTCTCGTTTTCTGTCTGTGCCCTGTTGTTCTATTCCTTTGCCGAAAGCGATATGTTAGATCTCCTCCACAAGGTAGCGTTCTTTCAAAGGCTATGCAAACTTTTATCTTTGCCCAAAAGGGTAGATGGCACCTAAATCCAGTTCAAACGTAAGCCTTTAACCCTTTTTATACCCGAAAAGTCTTGACCATGTAGCTAACAGGCGTAGTGTTAAACACCTTAACGACGGGACAATGTGGGAAACCGCCAAACCTTCTAACATTGCTTTAGCAAACCGTCCGAGCTGGATGACGTTCGATGACGCCTGGGTGGACGAAGTTCGCCGTGGTTTCCACGCTTGCTCCGTCTTCGTTTGGCTCCCACTCTGGTGGCTCTGTTATAACCAGATCAACAACAATCTTGTCTCCCAAGCCGCTGTCATGAAACTCAACGGCCTTCCTAACGATATCGTGAATAACCTGGACCCCCTCGCCTTGATCATCTTGATTCCTATCTGTGATATCTTGATATACCCTGCTCTCCGAAAGGCCGGTATCAACTTCACCGCTTTGAAGAGAATCACATTTGGCTTCTACACCGGTGCTGCTGCTATGATCTGGGCTTGTATCATTCAATACTATATGTAAGCCAATTCTCGATTTCTTTTTCAATTTTTTTTCTCTGCAGTATAATTATACTAACCTGCTCCTCAGCTACAAACACTCTGAGTGTGGTAAATACGCTGCCGGTAAGGGTTGCGAACCTACAGATATTAATGTTTGGGCCCAAACCGGTTCATATGTCCTCATCGCTCTCTCTGAAATCTTCGCCTCCATCACTGGCCTCGAGTACGCTTTTACCAAGGCCCCAAAGAACATGCGATCCCTAGTTATGTCTGTTTTCCTATTCACCAATGCCATCTCCGCGGCTATCGGGGAGGCCTTCGTTAGTTTGTCCGAAGATCCTCTGTTGGTCTGGAATTACGGGGCAGTCGCCATCATCGCCGCCGTTGGTGGAACCATATTCTGGCTTCAATTCAGAGGGTTGGATGCCCAAGAACACGAGCTGAACCAACTTCCAGTCGGCAGGATGTTCGCTGATCAGGATAGGGTTGAACCCCTGACTCCGGAGGAGATACATCAACGGCGAGAGAGTTTAGGCGCGGCAGCTTAGAAGCCTAAAATAAAAGCATAAAGCTAAGACTTTCCAAAGACTTCATGAACTTTATATCAAGTTTTCTTTCTTTTCGCTTATTTTTCCTTGGAACGAATTTCATATAACCACTTGACAATTTTTTCTTTTTTTTTCTATACCACCTTGTATGAGACCCTACGATTCCTAATCTTAGATATTTTACATCTAGCCATATCTTATTATATTTAGCAATAATTGAAATATATATGAATATAGAGCTAGGTTCAAAATTGAAGGTTGATATCGTAGAGGCAACGCCGGTCTCGTGTCCGAATTGGTACGCAAGTATATATAGATGACGGTATGCGGTCCGAAACAAACTTGCAAGACAGGTGCTAAAACTCGGTGTGTATAAAATCGAAGGCACTGTCATAATGATAAAACCTTTCTGCGCCTTTAACTCATTCTTAAACGTTTAAACCTTAACCCGCGAGACCCGAAGTGTTGTGGGGTACCAATATACCCATGCACGGACTAAGATATAGTAGAGGCCGGGTGAGCCTCGTTACTGAGGAGATAGCTATATAACTTTCGCTATACTCAAATGTCAACGTGACGGCCTGCATCGCATGGGTAGCCGGGTATACAACTGATTACAATACCATAGCATCTCTTTGCAGCCAGATGTGTCTTCCGCGCTAGTCTGCCTTGCGCATGGTTCCAGAAACCGTCAAATCCAAGGCAGAGATGTGCGTCCCCCAGACTACCGTCAAATAACTCAGGTTCTTGGCGTTCAGCGATGTCGAAAAACTCACTAGGGCGAGCTCTCGGTTTCCTCCACTTATCACTCCAAAAACGTTCCAGCCACAAGCCGTTACGGGTTTTGATAGAAAACGTCCGGCGAAATTAGCCAGAAGAGAAATGGAAATAATCTTATAATCAATTATAAATATCCTCATGCATATTCTCATTTTTATATAGGGACTAATGCAAATAACAGGGGTGTTCCCGGTCGGCTAATGTATTTTATATGTGTGGGCAAGGGCGACATGATCCTGCAATCTAACCGACGGAATATTCTCCGAAAGAACAGAGAAAGAGCAGACGCGAAAATTGGAAGAGCAATGCAATAATTCTTGATCCGACAGTGTATTCTGGAAGATACCGAAGGAAGTTGAGGTTTTCAGATTGCTATGAAGCTCCTACATTTCATCTACGGAGGGAAAGATATTTAGAGTGAACTAGTCTATGCATTCTCAACAAAAAAAGCTAGGATCATGAATGGTAGCTAACTACAAGGTTGAAAGTAAACATGTTTTTGTGATCCATCTTCTAATGCTTTCCCATCTTCCAGAAATAGCAACATCTCAATCATGACCCGTGAAAACCAAAAAAAGAATGTACAGTTGAAAGTGAAAAAGGAAACCGGGGAACTATGCAGTTATCTAACAAAAAAATCGAAACTGATTATACATTTATGTACAAGGTATACCATTCTGAATTTACATGATGAAGCTGAAGAATCTCCATCCTTTGATCGCTCTAGGGTTTAGTCTTCGTGCGGAAGATGAAAGCCGCTAGGACGACTCCCCAGTGGGGATATTTACAAGCACTGGCTGTAGTATGGGTTGAGAGACTGGCAAGTGGAGCCAGAGACGCAGGCAGTTGGGCCAGTCCAGCCGATACCACCGCATTGTCCCCACTTCTGAGCTTGGCCACCGGTGCCAGCGCTGCTGGTGGTGGTAGTGCGGGGAGTGGTGGTGGCGGCAGTGGTAGTGCGGGCAGTGGTGGTGACGGCAGTGGTGGTGCGGGCAGTGGTGGTGGTGGTGCGAGCAGTGGTGGTGCTAGTGCGAGCAGTGGTGGTGCTGGTGTTGCCTGGAGGAAACAGTTATGTTAGTCACTGAGAATCAAGAGATTGAGTGTGTTGTATTGTTGCATAATAAGATGCCAAGTTAGGAAATTTCCTAGTTTGGAATGCAACAGATATAACACTCTTCCATGTCATGGTGGGATGGGGTAAAGGTACTTACCAGTGCCTGGTCGGACGTATGGGCCGCAGAGAGCGGATGGGACAGTGACACCGGTTCCGAAGGTGGAGCAAAGCTCACCAATCTTGATGTTGGAGTAGGTGACAGAGCTGTTTGGAACGGACTGGATGAGCTCATTTGGATCACCGGAGGTGGTAGAGCAGGAACCACGGGCAATACCGGGGAGGGACGGGTCAGCGTCAACTGGGTATGGGGAGTTGAGCCAGAGGAGATGGGCAGCGTGATCAGCCCAGATGGAGAGGGCCAAGACGTGTCCACGCTTGAGGGACTTGCCCATACCGACGAGACCCTCGTGGTTGACGTTGAAGTACGGGTTGTCACCGAAGACGTTCTTCTGGTTAACACAGTACTCATCGGTGATGGAGTTGAAGTCACCAATGCCGGGCCATTCGTTCTTGGATTGTTGGATGACAACACCGTTCTGGACCCAGGCACGACGGATCTCAACGAGCTTACCAGTGGCGGTCTGGTCGTCAGTGATGAACTGGGTGACAACGGTGATCTTCTTGGTGGTGTCAACGGTCTTTCCTGGACCGTAGAAGTTCTTGTTACCTTGACGGTAAGGGTTGAAGTCACAACCGTCCTTGTCGCAGACACCAGCATATCTGTTGCTGCCATCACCGCAAGTAGTGGCGTCACCGCATCGGAAGAGACCGGTGTCACGGCAAGTGTGTGGGGTGTAGGCGTTAGAGATGGAGTTGGCTTCCCAGATATCCATCTCAGAGCAGCAGGCACCGTACTTTCCGTGACCAGCATTGGTATCGGTGGAGGATGGAGTCCATCCCTCAACGTTACCAGCACCAGCAATGAACTTCATGTCATGTGGGCACTGAGCGTCGCAGTAACCGGTACCGTACTTAGCACCAGCCTTGTTGGTTGGGTACTTGGCCATACCACCGTCCTTGTCCATCTCAACGAAGTACAAGGCAGCGTTAACACCGCAAGGCATGTTGGAGACATCGACATCGAAGGTGAACTCCTTGTTCAAGACATCGAACATGGTGTAGTTGGTGTCGTCATCCATCAAGTAGACACGAGAACCAACGTTGGTGGTGGACGAACGAGTGACGAACTTGAGGGTAAGAGCATTGCCGCTGGTAGTGATACCGTAGGTGGCAGGGTAGTCAGCACCCTCAAGAGCGCAGTTAGCAGCGCAGGCAGCGTTGTTGGGGCAGAGAGTGGCATCGAAGCTGTTTCCGGTGTAGCAGTTGTTGTACTTGTTAGCCTCGTTGTTTCGGAGCCAACGCCAGTTAGCGTCGACGACAATCTTGGTGTTCTTAGTTGTGCAGCCACCAGATCGAGTGCAGACGGAGGAGGTCAAGCCAGGATGGGTCTCGGCGGTGACGGAACCAGGTTGCTGGGCCGCAACGAAGGCGATGAGGGAGGAGAAGAGAGCGACTTTGCTGAATGCCGGCATTTTGATTTTTGATATGTGCAAAGGACTAGTTCTTGCTAGTTTCCTGTAAAGGTTTATATAATATATACAAGTGGAAGAAGGTTGTTGGGATTGGGAGATTAGAAGATGTGATGATGGATGTAGAAGAAAGTCGATGAGGAGGTGCGAGAACTGGATTCTTATATACACCTTTTGGAAGCATACACGCTCATACCTTTAGTCTCAACTTGGTAGCGTTCTCCACCTTGAACTCCGGGTTTTCTCAGTTGACTTGCAATCTAAATTTCGATCCATCATGGAACCGAACTATGATCATCCGAATGGTGGACGTGCACACAGGCACCCCATGCGCATTCCCTTTTCTTTCTTTTCTTTTTTCTAAAGTTCTCCTCGATCAGTGAGAAAGAAGAGAAGAAGCTTTGACCGTATTTGCTTTTGCAGACGATCAGGCGTGAACTGACTGACCTTAGTCTAGTCCGTACACAGTTCGTAATTGTACTAGCTATGCGTGTGCGCTTTTCCAGAAAGTTTCAGAAACATTGGGCGATTGGACGAGCCGGCGGAGCCGTCCAGGTACCAGGAGGGCATATTCACTACTAGGAAGGCCCTGTGATCTTTCCCCTTCGGCAGTGGTCTGCCCGTAATAGTGTTAGCGCCCTTCAGTGGCCAATTGAGGATGTGGGGATGCGTTGGGATGTCACTGACTTCGCGTTAGTTGTTTTGCGTTGAGGTGAGGTTGTGGGTTTGACGGGAGCATCGGCAGAAAAGCCGCCGGGTATAACAGACCCATTGATCACGGGCCCCTGCCCAACCTCACATATTAACACCCTTCCAATTGAACCTTAGTTTTAGTTTCTTCAACCTGCTGGCTAGTACAGAGCACACTGCGAATGCCAATTAGTGATAAGGTCTGGATTGCGCTGGTGAGCAAATATTCCGAAAAGACAGTCGTCATATCGCAAGGACTAACCCTTCCCGGATGCCCTGCCCTTGTCCTTCGACTTTGGACCGAAGGATTGCCTCTCCGAAAGAGAATGAAAGACCTAGCTAGTTTCGACGACTGCTGCCTCGCTCCATGGCTCGTGGCTGACAATCTCGTTCTTGAAAGCGCCATAATCAACTATCTCAGACTGGGCCTTCAGATCTACCTCATATCGGGGTTCAGCGAAACCCGGCCGAGCCATCCGATCAGTTCTTGTTCAGTCTTCTTACCAGACTATCAAATGACTAGACGAAAGAGATCTTCGGCTTCCAGAGACCGTCTCCAGCGTCCTGACTGTCCCAAGAGGCTGGTTAGCGCTGCTGGATGTTAGTGTAGCATGTAGGCAAGGCAGCGCTACATGCACCGGCGCTAACTCCATAACAACCCACATACTAGTACAGACAGCTACATCAGCAGTTAGCGGAACCTCTCCGCAAATGTGGAGTTCGGATGAAATTTCAGGGAGCATTTCTCCAGCATTTGCCCTCAGCACACCTGATCAGGAGATCTCATGGAACATTCGATGGAAGGTCCACAAGCACGACCGGGGTCTCCTTTGGTCTAAGCTTTTTAGTGCTGTTTCGAGTGCCCTGCCAGGGCCGGAAAAACTGAACGGTACCCGAAACTGCCCCACCACAAGACTGCGAAATCCAAACCCCAAGATTGGACCAAGCCGGGACAACACAACAGAAGGTCAAGCCAACCCTCATTGTGCAGGCATCCCGAGAATTCTTTTGCATAGACGTATACTATGTAGCCATAGAACAAGACTCCACAAGACCTTCCTTGACGTGGGGCCGCATATTCTATCGCCCTGTTATTTCCATGTACTGTCGGATGGCAAATTAGCTTGTCAATGCTTCCGTCGATCATCCATATTGCAATTGCGTCTAAATTAGTTGTTCAGGTTGGCTGAATCGGTTTTGACGGGCCCATATAGGTGACAATACCTTGATACACCTAACGCATGTGTAAACTTTCATAGAAAATCCCACCCCCACTGCACTAGTCCGTAGTATAGCGATCAGCACTAGTACAACGCACGGGATTGTTACGCTAGCTATCTAGGAGGAATCCAACTGTGAGGTCTAACTAGAGTTCAACTCCGCTGTATCCAGCAGTAAACTCTGGCTCGCGTTCTGGCATAATATTGGTCAGTCGACGAATAATGTGGAGTCAGTACCCCAGCGAGCGTAAAACCAGGTCGCCACTTCGCAAAAACCTCTTCCCTAGATCTGTCGAACATTACTTGTTCATATTTTTGTTTTGACGGGGAACAAGACTTTCGAATTCCGGTAGGGCACTGAAGATATGCCAAGGGGACGCGAGATGACTATGCACCTGATCGACTTGTCTCCCTGCTTAGATACCTGCGAGTTCAAGGTATCGGTGGGCCCAGTCCTGGTATTAATCCGTATGTGGACCCAAACCCCGAGATAGTCATGGGAACACCAAAAATCGCTAAACTGAACATCTTTTAAACGTCCGCGCACATTAATGCTATATTTCGTGGAAAACTTCGAAAAAAACTTGCGATATGATCTGATTAAACTAATATGAGACACAACCTAGGCTATCTGTAAAGATGCAATGCAGATACGATATAATTTGCTGTAAGTGAGAGATATATTGCAGCTTGTATCAGCCAGCATATTGTAGCCGGGGAATAATGGTAAATCGCCCATGTCGGATACCGGGTAGGTTTCCAAGGCGTAACCAAGATACGCATTTTTAGAAAACCCTCTCACCTATTGGACATCTCAATATTTTCCATAAAGTCTTAGCTTTTAAGGGTTAAAAATGGGGATATGGGGATATGTGGGCTTTGAGTATATCCCGGGGTTATATTTGCCGATTAGCCTGCATTCAAAAACCTTTACATGTCCACGTAACGTTAAACGCTGACTATAACGCAACATTTCGGACCAAAAGAAAAACACCCTCAATCTTGCTTGTAATTGGGGAATTTGACTTGCATCGTGAAGGGTTCCGGCTGAAAACCAGAAAAATTCGCCGATTCGGTCGGGTTTGAGTCTCAGGTTTTTGCAAGCCATATGCCTTAGGTCGCCTACAATTATACGCCGCACCGTGACCTCATACACATTAATACTTCCAATTATGCACTTTTCATGCATTTTAGAATTGGCAGGTGGCTTTGCCACGCTATTTTGGGCGACATAACGGATCTGAGCAGTCACGAGTGCCGGCTGGGCTCCACCGCCTCGAGACAACTGTGGCTGGCGCTACCGGAAAAATATTAGATGTTCCGCAAACTCAGCGTAAACCGAGCCACGACTCTTAGTCGTATGTCGTTCGATTATCCCAATGAGCAAAATAAGACAGATTGGTGATGGTGTTTCGGTTTATGTTCGTTTCTGACTTCCCAATTAGAATGTTCAGATGATCAACTATTCCTTTCATTTCTTTTATTAGCTCTATTAACGTTGCCTCCACAGACTACCGCCTATCCTAGCTACGATTCTAGCTAAGACTGCCAATTGCCTCTGCATGTTTTACCTGTTTATTGTTGCATTGGCATAGACACTTACCACGGAATAAGGGATACCGGTGTCGTAGCTCCGTCCTGAATTTCCTTGGTTGGTGTCTTGGGAGGCGTCGACTAAACCATGAATCACTCATTCCGTTTCCCGAATTCCGAAAACCTCAGAGGAAAGGGTTTTCTCATTCATTTTTTGCCAGTTGGCTGGCGTTTACAGGATCAAATACATTCCCTCCAGCTTCGAGGTTTGGCCAGTCCCCTAGGCCAGCAAGAAATGTTGGACTCTTTCACATTAAGGTATTAATTTCCTTCACCGTCGATTCACAACTAATCCATAATGATGTCTGTAGCCTATCGTTGAATGATTGCATGCTCTCTTTCACATGGGATATGGACAAACTCTGGTCTTGCGAAACAATCATAGCCTTTTCACCATCCACAAGTTCCCGTTAACATCTTTTCCACGCTCGCCGCTTTTCCCTTCATCCACTATCTCGTCGAACCTACTATACCCAATCGCCATATAGAACCTCTCAGCATCTAAATTTCTCCCTTCCATCACTAGATGAACACCTTTCACGCCTGCCTCTCTCAGCTTATCCCACAAAGCCTCCATCAACTTCTTTCCAAACCCCTTCCGCTGGTAATCGGGTAGGATATCAATATGCAAATGTGCCGGATACTCCTCCACCAACCTTGGACAAGCATCATGTAGCATATCTTCTGGGTTATACAGCAACTGCAGAACCCCCAATGTGAGATCCTTCCCCCAATCCGCCGGCGGATCCATTTCCGGCTTTCTCAACAGCGGATCCAGCGATTCCAAGATGGGCAAGTACTCTTCCCTCCATTTCTTCGCAAACTCTAGCGTATTGGGTGCACAGATGACATATCCGACCGCATTACCATTCCCATCATCGACGGCAAAGCAATATTCGGGGCAGAGACGGAGGTACGGTACGTTCCAGATATAGGGTGCAATAAGATTCGGGGTGCCAGCTCGGAGAGCTGGACCGACGGTTTTTTTGCACTAGAAGAGAAAAGAGAGGGAGAAGTCGGCTCCTATAAGATCCCGCCTTAAGAATAGTAGGTGAAGACTAGGAAATACATACATACCACGTCGAAGAGAGGGGCAGCATCCTCCACCGGATCGGCGAGCCGCACGAAAGGCTGATGTTCAACCGACATTTTTTATAATTTAGGGCTTTGCTTTGCGTTGTTGTTTTTAACTTCCAACGTTTCCCCTGCAATTTGAAGCTTCTTTTGTTGACCCCTCAGGACAAAAGTTTGAGACTTGAAATTGAATCTCGAGGCTGCGCTTCAAGGACCTTTTAACATCAAATGCGTGTCCCACGGCCTAGCTTTAAAGAACGGAAACTTTCGACATCTATAGCTCTACCGTCACTAAACCCGTTCTACTCGGGCCAAGCGTGCTGAGAATCTTTCCGGCAGCCTTGAAATCGAAAGGATATACGGAGTAGACAATTCGAGAATCGGAGAATCAATACATAGCAGTGGGAAATTAAAGCTACATGTTACATGCAGTCCCACCTTGACTCACCCCACCCCACCAAGACCATAGGCATAGCTCCATCCCCACAGAGAGCTTGTTTGCACTTGCTAAATCATGTGTTCACATAATATTATATGATCTTAACGTTATCTGCTCATCCAGCACCGGCACATCTTCGGTTGAACCCCCCGAGGGCTCTCTATCTTCGAGACCGTTATTGTTAAAAAGTACCAAAGGTCCCGTCTACAGTTTCGGCACCTTATACCACCCTTAAATTTGTCAACAGATGTTCGTTCTCAATTGAGCTCACGCTTGAGCTCCCGGGCCTCGTTCTGCCGTGTGTTAATACGTGGGACTTCTGTGCGTTTATCAATCGATATCATATATCAAGTGACTATTATCCGATCAATTCATTTAAATAAAAACGCGGGAAGTTCACGAACCGTCCTAGCATTTTAGCAAAATATGTTAAAAACCGCTCAGACTCCAAGCCAAGACCAGGTTTTGCGGGGTAAGGGTATCTGAGCCCTCTCCGACGCGATGCACCGAGTTTCAGACATAAAACATTTACAGGGATGCCGACGGGTCTTTGATCCGGCCTAAATGGAAGTGGATGGGTGCTCGTAATTGTGTTGTATAATTATAACTCCTCCAACCAAACTGTGCGAAATATTCGAAATAGAGATGTCACTTTAACTCCAAAATAACCAAGCTCGTTACGTAGACATGAACACTGAGCGCAAACAGAGACGTTTCTAGATGTCGACCGCCTGTTATGTTATAATCGGGTCATTGAAAAATAAAAGGCTAACGTTAGCTTGTATCGTATGGAAACCGGTACCATGGTAGTCGGATTGACATTAGTATTGGAGCCAATTTATGTTTACCCCGGGAAGAACGTTGAAGATCCGATATCCCACCTAGCGATCTTTTGATCAATCCATGGCTTTGGAGGCTGATGATTGATATTGTGACAGTCCCTTGATTTCCAGGGTCAAACTAGTTTTGGAGATCACTTTAGGAGAAGTTCATGAATAGCTCGGGTGACTGTAGCGCGAGTGTGTCAGGTGGTTTATTGTATTTGTACTACAAGGTCAAATATTGAATTTCAAGAATCCATAGAAAAATTCATTGAGAAGCGGGTTCGGATGGAAGGTGATATGTAGATCTAGGCGTGTCGGTGGGTTTTAACCTTTGGAGAAAGTTAAAACATGTTAACGATGTCCTAAATTCTAAAACATGAGAGATCTATTATATATTAGAACTTTAGTGCACATGATCGGGGATGGATGTATTCCTTCATACCAAGCCATTCCATAATCTCTTTCAAAAGGTCACCGTCATATTGACACTCTCAAATGTTGTATTACAACGGAGGCTGCTCAATACCAAGCTTCTGGAAGACACACGGGTTGATAACGTTCTCCTTGCATCCGTATCTCTTCCCTATCCGGCAGAACCAAAAGGACTGCTAGCATAACAACTCCGATACAAAGCATGATCTTTGGTCCGATTTCTTGTAGAAGATAGAAAGTTGTAACGATGATAAAGGTTACTGGAATGGTAATGCAGGTGAAAAATAGCATCTATTGTTTGCGATTGTGTAGTTAGAACAGATTAGTATGATATCATCGTAGTATCAATATTGTGATTCCATGCATACTTCACAGGTACAATGATAGTACCAAATTAGAGTTTCAATCATTGTAGACTAACTCAGGAAGATCCATACAGCTTTGTGGAAAGAGTGGGCTTCTAAAGCAATTCTAGAAGGTGATTGAGGTTTATGAAGAAACACAGCCGATAGAGGTTTCTGATGATTTGCAAATTTGATCAATGAACTCTTGAGATGAGAGTGTTGTAGGTAACTTTATAATCTTACAATTCCTTTTGCACGATGCATCCGCGACAATATTCCTCCTGAATTCAGGAAGTGAACAAAAGTCTCAAAGTAACATCATCTAGCTTCTATTTACAAACATGGTAGAATGCCAGTAATATCACAAACCTTCTATGCTGAGAAGGGCTCTAGAGAAGATTGAGTATTACAGAAAAGTAAGCTAAGATTTAGAGCGTTTACTTGGACCTTATGGACACTTGATCTATCAACAATAACATAAAAGCCCCGCTTTATAGTTCTGTACGGAACGACGCGTATTGATGTTCCATAGGCTACGCTATTTTCCCTTACAGCAAATATGATTAAATCATGACTACCATAAGCTTTCGCCACAACTCAGACTTGCTTAAAAATGAAATTCTAACTGTGTACTGTCTGTGTTGGTGAAGGCGTCAACAAGGTAATACTGTGATAGATGGACCGAAGTGGTGGCCATTCAGAAACGATAGCGTAGAGTTGCTCTCTCTCTCTCTCTCTCTCTCTTTTGTACGATAAGGGTAAAATCGAAGGCCCCAATAATATTGAAATTAAAGAAAACGAGATCAAAGAACCTTACTCCGTCTCGCAGAGTGCTCGGTTTTCGTCGTTGATTCCACGATACTCAAGTGTCCCATGTAACCCTTCAGAAGCCCATCGCACACGCGCGATGCCCCAAGAAGTTTCACGATTATTCAGTATGCGGATGGCAGTTCTGGCTTCCACAGTATTGGGGAGATCAACGAAACAGTAGTAGGTATTGGGGTCACTATCACTTGGAGGAGCTTTGGAGGCGTGAATGTTGCTCAAAGATTCACTAAATATTTTTAGCTCCACTTTCTCATTTATGACGGATATGCAATCAGGGATGGCTTACATATGAAAGCCATGAAAAAGCTCTCTTATAAAATCCTCGAGTTGGTTGATATTGGTAACGTGTGGGAGACCACTAACCCAAAGTCGGGTGGATGCCGATTTAAGGCTGCTACCTTTCAATGCATCCCTCTTTTTAGAGTAGGTTTCTAGCTCGTTTAAATTCATCTTGACGTGGCGCCCTCGCATTTTTCGCAGGTCGAGGTTGGTGACAGCAGCATTGGCGTCTTCATGTGAGTCGAACTCAACTTGGCAAAAGTGTCCCCTTTTTTTGATTTCTGGCATGCTTATTGCTTTACTGGTGTTGATAATTATAATTAGTACACTAGGTTTTCTAATGGCTTCCAGCTATTGGATAGAACCTACATAGTAAAGCCGCCGCCCTCAAGCCAAATCGCAACGTCCGATGCTTCTATAGACCACTCCATATTGCCAATGTACACAGAACAACCATCCTCTATTGCTTGTGCTATGTGTCTTTGGTAGGTTGCATTGTCTAGAAAAAAGTATTGCCTATTTTCTGGGCACCATCTTTTCCATCGGTTCTGGATGGTAGAATGTTGGGAAGGGTTTTGAATCTGTGGGAGCTGGGGATTTTCATTAGGGTTAGATTGGGCCGTATTTTGGTGGTTTCGATTGTGGTGCCCGATAGAGGTGCCCAAGTGAATATTCGGATGACCGTAACGCCGGTCGCGGGGATTTTGAGACGTGTCTAAAGTTTGGTGATACCGGTTAGCTGTACCTGAATACTCCATTTGTAAAGCAGCAGATGGGGGCTCGATGAAAGGTATATACTCTGCAACTTTGTGTCGGTAGACGAAAGATCCATCCTGGGAAGCCAGATGGCACTGAGATGAGGAGCCCTAAGCGAGGTAAAAGGTAGGTAAGAGAATGGTTGATGGGATGGACATGAGAGTTAATTTTTACAGATATATCGATATCTGAACAGAAAATATTGAACACTTCCCACAGACGCAAGTGTCTTGGATACCGAGTCCTCAGGTCGGTAGAATTGCATCGTCGCCTTGTATCCCCGTCGCTGGGAGATAAATATTGACGAGTAGGTAGCTACTTAGGTAGCTAAGTAATGTTTGCGTGATATTACATCCATCTCAACCTCTGACTTTCTAGACTCTACATGTGCTGTCTGGCAAAACTGCAACCTCACAACTGGTTTTTGCCTCCACTGGGAGATATTGATGGGGGTTTCAAATCTTTATCAGGTGAGCTCCAGTTGATGAAAATATATGTATACTCCCAAAGGCTCTAAGCTGTCCTAGGAATCCAGAATGCCGGAGTGGTCCCGACTTTGAAGTCTTGAAGAAAGATAAAGCCTACAAACCTAGGTAAGTAGTTATTTATGTTATAACATACATCTGCATACACAGTTCTGAGAGAAGAGAATCCGGAGTCTAATATAATAGATGCATCATAGATATAGATAATCTATAAAGTATCAATCGGGGAGGGAGGTTAAGATTAGTCAGCCTGTGGTGTTAGGCATGTGCTGTGTCTTTATAGGCTGAATCCAAAGTCGACGTTCACAGATGAAACCTTGGTTTCGAAAGGGTCCTAAGACTTAAGTAAGGTTTCGATATCTAGCCTAATTGATGTTAGCTATTAAAGAAGCTTTCGCTTGTCGGACCTTGGCGGACCTGCTGACACTCATTACGAATCAGATTACGCCGAACGCGAACCTCCACGGGCCCCAGCCGGAACGTCTGCACCTAGATTTTGCACATTGTCTTCTGCGCGGACATGTAAATGTACCAGGCAAAATTTTATGCTGAAAGGCGACCCTTCAGTAACGTATCGTCGTCCGGTCCAGCTTGATAAACGACCACGCGGCCCGTCACTACGCACCAGAGCTGCAGAGTCACCTCCAACGTAACACAAGACTACCTACCCTAGCTAAGCATCACCTTCTGTCAGCAAACTGCTCAAAGCAAAGCGTCAATGACAAAGATTTTCAACAGAATTCCATAGATTGGTGTAGTTAACACATAAAACTCTCTACTCTTGGCTCAAAAATAACTATCCGGCTGGTAGATACGATCGATATTATGCAATCACGTATACAGCCATCAGAACCAATCCTCCAAGGCAAACCCGTTACGTAATATTACAACTTGATGAATAATCCCTCCGAAAGGTCATCTTTGCGCACAAAGATACGAGAAAAAATATGATCATAGTTTAACTTGGGGCAGACAATACCAGAATTCGGACAGAGGATCTTCTTAGAGCGCCATGAACGTAAGCCGGCTCGTCGTGCGAGCCGCAAAAACTACCGAATATCTGACCCAAATACAAGTCGGCCCGACTGAACGAAGCCTGTTTCCAAGCGAGCCAATCACACGCCAGCGGACTTAATATCTGCCAAGAGACTTCATTGCGTCGGCGGAACCATGGATGGCAGATGCAGGGGTACTGCTTTCGTTAGCCATTTCGTCACCTGTAGCTGTAGGAACAGAACCCACCGGTGGGGTCTATTCTTGCTTGATGATCTAAGCTACGGTGTAACTTAATGCTCCCGATTCCGTTTTAGTCAAAGCTTAGTGTGAGAACTGGTAGGTCTTGTGCGCCACCATTGAAGTTTATAAATATAGAGACCTTGAAGCTATCATCGACGCTTTCTTAAAACATCAGTTCACAAGAATCAAACACTTCATCCCAAAGCACGAAATCTAAAAATATCCTCAACAATACAACAGATCTCTTTCTCCCTCTCTCCCTCTCCTCAAAATCATAAAACAATATATTAATATAGTAGTTATACCAAGACAATGGCACAAGCAACAAAGACAGTCGCTTTCTTCGGCGCCACAGGTGGCACTGCACTCGCAGCTCTCGAGCTGTCCCTCCGAGCAGGCTACCAGTGCTCTGCCAGTAAGCTCATGTGAAACCCGTAGTTAAGTTATCGTCTCATTACTAACATACATACCTACCTGCAGTCGTCCGCTCAGCCGAGAAACTCAAAGAAATGCTCTCAAATGATACTCCAACAGCCAATCTCCGCATCGTTCAAGGAGACGCTCTGCAACCGGAACCTGTTCGCGAAGTCCTTGTTGACCCCTCCACAGGAACAGTTGTGGACACTATCATATATGGTCTTGGCGGGCGCCCCACTAGCCTCAACCCTCTCACCGCAAAATTCCTTTTCCCACATATCTGCGAAGATACCACAAAGGTTATCTTATCAGTCCTTGAATCTTTCCGGCCCGCGACATCACCACTCATCTGTTCCGTATCAACGACTGGTGTGAGCGGATCGAACGATGTTCCATTCTTCTATGGTCCTTTCTACCACTGGATGCTCAAGACCCCCCATGACGACAAGGGTAAAATGGAAGAGTTGGTTAAAGGTGGTGGCACAAACGGCACATTCCGAGACTGGATCCTTATTCGCCCAACATTACTTTCAGACGGGGAAGCAACACATGGACAAATCAAAGCCGGATATGAAGGAATGGAAAAAACCAAAGATTTTGGAGGACAATTAAGCCTCGCTAATGGTGGAAGCGGTTGGAGGAGCGTGAATGGTAATGCTATCGGGTATATGATTTCACGAAAGGACGTCGGCGCGTTCATATTTGAAGAGGTGGTTGTTAACGGCGGCAGCAGGTTTAGCCGGAAAACGGTTACCTTGAGCCACTGGTAAGATAAAAGCCCCCGAAATATCCGGTCAAGGCCTCGCAAACCATACGGCGCAATTGCGCAAAGCCCTCTGGGTTTACTTCAATTATGTCCCTATTTTCATGTAGTAGTTAGAGTTGGAGTTTGAGGAAATGGGGCGTTTTGTCGGGAATAATTTTTCCTGCGGTTTTATGCTAGCAATAATTCAATATTTGTGTGCTTCTACTGCATAGGAATGCGATCGCCACGTACTTACATGTATAAAAGTCGTAAAATAGGGGTGACGTTCCCATTAGTTACGGTTGGGTTGATGTGGCCTAGCAGCTAACTGTTTGTAACTAAAACTGATGATAAATTTGGCAGATTTGTGGCGGCGTTCTAAGGCTTAAAACTCTTCTGCCTGGTAACTTTGATACCAATACGAGTACTACTACTTTATACAAGACCAATCATGATTCGAAAAATGGGTTTGCCTAGTCCCGTATTAAAACGCTTCGGCACACTTAAATGTACCTGGGATTCCTAATCCACCAACATCTACCAAGAAATGATCCGCCTAGATATTAGCCCATTCTAGACCAACAATATATTACATTGTGCGCTGTTTTCGATCCGCGAGAAGGTCAGCACAATGTGGTCACGTTAGCAGTTATAGTATCACTCCGATGGAAAGGTGCCGTCTCATCAGAGTCGATCAGAATTTCAACTCGTTTTTTTTTTTTCGTTAACGTTGCGGAGTTTTAGGCCACATGAGGCTCCCTATATGTATAAACTCTCTTGCAATATCGATCTTTGAACTTTATATGGACCACGTTATTTAAATCTATTTGCATTTTTATTAAGATTTGTTTCGGTCTTCTGGTAAAATAGCATATCTTCATTGTTACCTACATCAATCGAGTTGGTTTTCTCCAACTATGAGGATAAGGACCTTGACCCCCCGGTTTTTCTTGGTAGTATTCCTTGATTCAATCATCAACAATGCACACGCTCGGCCATGGGAGCCCGCTGTCAACTACACATCGAAAATCGGCACTCTCGATCAATACATTGAAATATACTACGCCATCTTGAAAAAGGAATATAGAATGGACATGGAATACAAAAAATTGTTATTAGAATGGGCGGAGCATTACGCGCTGGAGCCTCGACAAAAAAACATATATGCAACAGAACACGAATCTTTCGGCCTCCTGGCTATGAGTATATCAGTGGGCCCTAATCAGACCGCCACAAGTACCAAGGGAAAACTGCCCCTCGAGATTAAAGCTGGTGTAAGCGCACTACCCAATTCAATAAAGAGACATATTTTATAGGCAGGTTGCTGCCAATTGTAAAGATGTTAACTTGTCTAATCTTATCCGCCATATTCTAGTTAACAGGTTATCAACGAATATTCGGAGACGCAGTGCACCCACAAGGCGAGCCGTTCCACGAAGACCCACCCCCCTGGTTACGGTTCGGGCCGGCTGATCATGACGGGTATTATCTTGATAGACCAAAAAGGGTATGGTTGAAGAAGAAGGTTGAGGGCATGGTTTCAGACGCCGAAGACTTGAAAAGAAATTCCAAACGTGTTTCGCAATCGCCAGTTGAAGGTAGTATAGTTGATGAGATATTCCTTGATTTGCAAGTTATTTCCCAGCCGCCGGGCACCGGCATCGAAGATCTTCAAGGAAATTTCTGGAATTTCAAAAACCGGGGAGATGAGCAACTCGTATATGTCGTCGATACTGGGTGCGACATGGACCATCCCGTGAGTGGACCCACTCATTCAAACCTTTGCTACAAAGTAATTATATACAAGCAGTTAATCCATCGTTTAAATTGATGATAATACAGGAAGTCAGCGATATCCGGTTCCGAAAGGATTGGATATTTGCAGGGGCTGCCTTCCCATCGGACGAGAAGATAGACTCTCATAGCGCTTTCAATTATAAGCACGGTACAGCAGTAACTGGTCGCGTAGCTGGAAAACATACTGGTGTTGCACAAGATGCTGAAATAGTCATCGTCAAGACTTCGGACGGAAGGGGCTCTCTCGTTTACGATACGACGATAGACGCCTTATTAAAAGTCTACAGTGATATACAGAAAAACCACCCAAGAAACTGTATCGTGAATTATTCAGCGGGATGGTATAACCCACCTAAGAAACTTTATGGTAGTGAATCGGTGTTAAAAGAGTTTGGCCTGAGATTTCACGCGCTGGCATATGAGATCCTATCGGGTATCGCTAAGCTCGAAAATGCAATACTAGTGGCGGCAGCAGGGAACGGCGAAGCAGTAAGTATCTATTCCCCAGAAGCTCAAGAGAAGAAACTATATTGAATTTCAATTCAAGCCTGCCCAAACTCTTCAAAATTTCCCCTTCGAGCTTGTCGGAGTACGATAATAAAACAAAGCATACCCTAACTCCTCCACAAAAAATGGTGTGCCTAGGGAACGCCCGTCGACATATATCCTGCAATGTTTGGGGGCATTCCGGAGCTTCAAGATAGATTTGTTGTAGTAGGGGGTTATGATCCTGAATCAGGCCTCGTTGCAAACTCTTGGGCAGACTATATCAGGGTCGTCGCTCCGTCTGTTTCCGTTAACGTTGCCGGCTTCTACATTGACGGAGAATTAGCCATACCACCGAAAGGATATTTGCAACCACCGACCGAATTGCAAAAGAAACTCCAACTAGAGAATGCAGATGGAACGTCATTCGGTAAGTACTAGGGTCCATTCGCGAAAGAAATTCTATAACAGCTGATCCACTAACATAGGCTTGAAAATCCATAGCTTGTCCGACTGTAGCAGGAGTGATTGCAACACTGCTAGGGGCTGGGGTACCACTGGTCGAAGTCGTTCCATATCTCTATAGTCTAGCTTACCCAAGGGTGAAAAACGGGCCGAACGTAGTTTACAACGGCATTAAGATTCATCGGTGGCCTCAAAGCCTATGGCCAAGTTGGTATGCTAAAACTTTGGCCACACACACCAAACCTGTTTCAACAATCACCATGCATGGTTCAGCATTAAAAACAAAGTATGCGACATTCTTAGAAGAGAGGTCCAGAATCGGTACCAAGACAATATCCGTTCATGGATCAGCCAGAAAGACCTTGTACACCAGCTACTGGAAGCGTGAAACAAAACCGACACTACCTTCAATACCCACCGTGGCACTTTGATATCCAAGTAAGTACAAAAGTACTAGCTAGTGGTATCTACAGGTACTTAGTTATATTTACGTGAATATACATTTTTATAACTGTTTTGTTTTTATTGGCTATTCCCACGTTAGTAAGGATGTTTGCCAGTTTAAAATGAATGCTTTTGGCGTACCATTGTAGGAAGGAATGACAGAGAAGCGAGCGACTGCAGAATATGATGAAGGGATTGTATAAATTATTGCTTTGGGTTTTTCAAAAGACCACAAGCATTTTCGAGGACAGAGGATGAGGGCGTAGAAGATAGAAGGTGCAGAAGAGTACTTGAAGGACAATTCAAGTTGGTAGAGAGGGTAGAGAGGATGCATAGACAGAATGTCTCACAGAGGACGCCAACAATCGCTCATGGTAAAAGAAAGCGTGAAGAGAATCCTCTCCAGAATATGGTAGAGTAACACATATCACACGTACCATATAGAATACATGGACGCGAGAAAAAAGAAGAAGGAAAAGAACAAGAAGAGAAGCCGACTGAACCATCTCAGTCGGTTTACGGTGGGACAGAGGCATTATAATAGGTAGAAGAAGAAAATAAAGAAAACGCTTTATACATATATATCTATATCATTATAAAAGAGTATCCTTCCGAGTGGTTGTCGATGAGCCTTGCGAGAGGTAAACCGCTAAATCCCGCGGATTCTGCCGCTGCAGAAAGAGCACCTCCAGAAGCCATGGGAATGGATACTCTTGAGGTCAACTTTCGAGCAATTAATCTCGTTGCGACATCCCCATTTTTTCTTATCTTTGACCTTCTTGATGGCAGCCGCATCCGTAAGATCAGCCTTTAGGTTAGGGCTAGAACGCATCTGGATAAGACGAGGAGAGAGATGACGAGTAGCCAACGAAGCTGTTCCGATGTGGATAATAGTTGGTGGAGTAGGATGAAGGCCCTTCTGGGTTTCGCTCTTAGCTTCAAGGGCATCCTCAAGGTCATATTCACTGCCAAGAGTGCTAATCGAGTCAGCAATGGAGGCATAATCGCTCTCGAAATCTTCGCCCTCGTCGAGTTCGTGGACGATAATTTCGTCTTCATCTTCAGTCTCGGAATCAAGGTAGGACCCCTCAGCGCCTCGCATTGGAGTCGGCGGCTTCATTTGGTCTGGATTGACGCGGAAATTGCTGTAAGGCTTGCGCATTTGAGGATTTTTCAGGAAGGTTTTGGTGATGATATCCGCGGTGATAGGCTTTGGATGCTGATCAGTAGAGCTGGAGCTTCCATTGCAGGCAGTATCACACATCCCTGGCATAGGCTTCTTGGGTCGGCCAAGTAGAGTGATAGATTTAGTGCGACGGAGGCCCCCGAGTCCGGAAACCCAACTCAACTTCTTGGAAGTCGGTGGAGGAGTGGTAGTAGTGATGGGAGCAAGAGGGTTGAACGGCCGCTCGGTCCCATCAAAAGAGTCGGCAGCACGAACTGGGAAGTTGTCGCCAAAAACATGGCGAAGGTCCTTTTTCTCCTTCTTCTCGAACTGATCGTCAGCAAGACCCGTTCGTCCGATCCAGTAAAAGTCAGTAGCCTCAAATTTTTCCCAGTCCTTATCAGAGAAGAAATTGCAGTCGATTCCACGCCCACCGCAGCCGCATTTTGTGTTAATATCAGCTTTGCACCCTCCGGGGAACCGACCATAGGCACACTCAACAACTCCAGAACGCTCGAACATCTTTGCTTGTTCCTCCTGCCAGATCTTAGCATCGCTAGCACAGTCACTGCAAAGCATAGTCTTAGAGATAAGACAGTGGCAGAAGTCCTTGTCCGGGCACTTAGTATCACCGCTGAGATTCGTGACACTAAGTTGGTTGTTGGAAAGGTAGACAAAGCCAACTGTGGATGGAGCTGAAGGACTGGTGTCGGGTTCAATAACGGAAGCATAGGACCCAGGAAGCTCAGAGAGGTGATTCTCGCAGAGCCGATGATAAGGGAACTGGTCGATGAAGGCTGTGGTGCCAGTGTCGCATTCCTAGGTGATAAGAAAAGAATGTCAGGGAGAACGAAGACTATTAATAATGGTCGATGAAGGGAAGGAACTTACGAAACAGAACAGCGATTCGCACCAGACACATCTCCAAGATCGGTGCTCCCTGCAATCGTGACCCCATGGTTTGATACTGACTCGTTTGCTAAGGGTAGCTGCAGGCTCCATCGGGAGACTGCCGCCAGTACAAGCAGCAGCGAGCATCTTAGAGGCTGCAGAAGAGGCAAGCTGATGCTAGAAGTTATATCAGTGGTGCTTATGGAAGGTTAATTTACCAGAACGAGCAAAAAGTATCTGAAAATCCACCCTGTGTCTTAGGTGATCTCCCCAGGATGATTACCATCTGAAACAGAAAAGTAAGAGATCAAAAGAAGGGATGCTAGCAACTGTTCTCCAGGGCGGATAATTAAGCAAGCAGTCAGCATTTACCATATCAGAGGAAAGGTCGGTGGCTGTGGCCATAGGTTGGTGAAGGCAAAGTGATAACCTACATTGAAGAATGGGACGAAGGAGGGTAGGAGGGTAAGGGGTACTAGCCAGAGCCCCGAAAGGTATCTAGAATGGTGTTGGATGTTGGATCAGATGTTAAAGAGAAGGGGTGGTACCAGTTGGGTTATAGCGGTGGTGATGACGATTGTGATGAGGGAAGGTGGTAGCTGGTGAGAGGTGCGATATTGTTAGATCGGGCTTGAGTCGGGGAAAAACTTATTTCGCAGCTGGACGTTGGACTCGACTCGATTGATGGGAACAAGTACCTGCAGCCTGTGACACCACATCTTCAAACTTGGTTGTTCAACCCGGGTTATCAATTCACTGCTACTCAAGTGACCAAGCATCTAGGTCTTTACCGATGTAAGTATGGACCTACAGTCTTGATCTCGATCTCGATCATTGAACCAAGACTCTCCAATTCACCCAAGGCTCTGGATATTAGTGTTGCTTGAACAAAGAGCTCGCCGAGTCCAAAAACCAAAAATTTGCCCAATCATGGCGCTGTTCCTGGTCCGAAGGTATGCACAAAGACAGTTCGAAGTTCAGCTCGCAGTTCAGCCAGAGACATCGTAATATACATAAAACGAGACGTCCGTTCCCGAGAAATACAGCATCCCGACGAAACCATCACTCAAGTTACACAAGCTAACGGCAGAGTACCCTGCTAACCGATTTGGGTAGTTCAGTCCGGCGTTCATTGGTCAGCAGGCCCTTGCCAATTCCCAGAACTGCCTGAAAAAGCTTGTTGACTGGGACATTGTTGTATTTCGGTGCAGGTACAGATGCATTTCCCCTCCGGCTTCCGATTCAAATTCAAGACAAATGGATCAGCCATCATTCAATTATTCAAGATCATAGGGCTCAGCATCGAATACGTCATTTCCTTGCAACGGAGTGTATCCTATGTCCACATCTTCCAAGTCATTTCCTTGTGAAGGTTTCCGCCTATCTATGACCCAGCTGCAGTAACTTCTCCCAGATTTACCGAGGGCCTCTAAGGGCATGTTAATGAGAATAGATCGATTCTTAAGCAATGTTGGGATGGTAGTACAGGTCCACCCAACTTAGAAGGGTCTGGTAGTTCCCCGTTCCACAAAGCAAGGAATTGTATCCTTGATCTCTTCTTTTTTTTCCCCTTTTTCTTTTTTTTCCGGGATCGAGGCCAGTCTATGTACGCTGTCAAAAGAATACCCGGGTCCTAGTTTGGTGAATTATTTAGATGCGAAGGAGCATGTGGCTTTTCGCATGCAACTGTATCTAGCCTTGATCAGGCACGGATGAGGACGGGGGCATACGCATGCATCAACATAAACATATATGTCCAGGTATTCATGTGCAATGCATGTAGAGTACTCGCGTTTATCTTGTAATGGATATATTTTGCGAACTTGGAGTCTGAAATTGCAGGCAATTGTAAGGGAAAGCCAAGTGATAATTTGATCTTCGAACTAGGCTTCGTTTCACGTTTTCAGACCGAAGCATGTTGGCCATGTCCATCACGGATAAGACTGTCGGTCCAAACTGTTCGCCTAAAATCAATTAGCTGAGACAACCTATAGCTATGGCAGCCTTTCCATGAAGTTAAGCCTGCCAGGCGATGAGGAGCAAGTGCGTGTTGTAATATTAAAATATATGTAATACGGAATCGATCCAAAAAAATCTATAATTCGGTCTCAAGACCTTAATTAAGCATAACCTTGGGCTGGCGGCCGCAGCTTGGACGTATATATATACCTTGCTATCCATGGAAGCTCTAGCCGCAGGATTTTTCCATGACGCTAGATCTCTTGTACCTCCGATGACTATCCCAGCAATCCCTTGACCTTTTCGTGTCTTATTCTCGATTGGTTTCGAATTTTTAAACACTGTAACAATTAATAGCCTAATCACATTACTCTACGATCTTTATCACAACTTTCCCCCCATTACTACTGCCCCTCCCCATAACTACCTCAGCAGCTTGCCTACAACCGGCTTGGTCAAACTTATGGACCTCTCCAACAACCGGCTTAACTTTCCCTTCCTCCACTAACTTTCCCACTGCTGCCAAATCCTCCCCGTTTGGTTTCAACCAGTGGTAATCATACTCGACCCCCCGTTTTTCAGCTGGTCCAGTGGTCCTCCACCAAGCGTATAAATCCAATCCGGATGAAACATACCACGGTGTATCTGGGAAATGAGATCTCATACCATCACCATTCGGCATGGCGGCTATAGAGATCATTTTGTGCTTTTCTTTTAGCAAGGGGAAAAGCGATGATACATTTCCTCCAGCAGTGTCGAAGATAAAGTCGAGTGACCGGGGCTTTATGACTTGAGCTGGATCCTCGTTTTTGTAATCGATGTCTTCTCAATTGTTAGTGTATGGATAGAGAGCAGAGTATAAACCCATTCCGCAACTCACATTGATCCACAACCCCGGGCAATAACTCCTTTGCTCTTGCCATTTTCGATCCAGACATCGTCGTGGTGACACGTGCTCCAAATGCCTTCGCTATCTGAATACCAATGCTTCCGGCTCCACCCACTGTCGTAACATTAGCCTTCACTCCCAGGAACAAATCATAATCCACATCCACAATTGGGTCGGAACCATACTCCCGGCAGTAACTAGTACATTCTTATCCTTTAACCCCTCTCTCCCGCCTTCAATTCTTCCCAAAGCCTGGTAGGCAGTCATAGAAACCAATGGTAAGCTCGCCGCTTCCACATGAGATATATTCTTCGGCTTCCGAGCCACATAGGAACTTGTCGTAAGGGCGTATTCACTCAAACTCCCTTTTAACCCGCCCTCAGAGAAATCATCAGTAATAATCCCTTGCGTTGGAGATCATTTCTACGTACCCCTATGCTCATGCGGCAATCTCACAAAAACTTCATCTCCAACATTCCACCCCTGATTCTTCGCTTCGTCCCCTACTTGTTCAATAACACCACTGGCATCATACCCAATCTTCGAAGGAAACTCTTGTGCAGGAAGCATTGGCTTCATGGTTCCTTCCGCATACCTCATGTCAATGGGGTTTAGGCTTGCAGCATGAACCTTTATTAACACATTATCCGGCGTTGAGACTGCTGGTTTAGGGAGCTCCCCCAGCTTGTATGTAGAAGGTTTCCCGTACCCCGCAGGAAGAAAGAAAGAACGCATTGTTGCCGTCATTTTGTTGTATTTTTACACTCTTGTTTGAAGGAGGCCAAAAGTCCTGATGAATATCAAAAGATCGTGACGTAGTACCGTTGTTTCTTCTTTGTGATCTAAGTTCGATGACGTCAATAATTTGTTGGCGTAGTAGTTTTGGAGAATATCCCTAAAGGTAAATGCCAAAAAATACCATGAATGTCGAGATAGAATGTATCGACGAAAGGATACCTATGGTTTCTAATTGGGCGGGCGCACGATATCGATAGTTGTCGGTAAATATTAATATCGTGTATCTAAAGTAACACTTTGATGATGCCTAAACTTGCATTGTGAGTAACTTTGAGTCTAGTGACCAGCCACTGGCAGGCCATTGGCATTTTATACTTCTCAGCCGCCAGGACTCGCACGCAAACAAAATAGATCTAAAATAACTGATCTCAGCTCTCCATCACAATTGCACAATATTCTCTTCGGCTAAACCGTCTGCGAATAATTCCAATTCCAACCCGGATATCAAGGCTGCCGAGACCGACTGTTTCTAGTTTAGCAGCATGCTTACGCGGAATTTTCCAGAATTCATAAAAATGTGAGACCTTTCGCCTGTTAAAAAGTGGAGCAAAGTCAGGATTCGGCGCCTATTTACGTTCCGACCTCCGACGGTCTTGCGATCCTAGAAGAAAGCTTGTCCATGTCGCCAATTCCTCAAGCTACTATCAATCGGTGCTACATTTTCATGACAGGGGTAGTCATATAGCTAAGGCGGATTCGGAATACTTGTGGGAATCAAGGATGATGGCATGCGGCAGGCGTGTGAAACTATTAATATTTGTCCCAGCCAGATTATGGATTAACTTGCCTGTAGGAAAGTGCGTATTTTTGGTCTTACACTGTAAAGCTTCACGAAAGGCGCCAAGGATACCAACGTATCCTTCTTTTTTGTCAATTTTTTGAGCTTCATTAAGGAAAAAAAAAGAAATACAAAGATGTAAAAAAAAGGATGTAAGCGTACTACAAATATATACTACTACGGTTGATTTTGTTGAATAAAAAATAAAAAAAAGGGAAGGGGAATAGAGGCAGGTGTAACGGGAGGGCGAAGGGTTTGGAGAAGTGAATATGAAGAAAGCGAAAAGGATACAAAGAAACAAGACCACTTCCTCGTTTTAGAGGTGTCGAAGCAACAGAATAGGCACGCGATGAAGGAAACCATACAAATGAAACGGGTTCGATGTGACAAGACATTAGACTTCCCCTCCTCTCTTCTCTCTTTCTCTCTTTCTCTCTCTCTCTCTCTCTCTCTCTATTTCTTTCGGTAGCTCTCCATTCTATCGGTTCTTCGAACAGTAGTCAAGGAAAAGTAGTAGTTCTGTATTCATGTGTTTGCTCTGTGTCGCACACGGTTATTCCCAAGCTCCACAAAAAAAAAGTGTCTGTTAAAAGGGTTAGAATAAGAAGAGAAATTGACAATAAGGAGATATTTGCTTGACGTAGAGTCTGTGAATGGTGGGGGGGGAGGATTGGTCGGGGAGGTTAGATTATATGGAGAGAAACAACACACAACCCGCTCACAAAACATAGAAAAAAATGTGACACAAGGAGAAAAGGATATTGGAGGGCGTTCGAGGTCGTACGTGAGGAGCATTGCAAAAGAAAGGCGATGTCGCAGCAAGAAGGTGTCCAATACGAAGAGGAGGTGGTTCCTTTCAAAGGGTTCGGTATGTGCTCGCAACGTCCGACTAGTTTCGTAGCGAGAAACCCTTTCTTTTGCCCTTCTCTTCGAGAGGTCGTCCGCTTTCGACTCTGCTCTTTTTGTCCTCGAGGTCGAGTCTCTGCTTTTCCAATTGCTCCTTCATCTCGCGATGTCGGGCGTATAATTCTTCTTCGCTTTGCATCAACTTGCTCTCCTTTTCGGCGACCTTCTGGCTGAAAACCATCTTCATCTCGGCCTCCATCTTGGCGAGCTTGGCCTCGTGAAGAGCTCTTTCCTCTTCTTGCTTGACAGCGGGGTTGACCTCCTTGAAAACGCTCGGGTCTTGGATGACACCCATAGTCTCGAGCTTCTCGCTTCTGTAGTTCTCGTAGAGGGTGTTGGCGGTATGCTCCTTCAATTCCTCCATGTGGGTGCGGATAAGCATTTGTCGAAGCTTAACGAAGTCGCAGTGCTCTTCGTTATCGACCTCGATGACACCCCACGGGTAGCGTCTGCCACGAACCAGGCGACCATTGTTATCAGTCACTTCTGTGTTGGCTCCGACAACCGCGAAGGGGACCTTGGACATGATCTCATTGTTTTCGGCAATGGTCTCGTCGTCATCAAGTTCGTAGCGGGGCCCTTCAAAGATCTGGATGGAGTGGTGTTGGATGTCGGCCAAGATCTAGGTCTAGTTAGCAGCTTTTCCTGTCTGGGATGGGACTGCGCTTCAAAATGCACTTACCCTCTTCTTGAAAAGGGCGACTTCCTCATCGGTGAGGGTGTCCGCCTTGGCAATGACGGGAATGAGGTTGACCTTGGTATGCAATCGGCGCATAACTTCGATATCCAATGGCTTCAAGGAGTGGCCAGTTGGCTGGATGAAGTAGACACACGCGTGGATTCTGTTATCAACAATATTGATACGGTTGACCTTGTTTTCAGCATCAAGGTACGCGTCGAAACGTTGCTCGATGTTGTCGATGATTGGGCGCCAGGACTCATCATTGTTAACGAAGTCTCCAAACCCGGGAGTGTCGACAACGGTAAGGCGAAGTCTGACACCGTTTTCCTCAATATCCGCAGAAATGGACTGAATGGAAACAGTCTTGGGGATGATCTCCAAAGATGGTCCCTTGCGCTCCTTTGGAGGATAGAGAGATGTGTTGAAGAGGGTATTTACGAGAGTAGACTTTCCGAGACCGGATTCACCTGTTATTCCGGAATTAGCTTTTTAAATGCCCCCCTGAATCGAGCTTAAAGTCACGTCGATGGTTAAGGTTGATATTGTCTCTCGGTTTAACACCATACCGACAGCATCCTTCCCACCGATACTATTAATTTCAGCGGAGTAGGGCGGAAGATTACATACCAACAACCATAACATTGAAGTTGAAGCCTTTACGGACACTCTTTCGATGCCATTGGTTCGGCAGATTGGCGAAACCAACGTAGCCAGTCAACTTTCTCCTGACAATATTCTTTGGATCTGTGGTCGATGGCGGGAAGCCGATGGGAAGAGTCATCGATTCAGACTTGGCCGGCGGCGAAGAGTAGCCGCTGGTATTATCCTGTTGGTAGTAGCTTGATTCGGCTGCAGCTCCTCGAAGTGGGCAGATGCGAGATATCGTCAGTAGTCAGTCAAACACGTCACGATTCCAGAGGGAAAGGGGAGGTTCTGGGAAGCAATTGGAGATGATGACGGGGCGAATATGACTCTAGGTCGCGTAAATTCATCGAAAGAACGCCCATTTGACACCGAAGGGCGAAGCAAGCGGTGAATTCGCGCCGTCATAACAGGGGGTAGATGGAAGATGTATCGTAGAGGGCAAGTAGCTTACACATTGTGTCGTGGTATACCCCAAGTTCCAGCTAACAATGGTAAACAGGCCGGTGTATAGCAATGGTTATAGGGAAGGAGGGATCGCTTGCGATGCCGATAGTAGAGAAGCGGTGGGGGTATCAAGAACGGATGGTGGTGATGATGGCGATGGAGGAAAGAAAGCTGGGGAGTGGTAGACGAGAGGGAGAAGAAGGGGAGGTGAGTGACAATCAGAGCTGCTGCTAATTTGGGTCAGGGTGAAATTCAACACCGCAAAATTTGTGGCATGCGTCCAACAACACCACCAACCGGCGACGACAGTGCGACGTCTCACTGACCACCGACCACGACCATTTAGGTTTATTACACTCGCGCTAACGAGGACTACGGAACGGTTATCATGAGGTATCCAGCACGGACTGTGACTATGAGCTACACGTATACGAACTATGAGACCGCCGGTTGCACCGCTTGAGAATACATTGATTGCACTGTCCCCACGAGGTCATACATAATGCTTTGATCCCGATCTTTGTTGGATTTCGCAACCCCAATAGAGAGAATTCGAGAATCCATCGACCATGAAACGCCCTCTCGAAAAAGGGGTCGCAAGCCAATTTCAACCCACAAACGGACGTGCAGCCAGTTGAGTGGCCCTGACCATGGCCCTGACCAAGGCCCTTTCCTTTTCGTCCCTGACCCAATAATTTGCACAAGCGAGCATTCGCCAAGAAGGTTTCCGAAAGGAGAACCCCAGCATTTGCATTCCAAGCGACTGATCTGATAAGCGAACGATATCTCCGTCTCTTCTTTGACCGGATAGGAAGTTTCGGAAGAATCGAGAAGCAATCGGTCCACCGGCAAGTGCCGATGTATGGGGCTCCGTCTGCACAGATATCACATAATCGCGATATGTGACAGGATACGGGTACCTTACGTACGCATGTTACATCGTTGCATCAATTCTTTGGGGAATACCCCGATACACCGAGGGATTTAGATCCATTCGATCAATGGATCTTCTGCGCCTTCGCGCTAATTTTCTCTTCGAATCTTAGGCGGTCCGTAAATGGTATCCAATCCGTCACGTGGCAATCTATGAGTACCCATGGCTAGGAGATTCATAATCTACCAAAATCTTTAAAAAAAGAAATTTGACTTTATATATAGTTGCTTGGTAGCGATATTCACACCCGAGCGCTTCAATTTTTGGTAAATCCCAGTCTCGTCCAATATATTATCTTACGTTTACAACCTCGATAACTTCGGCCAGCCAAGAACGGAGACTGGTTGCCACCAGGGATAAGCTGAGGGGGCATCTTTCTGTATAGTCCCTGTAAAATTCGGCGGCCGCTTCTCCAAAAACGACTTGACACCTTCCTTATTATCACTAAACCCATCATCATTGCTCAGTCTTAGTACTAACTCCCTAGGATCCCAAATAAGAACGAAAAGGCAAGGAAACTTACGAGCTAGAAAACATCTCATATATCAACCTAGAATCCAACAAATGCTGGGCTTCCGCACTGCCAGTATCCCTATACATCATCTCTTTCATCAAATATGCTGCTAGGGTGCTAGTATTCTTCACAATATCCTCTGCCAAGCCCAACGCCTTGGGAAGCACCTCTTCAGGTGAATCCGCCAGAGCTGTGAATAACCCTTCAACCAAAGGGTCATCTGCTCTATAAGTTGCACCCGTAGTGACCATGTGTAAAGCCTTCGCCATGCCAATAAGCCGAGGGAGGAAGAAGGATGAACATGCCTCCATTACCAACCCACGTCGAGAGAACACAAATCCAATCTTTGCGGCCCGGTAAGCTACACGGATTGTCATCGGGAGGGTCATCGTAATCCCTACACCAACAGCAGACCCTTGAATAGCGCCAATAACCGGTTTTCGGCATTGGTGGATTGCGAGAACGGTCTGACCACCTCTATATTCCGATTGGCAGGTGTTAGTATTCAGGCTTTCAACCTTCTTCGATACTCGTAGATCAGACATAAGGCAGGGAATTTCAGATAGACGTACCCATCTCTGTGATCATTCACTCGTTCCTCGCCGCCTCTGAATCCAATTTCCAAATCCGCGCCAGCACAGAATATTTTGCCGTGACCAGTCATTACAATGCACTTAACACGGTCATCGGCGTCGAAAAGGCCAAAGGCCTCAATCAATTCGCTTCTCATAGTAGGTGTAAACGCATTATGTTTCCCGGGTCGGTGAAGCGTTAGGATGACGATAGGAGTAGGAGTTGGTGAAGATTCCGGGTAATGCGAAACGCGAATTTGTTGGAACGGCAGTGTAGCGTAAGACGAAGGTGGCGTAAAAGCCGTTTTATCAGAGGCATAGCTTGACGGGGCCATGATTACCCTTTATTTGTGTAACAAGTTCTCAGGAGGAAGAAGTGCTAAACTTAATTTAAGTCCAGCTATGAAGATATCTTCAAAATACTGAACGGTCTTGGGAATTCAATAAGGTAACATACTTATGCATATGTACGGAAGTTAGGTTCGAATAGGATATACCCCCTTGATATAGCTGCTAGAGATGATAGGATAGGCGGCTTAACCGGCCTCAAGCCCGGCCCAGGCGAGACTTAAATCGCGGGAAGAATTGGGGCTACTTCTGACGGGAGAATAGAATCGCCGTTTCCCTATGAAACTGGGTTATAATTACCGGTCTGGGGAAGTCAGAGTACTCACTCCACACTCACTCAGCTTAGGCCGAGGCAATGTAACATGCAACACACGACGCATAGCTCAAAGCTCGATGTCTTTTGCCTCGGCTCGGCTAAGACTGCATTAAATAGAAGGGGCCCGACTAATCATGCCTCATTGCAGAGGAGCGGTCAGTCATGGCTTCAATACGAATCTAGTCCCAGATTAAATCCATTATAATTACTAAGTACTTACTAGAAGGTATTCGTGTCGGTGGCTCAATGAAATGGTGGTTTGTTGTAGAAAGTGTGTTGTTCGAATTCCCAGCACTGGCCGTCCGGAGCCTCAAGCTTAGGTTGGTCTCGTTGCTCAAGGCCTATAGTAGTGTTAGCTTGGTCCAGATACTAAGTACTTACCTATAGATGTAGTCTGGATATTCATAATAGCCGATGACCGCTAGCAGTTTCCTAAGAGCTTCTAAAACGAACAGACCTAGATATTGTCTTTGCATTGCCCTTCAAGCCATTCTAAACGTTACAACAGTCAAATTGCAAAACGAATCTTGCAATTGTAGAACTTAGGGATTACCAGGGACAAAATCTCAAAACTCGAAGTACAGGCGCTAATTGTAACTAGGCGAAACTACTATTTAAGGATATATATCCGAAGCTTCGTGCCTCAATTGCCCAAGATAACTCTGGAACCCTTGATAAGCCTTGTAGCTACTAGTGGGCTGTAGAGTTCAAACCAAACGCTCATTCCCCACGGAATATAAATATATATCAAGGGGTACACCGGTAACAACATCTTCGTCTATTGATTACATTCGTGGGTAGTATATGACGGCTGTTTTCGACCGCAGTGCCGCACAATCTAGAAATGAAAGTGTCAAGGAAGCCACATGATTAAAATTAATCAATTAGATACATAGAAACTAGGTATCTTTTTGTCTCACCCGAAGCCTGTAGCTGGATATGAGAGTAAGTGTATAGGTACTTACTTATATACTACCTTCCTTAGCTTATAATATTTTAAATTCTGGGTTGAGATGTGGGTGGCACAGACAGCTGCACCGCCACAAATACCGGCGTGGCGTCGTACGATCCCTATGCCGTATTTCTTCCGCTGACCACATACATGTACTTAGTAGCTTCTGCATGCTGGTAATTAAGTACTACTCAAGGGTATGCTACTTAGAAAGTCAATACTAACATAAGAAGGAGGGCTAGACTAAGCTAATTAAAAAATATACATGCCGCAGTGTCCTATGACGTTTGTTTCTATTCCCTGTTTGAAACGTCACAAGCTTCGAGTTCTTTGACAGTACGAATGTCCTTTATATGACAACATCCATCTCCATCTCTCATCTTCCATCTCTCATCTGCCATCTCTCATCTTTAATCGAATCACTAATATCGTAAGTAAGTACATGTTGAAAACCCTTTTTTTTCCTTCAAATTATTCCCTCTCTAAATTTATCAAAAAGAAATTGGTGCATATGTCTTTGCTTTGTCTGTCAGTACCGGTACCAAAGCTCTGGCAGCGCTGGAGTGGGCACACGAGCAAACCACACCATCATGCACCATCATCACCATCACCAGATGCTTATAATAAAGATACTACATGTACTTTACTCTCTGGCTTCATCGAGCTGACGTACATACTTACTTGCATCCTTGCATTTTATAGCATACCTACTGCTTCATACTTAGCACCTAGCTTAAGTGCATGCCACATCCGATATTGTGCTCGAAAGCAGACTCCCCCCAACACTAGCCAAACACGTTTGCAGCAGCCCAGACAGCCCCACACCACACTTCGTCATACTTTATTTACCCTCCAACCTCTCACAGAAGAACACCGTTTCCATCACAAAGAAGAAAATATAATAACTCTCTTCCTTCCCCATCCTCAGCTTCCGCCAGACCACCGCCATCACCATCAATATCATCACCAAAATAAGAAGACGTCCTGAGAGATAAAACAATTCCTCTCATCTACTAACAAAACCCATCTCGCCTACAGCCGTCACGTAGACGAGCAACCAGGACCACCACAATGGCACCCCCGACAACCCAGCCCGCCGGTGGGCCTCAGCCACTCGCACAGAGATTCCTAGTTCTCGCTCAAACTCTTCAGTTTGGCTGGTTCGTCGGGTATAACTCCCTTTCTTCAAGCTAATCCTTCCTACAAGTCGATGTGCTGGTAACATCATACTAATCATCGGCGGGACGATGATGACAGACATTTCCTCCTCCTTCTGTCGACCCTCCGCTACACTGTCTCCTTCATCAAATTCAACACCGCCACAACAGCTGCTCAGGTCTCATACCGTCTCGGTTTTCTCTCCTGTGCTGTAACCTATGGAATCGTCGTCTACAAGGCCTATAGGGCTAGAATCAAGCAGGCCGGTACCAACCGTCCCGCCCTCCAACAACACCTTCTCGCTATGACTGGTGACGAAAATGTTCAGTATCTCGGTATGTTTCTCTTTCCCTCCTTCCTCTTTCTGTTATGTAACAAAACAACAAATATATACACCCCCAAAAATATGAATCATGGTCAGAGATCGAATACTAACATATTTTCCTAGTCATGGCCCTAATCTGGCTCTTCACCAGCCCAATCTACCTCGCACTCCTCCCCTTCACAATCTATTCCACCTTCCACTTCCTAACCTACCTCCGCACTGCCCTCATCCCCACCCTCCTCCCCACCCCAGCAACCCCAGCCCCTCCGGCCTCATCGCCATCCTCCGGTTCCACCGCCCCACAAGCTCCAAAGAAACAAACCGCCAACGTTGTCTCCGAGATAATCTCCAAATTTGTTAAAACTCACTACGACACCTCCATGGCCGTTGTCGCAAACCTCGAATTGGCATTATGGATTCGTTTACTCTTCGGCTGTCTTATCTTCGCGAACTCCTGGATTCTATTGATTATTTACACCGCTTTTCTCAGAATCAGAGTCTCTCAATCTCCGTTTGTTAGACAGGCTTTACACCAAGCTGAAGCTATTATCGATGGTTTAGTAGCCGATCCGAGGGCTCCACCGGCATTGAGGAATGTCTGGGCTAGTGCCAAGGATGGAGTTAGGAAGTTTGGAGATTTGACTGAGTTTGACCCAAATAAGATCCCGCAGCGAAAAGCCCAGTAGATATATAAAACCAACTTAGGAGATCTGATCAAAAATTCATGTAAAAGCCCAAAAGCTCGCAAAAACAACTAAAATGGGAGGGGTCTGTTGAGAAGTCCGTAGCGGGGTTGTTTTTTTTTCAAAAAAAAAGAAAGAGAGGGGAGAATTAGGATAGTACGACGAAATCAGGAGAGGAATAATCAAGAACTATTGTCGTGAATGAATGAATGAATGAATGCGTGTATCCTTAAGCTTATTTCCCTTTTCTCGTCGCCGTTGAGGAGCCTGGCGACGAGATGATAGTTTCCTTTGACTGCCTAATCCCCTTTGGTTGTACGTACAGTGAATAATCCTAATTTTACCTTGTATGCTTCAACTGAATTGCAAAACTAGACCTTACATGAGCTCTAACTCCAACTATCAAGCATATACTACAGTTGGATCGAACCGGTCAAATGTTTTTTTAGCTCACGATATTGATATATCGATATTTGTAAACTTTGAGGTTTATATGTATTCATCTCTTTCTCACCACACTTGCGCCTTCTCATATCATACCATGGTCCCTTTTATTACGCCTTGAAGGGAGAGATAAAGGGAAAGGAGAAAAGGAAAAAAGAAAAAAAAAGATAGTGAAGGTGGAAAGGTAAAGAATTGTACTAACTAGCTCACAGCATGGATCTAGGGAGAGAAACTAGAAGGTATAAAATGTCAAAGAGGGAGGAACGGATCATTCGAACTCGCTTTGTTCTTCCTCTCAGTTTTCTTGGTCTGGACGAAGACGAAAAAGTAAACCCTAACAAAAAAGAAGAGATATAAGGTGCGAGGCTGCTATCATTTTTGCTCCACCTACTATTTCCTTCGATCTGTGAGGTGTTTTCTTTCTTTCTAAAATTTCGATAGGCCTACACAGCGGGGCGGGCAAAGAGTGAAAAGGAGAACAAAAAACACTAATATAACAAAATGTAGCCATCTACCTCCTCTTCTTCTTCCCCTGGACAACTTTGAAGCTCCCGTTACCCAATCCGCTATCTGCCGCAGCCGCAGAAGAGCTATTATTCGTAGGGGGCTCCCTGCTCTTCTTCGCGACTTCGCTCCACCCACCGCCGGTCTTGTTTTCATCGCTGTGATGCCCATGATCCACAACAACTCCTTGCTGCGCCAACTTGCGACGTCGGATAAACTCTTCGGCGAACCTACGGCCGTCAATCGTCGTCGACTGCTGGTACACACTATCACTAATCAGGTCGATCTCAGGGGGGAATGACATAATCATTGTAACAAATTCGTCCACTATTTTCATATTAGCGTTCAGTTCAACGGAATATATTAATCAGATGTACGTACCATTAACCCCCGAATTCAACCCTTTCAGATTGATCTTGCACCATTTCATAAACTCATCGTTGGCGGTCTTTTGTGGGGTAGCAGCAGCTAGCTGGACTGTAGTCGGTTTCTTAACGATCTTTGGGGTTGGAGCACTTGTTATGATCCTTGCCTGAGCAGGGGTCGGACTCGAAATGGTTGTTGCACCGCCGAGTTTCTTCCCGCCAGCACCAACGGTCGTCCAAGCTCCACCAACTGTGTTAGTGGTTGGAGCAACGGGATTTGATGGAGCTGCTGCCGCTTTGGAAGCCCATTCAGAGCGGCGAGTTGGCGTTGCCGCTGGTGCGACTGCTGGGGCAGGTGTAGTAGTTGAAGGAGAGTTTGTGACAGCTTTGTGCTTACGTGCTTCCTCTTCCTTTTGGATTTGTGTGAGGGTTTTCTGTTTTGAAGGTGTGGTGGAAGCCTTGGCCAGCGGTTTAGCCCAGACACTAGTGGTGGCTACTGGTGATGGTGTAGGGGCAGCCCATGTCGATGTGGATGGGAGACCTGAAGTCGGAGGAGCGGGGGCACTCGCAGCGGCAAGCGCAGCTTGCTGAGCCTGTTCTTGACGGCGAGCTTCCTGAGCTGCTGCCTCAGCCTTAGCAACCTGCTTGGCCTGGTTTTCCTGGATCTCCTTGAGGGATGGTCCCTTCTGGTGCGGGGAAGCTTCGGGATCCTTAGCCCATGGGGCGATAGGAATAGTTTGAAGCTCTGCGGTACTGACGGCGGGGGATTTGGCCACTGATTGAGCTGTAGAGGGACGTGGGGAAGCGACAGATTTGGGAGCGGGGAATGGTAGAGGCATGCCAGATGGAGGAACAATGCCCCATGGGTTCTTCGGGGGTTCAGGGCTAATAGAGGAGAGGAGAGGAGATAGTTCTTGAGGGTCGGAAATGTGCATTTGGTCATCATCATGAGTAATAAAAGATTCATCGCCAATACTGGCTTCATTTGCATTCGCTTCGTCAGTATAGGTACCTGGTTCTAATTGAGGTCCCGGGCCAGCGGAGATGGAAGTGATTGAGGGAGCAGTTATCTCATTAATTTCGTTATTGAGGGGTATGTTGTGCGGAGGGATTGCGGTGTAATCAATGTCTCCGGGAAAAAAAGATTGTCCTTGGTCGTAATGCTGATTGAGCAAATCCTCATCGTGCTGTTGGATTTGCAGTTGGTGTTGCTTTTGGAAGAGTTCGTATTCATCGGCGAGGGCCGTACCGGTCATATCGGACCTAGCATCGTTGTCAAAACCTACATCTTGCGTGATATCTATAGCATCATCGCCGGCGGCTACCTGATAAGAGGACATAGCGCCTAGGCCTCCGGCTTGCTGTCCTTGGACTGGACCCTGATTTCCGTGCTGCTGCTGCTCTCTTGGTGGCTGCACTATAGCTTGCTGAAATAGCTGTGTTCTCTGCTGCTGTTGTCTTTCTAGCACTTGATGCTGGCCTTGGTATTGCCTGGCCATTTGAGCTCTCTGCCGCTCAAGTATCTGTGCTTGCTCTCTGCTCGTCTGTTGTGGTTGCGACGCAGGTGCATTATACCCTTGAGGGAATCCTGCAAATTCCTCCCTGGGTCCGTTAGTGAACCCATCAATAGATGGATTCGAGGTTGTGTGCCTTAATTCGCTGAAAGGCCCGGTTTGGGGTGGGAAAGTACTGGGGCTTTGGATATTTGTCAGGCTGGGCTGACTGTGAAGGCTTGCCTGAGAGGGATGATGTTGCAAGGACTCCTGGCTCATCCTGGTCATGTGCTGGGCAGCGGCAACTTGCTTAGCGATTACCTGCTGCTGTACAAGATATTCGCGCTGACGGGCCATGAGGTACTGCTCCTCTTGCTTGCGTCGCTCAAGAGCGTTTTGTTGTTCCGCTGTCAAGGTTGTGCCAAAAGTAGGGAATGCGCCAGGGAACGGAGGTTGCACGATTCCATTAGCTGCATCGATTGTGTTCTGTCCCCAAGGATTCGGTGCAGTCCACCCAGCTCCGGGAGGAAAAGCAGGTCCCTGCATCGGAATAAGAAAAGGCTCCCGAGAATTGCCTACGCGGCGTATGAAGTGGCCAAGGAGTTCAAACTCAGTCTCTTCTTGGCGTCTAATGAGAAGATCAGGCTGGAAGAAACCAGCCTTATACCAATCATGCATCTCAAGACCCGAGAACGGACCTTGAATTTTATTGGTAGGATCCTTATACACCCAGGTGATCTTATCAGGCATTATCATAATGTGACCGCCCGAATTGCGCTGAGAACCTGGTTGAGTTGAACTCCCTGGAGCCGCGCCTGGGGTAGGGGCGCTGCCGAATTGTTGCAAAGAGGATACCGAGTTGGAATGGGATAGAGCCGGAAATGAGGCTTTATTTTGGATCTGTTGACCGGGGGCTTGACCTTCGGCCTCGCCAAAATATGCATTGTCAACCCGTGGAGGACCACCAAACATACTATCAGCGGAATTCCTGTTTTCAGTCTTCGGCCGATCAGCCATACTCAAACCGCGGAAAGGTTCGGTCGGGTCAAAGGCGCTGTCTTCGTCATATATATTACGGCTTTGTTGGCGCTGTTGTTCTTGGATTAGCTGCTGCTGTTGCTCAGCAGGGAACAGTGCACCGAGTCGACTAGCTCTAGTGGCCCCGAAGACTCCAGATGTTCCACCCGGGGTTCCAACACCGGAGGAGTCCCCTGAAGGGCCAAAGAAGCCTGCAGGTCCCGTATTCTGAGGAGTTCCAGTCCCAAGAGCGCCAGAAGGTCCTGGGTTAGACCAGAGCCCGGGGTTTCCAAGTGCATTATTGAAACCTCCACCTAGACCCCCGAAGCCAGGCATACCAGCGCCAGTACCAAGAATACCCGCGCTTGATGTCTGGCTTCGGTCACTTCCACCAGGAGGTCTGAAATTTCTGAGGCCGCTACCCTCCTCACCACCACCCTCCTCAGTCTCCGGGATAGGGCTCTGGTAAGGGTTAGTTGAAGACGGGGATGGATTTTCCGGTTCTTGGGATCCAGAGCCAGGGCCGCCCATTTGAGTCTGTATATGGTGAAATCCCGACAGTGGGGTATGCTGGCCTTGTCGTGATGATGAAGGACTAGCAACACTACTTCCAAAGGCATTGAAAGCACTGCCAATGTTTCTTGTTGGGGAGCTCATCATATTGCGTCCGATAGCTCCGACAGCAGCTTCGTTGAAATAGGAGTCCTGTACTAATTGGCTGTGAGGATTGCGAATTCCGTCATCTAAAGGGTTTTCAATATCAAGGTCACCAGGCTGGAGCGATTTTCGGGGATTGTAAGGGTCCGTGTCTGTGCTATCGGAACGACGGCCATATCCATCACGCCCAAATTCAGGCTCAGCCTCGGATTCCCTTGCAAGTTCTTGCAAGGATGACCGAATTTCAGTATCTTTAGCGTGGCCTTTAGAGATGTCGTCAGTCTCTTCGCTTTCCTCTTCAACTCGATCGCCGACAAGGCTCCTTCCGGCGGATTTTCCGAGACTACCAAACTTTCTATCCCCTTCGGTTTTTGCAGCTGGAACTCCTGAGTTGAGGACAAAACTACTGCCACCAACACCACCAAATGCACCGTTGGAAAAGGCCCCAAACGCTGAACCCCCCGGAGTAATTGGGCTAGAAACACCCCAAGGTCCGCCACTTGCCTGTCGCTTAAAAACGCCACGGCTGGGTCCAGAGTCCTCGGTATCGCGTGCATCATCACCTGGCTGAGTGAAGGGTGGCCGGCCACTGAACCTGTCAAAGGGATTCCCAGAATCATCTCGGTCAGTTCTTCGACGGGCCAAAGGATTAGCGTCTCCAGTATCACGTCGAGGGCGATTCCGAGTAGTCGGAGAAGCAGTTCCAGGGGGTGCTGTTGTTCCAGTAGAAGAGACAGAAATGCTTGACTTATGGAAATTGCTGTTCAAATTGGTTGATGACGTTGACATGCGCGGTTGATTGACCTGCCCAGGAGGAATTGAAGTGCTGTTGGGGCCACCAGGTGTATTTGGTGTCTGATGGGGTTTTTGAATAGAATTTACACTTTGGAAAAGTTCCTTCTCCTCGGATGTCATGGCCTCAAAAGAAACAGGCCGCTGCTGGCCAGATGAATCCCAACAGGCCTCAGTACCGTTCCCACTACGTTCTTTGGACCCGCCCCCAAACAAACCCTCCTTTTCGCTTTCCCCTAACAAAAGCTTGTTGACCTTGTTGATATCGGAAAGCGCTCCAGTCAGCTCGAGGCCCTCGAATTTGCCTAACATGTACTCTTTTGAATATTTATAAGGATTCGAGGCATCCCTGCCTACAGAATGGGGAGGTTGGTATGCAACCGATGACGGTGTAGCGGTTCCAGAGACATTTCCTGGTAATGATATGGATGAAGGGTACTCTCTAGGATGGTGAGTGAGGGTCGTAGATAGGGAGGGACGTCGAGGGCCAGATTGATTAGATGTGGAGTTGTTGATGGGTGTGTTCGATAACGAAATGCCATTGGTTCGACGGCCCCTAGACAGAGAGACATGAAATTAGATCTTGCAATTGAGGATGAAAACGATGATATGATTCGCCAATTTGATCCATAGCGACGTCACGCGAAAGAGGAACAAAAATTTTCATTGCTAATTGGAGAATCCAGATCTAGCTACCAGGCTGTCCCTAAGATAGTTTGCCTATAGAGGCTGCAGGTACTGGTCCAGTGAGATGGAATGGAGGGGCCGGTGTGGGGTAGTGGGGTGCAAATTGACAGGAAGAACTTACCATTCTGTCTGTTGGCTCCCGGAGGCGGCTGGCCCTCCGGTGGAGGATACGCCGTTACCTATCGAGCCGGCGTCTTTGGACGTAATATTTGAAGAAGACATCGCTGATGATTGTGCAGACATTTTTTGATAGTGAAATTTGTAATTATGCAAGAGCCCAAGGTAGGCTACGGATACCTAATATTATATTTCGGACGAAAGATACGGCCGAATGTGACGTGAAGAAGAAGAGAAGAAGAAAAGAAAGAAAGATGGATATCCTGCAAATTTAGGAAGAGATGGAGCAGCCGAAAAGTGTCTTGTGCCTGAACTTGAATGTCAAAGCACAAACAATAACCAGATGAAGATCACTACCGAGTTAGCCGGGCAGACGGAATGCAGGCCAAGACGAGTTTGAAGTAGATGGAAGTCGGAGATGAGAGCTGTAGCCGGGGTGCTCCAGGTGGTTCCTGTGGGATGCTTGTGAACGAGGGCAGCCGACGGGAAGAGACCACTTATGACCTGTTGAAGAGTGGGAGATATCCGGGGAAGGAAATCCTCTCGATTGGCGGGCAGGAAAAAGTTCCGTCTGATTGATCGCGATAGAAAGGCTAGAAAGAGAAAGACGGTATCTTAAAGGATTGCGAGAGAGTAGGCGATGACGCTGAGGGAAACCGATAGTAGGAGAGAGCGATGATGCTTAGAGTGACGATGTCTTGCGGATGGATTGGATGATCGAAGAGCAGTGTGTGGAATTAATTCGAGTGTGAAAATTGAGGAGAGAAAAATCCAGTCAACGAAAAGAAAGAAGTAAAATTCCTTTTTTTTCACCGGACGGCCAAATCGGGTAGCCCTTTGAGGATCAAACACCGCAACACGCTCTTCCAACACCGAACAACTTGTTACAGAAAAAGAGCTGTAACTGATGTTCTCGCTATAAAAAGAACTAGTTACGCTGGTCTGGAACCTGGGAAACTAGCTCTTTTCCTCCAAAATAGAATAGACAGTGTAGCCGAATGGGTCACTGAAGACCGGCAGTAACGATGCAGCAGCAGCAGCAGAGAGAGTGTATGTGAGAGAGAATATGGATATGCAGTAATATCTATATAATATCGTTCCAAGGCGTTCGCTTGCAAACGGTCCCGAGATCGAACGGCGTTATTATGAGGACCAAGAGCCTCAAAGATTAATCCGGAATGAGAATCCAGAAGATCAGAGCAGAGCAGAGTAGAGCAGAGCAGAGCGGAGACAGCTAAATGCAGCAGAGTTATAGTGTCGAAGTCACGCGTTATGTGAGAGAGATCCAGCGAACAGTTAGATGGTCTAAGTTCGAAAATGGAGAGGGAACACAGGAGGACAGCACAAGCAAACAGACTCCAGCGCTATGCGAAAGGAATATTAAACAGAGAGCACTTAGCTATCTTTGATTTGGCTTTTTTTTAAAAAAAAAATATAAATTTTGTTTTGTCTTCCCTGAAATGTTTTTTTATATTTATTTGCTTGTGCTATTTTTGACCTTTTTGCTGGATGGTTATTGAATAAAGAAATTCGTTGACACGTCGAGGTTATTATAATATTAGGTCGGCTTAACATATAATTAGTCGGTTGGTGGCAGATCGAACGTGGACAGGGCAAATGGACAGGGCCTTTATAACCGTTGGATTGACCTAGTCAGTCAGTAAAAAAGCAGCAACGTAACAGGGTACCTGAGTCGGCGCAGATGAACGAAACAACCAGAAAAACGAACGAGGGAGGGCGTCAAGAATCAAAAGAACAAAAGACGAGTAGGAGTGGGCAGCGGATTCGGGATGAATTTAAGCCTGAGGGAGAGGATGAGGGGGGAGGGGGGGGGTTCCGGGTGGTCGTGTGGGATTTGATGGAAAAGCGAAAGATTCAGATCAGAAGCGGGCTCTCGTTAATTAATTAAATTGACGAGCGAACAGGTCGATGCCGTTTTAACGTTTTTCCTTGCCGGGGATTTTTAAGGCCTGCAGCCAGCACGGAAAAACAAAGGGACAGACTTTGGCTTGTAAGTACTGCTTACTTAAGTACTTGCATTCACACCGTACTGCCTGGACTGGACTGGACTGGACTGGAGAAAGAAGGGACGAAAAGACAAATAGTCTCGACGGGGGAGATCAGACAAGCTTAAGCCTCGCAGGTACTTGCAATTGGAGTTAAGTGCGGTGCAGTACGGTGCAGTGCAATGATGCAGCCAGCCAGCAATGGTCGCACACAAGCACGCACGTCTAGTCTGTTGAGTCGGCTAACGAAACTAGCAGCAGGCCAAGAGAACAAGTCCAAGTGCACGATGCTTAAAACCAGGCTAAGGAAGAGGAATGGGCAGGTATCGAGCCCTAGAAAGGATGGTATTATAATTGTCCTCGAGATGAGAATCAAGTTAGAAGGGAATTCCTCCACGCCGTCGAGCCTGTCGCACGAGTTTTCCGGCCGGCGAGAATCCTTCGTTTTCTTCTATTAACTTCTAATTTTCTATCACCTCTCTCTCTCTCTCTCTCTCTCTCTTTTTTTTTATAAAAAAAAAAAGTGTGTAGAGGAAAAGGAAAATTTTTTTTTTCCCCCTCTTTCGAGAGAAAGGCCAGCAAGGTTTCTACTTTGGGTTTCCACAGGGTGAGTCCAATGGTGCCAACCGTCGAATTTTTTTTTTTTTTTAAGGAAAAAAGGTTCAAGGAGAAGCAAAGAAGAAAAAAAAACCTTCTCATAAACAGCCAATTCGTAAAAAATAAAAAGCCAAAAAGACCTATGGCATTTCTTTGAAGTTCCACTTACTAGTACTTCGATCGGTCGTCATATAATGTATGATGATTATTTCAATTTTGATATCATGATACATGGTGCGGTCGTGGGATACATGGCGGATGAGAGATTTAAATTTATCAGGTTCGAAAGATTGCATATTGGTTTCGAGTTTGAATAAAAGGGCTCGCTGTCATTCCGACCCGACTGATAGAATTCAATTGAGCCGCCGATACTTTATAAATAAAACGCCTGGGGATACGTGCCACTTCCTGCTGGGGCTTTCAGTTAGATTTGAAGTAGAGGCGACTAAATATAAAGCTAGAGTATCGAATTTTACGTCCTGAAGCTTCGTTTACCATGAGTTACATTTGCTGTGTGCATGTGACGGGTGATTGACAAGCTTAAGTCCACCATATATAGATAAGTAAGTAAGTAAGTAGTTATAGGATATGTTCACCCCACCCTCGTTGTGGTTTAACCAAGTCGATAAGGAACTTGGACGGTAACAGGTAAGTAAGAACGTACTATATGTATCTAATTACTTAAGTACTTAGTATGGTACCATGATCAGCCACGTGCGGCGGCCAATCGATCGTTTAGCAAGCACTCGTTTATTATGATGCTTGTTAACGTTAGTGAGACCAACTATCTTAATCCCGAACGCTCAAATGACCAGTCTTTATATCCGACACGACCGGTGTTTGCCCATTTTAAATTTTGAGCTATTTGCATTGGAGAGCTCCTTTGGGCCTGACAGGATGGGTTCGAATTCCAGTTCCTGCAGTATCGTATTAATACTACATTCCAATGCATCAATCGGTCTCAAAAAAAGTCCCTATCAAACATCCTGCATCCCCACTTCTTCAAACATCGATATCTGCCACCGCCATGCCTTTAAACAGGGCTTCGGCAATCAGTTAAGATCCACTCCGGTTCGTATATATAGAACCTAGTTAATTAATCCGGTTTGCTGCAACGGATCAATTGCGCAGAAGCTAGAATGTGACCCGCTCATAATCAATGTATTATAATGTGATATCATGATAGGTTCTGATACGAACGAGGTTGTATGTATACTTGTACGACCTGAGCCATATGGACTGCAGCTTGCACCATCATGACGCCGATCTACTTTACTTTACTTGCTGCCAATTTCTTAATCCCCCCTCGTCCGGATATGTTCCTCTCCAATCCGCGGCCGGCCCCCATTCATTTTCATTAGATTTAAACAATCACAAAGCCCTGCCGACCTTCTGCTGCCTAGCTACCTTTTTTTTCCCCTCTCTCTCTTTCGGATTCTCTCTTTTTAGTCACCAGCCGCCGCTAGCAATCTCTTCACATAATTATATTACATAGTACATAGTTTGCTTTTCCCATCCGGGTTTCCTCAGATAATCAATACCCGAGAATACCCAGCGCTGATCCTCCACCCAATCGTAAGTTAACCCGATCGATTTCATGCCATTATATAAGCAAACCGAAACCGAAGAAGTCTAAGGGAAGAGCTAGAAGGCGATATTTAAACTGCCCGATATCGCCCTTTCGTGAGTCACAAATTCGAATAAAGTGTAGTGTACTCGAGGCGTATCCTCTGAACATATAAAAGTTTTCTTTTTGTCCAGCTGCATTGATTCACCATTTGAAATCACATATCACATCCCAACTTCGAATCGAATCGTGTTCCATTTCTGGCTGTCTTCCCTTTTGGACCTCCCCCGCGCTAACCCCGCGTGTAACCATCGAGGAACGCAACACACAATCCCCAACAACACTCCATTGTCAGCGCTCGAATCCGGGACCAGGTCATATACACCTACTTAGGTATATACCCTTTTGTGGTTCTCTAGGTATTTTGTCGAATCTCTGTATTGCAGGCATTTCTTCAAAGAGTACCTCGTCTATCATTATACCGTACGAAAGCTGTAATTTTCCTGGGCAATTCAGCTGTGTATCATCATAGTTCTTGAGATCTCACCATGGCAGCCTCAAACCCTCCAAAGACTCCGACTTTCGGTCATTCTCTCCGCCGACAGTTTCTTTTCCCTGAAAACTACACAAATCTTAACCACGGTTCCTTCGGTGCGATCCCGGCTCCCGTCCTAACACACCGCCAAAAACTTCATATTCTTTCTGAACAACATCCCGATAACTTCATGCGCTATCATTCTATATCTCTCTTGGACGAATCTCGTGCGGCGGTCGCAAAAGTCCTCAACGCCCCTAGTGAAGAGGTAGTTTTTGTCACCAACGCCACTACCGGCGTTAACATCGTTCTCAGAAATCTAGTTTACGAGGAAGGGGATGTTATTCTTCATTTCGGAACTATCTACGGTGCCTGCGGGCGAACTGTACAGTACATAGCAGATACGACACCTGCGACTTGTATCTCCATTCCGCTGGCTTATCCGGTCTCAGATGCATCCATCCTCTCATCATTTAACACCACAGTTCAAGAAATCAAGGCTGCCGGGAAAAAGCCCAAACTCGTAATTTTCGATACCGTCAGCAGCATGCCGGGAATGCGCTTCCCGTGGGAGAAAATGATTGTAGCAGCTAAGGAAGCCGGTGTTCTCAGCCTCATTGATGGTGCCCATGGCGTTGGCAACATCAAAATTGATCTGGGTGCTAACCAACCCGACTTCTTCGTCAGTAATTGTCACAAGTATGTCCCCCCCCAAATCGTCCTTCGCGTAACAGCGTGTACGTACAAACTTACAAAATATGGAAAGATGGCTATACACGCCTCGACCCGCAGCCGTTCTCTTCGTTCCAATTCGTAATCAGCCTTTGATCACAACCTCGGTCCCAACTTCTCACTACTATATCCCTAAATCTGCAGCTCAATATTGGTCGCCTCTTAGCCCAGGCACTAAATCCAATTTTATCCTGCAATTCGAATTTAACGGCACCATTGACGCAACTCCTTACCTCTGCGTCCCCGCCGCCCTCAAATTCCGACAAGAAATCGGCGGTGAAGATGCCATAATAAACTACTGCAACACTCTAGCTTTCGAGGGTGGTGAAGCCGTAGCAAAAATTTTAGGTACTGAAATCATGGCACCTGATCCGGCAGCTGTGGATGGTGGCCGCTGTCCCATGGTCAATATCCGCCTTCCACTTTTATCGGTCCCCAAGACGGAGGTTGAACCTGTTTATAATACATTTACAAAGGAAGTGGGGATCAGGGAGAACACCTTCGTTCAAGTTTATGTTCATAATGCTCGTTGGTGGGTTAGAATCAGTGCACAGGTATACCTTGAGATGAAAGATTTTGTGTGGATTGCCGGAGTATTAAAAAAGGAATGTGAGAAGATAAATGAGAGGATTAAGAGCTTAGCTACTATTGCTGCCGCTACAGGCGAAAAGGCAGATGTGGCTAACGGTGCAGATGTGCATGTTGAAGAGGTTCGAAGCGCCAAAAAAGTAGTAAGCGGGATGGGGGATCTCAAAGTTAGCGAAGCAGAAGGGGAGACTGTGACCGTTAAAGGTTAGACCTGTAAATGAGGGCTCGATAGAGGGGGCGCCTAGCGTTCACCATGACCGTGACGAGTAAGTATAATACAAACCCTGTATTTTTTTTCATTAGTTTGTTGAGGATTAGGTCATGTCAAGTGTCCAAGGGAATATATATCTTGTATTCGATCATTTGGATTTTGGTAGCCTTGGATCATACTCGACGGTTTACGCATCATTATAGTTATTCATAGACCCGTTTCTTTTCTTACATCCATTGGCACCTCTGCCCCCAAATAATGCATGTTGTAGCACTTTAAAATATAGTCGTGATCGACCTCATGTGGCCTTTCCGGGTTATAAGCCAAATCGGCGTGGATATATAGCGAACACATCCATACAACTGCAACTGCATAATAATTGATATATAACATTATCTTCAACCCAAATTCCAAATATCTACTTAAGTACTTAGGTACCTACTTAGGTAGCCATGAAAACTTCTGGCTACCTTGACACCCTTTCCCCAAAAATACAACACTGCCAAGCAATTGCAACCAGATATGACTTCGTTAGTAACAGCCTTAACGTTAGTCCTTGTACAGCTACCCAAGCACCTTCGGGCCCACATGCACAGCATCCCCATCTTTACCCTTTCACGTTATGATGAATCACGCTATTCTGTGCTCAGGCCTTGGACGCCTAGAGCGGCGCAGTTTATGACAAGAAAAAAAACCAGATTGCTATGGTACCTCCCGATGCAACCTGCCCGAATGTATATAATACAATCCTTTCAATCGGAACTTGGAGAGTGCGTGATTCTATTTACCTATCACTATTTTGTATCACCGTATACGCGTAGCAGATACCTGGGTATTAGTTATCTAAGAAAATTTGTACACGATATCCTCGTATACTCTTCTGGCCTCGTTCCCAGACGTCACAAAGGGAGGCATTGCTCCTCCAATTATTGATATACGTACTTGTCAAGAGTGCTCTTAATATATATCTAGATCCATCTCGATATACCTATACTAGGTATTAATTTTTAATAAGTCTCAAAATGGACACCACTCCCCTAACAAAATCCTTTGCGACCCTCTCTACGATCTTCGCTAACATCGACGCCCCACCGCCATGGCCATCGGAGCGCGCCCGTTTTCAAAACTGGGGCACTAGCGCCGGCCTAACTACATTCCCAAACTCTCTGTTCTCAAATGAAGTGCATAAAGAAGTATTAGTCGCATTGTATAGGCTCGAAGAATCATTTGCGGATGAAAGCCAAGTCGCCATAAGATGCGGATTAATGCGCAAAAAGAGTAGTGTTGGAGGGGCGTTCAAAAAAGGGTTCAAGAAGTTAACGGGGAAGGGTTCCGGGCATTTGCCGTCCACGGCTGGGAACTTTGATCCCACCCAGGAATGGGTGGTACAGTTTCCAGAAATATGGATGGCGAAGTTGGCAGATGTGACGAAAGAGATTAGTTTACTGAGTAAATTGATTCCAGTTGATGGGGTAGGCGCGATAACTCAAGGAAAGGGCGGGATGACGACTTCAAACCAGCAGGCATCGGTAGTCCCACCTGCTCCCGTCACTACATTTGCGGAACCGTCCGAAGCTGAGCAGGAGCGAATCTATAATGAACTCGAAAAGCTAGAAGAGTTTATTAAGCCCAAAGATCAAGGCGTACTAAATATCATGCTTTCTCCGTCGACAAATTATTCTCCTCGAGTCCGAGCTAGTGTCTACTACGATGAGAATGACCCTATGTCCCAGATATGGCACGACGAGGTCATGGGTTACGTCAAGTTAGGGCACGGAAGTTTTGGTAAATATCCTAAGCCTCTCTGGATAACCCTTAATTAACTCACATGAATGCATTATAGAGCTCTACCACCGGCGCAAATATATGAAGCCCTCCACCTCAAAGTACAGCACCGATACCGACGAAGACGGCATCCTTTTCGATGTTGAAAGTAACCCAAAGTACGAACATGTTTACCCAGGAACCTGCACAATCGAAGGTTTTGGGATGGAAGCTTGGGACTATGAACTTGCTTTTGGTAGACCGAGGGATAATACCGTCTTTGTGTCATATGCTACTTTGCCGGATGTATCAGCTAAACAACTGATCCGAAGAATCGGTGAATTGCAAAATGCAATTGGTAGTAAGTTCGGTTGGACGCCAAAGAAGGATAAGCATGATCTTGAAGAATTCTACGGAAATATGGGGTCTGTCTGGCCATCTTAAGCTATAGTAGGTGCTTGCTAACAGATAAATATAAATTATAGAACAACCTATATAGCAAACGTCCCCGACAATTCTCCACTTCGGATTGGCGACTTCTATCAACAATTAAACCGCCGCGACATTTTCACCGACTTCACTTCGATATCCAGCATAGCAACCCAATGGTCCCAACCCCGCGCCGAAGGTATAATGGGAGTTTGGAATTTCCTCTACCAGCTGATTCTCGCTAGGGAGCTCCATCTTCGTCTCATATCAATTGCGGATGGATCTTATTCTGGATTCACCGCTCGAGTACTCGCATCACTGACCGTTGCGGATCTATGGCTATCTCATGTCAAGATGGAGCTTTCAGAGCCCCCAATACCTGCCGAAGTTTTGCATAAAGCCATGACTCCCGAAGAAACTGCAAAAATGGAGGAGAAAATTGAAAATGGACATAAAGCTGCCAAACTGGGCGAATGGCAGATGGCTGTGGATGATTTTACCGAAGCTATGGCAATCGATAATTCAATTGCAATGAATAGCACTTTTCGCGCCCTAGCGTATATGGCCCTAGGCAAACCGGCCTTTGCACACGACGATGCCACCGCGGCCACAAGATTGAACCCTGAAGATAAACTCGGATGGTCAGCGCTGGGCGACGCAAATGTCGGTCTTGGAAACTTGACACGGGCGAAGGAAGCATATCAAACAGCCTTCAACCTCTCAGGGGGAAAGGATGATCAAATAAAGGAGAAACTTGACGATGTTGCCGCAAAATTGAACGCCCGTATCGAATTAATAAACAAACAAACTGACACATCCCTCGCAATTACCCTCGAAAAACAACATAATGACGAGAAATACGATATCAACGGTCGTTCCGTAGAGTTCCATTCCAAAATCCACGAAAGGCAAGTAGAAGGCCTTATTATGTTCGCCGAAAGGATGAAGTGGCCTTGGGTCCACGAAGTCCGTGAGGCAGCCGAGGATGTTTACTCCAAGATCAGGGGCGGAGCTGTAACCCCATTTCATATTGTAGATTGGGTATTTGGGTTGACTTTGCCGGGAGAGTGGATGTCATTGAAGATTATGAGTTCTATGGTGCTTTTGACGGAGAGTGTGAAAAATCAGGGAGTTGCAGCATTCTACGATTGTGGATTTGTAACTCCACAGAAGAGTTACCATAGAATTAGAAATGTGCTAGGAAGGGTTCTGGGGTGCCTACCAGGTGTGACTTCACTGTGTGGATGGATTGGACCTTGTCCGCCAGTGACTTTTGACCCGCCATTGGCGAAGCCCTTTGGGGACGAGAAAAAAGGCATGCATATCAGGGTTAAGGCAAGGAGGGTGGGGTTAGTGGATCCTCCAGATCCGCTTGATAATGTTATTCGAATTACCGGCGGAGGATCACATATGGAACTCAGACCAAAGGCTGAGGATATCAAGAATCTCGATCAGTTTGTGGCGGAAATTAGAGATCCAGCTAATTGGGTCCTACCAGCGGTGCCGAAGACGAGCTATTCCATATCCAAGTTGCAAGGGATACTCTTAAAGGCACTACCACTTGAAGCTGGAGTCAACACAAGCAATCTAGATACCGTTGAAAGAAATACGGAGTACCGAGCAAGTATCAGCTTCATTATCGATGGGCAAGAGGTTTCATATTCCCTATTCACCAATCCAGTTTTTGTCACCCCGCCGTCATGTACGCCGGAAACAAGAGGTGCTCACGAAATCCATAAGAGAGAATTGAAGAACTTCAGTAACATTGTGGATGCTGAAAAATTGAAGGATTACACGCCGGGAGATGAAGAGATGGTGGTTATCAACGCTACGGGGGAGGGAGCTGAAGTCGTAGCAAGGGCATGGTGCGCTGAAAGGGGAAAGGCAGCGGTTATTCGAAGGAGAGCGGGACCATGCCTCACCTGTACAGTTAACTGTGCACGAGAGCTCAAACAAAAGGTTGTTATTTGGGTTCAAAGCTGAATTTAGCTTCAGTCGTGGTAATCGAATGTATCAGGTCAGTACCTACTTAAGTAACTATATGTAAGAATTACCTACTTAGTACTTACTTACGTACTTATGTATATGATAGATACTTGGTACGATACAAATTATTACTTAGGTTTGGAAACGGTATCTCCCAAACCAAATGGGAATCTAGCCTCCTTTGCCTCCTAGAGCTGTAGGGCACCGAATCTAGGATTATGGCGTCTGCATAAAATATTTAGACGAACCAATGATGAAATCGATATATTTGAATATTAACTCTCGAATAGAAAACCATACCGTTATATTCAAGACACAGACCTTTTACAAATAACAAGATACTTAGGATGAGAGGGAAAGGGCCTGGTGATCACGAGGCTGCAGAATATTATGGCCAGCAAAAGCACTGGTTAACGTTCCTGAGTTTTAGAGCAACTCAAAGAGGTAACCTGTAGGCTCTAGCGTCTGCAGTAAGTACATTACCTAGAAGGCCTAGGGCTTAAATACCTAAGTATTTACCTAGGTAATATACTGAAGTTAGGAAGCTATGTATTGTTCCTATGTTCCTATAGTCTTATTCACATACTACCTGTTAGTATGCATGTTAAATCATAATATAGTATAAAGTATAGAGTAGAGGCAACATCCGTCACCGGGCGTAGCTGTAACCGTATCAACGAAACTCGCCGGAACTTTCTGGCACCCCAATTAATTGCGTAAGAGATATATAAACGTAATGGCAGCCCGATACAATTATGTAATTGCTCTAAAGACATTCCAAATCCCATTAGTCTCCAATCATAGCTATACAGAAGTAGCACCATCGCACAGCTTCCCAAGATACCAATGTCAGGATGCAATTTGGAAAACAGGTCAGTCTGGATAATTTGGTAAGTATCAATTCCTTGCCCAAGAATAAAGCCTTTGAAGAACATGTCCTAAATTTGACGAAGAAGGGTCGATTAGGCGCTGCATTGGTATTGGATACTTATCAAAGGAAGCGCTTTAACTGAACTAAACGGCAAATTAACAATCATGAACATGGACGGAATCGGTGGATCCTTGGTAGATAATCGAGATGTAATGGTTACCGAACCCTCGAATGCATCAGGGGTCGAGTCCAAATCCGGGAGCTCTATCTCTCCACCAGCTTCTATTGTGGAGTCAGTATTTTCCCGTGTATCCAGTTCAAGTCAATACTCAGTTGACCCCGAAAGGCACGGCATACTTATCTACTGGATGTATCCTAATCAACCATCATTCTGGGAAGACATGGCACCCATTGAACGCGTTTCCCTAATGACTCCATTCACCGACAACTTATTCTACCATGAACTCAGAAGGAGGGCTGGTTTCTCTCGGGTTACGCTAATTGAGGGCCGTTTTGTGAAAGTTTTGGTATGTTACATTGAATCCGGTTTTGAGCAAAAGAGAGAAAGAAAAACAGAAAAGATCAATCGGGTATTACCTGTCAATTATACTCGTCGCAGGTGCCTAGACTGATGATAATGTCTGAATATCTAGTCCTTCACTATTCAACAACCGCCAGGCCCAGGTGGCGTTATAGCCACCGGTAGAATGGAACTGGTTGACATTGTTAGTACGGTACATCAACTTGCCATAGAAAACTCCGACGGAGGCCGTGCAGTCAGCAGGATCGAGGAGCTGGGCTACCATCATAACCCGGTGGTGATCCTTGTTGAGCTGCATTCCCCTATTAAACGGGCTCGAAAAGCTATAACGGGCATCATTGCCTATATTTACTTTGGTATTCTGGGTGTTTTTTTGAGATGCCGACTGATTGAGGTCATTGCCTATATCCTCATTGTAGTAGGTACACTCACGCTCTGGAAGCTGTACATAACTTTACTTTCCTGAAGTTTGATAATACATACTACTTTTATTTGATGCTGATCTTTGCCCTCCCATCTTCTAAAGGGGAAAATAAAGCATGTTTGGGGTGTGCAAATGGATGTATTCCAAACTAAGCGTAAACGTTGTTACTGTTTAGGACTTTATAAACCCCAAACATTAACACTGATACAATTTAAATGATGCTTATTACTGACGGTCTTTGTAATAGTATGCTGTCAATTGACCATTTTTAGAAGTGCTTAAGTGTGGGTGCTGTAATCTTAAGATTCTTCTGTTGAATTCATTACTGCACACGCCGAGATGCATATCGTAACTATTTAAATTTTCATCTCAAAATGTTAATTTAAAACCACTTTGACAGTTCTTTAGATCTTTTCATATGCATACCCTATCTCCATACTCTCCATTCTTATTGCCACCATCATCCCCGAAGCTGCTATAAAATTTCTTCGATCGGAATACCATTTGTTTTTACCAGCGGGCCAATCCCGGTCGGAGGCATCGACCCTCCTCCTCTTCCTCCTCCTCCTCCTCCTAAGCCAACTGTCGACGAAACAGAGTCTGAATCCGACAAAGATTAAATTCTCTCTAGCGGCAGGAACGACACTGATATCACAGTTGAATTTTATACTATCACCATGACGCTTTGCTACCCTAGCATCCCATTCATCGGGCAGGCCCAATCGCTTCACCGAATTAGGCTATCTGCACCATTCTTGGACACAGAAGTCGTCTACCTCTTCAACCCAATGATTGGATGGTTTTTCGAAGATGCGCATGCGAGACTTGGCCGTATGTGCCTCCACGTAAGTCGCTAAACTTCCCGATTATTTATCGTAAATTTATTGTTATATTAATTGATGAATTTGGGGCGGGATATAGTACCGGGAACATGGAGTTGGTACACATGGCATCCATTTCATCCATCATCCACTACTTCTTTTTCAGGGCGGCCGATTAATCGAGCAAATAGCCGTAGATCACGGCAGTGTGAGATTCGAAGTACAGGTTGTTTTCCCTTGGTACACCCAACCAAGGAATTTATGAGGGTGTTATCACGATCATTGCGATCTTGCTCTTTAGCGATGCGTTATTGTGCGTGTTTATGATGCTTCTTAGAAAGGGGCCTCGTATGGTGGTGATGGAAGTTATTGTGGCCTGGCCGCTCTGTGCTGTCATCCTCGCACACATTTGCTGTTTGATAGTTAGAATCCATCACGGCAGACATTTCGTTGGTATACAAGATGAATTCATATTCTGTGGTACCTTTTATTGCACCTGCATGGGTTTAGTGGACAATATATAGGGTGGTGGAATCTTAAAATCTCTGGGAATGGTATTAATATATTTTAGCATCAAAGTATCATATGGACTCCTATCGGCACCGATTCTAGGAGTCATTTAAACGGAGCCGCCAAAATTTATCTATTCACAACTGCTTTTAATTTCCTTTCTTCCATAAATAATCAATTTCTAGTATTCGAACTGTCTACTAGAGAAAAGAGCGAATTACATTCCGCAATCAAAATTTTAACGGAAATCCGGATTGCATTATTGAGGGGGAATATTTCCAGGTGTGTACAGAAACTTAAAATTATAGATACCTAACTATCAAGCATGTGGGGAATTGAGTTATCCCAGTTTATATAAAAGGAAGCAGACTGATATCGCTTAGTCCATACTAAAAATTCGAAGTCGGCGAGGCCGGCTAGCCATCCCGAATTCTATTTACATGTCTGAATTGATGATATATTACATTCTTGAAATGGCAGTATATGGTCGACATAATATATGGTCTCGGAGTGGTCTCGGCGTCAGTAGTCGCGAATTTAGATGCTATTGCATTGCAATATTGGCTGCTCTGTGACAGCTACGATATGATAAGAAAGATAAGGTGTCGACTTCGAAGCTCCCGCTCTCCAACCTTCCTCGACATTCCTTTCCTCGATCCCACCCTCCTCTAGCTGCCTCCACTTGTGTTGCCCCTACTTTCAATACATACCCTAATGTCTGCAATCATGAATGCTACCAAAAGCAATTTAAACGCCAATCATGGCGGTTTGCTCGTTGTTCCTAGTGATAAACGCGTCCGACGCCCCTCTCCAGCTTATAGTGAGACAGAAAGCATCTTCTCCAAAGTTTCAGAAGACCATTCTGATATAACTTGCAACGAGCGCCAAATTAAATTCGTCCGCTTTTATCCTAAGATTCCGGGTCTAATCCCAAGGTTCTTTGATTGTTGCTATGAAACCGTCGAGGTCTTCTTGACCGCCCCTTTTTTCAATTCTAAAGTTGCAGATGCTGCAGACTCTGTTGTAGGCAACTTCTTCCAAGAGACGAACAAAATGCGGGGAAATATCTGGACAACGGTAAGATTTCCCTGCCTAAAAGTTTGAGTACTATATATAGCCATGTAGTCGTAGTCTAACGTATATGTGGATGTTTGTAGGTCGAAGACCTAGCCGGCAACATCTTGATGTATCGTATCCAGCACCCCAGTACACCGTATGTCAATCATTATGAAAACGAAATTGAAGTGATTGGCGACCAATTTGGAGGCGCTATCAGCGTTTACCTCCAATTGACACTGCCCTGGTATTTCCATCCGATGAATATTACCAAAAGTTTCGTCGTCTTCGCAGTCCTCCTGATGACGGTTGACTTCTGGTCCGCCGTCTAGGGGGGCGAACCAAAGTTGAATTGGGGATTTTGGCTGTTCAATAGCTACTGGGGCTTTGCTTGCGGGTTGGTTACCCATCTACTCCTTGGTTTCCGACATGGGAAACATGACGAACAATGGAATGACAGATATGTTTGGTTTGGATGCCTTTGTACCTGTAAAGCCGACTTGGCTGTACAGTTCGACGAAGACGACGAAAAGAGCGAAGACGATGGCGACGGCGACCAATAAGCAGTATAGTGCAACGGGCGGAGCCCGTAGAACTCTGTATATTTATTTCAAGCTGTTTGAATTTAAACCTTCACAGTACGACCACTCATGATCGATTCTGCGCGGGCGTCCGGCACTGTCTAATTTTGACCAATTGTTTCGAATGCGATATTAATATTTTAAGTTTCCACTCATCCCAGTTCAGAATCCTCACTGTCTAGATCGAGCTTAAGTGGTAGCCAAATATTATTTATTGCTGCTGAGTCATGGTTGCCATAGTATATATATTATTCGTAGTTCCTATTCTGGTCAACGAACAGATGACGCATAGACCAGACCTGACTTTAGAAAGATTGACAGGTATATAGCGCTATGAAAGGTCGAATACACGGCCATACTCAAAAAGAGAAGCCTTTTTTTAATTGTCTATACCGCAAGTATATATCTCAATCATATCCGCCTAGGTTAGTTCTCATATACTTGAGTATATAATCTTTTATGTGTTGTTGTTATTGTTGTTGTGTCGTAATTCTGGTCGAATACTGGCTATTTATACTCTTTGTACCCCACAAAAATTGGGCATTGCAAGGTAATATTGGCCAATATTGGCTGAAGACTTTATCTATTCAGCTGTCGTGGGTAGGTAGTAGGTAGTGGGTAAATAAGTGCCCGGGCCAGTATACAGTAGGATAAGTGGTGATATCGTATGTTTCGTAAGTATTGCTGAATGTCTACGACTAAACATCGTCATAGTTTGAAATTTTAAGGAGCTGAAACGATGATTTGAAATTGAAGAACGTGGCTTCCATCCTGGGAGAGTTGATTGAGATGCGTGGGATGATGAATGCATACGCGTCGTTGACACTGCCCGTGAGCGTCTCACTGTTCGTTCTCAGAGCTGCAGAGCGAGGGGTCAACGTTGGCGTTCCTTACTCCTAAAGGACCCCTAAAGGACCCCTAAAGGACCCCTAAAGGACCCCTAAAGGAGAAGGCATAATTTATATCCGCCCTTTACATCCTAACGCTTTGAAGTTGACCTGAAGATCAGTTGCTTTGGTATATGCTCGTTTGTGTTCGGGGCAAGCTGAGGTTGAATGTGAGGTTGAATTGTTGAATGTGTTGATGGACAACCCGGCACGGCACGGCACCAACGAAGGAACCCCTGAGAGAAGCTCCCCGCGACACCGGAAATTAACCAGTCCGAACGCTCCCCGGGCCCTTCGAACACTAACGACATCATCCCCCATACCAGACCACAAGTGCAGCCATCCGGCCCGTTTCAAGCTGAGGGCTTCGGCATACTTTCTGATTTTTTATATTTCTTAGTTCTTGGAACGGCATCCTGTTCCCCTTCCCAGCTTGCTTGCGTAACAGAACACGAACGGGGAATTGGGTTTGGTTTCTATCTACCTGCTTAGCACTTTGGCCCTGGGCAATAGCTGGGCTTCACTTCAGCGCACAAGACACCTGGCTTATTATCTCCCTTCCTTCGCTGCCTCCCACGACGACCACGACTACAACAAAGATAACGGCTTCCCTACCTATCACGAACCGGATATTTAAGCTATTTGTATTGATGCTGCGGCTTTTGACAGTTTAGGTGCCGGCCCCGTTACATCTTTTCATACAACTTGCGCCGGCCTGCGTTTTGTCCTTTCGTTAAACCACCTGGAACCGGCGGGACAGCCATTCCTTCTCATGTCGAATCCAGATGGCAAGCCAGCTCTCCCAGAGGGCGAGAGCATCAACCTCCCCATTGGCAAAGCTTCGTCGGAGGAAGAAGGCCCGTTGGAGCCTATAGATGACTATGAGGAGGTATCCATCGACCGTGATGTTGTGGATGAGCTGCCACGCAGCGAACATATTCAACAGGAGCAGGTGATAGCTAAGGAGGTTACTCCAATATCGGACGCCGGAGAAACCCCTGCAACGTCCGTATCTGAAATTAATACGATACCGGAAACCTCAAGTACTCCAAATGTCGTCAGTGTAGAAGAATCCGAGTTGACAGTTGTGGAGCCAGAGCCGCTGTTGGAGACCAATGATGTGGAAGTCCCTCGAATCGATGTAGAAGAAGCTATTGCTGCTCAGGGCGGACTGGCAGAGTCAGCGCCAAAACCTGCAGAGATTAAGGACTCAGATATTGAAGAAAAGCCGACGGAAGTACTACAGGACGAAGATGCTCAAGGCGAGCCGACAAATCCTCCGGAAATTCCGTCAAGTCCCCCACCGCAGATTGTCACGTCGTCGGAGCCATCGTCGTCTCAGCCATCCTCTCCAGCGGCTAGACCTGGTTCTTCAGCTTCCTCGCTCCCGGCAAGACCCCCGAATCCGACACCCGTACAAGCCCAACCCATTCGTTATAACCTTCCGAACACAGTCTTCATTGTTCAGTCCCTTGAGACGATCTCTGCTAGCCGCGACGCTAGGCGCCGCGCCGACCTAGCAGAAGCCGCACGGCGTGCGCTCGAGGCCCTCAAAGACCTAGCGCCATACGCCCCAGATCCGGAAGTTGTCTTCGAACCCTTAAGGCTAGCATGCATGACCCATACTACAACTCTCGTTGTCGCCGCCTTAGATAGTATTGACAAACTCATATCTTATGGCTACTTTACGACCAATCACTCCTCCATAAGCTCAACCCCGCTTATAGAACGTGCAATTGACACGATAGCTAGTTGTTTCATTGGCGATGTTACGGACGATAAAGTACAGATGCAAATCATCAAAGCTCTGCTCTCCGCCGTTCTAAATGACAAGTTCATCGTCCATGGTGCCGGTTTGTTGAAGTCTATTAGACAGATTTACAACATCTTCCTATTAAGCCGTAATGCGGCGAATCAGACGGTGGCACAAGGCGCCCTGACTCAGATGGTGAATGTTGTTTTCGAACGAATGAAGACGAGAATTGCTTCTAGGGAGGCAAGGGCCGAATTAGGAGGGCTGCAACACCAAGATGTTGGAGGTAGTACCACCACTGTTGGTGCTGCGATGAGTACAGTCGATGGTGGGGAGGGGGACGAGGAAAGCAGCACCGGAGACACACAATCCCAAGTGAACGGATCCTCTACACAGTTAGCGACGCCAGGAGAAAAGATTACACTTCAGAGTTTCGAGCACCGAAAGAGTTTCGATGACGAAAAGATCATGGATAATGCCCCGACAACAGTCACGATAGGCCGCCCGCAAAGTAGCAGTGGCGTCGGAAATCAAATAGACGCACAGCCAGAAGTATCCGAGCAGGATCTTGAGGATGAAATTTTTACGAAGGATATTTTTCTTGTTTTCCGAGCCATGTGCAAGCTTTCAATCAAAGTTCTACCCCCAGAACAAATCGCCGATCTCAAATGCCATGGGATGAGGAGTAAACTGTTGTCTCTGCACCTAATCTTAACGATTCTTAAGCAGCATTGTGTCGTGTTCACAAATCCACTTGTCACAATCCGTGGGAGCGGAACTGAGCAACCGACGCAATTTGTCCAAGCTATTAAACAGTATCTTTGTCTCTCTCTGAGCAGAAATGCGGCTAGCTCAGTACCATGGGTATTCGAAATGTGCGGTGAGATATTTTGGTTAGTCGTGAGGGATATGCGAAGTGCGCTGAAGGTATGGTTCTGAAACCGCAAATTGCAGAGCTCGTTGATGCTAACAGCCCCCTAGAAAGAACTCGAGGTGTTCATGAAGGAAATTTATCTCGCCATTATTGAAAACAAGAACTCCAGTTTAAATCAAAAACATTCCATCTTAGGACTATTCGAGCGCATTTCTTCCGACCCAAAGGCGCTGGTGGAGATCTACCTAAACTATGATTGTGACCGCGCTGCCCTCGACAACCTATTCCAGCGTATCATGGAGCACATAGCGAAGGTGGCCGCCTTGCCGGTTTACATGAATAATGTGCAGCAACAAGCATACATTGATAACCACCCAAGACGCGGAACGGATGGGCACTATCATTTGACTCACATCCCACCCTCGTTTGCCGCAGCTTCTATCGGGGCAGCGCCACCCCCAGGGCACCAAACCGATGGTCTATACCCACAAGAGTACATCTTGAAACGCCATAGCATAGAGTGCCTAGTGGAAGCGCTTCGATCGCTCGTATCATGGGCTCAAAAAGGAATCGAAGCCACTAGTGCGCAGGAGACTTCCCGTGAGTCTTTGGACAATCGCGATTCCTTCGAACACACGCCGTCACGAGGTCTTAGTGGTCCGGGGACTCCACAGCTCGAAGTCGATCGCAGAGTTTCCTCTAACTCCGACCTGAACAACCTCACGGTCTTTGATGATCCAAGTCAATTTGAGAAGTCGAAACTTCGAAAGAATGCCCTAAGCGAATGCGTCCGCAAGTTCAACACCAAACCAAAACATGGCGTCAAGGCGCTGATAGAGCTGGGCTTCATCAAGAGTAAAGAGCCTCGCGATGTTGCTGAATTCTTGTTGAGTTACAACAGCATCCTTGATAAAGGCAAAATCGGTGAGTATCTCGGTGAAGGTGATGAAGAGAACATCAATATCATGCACTCTTTCGTTGATCTACTTGACTTCAATCGAATGCGCTATGTCGATGCCCTGCGTCGCTTTCTGCAGACCTTCAGATTACCAGGTGAAAGTCAAAAGATTGATAGATTGATGTTAAAATTTGCGGAACGCTATATTTCTGGGAATCCGAACGCATTTGCCAACGCCGATACAGCATACGTATTAGCGTATTCAGTAATTATGTTGAACGTGGACCAACACTCATCGAAAATCAAGAGGAGAATGAAAAAGGAGGATTTCGTCAAAAACAATCGTGGTATCAATGATGGCGCAGACTTACCCGAGGAGTATCTGCATGGTATTTTTGAAGAAATTTCGCAGAATGAAATTATCCTCGAAGATGAAAAGGATGCTATTCGGGAAAGCAAAGAGGCAACCCAGAAAAACGCTGGGCTAGCTGCTGGAATCGGGCAAGCCTTGGCCACCGTCGGAAGGGACTTGCAAAGGGAAGCATACATGCAAGCGTCTGAAGAGATGGCGAACAAAACGGAGCAGCTGTTCAAGACGCTATTACGGTCTCAAAGAACAAGTTCGAAGAAAACCAACACCACGATACGCTTTGTCAATGCATCAAGCTTCAAGCATATTGGGCCGATGTTTGAGACTGTTTGGATGTCGTTCTTGAGCGGTCTGAGCGGTCCCACACAGGATTCCCAAGACGTAGAAAGTATCAGACTCTGCATGGAAGGCTTTAAACTTGCGATCAAGATCAGTTGCCTGTTCGATTTGGAGCTACCGAGGATATCTTTCGTTGGAGCATTAACACGATTTACGCAGTTGAGCAACTTGAGCGAGATGAAGCCGAAGAACGTGGAAGCATTAAAGGTTCTCCTTGATGTCGCGCAGACAGAAGGGAATCTCCTCAAGTCTTCCTGGAAGGACGTTTTGTTAGCTGTCAGCCAGCTTGAGCGGTTCCAGCTGATCTCACAAGGTGTTGACGAAGGCTCGTTGCCAGATATGAATAAGTCTCTAAGGGCGACGACCACGGGCGACGACCGGCGCACTTCGTTCCATTCCACCCGCTCTTCCAAGTCAATACGACACAAAATGTCCAACTACTCCGCTGATGTGGCCGAGGAATCGCGAAGTCGAGAGGTTGTCATTGCCGTAGACAAGATCTTCGCCAACAGCTCTAAGCTTAATGGTGATGCTATCGTTCATTTTGTGCGTGCTCTGTGTGAGGTCTCGTGGCAGGAAGTACAGTCCTCTGGATCAAGTGAAAGTCCCCGAATGTTCAGTTTGCAGAAGCTTGTAGAAATCAGTTTCTACAACATGAACCGTATCAGATTCGAATGGTCTAATATCTGGGCCATTCTCGGAGAACACTTCAACAACGTCGGATGTTTGCCCAACACTAGCATAGTCTTCTTCGCCTTGGATTCACTACGACAGTTGAGTATGCGTTTCTTGGAGATCCAGGAGCTCCCACATTTCAGATTCCAAAAAGATTTTTTAAAACCTTTCGAGCATGTTATGGCAAATAGCTCACATGCGAAGGTGAAAGATATGGTGTTACAATGCTTGAATCAGATGCTACAGGCAAGGGGCAATATGATCAAATCTGGTTGGAGAACAATGTTTGGGACTTATAGCTTCGCAGCAAAGGAGCAGTATGGTACGTATATCGAGTCGCGCGAGGGTTGACTAAAGCGCTAACATTAAATAGACAATATTGTTGAATTTGCCTTTAAATCGGTACAGTCGATTTATAAGGAGAGGTTTGGTGTAATTGTTGCACAGGGTGCATTTTCCGATTTGGTTGTTTGCCTTACTGAGTTTGCAAAGAATCTCAGATTCCAGCGGATTTCGCTACAGGCGATTGAAATTCTGAAGACGATCGTTCCCAGAATGCTTGATACACCAGAGTGTCCTCTGTCTCCGAAATCAGCTGACTTTCAACATACAAACGGTCTTGAGAACGGGAACGGTATCGAAAGCGTCATGGGAGGCGGCAAAGTTAAGACAGCAAAGGAGGATCCGATGGTCAAATTCTGGTTCCCGGTTCTCTTCGCTTTCCATGATGTTCTTATGACCGGCGAAGATCTCGAAGTCCGAAGCCGAGCTTTGAATCATCTATTCGACACCCTTGTCTCGTATGGGGCCGCATACCCCGAAGCATTCTGGGATCTTGTTTGTCGCCAATTGCTCTTCCCGATCTTCATGGTTTTGAAGAGCAAGAGCGAGATGTCGCGGTTCAATAATCACGAAGACATGACAGTGTGGTTGTCGACTACCATGATTCAAGCTCTAAGAAATCTGATACAGTTGTTCACGCATTTTTTTTACAACCTATCACGAATGTTAGACGGATTCTTGGAGCTTTTGATTACGTGTATCTGTCAGGAGAATGACACAATTGCACGAATAGGTAGTTCTTGTTTGCAGCAATTGATCTTACAAAATGTGAAAAAACTCCAAAAGGAGCACTGGGGCAAGGTTGTAGGTGCCTTCGTGGTGCTGTTTGAAAGGACAACGGCACATCAGTTATTCAGCGCCGTTAACAACGTCTCTACGGCGGTGCCGGGTGGCGCCCAAGGCATATTGAGCGCAGGTTCGATGGAAGAGGAGGCTGACTTCAACGACACAACCGTGGACACCGGGGGGCTAAAAATCGACGGCTTGGAAACTTTGGAGCAGAAAGAAGCAGCTGCAACCCTCGGTAGTGAAACGGAGCCCGAGCCTGAAAACACCAATTCTAATCCGGAGACGCCACAAGAGCAACAGTTAGAGGATTATCGTCCCTCTCAACAAGCTCCGCAAATAGCTGTCTCCGTTAGCGCCGCTAGAAAACGCTACTTCGCCCGAATAATTACCAAATGCGTCCTACAAGGTTTAATGATCGAAACAGTCTCAGAACTTTTCTCAAACGACGATGTCTATAACCTCATTCCATCCCCGGAGCTTCTACGGCTGATGTCACTGCTCAAGAAAAGCTTCGCATTTGCACGAAGGTTCAACAATGATAAGGAGTTGAGGATGAAACTATTCCGAGACGGATTTATGAAGCAGCCCCCGAATCTTTTGAAACAAGAAAGCACGAGCGCTGCAACGTATATTTCGATCCTGTTCAGGATGTTTGCAGATGATAAGTCTGAAAGACGGGAGAGTAGACGGGATGTTGAAGAAGCTTTGGTACCGTATGTCCTCTAAACCCCATCCAAGACCCACCTCGTTTTAATCAATATTAACAATATATGTGTATAGACTGTGCATCGACATAATCCACGGCTATGTAGTCCTAGACCGAGAAACACAGCACAGAAACATCCTTGCCTGGCAACCAGTTGTAGTAGATGTGATGGACGGTTATCTCGCATTCCCCGATGCAGACTTTGAAAGGAACATCACGGCGTTCTACCCAGTTGTCGTTGAATTGTTACGACAAGACCTTAGCGAAGATATGAGGCGTTCATTAATGGGAATTTTGAGAAGAGTTGGGGAAATGAAGTTGGGAGCGAAAACTGTAGAATCTGTGGTCAATGGTGGAGGTGGGACGGCTGTGAAAGGGAGGAGAAGAGCAGGAAGTGTAATGAGTCGGTAGACGGGGCGCTTTACCTATCAGTCGGAAGCTGAGCTGGATTGAGGTTTTGGTTTATTTCACTGCCTTTTCTGTTTTTGAACAAAAGAACTAGATTTTGGACTAATGATTGTGTCTTTCCTTCCCCCTTTTTCTGCTTCTCTTTTCTCCTTTTCAAGGTTTTGTTTCATTGATGGTAAAGTTTATCACTAGCCTTTTTGTCATTAGTATTCTGGAGGGATTAGGGAAGGGACGAAACACTGACTTTTCTTCCGAATTCCTCCTGCGTCAGCCTGTTGGATCCTTTTCTCTCGACTTTTTGCCTTTTATGTGTACATAATAAATAGTAATTTGTAAGAGCATTTGGATACGGGTTTGGCGACGTTACCTCTCTAATTATGCGTTTTTATAGAATACGCTCGCCTATCTCCATCAATTAATCGACCCAAAATTTTTTTTTCATAATCGCCAAAGGAACCAGAAGGGTCCGGGTACCCCTAGAGAAAGCTCGATCGATCGTTTCGGAGAGCGTTTAGTGTTGAGACCTCGAAATGGACGGCTAGAGTTGGACCTCAATATCCTCTAAAAGTTCGAACAGGTCAACTAATTACATAGTCTTATATTAATAGCTATAGAAGGATGAAAAGGACGGAAACCCGACGGCCAAGGATAGCAAATCAGGACTCCATAACTAGTAATTGCATAGTCGTTTTGTCGACATCGAGGAAAGAATACTATACCAATTATACATTAATAATTTTCTTAAAGAGCTCAGCACAGTCCATGTCCATTTTCCCAATCGTATGTACACAAGCTTAGATTCGAGCCCTCGAAGACATGACAGCATGTAACATAAGATTTACAAAACCAACCCCGCATCCACCAATTCCGCTTCAGATCAACTGATTTTGGTATCAATAGAATCGCATGAATCCAGCGCACTTTTTTAAAGATATTTTATCGACTCCGCAGATGGCGTGAAAACTGATTTACCTTCCAAAAGTGTCACGTGAGTCACCATATATGACAACAACCGCCCGAAAAAAATTACACGCAACAACGCCTTCAAAATCACAAAATCGGCCCCGTATTGATCAACTCAGCTCGAAATTACTTAATTTTAGCATTGACGGAGTCGCCTAAAGCTAGCGCATCTTTTAAAGAATGTATTAAAGTCTCCGCAGACAGCGGAAAATATGTTTTGTCGGCCAAAAATGGTCACGTGCTCCGCTGGTTTGTTGGATATTGGTGGATGATCGTGTTGTTTCGGACCACGGGACTCTTAACCCATCAAGAAGCGAGGGTCGAGATGAGGACGATTTGAAATAATGCTAAAGGTAGTGAAAGGACTGGCTTCGTTGGTACCGGATAACGCGAAGTTAACAGAACGGACCCAGCCAAGAAAGAGAGTAAAGAAACAATCATCTATTAGCGCACTAATAATAATAATAATAATAGTAGTAGTAGTAGTAATAATAAAACCTCGTGGACCACTAGGCTAATTAGTTAAGAAAACCGCATCCGCTGTGCACTATCTCCAAGTTTTCAGGCGTTTGGTATCTCAACAGAAACTCTCCTCATTACTAAAATTTGGTGTATGTAACACCCCCCTCTTTCAACCCCAAATCTATACACACATCCTCTTTATACATGATTATTCTTCGGCGCCCTGGGCCGCCCCACCTATCTATCACACCCTTTTATAATTACTTGACCATCACTTTACCTCCCAAATTCTTCCCTATAAAGAAGAGAGCCGAAAGAAGAAGAAAGCCACCAACGTCCTTTTCACCGATTCAGTCTCTTCAATCCTCCTTTTTCCGACGCTGCCGCCTTAGCTCCCGACGTTGTCGCTACAGGCACATTAACCCCGGGTCTAACACCTGCGGGCTTATGGAGAGCCGGTGGCGGGATAATCACCTTTTCTTCTGCTCGATTGGCTTCTCTTTCTAATTGATCCTTTCTTCTTACCGCGATATCCTAAAACAAAAATTCAAAGATTTTGACATATTAGCCCCGGCACATTAAATATGATACAGAATTAAGAAAAAAAGGAATATTGAGCAAAGGGAAGGAGAGAGTATACCTTCGGTCTGTAGTCACTGAATGCCCACTTCAAACTCTTCTCGATCAACCAACAAACCACATAATCCAACAGCATGCTTGTCGTCAAAATAGTCTTAAACTCATCCGAAAACTTGACGAGCTTAAGTTTTTCATTCAGCTCCGGTATGAACTCCGTACTACACATGAACGCAATTGCGCCCACGGAAACTAAACCCCAATACATTGCTCGGTTTTCCCTGATACTCTCACGGAACGGACGACCCTGGTAATTGATGGCGAATGTGGAGATCTGTTGGATGAGAGAGATAAGGTAGATGGCACTGTTAAGAAGAGAAGGTTGGAATTCCTTTTCGAGGTCCTTGGGGCGTTCATGTGGCTCAATTGCCTTGACATAATTTGAGATGTAGATCAGACTGACAATATGAACGGCGAATTGACCGAGGACGCTACCGATAATGTATGGGTTGAAGATGTTGGGTTGTGGCCTTTCCCGCGACAGTTTTTCAACGGGTTTAGCACGAGAGATAGAAAGGAAGCAGACTGACATCATCATGCCGCTGATAGTGACTTGCCCATCGCCAAATTTAATACCATCGAGGTAAAGGACCGACAAGCTGTAGGCAGAAATGAGACAGTTTAAGGCGAGAATCTTGTACATTTGGATGGTGGCAACTAATGTACAACGACCTTGGCGAATGATATTGGCGATGGCGATGACGTTTCCGAGTTTAGAGGTGAAGGGAGCGGCAACAGAGGCGTCTCCAAGTTTGATACTTGGAGGTTCATCGTCGTTCATTTCTTGGTCCATCATCATGCTAGTCATTTGATCCGCGAAACCAGCGGCCTTGTTGGCGGAAGTATGGGCATTATTTTGGGACTGCAATGCTGCCGCGGCGCCGGGTGTGGTTACTGTTTCGAGTTCGCCTTCTAGTGCTTTGGGGATGGGAATCTGAGATACATCCACACCACGAATTCTAGCCTGATGCTCAACTGCCTTGTCGAAGTTGGGATTCTTAGGGCCGGGTGGGTACAAATGGGCAATGATAGGGGGTGGGGGTGGAGCTGGCGCATTGAATCGCTTTGTGAGCGCAACTTGCTTTTCATAAATCTCCTTCATCTTGGTAACCTTGAAATGTTCGCTGATACGTTGAAGATCCTGCTCGGTACCATTAAGAAGAGCGACACCAACATGAGCTTGCTTGAGAGCGCCAACATCATTAGTACCATCACCGCACATAAGAGTAGTATATCCGGCGGCCTTGAGTCCAGTCAAAATAACCTCTTTCTGTAAGGGAGACACACGAGCGTAAACCCAAGTGTGGCGCAACAAGACAGAGATGGCGGTGGCGTTTTCTGTAAGTTTGTTGAGAGCGTACCCGGTGACACAGATATCCTTTTCAGCGATGATCTTGGGATCGATTGGGTCTCCTGGCTGAACAGGGATCATAGTGGTCTCATCCACGGATCTCCAGATCAGCTCATGTGGGCTGTTCTCGTCCTCAGGGGCATCCAAAATCCAACAATCCCGATCCACAATTTCAACTTCATTTGCGACGTGAACAGCAGTTAATGGATTATCACCGGTAATCATAATGACTCTGTGGCTGCTCTCATTCAACATTCTAACGGTCTTTTTGGCATCATCCTTGAGTGGGGTGTGCAAAACTAGGAAACCAGCAAAGTGGAGGTCACATTCAACATCCTCTCTTGTTAAAGCGTTAATTCGTGCAGCGCCAAGCTCCTGATCAGTTGAGAGATACTTGTATCCCAAAGCCAAAACACGCGATCCACGCCGAGTATAGTACTTAAAGGTAGCCTCATAGTCAGCAGGGACGGAAACCAACATCTTTCGAATAGTCTCGGGGGCGCCCTTGACAGCGACGAAAGATCCACGGATACGTTGGCCAGAAGAATTGTGAATAACGGTGGCGACGGAACTCTGCCTCTTGAGCGTAGAAGAGAACTGGAATCGTCGACGGATGGTAACAATGCTAGAGGTTTGGGAATACGCTTTTCCGGGTGCAGCAGAAAGTTTGTTGGATGTCAGGGTATCATTCTTTCCGAGCGACCAGCCAAGAGCTTCCAATGTAGCTTTTTCCATAGGGTCGCCAACAATTTCTCCTTCGTCGAGACGGACGAGTGCATGAGCCGTAGCGAGAACCAATGTAGTTTCAGCTCCAACCTCCGCGACTCTCTGCAGGCTAGGAGTTACCTTCCCGCTAGGACCATGTTCTTGACCATTCAATCCAGCAACACCTTCAACCACGAGATCTTCACCAGTAAGGGTACCGGTCTTGTCAAAACAACAAACATCAACGCGGCCGGCGAAGGGAATTCTGAAAGGCTCGGTGCAATAGATCGCATACTTGCTCAAAGCAGCTAGGGAGGTATTGACAGCCAAGGAAAGCTCCATGGGCAACTCGGGTGGGACGACACTTGTGATGATGAGGACGCAGTCTAGTAATAACTTTGAACGCTTCCTGTCCTGCAAAACACCTTCAGTCCAGACATACCAACTAGCAGCGATAGCGAACATGAGAAGGAACAGAATAAACAAGAGCGCCTCGACATTGTTCGCAGAAACTGGCTCCGTTGAGTAGATCATGGTTCGGACGAGCTGGCCCTGACTGGTCTCAAAACCTGTCTTGGTAACGACGGCTAAAGCACCATTATCAGGCGCGAGGGGGACCTTGACGTTCGTCTCCGGGTTTTCTTCGCCACCAGCCGCATGGGTAACTTGCAAGACCTTGGTGCCACCATACAGAATGGCATTTTTGTCGAGACCTTCAGGCTCAATAAGCGCATCTCCAGGTCGCAAAGCGATGGAGTCCTTTAGGAGTGGTGTAGACTCGCCAGACAACATGGCCTCGTTAACAATGGCAGTCCCTTCAATAAGAATCATGTCACAAGCTACACCGGAATCTTCTTTTGTACGCCCGACACTGACAAGATCACCTGGAAGTAACTCATCACTCTGAACTTCCACCCAATGACCAAGACGGTGTACGAAGATTGGGTATGGCTTGATGGACATTCCACGGAACTCTGTGAGAGTTCGTTGACGTTGCCATACGACGGTGGACTCGAAGGCGACAAGCATGAAGAGAGTGAACAAGCTGTAGTACCAGTACTCATCGAGACACCAAAGACCAACACAAAAGATCTGGAAAACAAAGAAGGGCGCCACAGCGTGTTCTTTGAAGAGTTCTGTGAAGGTGGGTACCGGGATATCGAAGGTGTTTGGGCCATAGTGGTGCTTCAGGTGAACTTCCTCTGTAGCAGATGTAATTCCCAAAGTGTGTTGGAAGGACTCAATCCTCGGCTTGGGGTCCGAACTGAGTGGGTATGAGACCGGGGAGAAGGAGGCAGTTTCGGTGTAGAAGAGGAAGCGACGTTTCTGGAAGAGGAAGAACAGTTCTTCTTTCGGGCCGGACTATATTTGAAGGAACAGTTAAAAACAGAAGGGAGAAGCAGGTTCGAAGGAAGACGTACTCTATCGTGAATGATCTCGCATATTTCAGATTTTCCAGAGTTTTCGACAGGAATAACCTTGATCAGCTTAGCTGAGAAGATATCAGATGCCTATTTCCCAACCAGTTAGCATAAAGATGTGTGAAGAGAGTGTCCTAAAATAAGAAGAGGGGGAGGAAGAAGAAGAAGAAGAAGAAAAAATACCTTCCGAGTAGTGAAGAGAGTTTTGATATTGACGTTCCATTGACAACTGAGCCAGAGCAGAGCCTGGAGACAGATGATACCACCAAGGTATAGGAAAGTAAATTCAGAGCCATGGATGTATTTATCGTAGTTTTCTTCAGGAAAGTAAATTGCGCCAAACAGTGGGTATAACGAGAAGAAAGGCCAGACGTAGAATTTGAGGTATGTTGGAAGGGGATTATGCAATGTCGCGCGAGCGATCTGGGGATGGTCAACGAGGGGTGCCCTAAAAACAAGCATTGTTTCTATATTAGCAAAGTAAAAAGCATGGCCGAGTGGGATTCCGGCTATTATAAGCTAGCTACCTAGCTAGCTAGCAAATCGGTTGGTCATGGAAGTTGGGGAGGATCGCGTACATGGTAAGAGGGAAGAGGAGGATGAGAAACCCAGCAGGGACGAGGAATGTCGCCTGCGGTTAAGTTGAAGTCGAAGGGTCTACCAGACTGGGGTGGCGGTTGAGGGTCGAAGGATGAATGGATTTGGATGGTGATATTCAAGGTATTGGGAGAAAGCAGAGTTGAGTTTTGGTTGAAGAACCGACAAAGCCGAGAGTTGGATACGGATTAGATTAGATTAGACTCAAAAGACACTGTTGGATCCGCCGGTGCTGGTAGGTGGATTTTAAGTAATTCATCTACGCGCCAGTTGGCTGCAGTTCTAGTTGAAAATATATGATCTCGCCATGGAAGCACAGGGAAAGAAAGGGAAGAAAAAAAGGAGGTTGAGAATCGAATGAAACAAAGGCAGGCGAAAAGGAAGTTGATGTCGTCGTCGCCGCCAGTTAAGTTTCTATCCGTCGTTGATTCTCCTGCAAACTGGCTTCTTTGAGAACGTTTAACCCTGCCCGGGAAGAATCATCCCGGGGAGGGGAACACCCCACGCTCTCGGGGTCGTTCCCGGGAGGTACTCTCGGGGAGCCTTCATTAACACGCAAATCATTTACACAACTGGTACCACTTATAGGTATACTAGTGGGTATCGATACTAGTACTTCTAGATAGTATATATGATTTACACCATGCCCCTCAATTAATAATAATTACTACTAGTTACTAGTTGTTCTTCTTGTTCATGTTCTTCTTGTTCTCCTCCGTACCAGGAGCCGGAGGAGGAGGAGTCCGTGACCGGCCCCGACATCCCCTAATCCCGGACAGAGACCTTCCAATCTGGCTCAATCCCCTCCCTACGGCTCCCCACCTCCCCGGTTTTGGGTCCTCAGGTTTGGGTGCAGGGGCAACAGCTCTCAGAGCCTTTGCCGCCCTTCTGGCGCCTTCTTCCCAGCACATGGACCACCTGATCAGTGCCCCGACGATATCCCGATAGGTAGTTCCCTTCGGGAACCATTCATCTAATTGTCCCTGATCTCTGTAATCATGCACCGCCAGTTCACTATCGTAATCACTGACTATCAATTCCATCGTTTCCACGAGACCATCAAATCTTGCCTGATAGTTTTGCCTTGCTCCCAGTATGTATTCCACCAGGTATTGCCCATCCGGGTGACCATCATCGATTCCCATGGCAAGATTGAATATATTTTTATCCTCGTCGTTATCATCACTATCGTCGCCGTCGCCGTCCTTGTTTGGATATATATATCGCAGCCTGGGGAGATTAGCAATCTCAGCTAGAAACGCGTCGACAGCATCCTTCTCAGCTTCAGCTATAGCTTGTAGGTTCCGGATCGTAGCATTTATCAGTTCCAATTCTGCTTCGTCGACAAAGGTACCGTATCCCTCCGCTTCATCTTCCACAGATTCTTTTATCAATTGGCTCACTTGTATCTTTATACCCAACAATTGGTCAATCAGCGGCTGTATGTGAAAGCCGGTATCTCTATTGGAGACAGTTATATATGAAATGTCTGATGGACACCGTCCTTCTTCTTGGAGGTAGTCGATTTCCTCAATTGCCTTTGCCAAATCTCGAAGGGTTTCTCTCTCTTCGCCGACGTAATCTTCGAACTCCTGACGGCGGATTGTTGCAGGTTGTTCTCCACAGCCGGGTGCCCGGTTTGGCCATGGAGCTGCTACTCTAGATCGAGAATTCCCGATATATACGCATTAACACTGGATGTATCATCATGATTAGCTGCATAGATTAATTGCAAAGGCACCTACTTGGGTATCAATTGGATCCAGATCCAAAATATGACCACGGCCAGGGAGATGTTTAAGGGCCACATTCTGTATATACATATATATACATACTATATATAATAGATAACTCCCAATCAGATTGTAGGTATCGCGGGAATTCGAAAGATAGAATGCAGGAAAGAGTGAACGGCCTTATCAATTAATTATCATCGATTGTATTGTATTATATTGTGCGTGGCAGCCACCTCAATACCACTCAGAAATAGCCTCAGTAGAAACGTTAAACCTTGTGGTCTCCACACACATTATCGCTTACGCTTTCTTCGACTTTTAATATACTACAGTATACAGTATACAGTATACGTCTCGAGGCTAACAGCGTACTGGTATATACTGGTCTGGAATTTAATATATGATATCTGCAGTGTAAATCGAAATGAGTTGGTGTTGCAGAAAACCGGGCCGAAAAACTGTTGGCCGCCAGAATCGGCATGCCGAATTTCCCGCCGTGAATTTTGCCGGACGCTAAAATTGCTTTCGAAATTTCCCCCAACAAACAATTGTCAGGAAGGAACAGCGACGTCGCCGATAATTATCATTCACTTCCACTGCTTCCTCTCGAATCGCCAACCTCTCCCTCTCCCTCTCCCTCTCACCTTGTCATCCTCATCACCGTCTCCCTCACACTTCAACCACCATCAATTCACCCGCCAACTTCACTCACTCACTCACTTACTCTATCTCTACCCTCATATACAATACCGTAGCTATGGTCGCTGCGGTATTTTCCTCCCGAACAGCGCTGCTGGCGTCCAGAGCCGTCGGAAGGGTCAACAGCACAACATGTCTCCGAAGGTATCTACTATACCCTATTCTCTCTCTTTATCTCTTTATCTCTACTCTCTCCATTCAATTGGTCTCTATCGCGTCAATACCGATTATTCCGGTTATTTATAACCTCAGGACTCGTCCGATATAAATTGCTATTTAAATCTTGGAGAGGGGGTTAGAGGACAGACGAGACAGACACTACCTCCCAAATACGTAATTACCCACGCTAACTTCTTTTCTTTACCTTACTAGCATCCCAAGAGCCGCCTTCCCTACCTTCACTAGATACTATGCCGATAAGTCTTGTACTTCTCTCTGTCTGTGTCTCTTTTCAAGTAGCTATATCGCTGATATCTTACTTTTTTCAAAAAAATGAAGCACTACCCCGCCATACCGTCGTCAACATGCCCGCCCTCTCTCCCACCATGACGGCTGGCAACATTGGCGGCTGGCAGAAGCAGGCAGGCGATAAAATCGTTCCCGGTGATGTCCTCGTCGAGATTGAGACCGATAAGGCTCAGATGGATTTTGAGTACCAAGAAGAAGGAGTCCTTGCAAAAATTCTTCTACAAACTGGTGAGAAGGATGTTGGCGTTGGAAGTGTAGGTTCTCTTCGATACCTCTTTCATCCTTTCCCCCCCGCTTTTTTTCTCTCTTCTTTTTTTTGTTAAACAAAAAGATTACCTTAAGAGGCTAACTTAAGAGAAAATAGCCTATCGCGGTTATGGTCGATGACGCAGGTGACGTCGAAGCCTTCAAAGACTTCACAATAGACGACGCAGGCGGCAAAGCCTCCTCCACACCAGAATCCAAGTCCTCCTCTCCAGAGCCCTCTAAGTCCGCATCCGAATCTCAACCAGCTCCAGCCCCATCAGCCGAAGAATCCACCTCCACTGGTTCTCGCCTCCAAACCTCCCTCGAACGCCTCGAAGGTCTTGAATATGCTGCCTCCCCCGCCGCAAAAGTCCTCGCCCTAGAGAAGGGCATCCCCCTCAAAAATGTTAAGGGTACCGGCCCCAACGGAAGAATTGTCAAAGCCGATGTCGAAAAATACTCCGGTTCGGCCGGCGGCTCCTCCTCGGCAGCAATTGGCGGAGCAACAGGTCTATCTGATGTCGACATCCCCCTATCTGGCATGCGCAAATCAATTGCCACACGCCTCCAATCTTCCATGCAAACCTCTCCTCACTTCTATATCGGCTCCGACATCTCTGTCTCCAAACTTCTTAAACTCCGTACCGCTCTCAACGCATCAGCCCAAGCAGGAGAATACAAGCTTTCTGTCAACGATCTAATCGTCAAGGCCGTTGCTGTAGCGCTTAAGAGACACCCCAACGTAAACGCCTCCTGGGTCGATTCCGAGAGTGTTATCCGTCAATACGCTTCTGTCGATATCTCAGTCGCCGTAGCCACCCCTGTAGGTCTTATCACCCCAATCGTAAAAGCCGCCCACGCGAAGGGTCTTCAAACCATTTCCAACGAAATCAAAGAACTTGCAACTCGCGCCAAGGACGGAAAGCTCAAGCCGGAGGAATACCAAGGTGGTACTTTTACCATCTCAAATATGGGAATGAACGACGCTGTATCGCGGTTTACAGCGATTATCAACCCTCCTCACGCAGGCATCTTGTCCGTTTCTGCTCCCTCAAAAGTGGCGGTTCCCGGAAGAGATGGGGGTATTGAATGGGATGATAAGATTACTTTTACGGGAAGCTTTGATCATAGAATTGTTGATGGAGTTGTCGGAGCTGAGTTTATGAAGACTTTGAAGAGGGTGGTGGAGAACCCGATGGAATTGTTGTTGTAAATAATCTTCTTTTCTTTTCTTGCGAAATATTTTTTTGAGACTGGATTAGAAGACGCCCAAAAGAAAAAGGACCAGAAGTTTTTTTTTCCTTCACATCCTTTTTCTCCTTTTCTTTTATGATGAACGACGATGAAATCTGTAGGTTGTAACTATTCGGTATTTATTAGCTAGAGAATTCTCTTTGCTCCCCCAAAGGTCCTACCTCTTTTTATTCCCTACTGTTCCTTATATTGACAGTCAGAAACAGTGGCCTGATTATCATGGTGGATAATATTAATATTTCAGGCCCTGAGCTGAGAAAGTCCTTGTTCACTTCGCTCTCAACAAAATTCGCCCCGATATGTTCTTCTCCTGTACAATCTTCTAAAGCCCCCGAGCACATACATACAGACATATATGAAAAATGAAAATTTAAAGACCTAGCAGTACGGGTAAAATGCCAATGATGTGGTTAGTAATTACAAATTGCTTTGCCTCCGAGTTTTAAATACTCTTGAAGGTTTGTTCCGCTTGACTTTCATATGCAATTCCGAGCCATTCGTCCGAGGTTGAAAATTCGCGAAACTATTCAGATGCCCAGACCGGTCTAGTTAGGCTAGACTCAGGCTGGTTGCTGATAATATAATTTTGAAGCACCTCTTCGTTTAAGTTAAAGATTATATTATATTTTATCTTAGCTAAATCTTTCCCCGGAACTTAATTCTTGATTATAAATGTATTAGTTTTGTCGTGGTAGTAGTATGGTGGTTATAATTAGGTAGGTACAAGGCATTAAAGCCCTACACGACTATAGCCATCCCATCCTCAACTTATTTTTCAATCGATCCAGAAAAGGGAGACATTCGAGTATCTCCTGAACACTTGAGCTATACTATAGTGTTATGTAGTAGCTAGTATCGAATATTTGTAATCCAAGTTCGCGAATTCGGCTTCAGCGCAGGTTCACAGTGCGTGCAGCGTAATGAGACGTATGCACAATTGCAATGTTCTTCCTGCAGGAAACTCGATTAAAGACCATCATACCAGCAAACAGTATGCTCAACCTCATAACGGACTTTTTCGGCCCGATGATTGGCTTATATTTCTAAATAAGCTTTTCTTCCAAGTTGATTGGTTATTCAAAAGTCCTCAAATCTGTCTGGATGCTCGAAGCTGATATATGTGACGACAAACCTTGCAGCAACAATCCCCTTTAGATGCCCCCTGACCCGACTTTTGTTGTACAGCATTGAAATCCAGCTTTCTGGCTATGGTAACAGCAAGCCTCATAATGAGGCTATAGAGACAGCTCTGGTGATCAGAATGTATTTTTTCCTTTTCTTTTTCGTTGTTGGAAATTGTATCTCCGTAGAAAAACCTTATATTTCAAACTGATGCTGATAATTTTCATTACACAAGTTCACTAAATATCTGAGAGCTCTTTTATATTAGGAGATGACACCTAGTTAAGTTGCTGTCAGAATCAAAGTGCGACGTTAGCTATATATATTGTAGGGAAACCCTGGGCATTCATGATCCTATTGGTAGTGAGGTTTCAACAAAGCGACCTAAGGCTGAAGTGCTCAGGGCTAATCTCTGAATCTGAGATGCACGGGCTGACACCGGCCTTAGCAAAAGCCGAATTCAATCATTCTGTGAGAATAAACTATGTATACAATATGTTCAATCCTCAATAGAAGAATGTTCACGGATTCTAGATATAATCTGTTACATTTCGGAATCTTAATGAAGAGATCGTATTCAATCGGCGCTAGCGCTCTCGTACAGTATTCCGAAAATTGGTTGCCAGTCCATATTTTATAACATGTAACTACGCGGACGTTATTCAAGCGCACCTTTTCCACAATAAACGCCGCAATGCAACTTACAAATATCTACAATTCTATTGTAAGGGGGAGTTAATTCTACGGGGGATATCTTGTTCAACTTAGCTGTAATTAAGAAAACTTTACACAAATTTGGCAGTCATGCCAGTGCATCCGTAAAGAAAATTCAGTCTATATAGGTCGGAGGAGATCATTTTGAAACCCGAGTGGTCCTAGGTATTATGAACTGCCAGATTTGCATCGGTTGTCCTGGTCTTGCACTTGCTACCGCAAGTTTAAACCCAATCGAAAAACATATTTCCACCTTGCTCGGTCAGTACTTAGACGCCAATCAACCTCAATGCATGCCGGCACGGCTACGAAGATAAAAGTCGCAAATGGAGGACTATTCAAAAGCAATAGGTTGGTCCAAAACTGGCCTGCTTTGTATCGGGGAAAAACCACCGTCATTTGGCTTCCTCCGGCGTGAGTTTATTGAGCCTTCAATTGATATCTTGACCGCCCGAGGGATCCCCGGGATTGCACGCTACACCGAAACCTTGTTAGAAAAGGGTCCTCGGAATCTGCGAGGGAAAGGATAACCATCATTATCACTCTCTCCTCTTTGCCTACGAATCCGCAGTATTTCGGATCTATATTAAAGGCGGCGAGCAATTCCTTTCGAGGATAATGCCTTTTAATGATGGGTAAACTCCGTACATAGTTCCGCAAATTTTTGCAAGCTGAGACCTGGTCTCACTTTGTAGAACCTGTTTGTTAGCTTTGACATCCCTTCGAACTTTTGAAGCATCTGTATGCACATCACATATATGAATGGTAATCATGGATATTACATCAATGTATTCTAAATGAATCTTCGTAGTGATGGTGAAATCTTTGTTACTTTTATCTTCAGATGCTATAGTAAATGATATGTTCCTTACTACCAAATGCCTACTCATTTCATCATTATTTCCCCATTTAATTTTTTACCCAGCCACCTCATCTATAATTAATTTATCCACTGCTCAGATAATTCCGTACCGTGCTTTGCTGCAATTACGTATACTTTGTGGATACAAGAATTGATAATCGGCCTTTGAAGCTCATGTCGGTTATATGCGTATATGCTAGGAATCTCTCAAAAAAAAACGCAATCCATTAATTTTATACTTTGTTTGTGCAACGGAGGTAAAAACATAGAGGTTTCATTCGTGATCTTTGTTGCAGTGGCCTGCATTTTCGCTGCCAAATTAAGATTAATAAAATAACCCATTAAAAGGCGTTGCTTCAGCGCCACATGTTTGTAGATGGCTGTGGCTGTATTTGAGTTGTTACACAGCACCAAGAGCTAAAACCGGTATTCTCGCTTGGCGTCTGCCAAGTTCTCCCAGTTTTGATTTCGTGTTTGGATGCAGCTCCCGTAACTACTTCTTGGGTATCTGCTCTGATACATGCAAGCAGCACGAAAGCATCCTCGGCTATTTTACACGCGCTATGGATTCGTTACTAGAAATCGAATTAGGGCATAGCGACAAGAGGGTAAGAACACCTTCAAGTGATAACACCGCGTACTAACATCGGGTTTGGATACAATAGGAGAAACATTCGAGGAGAAGGAATAATATGGAAATAGCCTCCAAGACAAGGATTTCTTTGGTCTAGGCTAAGGCTGGGGAAGAAATTTCTAAAAGTATGCAAATGTCAAAAAAGAGAAGGCTCTCTAGAAGAACTTCCTTAACTACTTGCGTCTTCTGGATTCCTTCTTTTTTCCTTGGGAAGGTTCGCCGGCATCTGGAACATTCCTTGATGATGACGGTCCGGCTTCTGACGATGGTTCATGCACATGTTCGGGCTCCCGACCAACCTCCAAAGGCTGAGCTTCCTCCGGTTGGGCGGTTCTCCTACTGCGTGATGAAATCAACGGGTCGATAGCTAGTTCGCTGATTGGAATGTATCCTAGCATGCTATCGGTGGCTTCTCCTTCTAATCCGAGGGCCCGCGTCCTCTTGTAGTATTCCTTTTTAATTTTGGCAAGGTGGGCCTGGAATTCAGCCTCGTCTGTAGGGCTGCCGATAGAAATGCTACTTCCGCCGGACAAACTAGATAACATGTGCTCTCTAGAGACCACAGTGCGCGAGCGGGCGGAATACTGCAGGTGCCAAGACCGAGACAACGATACATCTTTTCTTAGCGTCCAGTCCTCCTTTCGTTGTGCCTTCTTGACTTGCTTCAGATGCTCCTTCTTTTGCTGTGGCGTCTCATCCAGGTGAATTTCAGGAGTGGGTGGCCTGGTGGCAAGTCTAGTGCCTCGTAGGAAAGGAATCTCGTCCGGATCTGATGGAAAGCATCGGAAAAAGGGGTCGGTGGTGCTTAAAGGTCGAGTGTTGGGATTGTTCATGACATATGCAATGGGAACAACTGCTTCGTAATAGCCTTTGGACGCTGAAAAGCGAAAGGTCGGGTCTTGAGCAGAGGGGCTTGAGCGGCTAGGTGCCACGCCGTGTGGATCATGAAGCTCGCGGAGACGACGAATATGTTGAATCTTGGGTCTCCCCTCGGTGGGGTCAGGAGATCTATCACAATCCTGGCGCTGTTTCCCTTTGCAGGAAGTGGCAAATCCTTTCTTATGCTCAGAGCTGGCACGTTTAGTTGTCGTTTGTTGGATGGATCTTTGTAGGAACCCGATGCTGTCATCACTGGTGCTGTCAAATGGGGTATGTCTCTATCTTTTAGTAAGTCCAATGCTCCTTGTCATCTATCTCGGGGTATATGCTTACGAATTCCTGTTGGGAAAACGAAGCCCCTGTAGTGCGAGCAGCTTCCAAGTCTCGAATCAAGTCTACAGAAGCCTGGTTTGGGCTTCTCCGCATAGCCGCGAACGATCCTTGAGTCTCAGGTTCCGCGATTTCTGAGTCATCAAAATGAATGCTCATGGCCCCACGGCGTGGACGAGTGCCCTCCAACGAGCTGGCACGTTCAGAGTGGCGTGTTGAAGACGATGCGCTAACAACCTCTGATCGGATCGTATGCCTCGATCGTGGCTGTTGTGGCCCAGTGAGAATTTCTCTAGTTTGTAAAGAAGATGGGAGGGGTGGCGGCCCGAGACGCGAAATCCCTGGTGGGGGTGTCGACAGGGCAGGTGAATACATTGGAGCTGGATGGCTTAAGCGACGGTCAGGCTGACTGATTGGGCTAGAGCCTGGAGGGAGTGGAGGTGGACCTAGTCTATTTGGCCTTGAGGCCACAAGTGGTGGGCTAGGTGGTGGGGATGTGAGAGGCGAGATCATTGAAGGTGACAATGGCCCTGGGGAAGGGGACAATGATGCACGGCGCCTTCTCTCCAACGCTTCTAGCATACTCTTTTGTCTGCGTATCTCAGCTTCAGAAAGTCCACCCCAAAGAGCAAAATCTTCCACAGGCGACGGCGTAACTGGAGGGCCCGGTAGAGGCGACTGGGAGGAAGGTCCTTCTCGTGGAAGAGGATGACTTCTAAGATTTGTTGGTTCGGCTGGAGGAGGGGGGGGAGGGGGGCGAGCCGGAGGTGGTGGATAAGGAGATAGATACCCTGTACTCCCATCAGGAGAGGCGGAAGAGAATGTCTCCATATCCTCTATACGGTTTCGGCGGGGTTCAGTTGGCGTTCCATCACGCAACTGGTGGCTATTGTCCAAAGGTGCATGTCTGTCGATGCCTCGGGCAGGTGGTGGCGACCCTTCGCCGCTATGGGGAGCTTCACGTGTGATCCTTCCATTTGACGACATTTCCTGGTAGGTGCGACGAGAATGCTCTGGTCGTACCACTTGGGAAGGAACGGGCGATGTGAATGAAGGATCAGAGGTGACAGCTGTTGAGGGCTGGTCTTGTGTAACTGGAGAACCTGGACTTGTGGTCTCTCGCTGGTGACGCTTTGGCTCCGGCGAATCTTCAGGTCGGATTGGTTCTCCGGACGGTGATTCCCTCTGATGTCTTCTCTTAGGAACTGGCATTATTCAGAGAAACCGAACTAGCATAGTTCGAGAGGACCAGTTGATAGCAAATCAAACTTCAACTAACTCGGATTTTTTACTGATGGACTAGCCCCGATAAAGTGAAGAAGAGGGAAGGTCGAGTGGAATCTATATTGAGATGACGTCGTTGATTTATGGAGGTTAGGAATAGTGGGGGTGGGCTTGACACTTGCCGGGGGGTATCCTGAGAGGTAACTCTGATCGTGGTCGCTTGGTATGACAGGGTGGCTGATTCATTCGAGTGAAAGGGCAAACCTGCAGTTTCTTCTTCCTCGATGATGATGGCAACCTTGATGGACTTATGGTGATGATGACGATGGGTGTGATAGTATCTACTTGATGAATGAATACCTTCCTAGCTGGTAACTACCTAGGTAGGTAGGTAGGTATTGAAGAAGAAGAAGGGGAGAAGGAGGAAGTGTGAATGAGGGAGAAGGAAGAGGGGAGAAAAGAAGCGGAGGAAGGGGAAGCGGAAGAAACACGTTACTACGACTTAAGCAATCAATCGATCAAACAATCTGTCAACCGGGTGTCCTCTGCGTCGTTATGCACGAATGAATGCATGCAGCATCCCGAGGCTGCTGTGCAACGTTACCGTCAGGGTCACTCCCCAGTATCTGTGTGGAGCTCTCTCCAATACTTACCTGCTTACTTACTAAGTACTTAGTAGGTAGCTTATGCTAGCGCTCACTTAAGAGGAGGGGGTACTTACTTACTTAGGTACTTTAAGCGTGGGTCTGGGAGCAAGTATGTAGTACCTGGTTCTGTTCAATCCACTGCGCGCGCTGTACGGGTTTCGCAGCAAAGCTTAAAGGTACTTGCATACAAGTGCAAGTATGCATTCCACTCTTTCTGGGCGACGCCACTAAGAAAAGCAAAGCTCAATCGATCGCTGTGTGGTACTTTTGACAGACTACCCCATATATCCACATTGTTTCTATCCCCCCCACTCCTCTATAAGGTATACCATCTCATTTACTAAGCTCTTCTTAGAACCATTGCATTCCTAGTTGGGAGACACTTTGTTGTATTTTTGAAGACTTCAACACAGATTTTAGCCATCGGCTGCGCGCTGATCTAGATCCCCGCGCGATCGTCTAGTCTTGAGAGTATATTACTAATCATATGTAGGAATTACTACTTACTATACTTTATGTGCCTACCTAAATACAAACATACCTTCGGGAATGCAGCAACGCTTTGGCTACGAGGTAAGGCATTAAATATTATGTGGAGAATGCACCAGAAAAGCAGGCCTTGCCGACATAGGTGCATACATAGGTCCACTAGTTCTGGACTAGATCTTTTAAAATAATAAAATCCCTGTTGTATGCCAGTCTTCTAGAATAATACCTTTATTGAACAACTGGACTACCTACTAATTACCTATGTTCTATTGCTTCACTCCCAAAACAATTAACAAACCGCTCCTCCGTAACACCGGTCTATGTGAGGTGATAGTATCCTATGCACGCGCCCAAATAATTTGATGGATATCAATTTCGAACATATGAGACTCACGAACTTGCTGCACTGACAGCTGTTCTTGTGCTACCTTGCAAAAGCAAGTCTCTATTCCTTGTTCTACCCTAGTCTCGTATTGCAGACGCGGTCCACACTTAAGCTTTAGTTCTACCCATTGATTTTACTTGTCTTATAAGTTTACACAAAGGACATTGCCTATACCCGCGATTGTTTCGAGGCTTAGAGAACATTCGAACGCACACATGCCTGTCCAACTATCCATTAGGTTTCATTCATAGGCGATTTGCAATACTCCAAAGAGCAAACATAAAATATCTTCTTTCGTGTCACCTAACTTCTCTAGACGCACTCCGCTCTAGGAATGGCATCCGTGGCCATTCACAAAATATGCTGTCAATGTCTATAAAAAAGCGAGATACTACCATACAACAAACCAAAACTCAACTCTAACTCGCCGGCTTATAAGCTTACTTCTTATGCATTGCATCTATTCCAATCCTCTTTTCTAGTTTAACCACATGCTACAGTACCTGTTGCCTTTCTTGGTCTCGACTTGATCGCTCATAAGCTCATCCATTATTTGAACCTACCAATTACCTTCTTCGTTTTAACAAGTATTAACCGCCGCCATGGGAAATGCAAACTCCAAACAATACCATTCAAGTTCGATGCAGCCTGTCACTCTATGCTGGAATGACGAACTCATCGGCTCTTGCACCCTCTCCGAATTGCACCGCAACTTCCCTCGTCTCCGGCGTGGCTTCCATAACTTTGACCCGAGAGGTGACCGCCACTCCCGTAGCCTCGGGCAAGTTACCATAGTCTATGATCTTGCCCCCCTCCGAGATGTAGTTCTCTGGGCCCGGCCCCCAGAGCCACAGGCAGACGAAGCTCGGCTGGTGTCTCCCACTCGCTTTGGCGGTAGTGAAGCGCTAAGAATTGTAGTCTTCACCTTATTCCGCCGTATAAAAAATGGTCAGACATACAATGTGCGTGCAGCCTTAACTGAAGCCTTTACCGCCGGATACCCCTTTCGCCATGAGTTTGGCCCAAGAGACCGGGAACACGAGCTTCAGCCTCGCCACATGTCTCAATACATTACCGACGAAGATCTTGGCCTTCGCGATATCTCCGCCTACCTTACACTTCTAGAATCCTTTGTCGAGGTTTCTATCACCCTCGAGTGCCTTGAAAACGGCCAAAACCCCACCCGCGAGCATATAGAAAACTCATACCTCAAATATCGTAAAAATATCAAGCATAATCTCTCTAATATCGAAGAGTCTCTCCGCTTTCTTCGTCTTGGCGATCTTTTAGCTCACACGCAGATGATGCAAGACTTCACCTTTCCTGTCCTGTCGTCCTATGACACATTGTTCAAACACTACAATACTAACTCTCACAATATAACATTCGCACAATACGGCGAACGACACTGGAACCTCTCCCGCCGTTTGTGCGACTATCTCGAACTTGAGCACAATGAGTTCCAAAAAAGAAAGAAGGCTCGTGAAGTCGCTATCCTTGCTGAAACTCCCCGCCCGCACATAGGTCTTGAAGAGGCTCTCCCAATGGCGACATATGATGAATCTCAGCCTCTCGAAAATAGTGTTTTTATAACCCTTAGTCCGCAGATTCTTCAAAAAATCATCGAAAGCTCACCGGTAACCGTAGATCCAGCGCAATCTACCTACCATATAATTTCGCAGGAGAATTTAGCCGGCCCACAGCTCCAGATTACCAGCAGTGGCAATAATCATAAGGACTACAATCATGATCATGTAGTAATCCAACTTCGCATGTTCCAAACCCCCTCAAAGCATTCTTTGGGGATGCAAAGCGACCGTATAACCCCATCCCACACCCCCATCCCGTCCCGACGTGGCTCACCAGCTCCATCAGAATACTTTTTTGGCCCACATCAAGACCACCACAGTTTCCCTAAACCAAATAATATGGTTAACGGCGCACATACTGGTATTGGAATAGGCGGTAGATCGGGCATAAATAGAAATAACACATTCCACACCCTGGACGACTATGGCTTCCCAGCAACTGCTCGTCCCAGCCGTGATGATTTTGATGGCGAGCATAGACGGTTCAATAAAGATGATCGGTTCCGCGGCCGACGGATGCCAGGAGGCCCTGACGATCTAGGAATCGGGTTAAGCATTGACGGTGGTAGGTTCGATGGGTTAGGAAGAGATGGGGTGATGGGCCATGGGTTTGATGTGCAGACTATGGTGGCAAGAATGATGGCACAGGCTGTAAGGGAGGAGAAGAAGAGGGATTATGTGATGCCATGGCAGAGGAATGGGCCCGCAAATGGGCAAAAGTTGATTGGATACACCACTGGGGAGGGGTATAGATGAGTCAGTACTGCAGTCAGCCGCTTTTTTCTTCTTTCCTCTCCGGTATTCTGCTGCCAAATTTCTTTATCCTCATCATAGTCCTTTGATTGCTTTGATTTGATCTGAGTTTTGTAAACTAAGTTGTCATTTTTGTGCCTAAGTCTCGGTATCCCGAGCCTGCTATTACCTCAGGTGCGTCCTCAGGCTTAGGAAATTATAACTTTTTAATACAGCCTCAAGTTTCCTTGCGTGTTAACTGTCCCTTCCGTTAGCCATATAGACAAATTACGATATACCAGAGGGCTTTTTCTTTCTATTAATTAACACCCGGGTACCCTCATTATCGTATGAAATCAGGCTGTCGATAGCTATAGATCCACACGCCATGGCGCCATGATTTGATCATAGCACTGCTAGCAAAATTTTACGGCACGCGCAATTTCAATTTCTTGATCTCGTACTCTTGAGAATATACGGAATCGTAGTGACCTAGCTATGCCTAACGAGCCCCTTAAATACACACTCTATGTTTTAGATATAAATAAATTCTAGTACTGAAAGACATCTGGCGATACTGACACATACCGCGCAGGAACTCGCACTGATCCAGTAAATCCAGCTATCCAATTCGTAAATCCGATCGATCAACTAAAATTACATACAATACCCCAGTGAACACGAAAAATTAAAGGGTCACTACCATATATGAGCTCTGGAGCCTTCTGCTGGCCGAATTGCGTAAAAAGAAAAAACGCCACATAAAAGACTTCAAGAGCGTGACGTCCACCGCATAATTATTGATTCATTCTAAATAAGCACTACTCGGAGCCCATGAACGTAAGCTAGTACCGCTACAATCACCATTATCTAAATGACTCAATCTTTAAATTAAATGAAACGATTGGCCACAATCAATACTCAAGATAATGGCCTGAGGCCGGCCCATCCCACGCGGACTAAGTTCGCGAACCAATTATACCGTCGTCTGACTGCTTTGTACAACCATAAGCGATATATACCCTCATTCACGTTGATCATTACCCCTCATTCCGAGAGCAGACCTGGTTTTATTCACTTTATAGGTTCAGCGAAGAGTGGGGGACATGAAATGAGTCTCTATTGCATCTGAAGTGCTTTTGCATTGCATATACATATACATTACCTTAGCGAAATATCAATAGCTATCGAGGTGCATAACTAACGAAGCGCGAAGTACTTGAGCGAGTTACATTTGCAGATGATTTGTGCCCTGATCTTGTAATTAGCTTTGAATCTGTCGTTTAATCTATCCTAGAAAATTACTATTCTAATTATTATTAGAGATACTAAGATAGAGGTATGTAGAGTCTAGCGGTTCGACATCCCCACACTTCCGAGAGAAATATGCAACCCTGAACTCCTCCTCCTCCTCCTCCTCCTCCTCCTCCTCATCATCATCATCATCACCACCATCGTCATCAATCAATCCTCTAAGTCTAGAATTTTATAGAAGAGCCTAGTATCCACCTATTCTGCCCGATTAGTGGTACTCTGCAGTCAACGTCCGTGCGGATGCGAAAGAAGCTGGTATTGTCTAATCTTAGCGGCAACGTGGCTGACATACGTTGCATACCAAATCCTCGCCCTTCTTTGACAAGACACCGACGTTTCATATCCCGGTAAACAAAGATACTATAGCGGATCTGGCCTGAGTGGTCTGCGACTCAAGTCCCAGATACTGAAAGAGGCTGAGAAACCGGGATAAAGACAACAATCAACGACGCTAACTAGGGCGAGGTATCAAATACTCTGTAATCCATGGACACGTATACGTACGTACCAGACCGCCATGACTAGCGGCATCCCATGATTAGGCCAAAATAGAAACCACACCAAATACTCCGTACATGGGCCATGGGACCGAGACTACCGAACCGCTATCTTGGACAAAGGCGAAATAATAATAAAGCGGATAAACCATTTCCCGAAACGCGACGTCAAGAGACAACCCGTTCGTGTTCAGAGCTTGCGAGGCATTGACTTGTGGTAATTTTGTACGTGACAACACAAAATCCTTTCCTTCAACAAATCTACGAAACTCGTATGCGTCGGTAACGTATCAATATTCACAAACAATCATGATTCAACTTGACGAAGCTTAGGGTACTCTCATCTCCCTGCTGTGCCAGACTAGCTCAGGATCCAACCCCGCTTCTGGCATTCAAAAATATACCAAATCCACGTTCGCCTCAAAAACATACGGTTTAACAAAGAGTAGGATGCATCCGTGAGTCACCGTGTTTCGTAGCATCATCACGCTTTTTACTCCGGTGCCTGCAAGATCCTAGCTCCTCTCCAAAAGTGCAACGCGAATTTTTTTATTTTTTTATTTTTCCTTATAAAAAAAAACTGAACAAAGAGGTTGTACCAAAGCTCTATTTGCCGGCTTCATGGAATTCTCACATGCACATTGCTTTTTGTCAAGTATACATGTCTGCAATTGTCCTCGACAATGCATTGATTATCTCTATGCAGATAATAGGGGAAGGGCGAGGCTTTCCTTGGGATTTTCATGTTTTCTAGAAATCGGATTGGCGAGAGAGGTTCGGGATGCGGATTTTTTATCCATGATGAGAGGTTCAGCCCAGGAGAATTATGGCTGTGCAGCTGTGATGGTTCTTTCGTGCGGCAAAGCATGAACCGAGCTGTGAGGCGGGTTGCTAAAGTAAGGCACAGTCCAACAATAAATTTCTATGTCCAACTTTCCGGCGCTATCCAATATTCCTCGGTAACACGAATCTCAAACTTGTATAGGAAACGTTAGATAGATCCTATAAATTCCAGAGTTATCATGCGCCGTGTTCATAGCACGCGCTGCTATTCCGTAGTATCAAAAGACCAAACGGACCAAAAAGAACCCATACTCGGTAGCACAAGCTTCGTCCTCAGCAAAAAATGCATAAGAAACTAGCGTAGAAGGCTTTTATCCACTCGGAACATGTTCAAAACCTCGCAAATACAAAAAGTCAACCCATCGTGCATATGCAATCTGCAGAATGCGGGCGCGGGCCTGGGCTAAAGCGGGTTTGCCTGACAGAGCCCCCACCGCAGGCTACCCAATGGAAGTCGTCTGGATGTTATTTTCAGTCGGGAGCTCATCTCCGAGTTTAATTGTTCCTAAATGAAACTAGCATGTTAACGACCGGTCATAGGCTTGTGATCCATTATTCCTGCCTCTCGAAGAAAAATTGCGAAAACAAAACCGTTTCGCATCTGGAGGCCTAGTAACTCGTCCATGGGTTGGTAATAATGAGAAAACCAGTGAATAATAGCTCGCCGGCAGTATTAGGGTCATTCCCATTGGCTTAGCTGTGGCACGTCGACGCTAGAGGTACCTTCTCGCGATAATGATCGCTATGTGGATCTTTGAATGTACACTGTCCTACACTAGTGAAGGAACTTCGTCGTCTGCCTGCGGTTTTGTGAAGCTCTTTTGTAGTAGAATGACGGTGGGCCATATCCTATGGGAGATGACATAGCAACAACAGCAGTCATTTCGTGGATAGTTACCGATTTTGTGTAATTTGACTAGCTATCGTATGCAATGGATATTTAGTAGTGTATCAAAATGTATAAATACCACCTTCATAGCCGTCCTAGCTCCAGAAACTCTCCATTCATCACACAGAATCCCATCCTCTATAGCATTTCCACTTCTCAACCCTTAACCATATTCCATTTCTCTTCCTCCTAATCCTAAGACGAGACCAGGCTTGAAGTCTTTTCTCTCTCTCTTTCGATCGATGAATTGTAAAGCCAACGAGCAGCCGAAGCATACGGTGGTCCCCACAGGAGTAGAGGTATATCTTTTCCATAAAATATATACTCAAAATTTTGTGGTGGCCACCGTATGCCTTGGTTTGCTGGTTAGGTAGATCAGTCGTTCTTGAAGTCCCAAGAGATCTCGAATCAGATGTATCAGTATCAACGAGCGGCAGAAGAATACGGTGATCCTCACAGACAGCCGTCTGTGGGGGTCACCGTTTTCATCTGTTTTCTGGTTAGATATAAGTATACAAAACAGTATCGATACTTATGCGAGTGGGTAAACTTGAAACCCAGATTCAAAGAGTCAACGAGCTGCTGAAGAATACGGTGATCCCCACAGACAGCCGTCTGTGAGGGTCACCGTTTTCCTTGGTGGGCTGGTTGGACTCAATGTTGTCGATGAGTTGGCGCCCTAGGATTTCTATACTGAACTCTATGCTGGCTCATATTTGATTTTAGGTACCTGGTCGCACGAATGGCTGAGAACATTCTGGAACGAATTCCTGCGAGGAAAGTAAATTTAATGTATTAGCCATGAAAGGAGCGACAGCCCGTGTTTGAGGTCGTGGGCAGATACATTATTCATCAAGATAAAAGCGAAAAAAGAAAGGTTGCAGGCTTCAAAAACGAAAACATAGAAATGCGTATCATAGCTGAAATCGAAGTAAAAACGCCCGCGGTATCATTCATATTTTCCCCAAATTCCCATCGATATCAATGCGCACCAAACATTACTAAATTTTTGGCAAAAAAAAAAAGTATGATCCTCAGGATATAATAACTCTTGAAAGGGTCGACGCCAAATGAGAGTAGCGGCATCATAAAAGCCAGTTGATAAATATAAAAGGGAATGCAATGATTAGTGTGGCGTTGCGGCGAGTTGTGCGTGGTGCAATTACTCCCACGGCTTTATCGTAAAGAGAACCGCAAATAAGATAATAATGATTATGATAACTGGAGGAAGCCGATCAAGTTAGCAAGATATCAGAATCGATCGCGGGCCGCGGATTTTCCCACTTACAAACAATTATCAACAGCCACCACTTGTTTTTACGAGCCCGTTTTGCATGTTCAATCGCAACACCGAGCGTATTGGCACCAGCTTCAACGTCCTCCGCGGTTTTTCTGGCCTTGTCTTCACTCTCCTGGATTGCTTCATCTTGTTGATAAACAAGTTGGTTCAATTGGGTAAAGAGGTCCGCTAGCTCCTCCATGGTTTGCTCAATCTTCTGGATCTCTTTATAACGGTTGCGAACTTCATTTAATGCCGAGCTTCCTTGTTCTCTCCGAGAATCCATTATCTAAATTCATTATGTTAGTCAGTCGCGCATTCTTTCATTAAATAGAGCTCTATGAGCTTAGCGATAGTGCCCGGAAACCAAATGAAAACCTACAGCAGTCAGAAAAATTGGTTGGTTGCCCTCTTCTTGCACTTTCTTAATGTCTTCCTCGGTTGCATCGGGGTTGACGATTAAGTACTGTCTAGCCAGTTGCTCTCTCATCTTCTTCTTATATTCGACTTCTACTTCCTGATATCGATGGATCGCTTGCTTGAATTCCTTTTCTATAAGTTTGACATGGTTCGCATGGTCGGAGTCTTCCTTTGTTTTGGATGCCAGAAATTTAATTCGCCTTGTCATCTCCGCGTTCATCTTCGATAGTTCTGCCACTTGGGCACTAATCTGGTTGTTGACAGCTGCCGTTTCTTCATCTGTAACTTTAGAGAGGGATTCCGCCTGAAGTTCGCGGATAATCTGAATTTTGGCTTGGATATCTTTGTTTTCTTGCCGGAGAACAGCGACTTCGTTAAAGAATGCTTGTGTAGGGTTCACTTCTTCCTCGGGTTCCACACCCTTCTCGAGATCGACTTCTGGTGCTCGAACGGTACCCATCGGACTGCACGATCTGGATCTGTTCTGCTTGACGAAATAATAATACCACGGTTAGTCTTTTCCCTGAGAGTTGCGGGTTTAACTTTACTTGCAGCCATTTTATGAGGGGCACCTTAGGGTGTTTATATAGAAAGGTATATCGAAACCGTTTTAAGAGCTAAATTCGGATGACCAATGTGATGTGGATCCTAGGTTTCGTCGAATGCTCTTATTCGCCAATTTAAATGTTTCCACACACCACCCTTGGAGAAGTTCTGGCGAGGTCGTATTCCCGCACTACGGACAGCTAACTGGTCCCCAAAAAAAGTTCGAAACAAAATAAAAACTTGTAGAAGTATTCGCACAATGCAGTATCAATACGTACTCAGCAACGGTCCAGCGGCCGCTGCAGGAATGAGGCAAAAGATATAGTTTTTTTCACCCTCGCCCGCCTCGTCCGCATTTTTACGAAATTTCTTTTGCTAGAATCCCAATATCGATAGGGAACAGACGCGCTCCTCTCGAGCATTAGTGTCCGTAACTCAGGTATAATGCTTCCCAAGTATACATATTGCAGGTATGCTAGACACTAACAAATTTAGTAGCGCCCGGTCAGAGGCGGAGATCCCAATTGTACCAGTTGAAACATAGGCTCACTCGTGACAGCAAACGCCCCGATTAATCGTGGGAGCTATGATAATCTCTTTTTCTTTTTCACCTTATGAGAAAAATTTTTAAAGAGCTTTTGATACCTTATAGACCTAGATAATAATCTATTCCATATCTTTACAAATATATCTATAGGATACGCCGACAGGCCGTACGCGTATAGGTAGCATCTATGATTCAGCCTTCGGTACCAAATTGTGTTATTTTGTCACGTCACACAGACTCGGAATATTTCTTGCCGCTCAAGATCTCGTATCGGATTCGGTAAAACCTGCAAACTCTGCATATATCCCAACTAAGCCCGAAAGGTACCGAATTTTCTTGGTGCCCGCCCGTACAGAACCTAGTCCCCTTGATGGGCCGCTGGACTGCTGCATTTCCGTGAAGAAGCGAGTGCGCCATCCTTTTTTACGCTACCAAGATCAGGATCATAGTCTGTGAACGCCAGGAAGTGACCCCCAGACTAATCATAGTCTGGGTTTGCTCACCTCTGCTTTAGTCTTTATTTCATTCTAGTTTTTTTTTGAAATTTTTCTTTTTTTCTCTCTCTATTTTGTTCTGTTCTTTGTTCGGTTGTTTGTATGTACAGGACAAAGAAAGAAAGAAAACTGTGAGCTGAAAGGCATGGCCGTTAAGTAACGGGCTGCTCCTAGTTCTAGGCTGTCTGGGCTGGGAAAAAGCGGATGAACAAAGAGTCCTGATACGATAATCGCATCTGTTGCCTCTGGTAACATTGCAAGTTTCTTAACTCCTATCAAGCCACCTTGGGTTATGGATACCCGCTTCGGCGTAGTTAAAATATCTTCGACACTAGTATCATAATATGCAGCCCCAATTCTCTTAATATATCGAATATATGCTACCTAATGACAATCAATCTAGCTACTTTGATATTTTGCCTGCATCTGACCCACAGATGTCCCTCTTATCTGAGCACTAGCTTTTTCTATTGTGGAAACTGCATAACATGATACATGCACAACAATTTCCTTGGTATGTTGTTCAACTCGGGCTTCCCTTTTTCCGAAAATAGCGAGGGCCAGAATTATGATTCGGAATTCGAGTGGCCGGGACAGCTCTCTGTTTTATGCAAATGCAAGTATAGACATGTACAGGTGTCTCTATAACCGAAGGTATAGCTGTTAACTGTTTTAATCAAGGGTAAAAATAGTCTAGTAGATCTTGGTTTCGTTTTAAGCACCAGAGCTTTTTTGATGAACTCTTGTCATTAATGCATTAGAAACTGCAGCACAGTTTCCGCCCGCAAAATGCCCGTAACTCAATCAGTCCAGTAGCGAAAAGAAGACTTCTATGATACTAGGAGCAACGTCTGATCTCGTATATTACATATACACTATTCGATCCAAGAAACCACATTCCCGCATTCCCACTATATGAGTATTTCATCCCTTGCCCTTTCTCGAAACCTTTGGTCTGCTAATAGCAGTCTTAACTCCAGACCCGGGTAATGGCCAAGCGTTCGGTATAAATGTGCCCACGGCTGAGTCCCATATCCCATCATGAATTTCTAAGTATCGTTTCTTCAATATCATGCGTTTCTTCTCTCGCTCCCCGGTTCTCGAATATATCTCCATTCCCACACTCAGGCCACGTACCCCACTGGGGGACATTTCTGATGTCATCTGTATATTTTGAACACCTTCGCCCCCGGGCGAGCTCATTAAACTTCCACATGGACTAATACAAGTGATTTCAGTGGCAGTGTCGCTAGCTTCTAATGGCGTCCGACATTTATCCATATTTTGGATCGATTGAACAAGTTTTCCAATCGAAGCGCCACCCTCGGGCAATCGATCTAGAATATCATCTCCTGCAACCGACTGGATAGAGATTGAAGAAGACGAATCAACCGAACCATTCTCTTGTTGGATTCCAAAAGATCTAAGTCGCCTTAAGATGGGTCGTGAGAACAGCCAAGTTCTGATATAGCGCGGAAACTTGAAGCTGGTTCTGTGGATAGAAGTCGAGGTGGATAAAATATCTGTCCTCAATAGAGGTTTAGTTCTGTATCCCTTGCAAGCGTTCAGTGGGATGTAAGAGACATACCGTCTACGTCTTCGTGGCTTGGGGAAGAGAGGGCATCATTGATGACGCGCTCCATAGAACCACTATAAGTCGGGTAGGGTCCATCGAAGACCATGATCGATTACACACAAATAGGATTGTCGGTTGAGACTCTATCCCCTGCGCTTACAGGTGCAGGCTCAATAAGCCTAAACGAGCGAATGAGTCGCAACTTCCTATGATACGATTCACTAAACCCTAGGTACTCGTTCGCAGCGATAGTAAAGATGCAATAGAGCCGAATTAAGCCCCCTAGGCTTCTTTCAAATGAGAGATCTAGACCCAATGCGGTATTGAAAAAAAGGAGCAGGCGAAACAAGTTAGGATATTGGTTGCGACGGATCATGATATCAATATAATACTATGTTCGAGTAACACCAAAGAACAGTTGATTTAGAGCGTATATTCATTTAGAGCGATCAAAGATCTTCATGTCATTCACTTATTGAAGATCCACGAGTCTAGATTATCATGTAGGCTCAGAATGCCTACACGTGGAACTAACTATCTAGGTACTATAGCTAACTAAATGTGCCATACGTAATATATACTAAGTAATTAAGTATATATATAGGTGCCTACCTAAGTATAGATATGGGTTTGGGTTTATTGGTTTCCACTGATAGACACATGATCATATGACAAACATAGCATACATAGTAAATGATAATACACCAAGTTTTCAAGGGTCTGAGTACCCGACTTGCCATAGTTAAGAATGCAACTGGAATATCCTCGAGTTTCGTTACATTATTGCTAGCTCCGCAACGCCCTCATCTACTGGACCTATCTAATGCGACGAAGATATCTATGCCTTGTCGTAACTTCCTCAAGAGAACTTACCATGAAAAAAAACAATGGCTTACATCAAATCGACGGAAATCGACGAGCTATAATAGGCTTATTATTAAGAAGTGAATGAGAAGCTAACAAATACAAAATATAGCAATAGAATGATTCTAGGTAATCGGATATCCGAAACCTAAATCAGATGCCATGGAAAATAAATGAGTGTAAGAAATTTAGGGACAAGGGGGAAAGAAAGAGGAAAGGATATCTATAATTTGATATCAGATGTGCACGCAGATAGCAGGCTTAGATCAATACCACTATCATCACCAGACTCCATAACAATAAACCAAAACAACCCGATTAGCTAGTAGAACTAACTTGAGGTGCACCTAGGACTTTGATGCCCTTCAGATCCCTCAATTGATCATGGGTGTATTCCCAGGGTGTTTTTGTTATGCATATCTATACCCCTTAACTAGGTCGCTAACCAAGTTCCTCTCTTATTCTTGTCATCTTCCAGCCATTTAGATATTGGTGTGAACTCGAATCCATATTCTGTGGGGTTTCCTCCTTCTGGGTCGTATCCAAACTCGGAAAATCCACGTTTGATGCTGTGCATAGGGTGCGTCTTTGTAGCCTCCCATTCGTCAGCCGGCCATTTGTACAGCTGGACGTCTTTTCCAGTTGCCTTTCTCAACTTTTCAACTACATCATTCATAGTCAGAAGCTCCGTGCCAATGGTAATGTCCTTGTTACGAAACTTCCCAGGATTCTTAACGGCCTCGGCCGCAAACCTTCCAGTGTCACTACCGTCAACCCACCATTGGGGATGGTTAGGATCCGTAGCGTCCTTGATAGTCAGAGTGGTTGGGAGTTCCGGAAACATCATGGCCACATAGTGTGGAAAAACGAGGTTCTGGATAAAGTTTGGAGGTTTGATAATAGTCCAGTCAGCCCCGGAGGAACGAATCAGATCCTCAATTCTCCATTTCTTAGACCAGTAGACCTTCAGGAAGCTACTCTCTGGGAGATTGGCGTAAGCTCGATCGAAACTTTCTTGAGTTCCGGTTCTTGCAACCGAGCCATAAAGAACTTGCTTGACCTTGTAGCGTTTGACTGCATCGATGATATTTTCTGCCTGTTCGATATCATTGTCGCCGCCCGTAAGGTCGGGGAAGATAGTAAAGAATACGGCATCAAATCCAGAGGAGAAGGCTTTATCGAGTGCCTCTTTATCACTAAAATCACCCTTAAAGATTGTGATTCCAGCGTCCCTGATTGGTTTTGCGGCGTCGGAATCGGGGTTACGGGTAAAGGCAGAGATTTGGTGATTCGGGTCGTCCTTTAGTGCCTCGACAAGGCCAGAACCCATACATCCGGTAGCGGAGAGGACGAGAACCTTCATTGCAGCTAAGTTGTCTGAACCGGTATATCAGAAGGTGTTGGATCGAGGTAGAAGGCCTGGCACTGCGGTATTTATATTGTGGGGTCTTGCAAGGAGATCGATATAGCTTTGAAAACTTGCGTACTTAAAGTATACTACACAATTGACAATTGTACAATTGAAGAGCTAACCGTCGACGAGATATATAATATATGGTATTTGCTGAAGTTATACGATTGGTATAGTTATAATTATCGTATATAGGTTGGCCAGACAAGAACCTTTATACAGAGCCAGACCGAATTGAAAGTCTTACGATCGCAGAAGTTCCATAACGCTATTCCTCGCTCGTCATCGACCCCGCAATCATTAATCACTAATGATCGGAAGGGGAAGTATCCGCTGGCAGCCCATCTGCTTCCGGTGTCCCATTGCATAGTGCAATGCATAATGCATAACGAATTGAACTGCCATTACAACACACATAATCCAACACATCTTGATCCCGCTTTGGGAAAAGCGCCGGACCTCGGAAGTCATTTCGGTGTGTATTCTCCCGGGCCGCGAAAGCTTCTAACGTCAGCAACCAGCCTGAAAAAGAGCTAATGGGCCCCATCCAATATTAATATTAATAAGCGTCTCAGGTAGCCTGAACTGTAAGCACCAGGCGACCATCCGAAGACGTGTTCTTAAAGTGCATTAAATGACCTTCTGAGTGAATAGACAATACTCGCCTCTCTACCATACAGCGCGCTCGCTCGATTGTGTTTGTCCGCGCAGATGCATGTTAGCCTGGTGATTGTTGACGTGTTGTGAGATGTTAAACGATACGTACCTCTGCCTCGCTGCCTACTTACGGTACTGAGATAACTAAGTACTTACATACTAGAAGTAATATTATAATAAGGTACTTAAATTCATATGGTACTTAGGTATCTAAGCACTTAGCCGGGCCGCGGACTGTTCATGATATACGGATATTAATGTGTACATATAGCTCCTCAACTGATTTGCGTCAGTCCTAACCAATGGGGCTTAGTAGCCATTTTAATTACCAGCTCTTAGCTTTCGGCTCTTCATTCAAACGAGATCTCAAGCCGGTAAAAGATACCAATACCGAGAGCTTGGTTTTCGGTGAATCAGCCTTCCATTCTTTTCGTCTGAATTCATCTGATGTCTTCATCCCCTTTTTTTTTCTTTCCAGTTCTGTATCAGTTCCAGGTTACCTTAAAATGGTATCGCCACACAGTATATACAATGAAGCTGTGACAACCTGTGTGTCGGATCAAATGAGGGTCTAGGGTCCGAGCGGCACTAAAGAGCCCCACAACCTCGGTGAAACTCCTCGGCTGTTGAGCGTCGGTATTCTTCGAATGTTCCTTCGAGCGTCTGTGCGGGAACAAGAATGCAAGTTAATATCACATTTCTAGGAATGGAAAGATCATTGGAAGATCAAAAGAATGTATGTGCTCTGTAAAAAGAATACCAAAGCTCCTTCCTTTTTGGCTACCTGCACAGACGACCCCATGAGGATAATACTCTGTGGTCTTTGGTGGAGAATTTTTCACACAAAAGATTGGTCACAGCTTAGGCCACCATTCCTCAATAAACCAATGATCCAGTAGGTCGATTCTTCGGATGTACCTGCAGGATCGGTGCCCCTTATTTTTCTGAAACGAAACTCTAAGTACAGCAACAGAAGAGCCTTGCTCATTGCTGACGTTGAGTTTACTGGTTTCAAACTTGAAAATTGATGATCAGAAAGGGCAGGGAAGGATTTTAGAGCTCTAGATTAACATCCCCGTCTCTTCTAGAAAATCCCCAAAGTATCATCTCGCCGCCCCTGGTTTTTCCGAGCGACAGATTATTGTACGATTCTCTCGTCATCTGGGACGTTCCGCAATTTGTCTCGGTCTTTGTTGCCCTGAATCTTTCGATCAGAGTGTTTTCTGATATTGTGTACAGGAATTTGAATTCCAGGCGCACATGTGAGAAATAGATGAACTTTGACCCACTAACATAGTGGAACTGCGCTCCACATTGGCACTGTGGCGCTTTGGTTATACCGCGGTTCGAAATTTTTTGTCTTCGATCGGACAAAGACCCAAGAATGGTCAATGCTAGAGTGCGTCCGCGTTCGAGAAGTTATGTGATACTTCCGCACAGCTATAGAGTTTGCAACTTCGGCGGACATCATATTGCCCCCCTCCAATACTTGATACATGCGACGTCCCAGACAGATAAATGCTTTGTAGTAAGGCTAGGCTCCTCGAAAGCTTTTTTTACATCAATTATCGTATAAATCACATCGATATGGTTTGCTATGTTGGTCATGGTCTCGTCATCAGCACCATGTCATCAGTCGATGCCTAACAATTCATCCACAGGCCTATCTGTCGGGAATTTTCGTAGACAACCCCTGTCAGTTCTCGAGCCCATCAAAGTTCGTAAGAGTCGTTATAATGTCATGGTTGTAACAGATCCTGCATCATATTGAGTAGTCGGAAGTCAAATCGTTCTGAATGGGCTGACCGACGTACACAGGGGACTAAATCTAGGGAGGCCTCTTCATCGCGAGTAGAGGAACCACAGACTTGGTCGTACGTAGTACTGTTTACCAAATTGTCTTGATTAAATGGAGGTCCCGAGGAAGAATTTTACCATAGTTCTTCGGGTTAAAGTCCAAGCTAACAGTCCAGGATTCCTAGCTCTGCACATCATTGAAAATTCTAACATGAGCACGGACGACGAACATAAGCCGAAACATGGATAGCTAGGCCAAACTTGAGGCGATGATATAGATGCATGATAGCTTCAGTGCAAGTGATTTGAGATGTCGGGAATAATTTCAACTTTTGGATCGTTTAAGAAGCCTTATGACAGTGCTTCTGGATGTCTTGTCTAGTTCGGGTCTTTTATGGTCGTCTTCTACATCGTAGTTCTTTTTCTTCTTCTTTTTTTTTTTCGAAATAAAAAAGGACGAATGATATGCTACGCTAGTAGTCGGTTTCCTTCCTAGATTAAATTTCAAAAAATTCTAAGAGTGTCATATGCACAGGTACAATTTTCACAAATCACGGCCTCATAGCAAGTATTATCGTAACAGAGGATAATATGATATGATATCATGGCTTCAAGCCTGACTTGTCCAAAGTAAGGCTGTTATTGGTAGCGCAATATCATTGGCGGCGGGCAAATGGAATTGGTCAGTTGGTTAAGCCTGTTCCATGCCAAAACTCTGTAAATCCACGGGATGGAGAAAATCTTTTGCCGCCGTATATATCGATGCCATCCTTGTCAACATCGGGGTTTTTGTATATACTCGTATATATTAAATGTATGTACATGTGTACATTCAGCTTGCATCACGCGTGGTAACAAAAGTTCCCGGTTTACAAACATATTCGATTGTGTGTACTTGAGGCATCCCATGGCCACACATCCACACGTCGGACCCAGCATAGAGGGTACCTAGGTATTTAGTCAAGTGGAATTCGAAGGCAAAGCCAACCAGGCCATGGACATGCGTTGTTGACAAGATCCAACATACCCAGTACCTATATATGCACATGCACATGCCTACAGTCAATGAATATTCTCGGCCGTAGCTAAGGCTCGATGCGAACCCAAGCCCAAGGAAGGCGACGAGCTGGGCTGTTGAGTAAAATCCTGTGTCTATGCTGGTTAATGCGGAGAAGAAATGTGGAGAACGCAACCTGTCAACTGATCTTCGCCACTTTTGCCGTCCTTTAGTACAGCTAGGTGGTGATATGGAGTCTTTCCGAACACTAATGAGGAACCTTTGGTGGGACCCTTGTCTCTATACCTTGTTGAAAATCCGGAGAAGTGTCGGCGAATTCATATTTAAGCGTTTTTTAGCTAGCTTGGGTGACAGACGATATCGGATACAGAGCTCTTTCGATCCCTCAACCGTTGGTGAGGATGACCATCGAGTTTTTCAAGGGTATAGAGCTTTACAAGTCAGCGCTATAGCTTCTGTTAGCAACACGGCTATACCCTTCGATGGTGGGACATATGTGGATCCCATCCGACGGGGTATGCTTGCACGTCACATTGTATTGGGAGGTAGAAACGGTGTGTGCATTATACCGAGAATGGCCGAAATTTTGGGAAGTGATCGATCGAATGAGTGTCTACGTTTTAAATTAAGGAGGAAACAAAAGGCTTTCTGGTTAACGTACCTTTGGGAAGAGAAGGTCTGGGTAAAAACCTTAGTCCCGTAATTTCTACAAAATAATTTGTTGCACCGAGCCAATTCAGCCGCTACAGCTGCATAGATGGTACAAAGAAAATGTCAGATAGATATCGATTTGGGAAGGAAATTTTATCCTAGGTTAGTATCATTCGACCAGACAAGGATAGTCCTGGATGTTTTTTGCCGAGTGCTTTTAGAGCGTTGGCGGGATGTTGAAAGTGGAGAAACGCCTTTCCCATGAAGTGGCTAGGTAGTGGTAGTATGTATGTATGTAGGAGTATGTGCACGCCTTGGTCCAGAACTCATATTCGACCGAGCTAGTCAAGTTTCGAAACGGTGGTTCTTAAGAGGCTGTCTGATATTACTTTTCAATTCTTTGATATACGGGGACGCTTTGGCACCTCATACTACATAGTATGTGCACATATAGCTTAATTAAGTCTTGCTGTCACGTCCAAATAACGTATATATTCATGCCTATACTTATATCGGTATATCTATTATCAATTAAACAGGAAGACAGTATCAATTTCGAATACTTTGAGGGAGAAGGGGCGTGCTTGGCTCTGGCAACCATATATTACTGATATCAATATGAAATAGTATTAAAAGGTTCGGACCCTATAAATTTAGCGATCTGAGAACCATCCCATATCATTCAGAACTATATAACTTATATATATACCTAGGGACATATAATAGTTATAGTTTCCGGATCAGGTGACGACCAGATATTGTACTTGCTTAGCAATATCACATAAAATATGACTGGATATCAAATGCCGAGTTTATATAAATTTCACTATATTATAAAAATTCAGATAAGACCTGAACTCAGGACATCCAGGCCAGGCATCCGCCTCAAAAAAAAAAAAAAAAATTTATTATAACCTCTCGTCAAGCACAATCCCTGAATGGGCATTATTATCCTGTGAGCGGGGTTGTCCCCGGTGTGAACTCATAACCGACTTCCGTGACGAGATGAAATTCTGCGAGCTCATGCGACAGAGTATCACAATAACGTCGTATCCCTCCACGATCGATACTCTGGGGTGCATAATAACGATGTGATCAAGCTGCATTTGCTCAAACGGATTTCTAGCCACCTTCATTTTATTTTCTAGAAGGGTTTGGCGGCCGAAAGGGGACTGGCCAAACATCACGAGGACAAAGTGTCTGGGTTCCACAAACACAAATGACGGAGAACTTCGGAAAAATAGAGAGCCCCGGCCGGACTATCCTTGTACGAACAATGCAATGGAGGCCTATGCGCGTTGGAATTCCAACGCTTCAGATGACCACTTGGATATGGATTCGAAGCCACTATTGTGGCCATGCCACGCCGGCACAAGCAGCACCAGTCATCGACTAAGAAAAATTTTCGAGGCTGCATACAGAGAATATGCACGACTGCACATGAACAGTTGCATTGGCCGTAGGACAACGGAGTTTGTTGTTGAACCCGTAGAGTTTTTCCGGTCCTATGCTGGAGAAACTGGCTCTTGCTAACACCCAAACAAATGGTTCGGCTATTACTGCCACACTGAGTTATATCGAGTTGATAGTCTCATAACAACCAATTTCGGTACTCCGTCTGGCAGTAGGGTATCCGGGATCATCGGTTTCACTTTGATAGATGATAAGACTTGAATGTGTATACAACGACTACTATGTAGAACATTTGGCGTGCTAGCTATCAGGTCATACATAGTTAGCCAGTCTAGTTTTGCGTGTCCGGCGTCGGGAACATGTACTCTCAAACACTACCTAATTCAGATCAGACGAATTCTCTCAATTGGAGAATCCTTGAAGCTTTAAAGCTTTATGCAACAGCCTGAGTGGCGCTTCCAAAAATTAGCTTCACCCTGGATCAAATCAATACAAAAGCTGATTCAAATAAGCCGTGAGCGTTCTCACACCCTGCGGTCGTGACTTAAATCGGATTAACGTTGTTGCGGGACCGAGTGGCGAGACACCTGTAATCTTATGAATGAAGTTGGCCCACTTCGTGCTTCACAACTAGGCCAAGCGATTAGCGCCTCAATTGCGGCCAGTGGAAGGCGGTTGCATTCATTGAAAAGGAGGTTTGAGTGTGGATCTTCCAATGCAAACGAACTATCAGGAAACCTCTGGCTGGTTACGGCTGGATCTTAAATTGAGTGTTTCGATAAATGCGATCTCAGAATGGCCCTCTTCAATGAATGAACTCTCATACGTTTCTGGGAGATAAGAGTTTTGCTGAGTACCTACTTTCATACATTGAAAGGCCTCATTCGATGTTTTTTGACCCCTTTCAAGGCCCGCGAAGCGACTCGCTTCATCTGCATTACGTCAATAGGCGGAATCGGTGAGGGATATTTTTCCCAGTTGCAGCAATGTATTGTAGACAATCTGATAAGTGACTTTACGAGAAACCCAGTCTTCCCGGTTTCATACTAAGTTGCCCAATATACATATGGCCCGCGCGGTAGTAGCAAAAATGGGTTTGAGAACGTGTTGAGCTCCTTACACACTATTCGATCCTCAATGACGGCCAAATAATTTTGCGGAACCGGGAAGGGCCTGAAGAGGGTCCTAACTAAGAGTCTCATCTCAGGATTCTCATCGGGAAGGATAAGGGAGTTTGGGAGTGGTGAGAGATGGTCGAAGGGGAAATTCCTGGTTCCGGAGACATGCAAGTATACACTAGCAGGATGTATCATCTACGAGAACAAATGATATATTGAAATCCTGTTAATAACCCTCAACGGAGTATCGTGGTGAGATGACTTTATCCTGTAATTCATGGTACGTACATCACTAAAGTTAGAAAAAAGTATTTTGTGAGATTCCATAGCTTATGGGCCGGGCATCTGATTGCACCGGTTTTTTCTTTAAGGATTAGCCGAGTTAGCAGGACCCACACTTGATGTTAACCCAGCCAATGAAGTCTTCGGACGATGGATATGATCACGCGGTTCGCTGGCCTGCTACTGTACCCCAAATACCCGGACCGCACCATCCATGTCTTGACACTGGAATCGAAAAAGGCCCCTCAATCCTTCGACACTATTGTACCGTACGCGCATACTACAGGAGTTTTTCTGGACGGAAGATGCCACCATTCACAAAATTCATTGATGGGGTAAAATCGATCGATGTTGGCGACGGTGTGGGGAAACTTCCTTGCCTATACAAGTTATCTTCGTTCGTTCTCCACCATACCTATGTACTAGTACCTCGCGCTAGCCGGTTGCTCTTCTTCAAAATCGTTCGGTCGGTGCGGGGCACAGACTCTAACTGTCTAATCCACAAGAGCCGTACACACAACAAAGCCTTTCAGCCCTGTCATTTCGTAAAGATCATCAGTGCTTCTTCTAGAATTGCTAAAGAAGGTTTCAGAGTGCTTCAGCGAGAGCACAGACTCGTCCCTGGCCGATAGAAGACATCCAAGGCGTCATGTGGTTTTGGTGTACATACATGTATGTATGTACCAGTATTCTACATGAAGAAACCATCAGTTGTCGATACTCCGATACCGCTGGGATTTTGTAGGACAATATTGCGTACTGCTAAACGACTTCAGGGTATCTTTTGGGCAGTAAAGCGCGTACAGATGCAAAGTGAGCATACATGAGCTATATCCCAGACTGACGGGAATTGGACTTAGTTCGAGCGACAAAGCAACGGTCTTAGCAAGTGAGGAGAGGAATAATAATATTTCTGATATATCCCTAGCCATACTGAGAAGGACGTCCTTGTGGCTCGCTCTTCGTTTGTTCAACTTTTGGTGTAGGCGAGAAAGGTGTGGGAACAGTCTGCCAGGCTCTGACCCTCGGCTGGAAGGGATCAGCTTTTGTGACGATACGGAATTTGGACGAAATGGCCTGGGGCCAGGACTTCAGATCAGGTCAAGTCACATTTTCTTTGCTGTGTCGTGTCTACCGCCTGATTTAGCTGTCGCTGTCCTGCTCAAAATTTTATTTTGTCAACATGCTGCAGTATCGAACAGGGGGTCAATATCAGTATTCCTTTTTTCCCTTTGCTTCCTTTTCTTTTCTTTTTTTTTTTTTTTTTTTTGGCAGTTGGCGTGTTTGTTCGATTCACCCGCCACCATATTGGTCCGGTCTTTTCAGTTGAAGGTTGCTTTTTATCCCCACCATCTTGCTGCGGTGGACAGGGTGCCAGAACCCCAGCCGGTGCTTGACCTCCCTGTCCAAGGACCCCCGGCCTAGCCTGGTCTGGGTATGTTGTATGTCTGTGAGTTCCTTTTTCCTCGGTGTGAAGTTAATTTGTAGCTTGTTCTAACAAAAGATCATCTCCTGACTGCCCCGTGCAAGATTTATGTACTCCAAACAAGGGGCCGATGTAAATTGTGGGGCAATTGCAAGAATTCGACCGCGTACCTAACTTTTATTCTTACGGAGTATCGACCAGACCAGACCAGGCTATGACCAGGAACTCGAAAAGGATGCCTCTCTGGCGCTGCGACGGTACCGTGCTTGCCAAATATTATTCTTACATCGTACTTCTTGTTTGTTCTGCTTACCAGAGTGCAACTCTAGACGCAGGACTCCACCCTTGTCTTCGATTGATTGGATTGGACAGCTGATGACCTGGTCGTCCACTACATACTACTGTGTAGTACCGGTTCGTTCCCTCAGTCCAAGGAGGGTTAGAGCTCTCCGGAAAATCCCTACCTTTGCGACTTACTCGCATCTTCTCCATATTTTCTTTTATTCCTGTGCATGCATCTTTGCTTGTGGCTGATTGTCCTGTGCGATCACTCAGAACAAGGGACGGACCATGCATCGCAGATTTCTCGACTGTCACTATTTAATCTTGGAGCAATCCCCACCATCTGTGTCCGAGTCCTTCTTTCACCATCAGCTATCGCTTCATTGACGATATCTACTGCTCATTGACAAGATATATCTTTTCTATACACTCATTCTTCTTCCCAGAAATCTATATCGACTGGTAGATCATAAGATCCCGGCGTACGAACCACATATTCATAAAGATAATCGAAGATTTTACGACTTCATAACGCCTTGTATATCATACCCTGCACCTTCTTCATACCACCAGATCATAATATCTAAAAACTCCAAGATGTCTTCTCCACGCAGCCACCCACAACACTCCCGCAGCATGAGCAACAATAGATTTGCGGGAATGATCCCTCCTCTCATGCTTGTCAACCCATCAGACCTACAGATGAATGGAGTCCGCGTTGACGGGTCTCTTTTGTCAAGCAAGACTTTCATTGACTCCATGACCGCCTCGTTTAACCAGCACGAAACTATGTCTCCATCTACTCCGGAATTTATCGACTCTCCATCGTCTACTGTCAGCGCTGATTCTTTCATGCCTCCAACCCCACAGCAAATGCACCACGGCAGATTTCTCTGCCCTGAGCCAAACTGCTCCTACAGTATCATCGGGTTAAACTCTGGTGCTGAACTTGAGCAGCATGTCGCCTCTGGCAGCCATGTTAATCACCCTGTTGAATTCGATCTCGAACTCAACAACGAAGACCAATCCGGATATTCAGCCCCGATGTGGGGAAGCAAAAATGGGGACTACTTCGCCCTACCTACACAGCCAAAAGGAAAGGGAATTGAAGGACACTGCGCATGCCGATACTGCAATCCCCATGTTGCAGCTGTTGAACCTGAAATTCAACAGCAACAGTCCCTCGAACTCCCTCCTCCAGTTGGTGGCAATGGATTTGACCACCGAACATGGCAACAGAATATGAAATTGGAAAAGGCAATGCAGGCCGTCCTACAGCAGCATCAGCGAATGCGAGAGGCAGAGGTCATCCAGCAAAGCATTTCTTTTGCGAATACCGTGCAGCCATTCGGAAATTTCTATGGCGCACCTCAAATGCCAGTTTATCCTGTCTACAACAACGCTTTTGCTTACTAAATGGACAGCCCGCCAGACGATCATGCCTCTCTCACGATACAATTTTCTTATTGTTCGTATACCCTTCCCAGTTATCATGAGAACTGGATGATCTTGGAGACACGAATTTCTTTTGAAGCCTTAATTTGTACATACCCACGACATATCGTCGACTCAGAGCTTGCAAGCTTTTTTTTATTATTTTGTTTTTGTCAGACCTTAGCCTTTCCTTTTTTGTACAGCTGATATCCCCATCCAAAATATCCCTAGGAGTTATTATTTCTGGAAAGTCTATCTTTTCTTCGTTCCTTTTTTTGCATCTTTTTTTTTTCATATTTGTTTTTGGATACCGGGCGGTGTTCAATCAGGCATTTCAATGGGGGAGGCGTTACATTCACCGATATTCTACTAAAACAAAAACCCGGAAATACCGATATCTACCATAGGAACTTTGAGGTTTCTCGCGGACCGATAAAAGTTCTCAATTACTGCATTGAATTTATGGCACAAAAAGTCAGACGGCATTTTGGAAGGCATCTTGATCATATTTTGGGTTTACCGCCTGTATGTACGATAACTAAGAGAGTTGAGCTTTCTAGTGTCAATTCTAGTTTCCTAATTTAGGAAAATAAATACAAATCAATTATTTGAAAGTCTCAACTGTTCCCGTTTTCTTCGATAATATAAATAATTACACAGCCGACAAAATACCTGGGCAAGGACGATAGGATCGACCCCGCGGCTGCTGAATTTGTTATTATTTCTGTACTCATGACTTGGCTTGAATTTAACTTGTAAGAGGCGCATCATATCGCGACTCCAGCTTTTACGGCATAGCTGATTCAAATCACCAAATATTGCTCATTTTTTGATAGAACTGCCTAGGACGTCCCTCTCCAGATCTTAAACTAGAAAATTTTCGGGATAGGGCAAAGCCGATACATTAGCGTCAACAGTCTGGTATAAAGTATTTTAAGCTGAAAATTTATGGCTCTAATCAATTTCACGGATTGCACCGAAATCACTCACAGCTGCACAGAACCGATTCCCGCTCGAGTAAATTTTTAGTAATAACGTTAGTAAAGATTTTGATATTCACCCTCCATCTCCGATAATTCGCAAAAATCATTCCGAAATTTCGCCTGCAGAAGGGGCCGAAGGCAGTGATTGTGCACTGATTTGAATGTATAAAGTCAAGTTTCCGTAGAAGAAAGCTCCGATATGTAGATGGTTTGATATTTTTGGGGTTGTGTGGATGACCAGCCCCAGATCTTCCGGGGTATGACCCCTGCTCTTCCCCATACTTCTATGCAGAAGGAATTAAAAAGGTCCAGCGGAGGATAATGCACGGCATCTGTGCTGGCTAAACACAAACCCTAGAATTAGGTAGTTCGTCCTGTAGGCGCATATAGGTCGCTTCGCGCGAGCTCGAGCTATTTCTTTGCAAAGCTCAGAAGAACTCATATTTCCAGGTGCCGTGGCCAAAAAATTGCCATACACACACTTCCACAACCTTCCTACTTTCCTGAATAAATATAATATGACGAAGGGGTTTGTCGATATTCACTATCGGACGAGCCGCCCCAGCAACATCCCGGTTTCTGCACTACAGCAATAGCACTCTGCTTTAAGGGCTGCTCGGATATAATAATTGCGCCTCTGATAAACCTCGTCAGTGGCCAAACCCTCGCTGCGCTCAATACAGTTGCGCAGGAGTTCCAAGACATGTTGGTCAACGTCTTATCTCTCCTCCTTTGTCAGGGTACGTTCAGTCTCTAGTTTTTTTTGAAACCCTGAATATCGCTAGAGATCTATGTCTAGGTGACTGAAAATAAAGTTAACCTACTGAATTGGTGTTTTCTTCTTCTTCTTCTCTTTTATTCCTGGTATGGTGGTTGAGCAATAACAGAGAGGATATCTAGGATCATATCATCTGTTGTTCTCAAATATTTCTGATATGGGGAAACCTAGAAGGACGAATCCACAAAAATTGCCGACGTGGCTAGGAGTAAATTTTCGGATGAGGATTTAGGCCTAGGTGCTAAGACCTACCCCACCTCACTCACCGACCACAAAAGAAAGAATAGTCTGGTCTGGGGTAATAAGCGGAGTTGACAAACGGGAGAGATGGGTCACAAACTCCCAAAAATACTTGTTGAAGTGTAACAAACAAGGCCGGCATACAAAGGTGTGCCTTGAAAAATCTATTTGAAATTCGAACTTTCCGAGTCTTCTATGCGCGGCTGAGGTAGAAACGTATTAGTGCAGGCAGGTATCCTGGGTCCGAACGCCTTCCCGGGAGGTGGATTGTTGACGATGTTGTCATCGTAGTGTCATGGTATGCGTGACTTTTGAAGATAACTTGGTGGATTGGTGGCTTGAGTAACCACTGGTACCAGTATGTCTTCACATTGCCGCCTCCCTTCAGTGCACGACTCTACTGTAGATCTGTGCTCGAGCACTTGCAATGCAAAGGCTCACCAAGATGGTGTGGACGCCTACCCTTGCCCTTACAACGGTGCCTTGCAGCTGCGCAGGCGGTGGGGTACGGAAATTTCTCCCATAGTCGCAATCCGGTACATCGCGCTTGGTCAGTGCAATGCGGAGAAGGAAGATAATCGAAAAAGTTGACCGAGGAGGGAAAAGTCACGAAATTCATGCGTAGTATGCTGAGGTCGGGCCTCGATATGTAGAATGGGGCCCTGCTAGCGCGGTTTCTAACTTATCCGTGCACTAGGCAAAATGAAGCTTAAGGCGAGATCAGGTGCAGGAAACGACCAGCAAAAGAAAAAGAAATCATGGGATAGAAGTTCGGATATTGGAGGTGGTGGAAGTCACTAGTTGACAGGGATGCTTGGTGAAAATGCAACAAACACAGAAATAACCATTCCCGGCTGAATAAAACATTTGAGAGAGCAGCACACCTAAAATAACAAAGGGACTGGGAGGCGCCGCCAATGCATAACTGAGGAAACCTCGGACGAGTTTACATACATATGTACATTTAAATCGCATGCCAAATCATCTGATATCTCAGGTATTATAGTGAGGGGTAAAGAACATGTAAGTACGGCTCCTATTTACGGGGCTTGTGTTACCCGCAGCCAAGTGGTTCAGCGGGGTAATAAAGCCCGTTCGTCTTAACTTTTTAGACCAAGGAAATCGGCCTCGGTGCTTGAATCTTCGCTAAGAAATTAAGGAGTCTTCTTTCTCCTTTTCCTTTGCTTTCCTTTTTTTTTTTGCCGTCCTTTAGCCTGGCCACACGTTGTTCGACGTAGGGTTAGGTTAGCGTCTATAGACCTTCCGGCAAACCGCTTCCATGCAGTCCGCAAAGATTTCCACCACCACCGGCAGCCTAAGACTGATTTAACTAAGTACATAAATATTAATTAGATGATTTTGGATTGTGGAGCTAGTGATTAACCCTTCATGTGGGTTTAACACTCAAGCCTGGTTGGTCAATGTTTGAAGCACTGGCCAAGTTGACTAATATAGTCTAGGTAGTCGTTTACTTTTCCAAATAGCAACTGTTTGTGAGAAAAAACCATCCCCGAGCAGTGGCTAGTTTCCGGCTAGGTTATTTTCTATCCTGGGTGCATGTATGTACCCCATCGATGTAGTTGAACTCACAGCTGATATTCGTCTCGAGAAATTAATAATATCTTTAGCCAGAAAGAGCGACCTATCGAGTATGCAGCGTGTTTTTAATTCTAATATCAGTTGACAGTCCGGCTAGCCCCGGGCGGAGTAAATTTTGCCTCTGTAAAGATTATGAACACGAGATCACCTTGTCTGCAAGTGGCAAATCCAAGAGTAAAAATTTTGACAGGCCTATTTTCTTGCTGGAATACTAGTCTTAAGATTTGAGTACGTGGCTATGTGACACGATGACCGAAGATAACGAATTCTCATGTTGCAATTAATATAATGGCGGAGCATACCAAGGTCTAGCCTCTGCTATTTCTCATATTCGACAATGGCGACGACATAACATTAACCTAGTCAGCCGCGATGGGTCCTGTGTCCTACTTCTCCAGAGCGGGAACACACGAGTACGAGGATTCGAAGCGAGCCACCTGACAAGATTCCTAAAAGCAAATATGCTTCTTTTACGCACAAGGTAGAGATCGAGACTCAGATATTTCCCCAGCGCTTCATTTCATAATATTTGCCTAGCCAACCTTTGGCCATAGGATTCGGACACGAACTAATTCTGAATTCACGAAAAGATTGTACTTGAGTGATTTACCGGAGTTTCTCCGCAGCGACTAGGGAGGTAAGCAGTTTCAAGCCTGCGTCGATCAAAAAAGCCACCAAATGCGATCTAGCAGACCACCATGTGGGTCCTTTTCATGACTTGCAGCAGTCCTCATGACTGAAAAGCAAGGGTTTGGCCTGAAATTATCGGACGTAGGAGGTGGGGATGAATTCTCTCTATATAGCCTTTGTGCCAAAGCTTACTATATTACCAACCCAGCCGCCCCGTTTTCGACAACAGTGCCTCCAAGAGACCTAGTTGTATTGTCGATTCTCATTATCGCCAAGGGAATATATATTGCAGCTATTATGCGTCAGTCTCTTAGCCACCGGAGTTTGTAAGTGTCATTGACGGTTGAAGAAAAAATTTTTTTTCAAAGAACGTTAACGCAAATGGTTTACCCCATATAACTTCAGTCTTCTATAGCCAGGGACAGGGCCCCTTAAGCGTTATTATTTTTCACGCTATCGTTTGTGAATCGGTAATTGCTTCAAGGCTGCCTGTCATCTCCCTGGAGCCATCAGCTCGTGTCAACCACAGATGTGAAGTCTTCCTCCCATGCTCATCAATGCCACAGTGCAATGGCCATTCTCATGCCTAGCACATCTCACAGACCTACGCGATTCGTTATCCTACCGAGTAAATTTTCCTATCCCTGATCTCGTTTCGAACTGTTGGTATCGAAACTAGTCGTAGTCCCCACCGATTTGCCCCGATCGACGATTTGAGATCGATTCGTAATTTTTTTTGGTTTTCAAACCCAACAGTTTTTTTTTATAGAGGTTAGTCAAAAAATTCTTTCTAATCGCGAAGTCCCATCAACAGTTAACGTTACCTAACCTCTCGAATTTTAGAACTAAGCTGACTCAAACCACGACAGCGCGCTCCAGGTATTTTAACCATGTTGAAAAATTAACTCGGAAGCAAAATTGCCGGGCTCATGACTTCCTAGCTCAAGACTATTCATAACTTTGGGATCGCGTCCGCAAGTTGACATTGGTGCAGAATCAAGAAAATGACATAAAAATCTCACATATGGAAAAGGCCGGGGGATACACTTCCCGTGTCGGAGGGACTATGCACTTGGGACATAACATACAACAGTGCCGTTTCGCTTCTGATATGCAAACTAAATTTCTTGGATTCGACCCCGCATAGACGGCAAGATTCAATACAATCAAGAGATACAATGGAGGACTTTTATTAACAGTTTATGTAACCTATCATCCTGATAAAGCTCCTGAAGGTGGGATCGAGGAGGTTACGGGCAGTTCAGGGGATACGGGCAGATGGCACCATCCTGGCCCTCGTCAAGCTGTTCGATTTTGGTCATATCTTCCTCCGAGAGCTCCCAACCCTCCATATCCATATTCGCTTTCATTCTTTCAGGGTTGTCACTCTTGGGAAGTGGGAGGTATCCCTTCTGCAAACTCCATTTGATCATAACCTGCGTTGGATGTCTGCCGTGGTTATGGCCTATTGTGATTAAGACTGGGTCGTCTGATCGTCTGTTCCGCACGATGGGTGCATACGCAGTGATAACCATACCCTTTGATTTACAAAGACTGATAACTTCCTTTTGCTGGCAGAAAGGATGGACTTCTATTTGGTTGCACACAGGTGTGATAGAGGCATAAGTTTCCATCTGGAAAAGGTGTTCTGTGCCACTGCGCAACAGCACAAGGGTTAGTCATTTTAGGGATTCCATGGAGGGGGGGCCGAGAAGAGGAGGGGAAATCTTAATGGAAATACGAAGCCCGAGAGGATATGGTTGAGTCATGGTGTATACCATTAAGTGGTGTACGTTACAGCTCAGGAGTCTGACAAGCCTCGAACCCGAACTCTGGCAATGAAAGTGTACCTACTAATTGCTGACGCCAATGTCGATGGTACCCCCTTCCTTTTTCAGTAGCTCAAGGGCTCTCCAGAGAATCTCACGGCCTTCTCTCCCGCTAGCGGGTGTATGAACAAGAAAGAGATCCACATATCCTTTTCTATCGCCTTCACCAGAATCGATCCTTTGGACGCTTTCTCTAATGCTTTCTAGTGTTCTCTCAACACTGTTTTCGACGGGTTGTTGAATTTTTGTGACGATATAAAGTTCTTTTCTGGGAATCCCGGATGACTTGATTGCTTCTCCGACATCAGCCTCATTTTTATAGAACTGAGCAGTGTCTATGTGCCTATAACCGGTGGAAAGTGCGGCAAGGACAGCCGCTTTACAATCATTGGACCTATAGACACCGTATCCTATGCGAGGGATTTTGGCATCAGATCCCATAAGAGGAACGAGGTCTTTGACGGAGTTGCTCGGTGCCATCGTGTAAAGATGAGATTTTGATGATGTATGAGTTTCGAGACGTTAATCGAGGTCCTTTGTGTATAATCATATGTATACTCGACATATGAACGCGAATGTCACGAACGTTCGAACCTCCGCTTCCGAACCCATTTAAAATAACACAACTCTCCAACGCATAGACCGGCTTGATATTGTATAAGCTAAGTACCGTATGTATTTTCGGGGTATTGCTTTCCCCCAACGTGAAAACTCGGGGAGGGTTAACTTAGCCTGCCTTAATGGTTAAACTAGTCTCGGTGCCAGAATTGATTTTGAGAATTTCTCATATTCTCTCAAAAGGCCTCGTTTTAGGTACAGAAAGTATTTAAGTAGGCATTGTATAGAAAGTAAAATAGAAAACATTATTCTTTACAAATGCTACACGGCCGATATTATGATGGTTTAACTATCAAAGTGCTTCTTTATGAGTGAATAATGCACTCAGAACTCCAGGAGGCGCGCAACCCGAGCCTCAACTGTATCAAATTTTTGATTACGGTCGTGATCATATGAGATTGAATCTACAGTCCATCCCACCTAACGTAACTGAAGTCGGCTGGCACAAGACACCGCTCTAGCTCCCCAAAAGAGTAAACACCGAACATCATCCCAGCAAAGGCATTTCCGATAGGTGGGAGAAGTGTCATGGTTCTAGTCGAAACACTTGAGAGCCAGGTGATATCGGTTTTGGTCCGCTTGAGGTGATGATCCGGCTCACTACCCGTTGGGAAGGAGAAACCAAGGTGATACTCTAACGGTAAAGCTTTTATATGCAACTGAACTGGGAATTTACCTTCAGGGAGCTCATGTTGAAATTCCTCGAATCCACCTTTACCATCCAAGGCCTGTTTGACGGCGATATATCGTTGACCTGATTCGGTGACACGGATGCCAATGCTAGAAAAGGTGTAGCTATTCCACCATACCACAGTTCCAGCTTCATAAGTCTTGCGGTCGGGATAAAACTCTAGCTCGGTTGTCCAAACGATATTGGCACGAGTTTGCCGTTGGAGAAGCATGGTTGGACATTCAGGCACGGTAAGGTTGTATGGGCCACCGTGAAGTCGAAGGAATCCCCGTCGAGAAGTGAGACTGTATTCTTGCTTCAAAGGCGTATCTAGAGGAGGTGTATTAGTGCCAGGCTTAAAGATCTATTTCGATACGAGACCTTTATAATTTATATGCTCGGGTCCCTTTGTCGGAAGAGGTCGCTTACGTTTGTGATACCAACCTGGTTCGAGGTTACTTTTACCAAAATCGTCGAACCAGGTCTCAGCATCTCGTACATGATAGGTATCGGGTGCCTTCCCGAGGAGTGTTATTTTGCTGCCGTAATTGAAGACTGGCCAGTCGTCTTCCCAGCTTACTGGGACTAAGAAACTCTCGCGGCCTAAAATCGTATGTCATGAGTGGTTAGGAGGTAGTGATTACAACAGACTACCGGGGAGACTATACCATATTGAGAGATCTCCCAAGTCACTTCCCCATTGACCTCTTGCCTCCAGGGCCTTACTCCCAAGAAAACACCCCACCAATTCCCTACAGCATCTTCAATCAGGTCGGCATGCCCAGTATTTTGAACCTCATCTGAAGTTGTGTTCCTCCATAAAGGGTTCCTTGTTCCAAGCTCCCAGGGACCCAGTGGACCAACGCTACTGCGAGATACCCACTCAGTATGACCTTCTTCCGTACCACCCTCTGCGGTGAACAGATAGTAATAATTGTTTCTTTTGATGATATGGGACCCTTCAGCTAGTCCAGATGGCGCAACGCGAATGACAGTCGGAGGAGTCAATGATGTCCCTGTCCTTAAATCTACCTCGCATAGATGAATTGCAAAGTCCTTCTTCGTACTCTTCGGATCCCTATCCACCAACCTATAGGTTGTCGACAAATAGACCTTTCCGTCATCATCCCAGAATAACTAAAATATATATTAGTACTATAACTGAAAAGATGAAGGGAGACGAAGGACTTTTTATACATCTTGATCGAACCCCGGAAGGTCGAAATAGACTGGATCAGACCAGCTGTTCTCATCCCATATGTTGTCGGTTTCAACATAGAAACCCCTGGGCCAGACTCTTTCCTAAACCCAAGTCAGTTTTAGATCTCTATTTTACCGGAGATATTAATTATTCTCCTAACAGGGGTGTTTTATGCGTTAAATATAATTTTAGAAACGTTTAAAACCCTCAGAGATTTAAAAACGCCTCACTCTCATATGAAAAACCCACTATTAAAGTACGTACATTTTGCGCGGGGCGATACCTGTCCCACTTTGCTGTTGTCATGTAAAATCTCCCATTGACAAACCGGAGAGTTGGTGCCCAAATCCCGCCGCCAGGCTCAACTGTTCGCATATCGAGCTGACTACGTCTGGTGAGCGCATGGCCGATCAGTTTCCAACTGATAAGATCCTTGCTGTGATATATTGAAACTCCAGGGAAGTATTCGAATGTCGATGTTGCGATAAAAAAATCATTGGTCCTGGGATCCCTACAAATGGTAGGGTCTGGGTTGAAACCCCTCAAAATGGGGTTTTGATAGGAGCCAGTTTCCGACATCTTGGGAAAGCTTTCGGAGTATCGGGAGACTAAGCGAAAAAGCACTTGAATTGATTGTTATTTGTTTAATTTACTAGTTCGAGCTTGAATGGCCTTTCGAATACTACCCCCGTTAACTTTCACAGCATACATTTACTGTATTTTATACAACGTCAAAAGTTAATAATGAGAAGTTTGGAGTCGAATCATTGTACTGCAAGCTTAAGCTTCCGCTCAGGTTTAGGCTAAATCCAACAAAATGCGGGGAAAGATTATAAAAAAACATTTGGCCGATTTCTCGATGATGTATAAGGATAAGCTTCGAGTCCCAAGGTCGCGTTTCTGCCACTTAGTTTGCCGTGATTTTTATTGTGGAGAAGTTGCAAGCTGCAAATTGGGAGCTGAGTCGCTACGTCTGGTCTGTCGGAACATCTTTTGCCCTCCGAAGCTGCGAACATGATTGGTGGATAAACGGTGCAGCGAGCTTGAAACTGCAACACAACTCAGTCAAGGCGATCAGATCAGATCATCTCGAGCTGGCAGAATTTCATTTGCAATGCAATACATAATACCTGTGCTGCAGCTGGCCAGTGCTAGCTATTTGGGCATGGCATCGAACCTCCGGTTTCCACAATGACGCCACTATGACCATTAGGCTATTTACATGATTCCGAAGTTTTGGTCATGACCAAGTATACAGATGGGCCCACCGACACCACAGCAGCGTGGTCGTTCCCTTTTTGGTTATATGGTGTATACCGTTATAGATATACAAGTATAGGTAAACGTTAAATTTAAACAAGTCCATACCAAAATCTGCAGATATTTTCCTAAAGCCAATAAATTTGACGGGTGCCCATGTGAGTCCGAAAAAATCAAGTATGATGTGAGAAAGGATTCCCCGGCTTACAACTTCGCGATATTTCCGTGTTAACCTAGCTACAGGTATGCATGTATGTAATAGAGCCATTTATTTTCGTTCCCCTCCAGTTTCTAAGTATATTTCTCAATATTTAAAATCTTTGCGTATCTTAACTAACGAAACGTATAAACTACGCCACTGGCCATCTGGTCATGTCATGGCCCCGTGATTAAATCTAACTTTGATACTCGAACACGTCGAATGCATATGTTTGTCCATCAGTATGCAAAATAAATATTATGCAGCTCATCGCATGTCAAGCTTGAGTTAAAGATCTGTACTGCTCCTCTAGAATCGACCCAAGACAGCTAGTATAATACGAGGCATTACTTAGTGGGAATGAGGATATTTTATGTATACCTAGCGAACCATTAATCCGTTTTTGGGCCGGTCGTCCTTAGCCCGATGGATCAACTTCTTGCTATAATTTAATAGGAATAATATCATAGTTTGGAATGAATGTTAAAGAGTAAATGCGTAAATAGGTATTGTAATACGAGGTCGGGACGTCTCAAACCCTTAAAGCCGAGTGGCCTAATAACATACAGATTCCAATTCAGACTTTCAGCCCGTGGCGGAATCTATGGTCATAATCTCTGAAGCATTTAATTCATATATATGCGCACGAAAATTCAATTCGTACGCACGACGACAATAGGCCTATGGGGCGGATGCGAGGGTGCAACACCTAGATCTCGAGACGCCCCGCTGCATGTAGTGAGACTGCAATTTTCTTTCGTCTCCTTTCTTTTGCCCACCGAGTGGCAACTGCAACCTTGAAGGTCCCCAAATACAACTTCGAGCCTAAACATGTTAATATACTTACATGCGCAAGCTAAAGTCTTACCTTATTCCCCAGTAACAAAGCTATTAAGATCTAATGCTTGAATGAATACGTCTAGGCTTCTACGATAACACGGTACTGCTGGACAAGAGGTGCATAAGCCCCGTCAATAACGTAAAACCAATGCTGGCGTGCTCAAGCTCATATTGTCCAGTATATATACTGAGAATAGACCTAGATCGTAGCACTCCATGCATAAATGCAATTAGCTCTACGAATATACTATTTTTGCCAAAGCGGAGTGGAATAAAATGATTATCGGCTGGTGGCACGTGAATTAGGTTCAGTGCGGTGCCATAGAAACCGTTGATTGGCGGGTTATGATCCTCCGTAAGCCGCTCCAACTTTTCGATAATACAACGCGACAATAATCCTATTACATTGATTGAAATAAAGGTAGTCTTGTTAGATTAATCTGGTTAATATTATCTTGCCATAACTAGTACACAAAATTTAAACAGACTCGGCATGTAGAAATATTTAATAACTAAAAATAAGAACGCAATATCCCGCACTAAGGGACCATATAGTGTGAGATTCTGTTGTTAGACGTCATACGAAAAGATTGTGCTGCCATTGATTAATCCGTGCTCCAGAACCAACCGGATATAGTAGCGATCTAGCACTACCGCTATTATATAACCGATAATATAGTAAAGATTTTAACCCAAAAGACGAAAAGCGAACGAAGAATATCCACACGGATTGTCAATTCGCGGTTCGGAACTCCGTAGTAGGGAAGTCTTCATGTTGTGTATGATAGGACTGACAGGACTTGGTTCTGTCCCTATGCCCGAGTGATATAATTATGTAACTACATAATTAAGCAAGGTAAGTTACCACGGTACACTAATTTTTAGTGGTAAGGGAAATGCGCGGTACCCCATAGAATCTTTTCTAGACTAGGGGTACACTCCTTGTCAGTTCCCATAGAACGTTCGCGTTCGCTGCGCCCTAACATACAAACTCGAGACTAATGATTGATATCGGTATTTTTGTAAGACGTAAAAACTGAAGCTAGAACATCAACCATAATCTTCGGGGTACTATGAATACATCTAAGTATCTGAAGTTGTGTATCCTGCAAGTCTTACCGGAGATATTTGGTAAGATCAGCAAATCTCATACCTGTGTTGTAGATGTTGTATTTATGTCCCCGGCCGATGGAATTCTCAGGGATTCGATTCTGGATAAAACCTGCTCTGCGACATAGCCGAAACAGGCGACATGTCTTTTTTCGCTAATCATAGCCCCTCTAATCCGTTTACCCTACCTTCCACCAAGCCTTTGCGGAAAGAAAAGTTATTTTCCTATGGTTGACAAACTTTTTGAACCGTGGATAAAGTCGTGGAGACACTCTGAATTGCGCGCACACACACATTGATGTCCTCTATATTAACCCATTCTTAAGGCTAAGGCCGGCTCCCCAGGAGTCTTGAGGCACGGGGTATTTTGGTTCCGCCAATGGTTGTGAAATATGCCGGCGTATGCGGTCAGAAGACCCGTCTTGGACGGGGTTATATGGGAGTAGTTAAGTTATAGTTTTCGAAATTTCGGGATGCGGGTATCGGTATGGATTTGGTAGGTGCGAACTTGCTAGATCATGACGAACCATATCAACGGGGCTAATGGCACCGACAAACGCCAAACCATATTGATAGTTTAAAATACAATTGCGCAAAAGATCTATGTATCAAAATATAGTTACTTCAATCATTACAACTTCAGTGGTATTTATTTCACAAATATGGTAAAGAATATGCCAAGTATCAACACTAGCTGCAGGTACCCAAGGTCAGACATCGCTGGACATTAATTACGAGAGGGAAAAAAAAGGTATCATGCAAAAATATAAAGAAAATATATATTATCTACGAAGCCAAAACGCTACACAGGTGCTTCCGTAACATGATCGGAATCTTGTTTAAACCTTGCGGCTGACTTCTTCGATAGTGAGATCCTGTCCCTTCTCGTCAGTGATGTGGGTGGAGTGGCCTTCAACCAGAGTAGCACCCTTTTCGATATGATTGACACCACCGAACAGGGCGTCCATCTCTTCGAGCCTAACATTCTTTGTTTCTGGTAGGAAAAACCATGTGAAAGCGGCAAGGATAATGTTGATACCGGCAAACATGTACATAGCCTTGAATCCAATCTTCTCAAGAATAAGGGGCTAAAACAAAGTTAGAACAACGTTTCTAAGACGTGGGGCTTTAAAAAATACTTACGAAAATCTGGTTGACAATGAGATTGCCGACGTTCTGCATCTGAGAAGACATACCAACAGCCTGCGCTCTGACATTCATGGAGAAAACTTCACCAGTCCAGATCCAGACGACAGCGCCCCAGGATGGTTTGTAGAAGAAGGCGAACATAAACATCATAACCACAATTCCAGCGCCGACTTGTGTAGATTTGGTATCCTCCGCGTATGTTGGAGTTGCGACGTAAACTGAGGCGGATATAACCATGCAGAGGGACATACCGAGGGCTCCGATGAAGAGAACCATCTTACGACCCCAAGTATCGACGGTGAAGGTAGCTGTGAGAGTGAACAGGATACCGAAGGTGCCGTTGAGAGCATTGATGAGTTGAATAGTGCTGTTGCTTTTGAAGATCTTCTTGTAGATAAGGGTAGAATAAGAATTAAGAGAACCCTGGCCGGTGACCTGTTGACCAAAGTTGATAACGAAGGCGAGTAAAAGACGCTTTCGGAGAGATTTGTCCTTCCAGAGCGGGAGATAAGAACCATCGAGTGTTTCCCTTTCGAATTGGAGAGCTTGTTGGACTTGGGCGACTTCCTCCTCAATTTCTTCTTCGGTGTCTCTAACTCGGCGGAGCGCAGCTTTGGCTTCTTCGATTCTTCCTTTCTGAATAAACCAACGAGGAGTCTCAGGGCAGAACCAAATCAGGGATATGATGATAATTGGAACCATGACCTGGAAAATTACGACCATGCGCCAATCCCAATCATGAGAGAGCGATCCCTTGTTCTTTGTGCAGGCGTAGTTAATCCAAAAGGCGAGGAAGGAACCGACGGAGTAGAACATCTGCCAGAAAGACATAATCTTTCCACGGATATCTGCTGGGGCCAATTCACCAATGTAGACGGGGCCGGCTGGGAGCGCGATACCTTGGCCGAAACCGATGATAGTACGCCCAGCCAAGAAACCACCAACACCATGACCCTCCGGAGCGAAGGCTTGAATGAAAGTTGAGGCGATGACAAGGATACAACCGATAGTGATAGACATACGACGACCGAAGCGGTCCGAGATTGGAGCGGAGACGAACCACCCTGCAGCGATACCACCACAAGTGTAGGCGGTATTAATGGTACCTAGGAGGTTGGAATTTGGGTTACCCCAGTAATTTTTCCAATTATCGGAACCCTGCACGGCATTGAAGACTGAGGCGTCATAACCGTAGAGCACCATGGTTGAGGCTGCAACCAAGGAAATGTACCTATGTCTCAAAGTTAGCCTCTGCATTCTTCATCTTGGCGCGCACCCCCCGCGTTGGGTGTGTGATATTTAAGTGATTACTGATATCGCGAGATGTCGATATACAACATACCAATTGTACACCCTCTGTTTCGAAGGCATCTGCATCTTGAATCCGGGTGCTGAATATCAGCTAACTACAGTCCTTTGACTAGAATTAAAACCGTTTTCAAAAGATATTGTCGAGTTGCGCGCGTAGGGTTGATTAAGCTTTTCGAGAGGACCTTCTAAATTGTCGTGTGTGAGATCCCTTGGAGGAGTCTAGGACATCTACTCTGGTGAAAGAAGAGAGAAATTCGTGGAGTTTGGGGAAAATCTGGAGTTCTTATACATTGCTCTAAGTTAAGTTCAAGATGGCCGGGCCCAAAGATCAATGCGGGTTCCAGGTCCAATTCTCCCATAGCACACCACGAATCAGGATCGACGGAGCAAGTTACTTTGCAGGGACCCCAGGTTCTCGGACGGAGCCAGCTTCTTGCCTGCAAGCGAACAGAGGACTGGAATAGACACAGATCCCCAGCTTCTGTGCGGATGGGGGCTAAAATGCAGCCACGGACGATGAAAAGCAAAGAAAAACCAAAAGACAAGCCAAACCTTTAGCAGGCCAGGGAAATTCCGAGCAAACGGGGCCCGATGGCCTCCAAAGTCCGCCCAATCGAAGGAACCTTGGATACGAGCGTGAGACACCGAAGGTTCTCACGCGGCGCTAGAAGTGGAGGCTAGATGGCCACTCCAGCCATGTGGTTTCCAACTTCACAGCGTAGTACATAGCTTAGTACCTTCGATCCATTTGACGTGCTCCCCGCGTTGGAGATGCATTCCAAAAGGTCTAACTAACCATGTCTCGCGGTACCCTACTCTCCACAGATAGGTTAAACCTTATCCACGGGGACTCCAGGTTTCCCATCTGCAAGGGAGCACAAACGGTTCCAAGGAATCGTCCTCTTTGGTGGCCTGTGATTGGCGGACAAGAAATCTTCCGCAGGTTGGTTGCGCAGCGTCCCCGCAACATCCCTGCCCTCACACATGCGAAGCTAAATATTAAATTCCTCCATTGCATTGCACTGTCGGCCGCGACGTCGATACAAAGTTGATGAACATGTTAACTCAAAGGTTTGTGGATTTTGTCGATGATTTCTTAGGCCATGTCATGGCAGGCAGCTCGTTGGAAGGGAGGTACATGTACTTGCCTTAGGCCAGCATGATAGTCCCACGACGCGAAGTCGTGAGCAGGCCTTAATTTGCGATTTGAAGCTTGTTCGGTAATTACTAGTAAGTTGGTCAGTTGATAACTACAAGGCTACTCGGATGCACACTCACCGTCAAACCTGTACCCTTCTGATCTACGAGACACATCGATGCATCTCAGCTCAGGCCAAATACATCTTCATGCCTGCATCACGTGATACGCGTAATTCGACGTCGACAACGCAAATGGCTGGTGTGGGTATTGGTCATGCAGGCTAAGCATGCAAGCCCAAAGCCAAGTTACGAAAAATGCAGACCCGACGCTTAAGAGACGAGATCCTGTTGATGGGCTAGACTATGCCGTCTTCGCCTCCGTTCGGCATCTATTCTTCCATTCTTGGTTATCCACAACGACATTTATTTGGCACCAAACACCATGCCATAACCCCGGTTTGTAAAGTTTGAATCTTGATATCCACCTTAACCTAGTCTTGGGGGTTAAGTCGATACCTTTTGTTGGCAGTAGGCCTCTTGGTCTAATGATACTCGTAGTGCCACGGAGGAATGGGCCATTTTAGCAGGAGTGGACCATGAACTCATGAACTCCTCTAGGAACAATGCAATCGGTCTGGAGCTTGATCCGTTCATTTTGCGCTTGAAAACTAGGTTCGTCGGAATACCCCATCTTCGAATACTAGATTGTGGGGTAGTGTGAAGAGATAATCATACGATCAAGAGTAATCCGTACTGGTTCTTTATTGCATTGGCCACCTAACTTGCATTGCATTGGCTTAGACGGATGTCACTTGTAGCTCCAGAGGTAAGGTATAGTTACTTTGTCTATAGCTATGTAATGCCATGTGCTAATTTGTCTCACTCTGACCAGTCCCCTCATGCATGCATAGTATAAACCAAACCGCCGGGGAGAAAAAATCTAGAGTAAACAAGTATATATGGGAAATTGCAACTGTACTATCTGGAAGGAGAAACTCGCTTGATTGGCACCCACATACTTGGGATGTGGCAAGAGACCTAGGTATTCAGCTATGAACAATGTATTTAGTGGGACCTGATTTGCATGGATATCGTCTTTAGCTTGTGCCAGCTAGTCATGCCCTATTCCATCAGGGGTCAGGTGCCGCAGGACAGTCCGTCAGGAATATAGGGCAACTTTCAAGATCTAAGTGCTCCCGGAAACCGATTTTCATAGTACCAAAATTTTTCCGGGCTACCTAACTAGATGTAGGAGGGAGGAAATAGTAATCCGCGTCAAATTTCCCTAGCCATGTTAACGTATCTTATCACCAAAACTGCAAGCCCCGGTTACGGAGATTGTGCAAATATATGGGGAAGGATTCTCAAAGCCTATTGGCTGGGATGTTTCAAACCTAGGTCACGGGCTTCCTAGTACGAAAGCACGTCCGAATATTCGATGTGGTCACAGCTTTCCTAGTGGTAACTTCGTGGTTCGATTGGTTGAATTCACTGTCCTGAGAACCAAAAGGTTTCCGGAAAAACTTTTACAGCGTATCACATTGAAATTTTGATGGATTAAAACCCTTGATCAGGTATTCAGGATAAACTCAAGACTAGGGAGAAATCCCAGCGGCATGAAATGCCGTACAGAGTGGTGTAGCTGAAAATCTAGATCTCCACTTATCAGATGCCGACGTAACAACTTAAGTTTTGGGTAATTAATTCTTCATGCATTGCTCGTGTTGGAACTTTTTATTCCGAAAGATCTGATTTCAATTGATCAACGGTCTGTGGCACCAACGCTCCTATTGAGCCTAAATTCGGGAGCCAATGTCCTCTTCTTGTATCATTGTCAATCTGAGGTATCGATCTCTAATATAGGATTCAAAGAGCCCAGAGGCTCAGTCTCAAGCTTTGTTCGAACATGCAGAATAAATGTATACACCAATTCAAAGAATCGCTAAGTTACAGCTGTGGCACGGTAATACGTACCCACCTCCTTTCTTAGACTAACTTCCTTGCTTCACGGATTAATTTGATTTGGGCTGGCTATGAACATTGTCGGCTCTAAATCAAAAATATCGCTTTAGTTGAAAAGGTCCAAAGGATTTCCTGCGGTATGGCCGACGATTATATTGTAGTATACAGTGCCAAAACTGGTATCATGCACTCATATGATCATGCGGTGCCCCGAATTTTCGAATTTGCAAGCAGCTGCGACACAAATATAAATATCACATATGCGTGCACACCAAGCCTACAACAAACGATTTAGACTAATGGCTGCTGCAACATTAACTTATCAACATCCTATTGAGATGGATACCTAGGTAGTTAGTTAGTCTCGAAGTTAGACGCACCGAGGCGGCCACGTTAGTATTCCACGTCCAAAATTCAAATCCTCACGACCCGCCACACCCAGATAATCCGCCTTTACGCGATCTAAGATGTCCTCCATTATGTCTTTGCATTAATTTCAGAACATGAAAATTATCTCCAATATCAGATTCTTGTAGCAATTTGATTATAAGTCAATCAATTGGCCAGAAACTAAATTGATAAATAGATAACAGTGTTAATAATAAGGAAACTAGCAAGAAGCTTCAAGACCTCATGTCCTCTGCCGAATCCCCTCCTTCTCGTCGAATCCAACTTTCTCCCCACCTTCTTCTAGATCGTCTCCTTTCCCATCTCCAACAACATCCTCTAACCCATCCTCCTGGAGCATATCCCTATTCTTTCTCTCAGGTCCAATAAATGTCAAAAGCAGTACATACGCAAACACGGCCCCCATGAAAATTACCATAACTTTCCCATAATCATATCTCTTCGTTCCATCTTTCGTAGGCGGGAGCGGCCACTTCTCACCGAGCGTAGCTTCAATTGTCGAGGATGCTGATGAGACAAGGTTGCCAAGTTGGTAGGACGTTCCCACTACGAATGTGCGAAATGAGGACGGGGAGAGCTCCATGAGGTGGATTGGGATGACACCCCAAGCGCCCTGGACAGCAAATTGCTCTGGCAATTTTAAAGTTAGTACGAGAAGACTTTCGGCTAGAGGACTGAAGGTTACATACCAAAGAACGCAGCGGCCATGATACCATTTGACCGTAAGAAACCATAAGGATAGAGCAATGCACCACCTAGAATACACATTGCGATGATCGATATTCGTCGTCCAAATATCTGAGAAGAATATCCAACAATAGTACCACCTAAAACGTCACGCCGCAATGTTAATAGTGCCGGGTCATTAGCGAGCCTTCCAATCACGGTACGTACCCGTTATCGCCCCTAAATTCGCAACGACCTGAGTAACGGTAACTCTATCATGTCCAAATCCTAACTGATTCTGAAGCATAGTCGGGTAAAGGTCTTGACTTCCATGAGACTGCACCACGCACATTCGTTAGCAATATCCCATACCAGTCCAAAGACGCCGATTCTGAATTGGTCAAACCCACCATGAAATTGAATCCAGCCATCAACAAAACCAAGTAGATGAGCGTCAACCAGTACTTCCTCAATGCAACCTTGCCCTCTTGAATGAACACCTTCTCAACCCCGATGTCCCCTCCTGCTTTCCTCAATTCCATTCTCCTCTGGAAAGCCTCAGTTTCTGGTAAAAAGTACCGGAATATGATCAACAACACCGGAGGACACGCTCTATACTCTCAATTAGCCTCTCTACACGTCACACCCTCAATCCCATAAATTCAAAGGGCATAAAGAAATTACCATACCCAAACCAAAACAGCGGCCTCCATCCATGGCTAGTCGTATTCACAAATGCCCTGGCAAAAACCACAGCAAGCAGGTATCCAAACGCATATCCCTGCTGGAGCATGCCACTCACAATCCCTCGTGCAGCAGGTGGTAAATCTTCCAACGCCGTGGCTGCAACATTTCCGTAAAGCCCTCCCATGGCAATACCAAAGCATGCCCTAACCCCGAGGAACTGGCTATATGTATTAACGAACCCTGTGGCGAGTTCGAACACGATGAAGAGAACGTTATTAATGATATATGGCCATTTACGGCCGTATCGGTCAGATGCCAGGCCGAAAGTTATGGCACCGACGGAGCGGAGCATCAGGACAAGCGTTATTCCCCATGTTATGTCGGAGTTCTTCTTGTTGAATTCTTTCGCGAGGTCGGTGACGACGAGCGAGACGGTAAAAAAATCTAGCCACTAAAATTAGCTTCTCCTTATAGATTGTTTACGATCTCGAGTCTATGCATACCGAAAGCATCCCTATCAACAAAATCTGATTAGTACAAACCCTATAACTACAATACGAGATATTTGCATGGGAACTCACCAAGTCCACCCCAAAAATGCAACCGCAAAGTTCAGCCAATTCGACCTACTCAATGATGCTAGTACCTTGATTGGATTCGGCGCTGGGTCCACCCGCGGCGCCAATGTCGTCACCCGGGTGCGCAGGTACTCGCCAATACTCATCTTAGACGGCATCTTGAGATCTAGCTTGTTGTAGAACTTTCTATTCACGACGCAAGCACCTCAAACAATCGTGTAATCAAAATGCCTGCCCTCGACAGCGAAAGGCTCTTAGGAGATACAGAAACAAGATCAGAGCAGCAGATCTGGTCTCGTAAAGCAGATCCCACAGTTCTTAATAATAAATTAGATATCGTGGCAACCAGAAAGCAACACAAAAAAAAAAAAATGAAAAATGAAAAACAAGAGTCTTTCTCTTCGGAAGCAGCGCAGGATATGCACTCCACGTTACCCAAGGCCACAAAAATGAACTCAAGAAACGCAAGGGGAAGCGGATTGTGCCAGGAATGCAAATATCAACTTGCGGAGATGCGCTGGGTAATTTATACCTTTTTTCGGATATCACAATCAGGAAGTCTAGCTCCCGCTTTGGGCTCTTCTTTTCTTCCTAACAAGGAGAATACATGGCTGTTGCCTGTCTGCTGTCGCGCGAAATGGGGGGTCATATGGAAACTACTTACTTACCTGCATTAGTCTCAATGATCTACAACATCCCATTACTTGGTTTTCACTCTCGGGCAATTCCCCCGTATTCGGTGCCTCCGCATAGTCATCATGAGACCATGAGCCTATAGGGTGGAGCTCACGTAAGTTAAACAAGCTAAAGGGTCCATGGGGAAGGGCCAGGGGTAGGAGTTTTCCTTGTGAGATATCTGGGGTGTTTCTTCTGTGGAGAAACTTCAGTTCCTCTTGCGGATAACTACTTACCTAGCTAGCCTCGCGATTTGCCATGCCATGTAGCTCCAGAAGATAAGTCTTGATAGACTACGGGATAGATCGATAAAATCCGGATCAAAACTTTTGAGCAGTAGTAGGTATCTTCTTAAGACCTCACAACTTAAAGCCTTGCCGCCCCTTAGCATCAGTCCGAGATATCGGTTGACCACCGCGTTAATTAACATCGAAAAAGATGGATTCTACGAAGTCCCGACAAGCATCCCCAACAAACGTAACACCACACTAGTAACACCCCGTTTCCTGAATAAGGCGAAGACATAGACAACTGACTTACTCCACCCTAGGAACATTGATCAAGCATGCGTCGTCTGAGAAAGATATAATATACATAACAATATCTACAAAAAGTGGGTCCCATTCGTGTTGTAGACGTCAGACTAGACCGTCTCCAAGACCTGCACAAGAAAGGCTTGCGGGGAACAAGCTTTCGGGCTGGGCATTTCGTCACACACCCCAGTCTTTTCCATGCAAGCCCTGTCCGGAGACAAGTGAGCGGCCTCGGCTACACAAAGGACATGAAATCTCGGCGAAACGGGTGGCTACCTGATTTGTACGCAACGAACAAGCAAATTAAGTATCTAAGGCATCTGGTGGATATCAAGGATTCGGGGTGGAAAAGTGAATCAACCAGGGAAAAGTCGGATGAGAACCGGAATAGGTCGGGAGATAAGGTCGTGATAGTAACCTTCCTATACCTCCTTTTGGCGGTACGGAACCTCCCTACGAAGTTGTTTCAGATAGTCTACTGGTGGAAGATCTTGAAGGTGGTGGATATTATGGTTATTTGAAGGTAAAAAAGTAACATAAGAGCGTAAAAGTATCATTGTTGTATCGATATCGAAGCGCACGAAAAGAAAACCTTGAACTTCTAGAAAATAGTGCTTAAGCGTTCAAGGCCTCCAACTCCAGAATCCCGATGAGGCATTTTCGAATTTTCGAATTTTGCGCAGTGATACTAGCCTAGCTATCCATCGCGACATCGAGTGCTGCGAGACCGGCGATGATGATATCGATACCTAATATGTTGACCCGTATACAGCCGTAACGATGTTGAATTGGGTTTGCGAATGTAAGTACAAGTACGCATATGACCAGCAGATGGGGATAAAGATCAACGGATAGTTCTGCATGTCGCACTTCGGCCCCAGCCATTTTGAAGGTTGTATTGCTGGGTGTCATTTGGCCGGCAGGCGATTACGGCAGTCGGCTTGCAGAAGATGATCGAGATTTAAATCCCCATATCCAATTAACCTCAGTTTCGTAACCAAACTGATTCACAGCTGCACAGCATCGAGTCGACAACACATCGAGATTCAACGCAGCCAGCATGCTTAGCAGAAATTCGAATTCTATCGCTCGTGAATACATTCGACCCGGATTCCCAAACTCCAGTCTGTCCGACTTAAGGTCCTCTTAACTAACATCTACATTACTATATCGTCCGTGCATAAAAGGTCTTTATAGAAACATCGATTCCCCGTGTCGGAGTGTAGTGACACATCAAATAGTTCCTGTGTCCTTCTTCACTTTCATGTCTAAAATCTCATTCCCCCCATCTACCCACACCACAATATTCTGCGGACACTCTTCCAACCCCTCAAAAAACCCTACAATCTCCCCGTCCCCGTACCTCTTGCTAAAATGCATTAGCACCCATGTCGTGTCCCTGTGCCTCCTCACAATCGGTTCTAAATCCTTCCAAATAGTATGTTTCGTCTTGACAGCCTGCGCTCTATGAGATTCGTACAAGAAACTACATTCCGTAATGACCACCGGACACCCCGAAATACCCTTATCTTCATTGCCCACTAACCACTCTGGATCACCGAGTAAAGAAGTATGGTCCCCATCGCCAAGGAAAGCGAAGATGGGCGTACGGTGTTGGTACGTTATATCTACGCCTTGCTGACGGAGATTCTTCAGTTCGGTACCAGGTAACGAACGGTACTCGGATTTTAGGCGATTGGAGGTCTGTGTGAATAAGAAACCAACAGAGGGAACAGTGTGTGATCTGGGAAGGATGGAGACACTAATTGTAGGATGGGTTTTTAGAGGAAATATAGTGGATGAAGATGAAGATACTGGGATGATATGATGCGTGGGCAAGATTAAATCCGCTGGGTCTCCACCGCCGTCATCAAGATCATCGTCTTCCGCCTCAGCAGGTGTATCCGTCGGCGGGACCGGACTCGGAGTCTTAGACCTGCGGCTCGGCGAAGGGGTATTTAAACGAAGACGGTCGAATTGTTCACCCCAGGGAATCAATCTCCCGCCGACCGTATTTGGTAAACTATGCCTATTCCCTTCTTCGTCAAAATTATGATAACTTTTGACTGAAAATCCTAAGTTGAGAGCTTTGCTGCTCATAATATAGTTATCAAGATGCATTGCTGTCTCTGAGGGGACATAGACATCTGGAGGTGTGATGCGCCGACAGTACGCCAGAATAGCAAGAGAGTGGTCGGAGTGGCCATGGGTAATAAAAACGTTTTGAGGCCGAGAGTCATCGATTAGGACGCCAGCATCAAGAACTGCATTGAGAGATGGAACGAGAAAAGAAGTGTGCCATGCAGCCCGAGAACGCCCAATCAATTTATGCTGCTGGAAGGGTTTTGGAAGAGTCCATTGCAAAGTTTGAGAGCGAGTAGATTGAAGGAGAGGGGTCGCGAAAGATGGGCGGATGCGGGGTTTGAGTGATTGCGGAATAGTAGTAGGTGCTTCTGAGGGAACCGTAGGAGTATCTTTCAATTTCGATGCCTCGGCGGTGGAAGGGTATTCCAGCGGTATGCTGCTTTGGCTTTCTTTATTTCGCTCCATCCAGGTAGATATCCTTTTTGACTGAAGTATACTGTGCTATAACTAACGGTATCATAAAAAACAATTAAAGGCGCCTATATACCTATTCTGTTACTGCTCAGCCATGGAGCATAAAAGTGTGCGGTTCCTGGCGGAAACCAAGCTTTTATACCCAACTCAGCGTTCAATATCTCGCCAATGTTTCGATCGAATATTCGTGTTGAATGTTGGAATTTATGCAGCTTTCTCCCAAATAAGGAAACGAATCCAGGATAAATATACGAAGAGTCACTTCGATTCGCGAAACAGTCTGGGTGACTCAAAGCGTATTTTCAAGCGCACAGAGTAAATGATTGCCAAGAGGGTGGTGTTTGTGATTTAGTGTATTTTTATGCTCGGGTATCTCAAAATTAGTCAGTTAAATCCAAAGATTCGATTAAGTGTACCGATGCGTCTATGGCCGGATGGCGAAGAGTCTACTATCAACTGGGCTGCGTGAATATAATGTCAGGACAGGGATGGGGAGAAAAATCCATACCAAAATGAAAATGATTTCAAATATCGGTAGCCTTGAGCTAGAAAAGACTCTCCGAGATATCGAGAGCCGATACTCCACTCAAAGGATGGAGAAAGCCAAAATTCGTTCTTCGGCTCGTAGGTAGCTAGAAGCTAGGAGCTGAAGGTTATAATATCCATGCATGAGTGCTGGTGGAATTTGAATGCCAAGACTCTTCCCGAAAAGGATATTGTTGCAATTTTGAAAATCAACGCACATTCTCCAACAAAGTCAACACCAATCTTGCACATCACCAGATCCGTGATGCTGTCATACCCCCTCCTGCTCCTAGGATCTTGTAGTTACGCTGAGGATGCTTCCTACGCCACTACCACCAGTATCTCCAATTGTAACTAGAGGGATTTAATAGCCTAAAACAACCTCACAAGCCTCGCAAGGAGATTCGAAGTGAAAGAAATCGACAACGGAGCTGAACCAAACTAAGAGGGTCCCTCTCCAGAGACACTGGCTCCGCAGAAGGCTTAAACCGGCCGAGATGTCGTCCTAGAAATCGTTATGGAAACCAAGGGTTTTTTCGCGTCCTTGGGCGAGGTACAGAGTAATATAATCCGCGGCGTCTTAGAGAAGTTACCGCCGTCAACTCACAGAGAGTTGAGGAAAACACAGAGTCAGGTACTGCCAGGAGTTTCAGCTGTTGCCGGCAGACAACTAGCCAACCTAGTCTCGTGCCCAGACACATTAACGTGTTAATCAGATTTTTTTGCGTGGGGCTGGGTACGAGACAAGTGTTAATCTAAAAAAAAAATTCTATTCTGTTCTGTTTCTATTTAAGTACTTAAGTACCTAGTCTCTTAAGCAATTAATCGTGAGAATCACGAACGAAGGCTGTTCTTCTCCGTCCGTTTCCCTTTGTACCCCTATATTCTATAAAATAATGATAATGGTAGAAGTATCTAGATGTTACACAGAGGTAGACCCTACTCAATTTTTTAAATCTTCTGCCAACACCTCCAACCGTTCCCACAGTCCTGTATCTTCCTCCCACCCGGCTTTTCTACCCTTTGCTAAAACATTCCTGACCAAACTTCTCCCCTTAAACTTCCAGTCCTTCATAACTACTGCCCCGCTGCCCGCCGCGAGCCCGTCTTTCCTCTCCATGCCCCCAAACTTCCTATAAACCCCCACGATCTCCTCTGTAGCGTCCACTAGTTCTCCCCAGCTCTTTTTATCGGTTCTAACATCATATCGTCCATTCACAACCCTAAACATCTTTTCATAAGTCTCAATAACTCCCACAAACTTCCCCCGCCACTCTGCTAGTTTTCCGACTATCTTCCAAAGCCTTTCATCTCCTGTGATCAACGGTACAATTTTGGTATCTACCAAGTCAACCACCATTCTAACCAATCCGGGCCTTCCAAGCTCTTCTTTTTCATAGTTCTTGATAACATGCTTCACGAGCATCTCCAATAATTCAACATCTACACACGTCTCCCCTCCTTTCTGCCCTCTGATCTCCACAATCCTTCGTATAGCCATCTGCATGTCTCCCCATACTGGAGGCCTCAACGAGGCTGCAATGACAAGTACATTCTCCCACATTCTCCAATTCGTATTTTTCAGGCCCACAGCCTTCTTCAAAGCCATAAGAGCCTGCATCTTTCCTTCGTTCATCAACTCCTCTTCGCTCTTCTCTTCCTCCGTTACCTCCTCTTCATCGTCCAAAATGATGGTATTCTTCTCACCTTCTACAACTTTTACCTTCCCCCTTCGTAAAAGCGCAGTTGCAAGATTACTCCACCCTTCAGCATCGGTATCATCGATCCCAATAACCCTCATGAAAGCTTCAACAGCTCCATCCCAATCCGCCACCTCCAGCATTGCACATCCACATTGAAACCATGCCGGTCCGTTTAGTGGATTGCATTTCAAAGACAGTTTGTACGCTACAATAGCCTCTGAATACTCTTTCCTCCTTAAGTGGTAAACCCCTAGTGATCTCTGGGCTCTTGCGTAGCGTCTCCCGGAGACTTCCCATGCCTTTTTGAAGTGTTCGGGATTCTTCTCGAGTTCTCCAAGAATACACCATAACCTAGGGGCCTCCGGTGGCGGCGGATCTCGTTCAACCGGTTCGACTTCATCGTCATCTGTAATAATTATTTCTTCGTCCTCGTCCACAGCCTCTGGTTCAACATTGTCGTCGTCATCCCCCTTCGGCATCTCTCCTTCAAACAGCATTCTCCTTACAACCCCAACGGCCTTTTCCTCCTTTTCAACCGCTGCCCAACAGAGCGCAACTTCTGCCCACATACCCAATCTTTCATAGATTCCTACCGCAGTCCTTAGACCCCCCATATCAACCCACCTCGCCGCAAGCTCCGCCTCAACTCCCCATCTCGTTGGTAATCCCAATGAGAATGCAAATTCTAGCCGTTCGAATACACTTGCACTCTCTTCTTCCTTCGGCTTTGGTAAAAACGTTGATACATCAGGTGTATTTTCCTCGGAAGCCGTAGCAGCAACAATCTGATCCACCACTACTTGCAGTTGTAATAAACTTCTTTCCACCGTTCTCGAACGATAGGCCTCTAATCTGCTACGAACTAATAGGCCCATTGTGTGGATGCTCCAATTCGTAGAATGTTGAAGTACTCGTTCTGCATAAGGGCTCATCTGTTCGCGCGTCAACCCATCTGCTGGGTTCGTATTTTTTATCGATTCGGCCAAGTGTAATAATATAATAGAATCGATAGGTTGAAGCATCGGTTGGGATGCCGGATCCAAAGTCGATAACGATGGCGGTAACGCAGCAGCTTCGAGAATTTCTGCTGTAGCTGGCGTAAACGAAATAGCCTCAAGTAATGTATCATCATTTAAATCGAATTGCTTTGGCATAACTTTTCCATCCCCGCCTCTTTCCTCGCTCTCATTATTTTCCATCGCTTTTACCTCCCCATCCTGAACATAAGAAACTGTCTTTGGCGCCGCCCCGCCCCCATACTCCTCTGTCGACCTCGCCAACACCACCAACTGCGAAATATCGTCAACCTGGAATTTCGTCCTCTTCCCCAATCGTCCGGTAATGGCATATTGTAACCCAGTTATCGCTGCTGCAGATTCAAGGTCTTTCCTTACTTTAGCATCGTACCCATAGAAGCTGTGAATCGTCGATCGTTCAACCAAGTACCTCGCCTTCAAATCCTGTGTCGCCAGATCGTTATCACCCAGCCCTTCTTTTTCTTCCGGAAAAATCAGACCCTCAAGGTCTCCCAAATCTGCATAGATTTGTTCATGTAATGAGCTAGACACCTCTCTCAGGATCCGCTGATGGGCAAAATTTACCCTGACCCTCCACCATTTTGCTGTAATCAACCCGCCATCACCATCACTATTTTCCCGGTTTTTAAATAATGCATCACTCGTCAAAATCTCTTTAGCAAGTGTAAATACCACGGGATATGGTAGTAGATGATAAGCCGACTCCCCATCGACTGATAACCCTCTAACCAACCCTTCCTTCAACCCCTTCAAGGTTTTTCTATCCTCGCATATAACTTGCGGAAGTATTTCTGTCTCTTCAAGTGGTAAAGGGGGTCCCGTTGTGGTAGCCTGAAGGTATGCGTGTAATGATGCGATTCCAACGGTTAATAGCTCTAGTGGGTGGCATGTGGATTCGAGAATAGCGGTTTTTAGGTGGGATTTGTAGGTCTTGATGATTTCGAGAGGCGAGAGGCCGGACAGTGAGGCGGGGGAGAGGAGGGAGGCTGCGAGCGGACTGGTAAGGATTTTGTGGTAATCGCCGTTGGAGAGGGAAGTTAAGTGGGACTGGAGGGTTGAGAGTGGGGTGGTGGGGAGTGGTGTTGAGGTTAGAAGGGCCAGTTCGAGAGGGAGACTCGACGGGAGAGTTGTAGCTGGCATTCTGGACGACCAAATTCCAATTATGCGCTGTATGAAGCCTAGGAAGTGGGTGGAGTTGCGATTTCTATAATCGATACCGCGATGCCCAGAATCGACGTCAGATCGGTAGGGTGTTTATGTGGAGGGGAAGGTTTGGCGGGGCAGCAAAATTCAAAGCCTAAATTTTTTTTGAGGGGCCTGCCAAATTAAAGGTAGAGGGCGCTAGTGAGCGAGCCGACATGCGTCTTATCGACACATCGCATTAGATAACCTAAAAAACCAACGGCGGCCTATATATACTCAAGTACCTAGCCCCACAAATTATCCATGTTGGCGGCTCATGAAGGTCCTAGGATAATACGTTTAGTATAAGTATACGTGACATGACAAACAAGACATTTGAGGAATGGCGATGCTATTCCATATAAAAAGGCTGGAATAAACAAGAAACAAGAGTATCCGTATATACACTTTTCAAGACATCGTTTGTATTGCCTAATCCCATAGGCCCAGGACCAATACTTTACTCCCCATTCCCATTCATCAGGAGATAGGACATTAAACATCAACCAAAACAATAGAGAATATTAAATAGGATACAAGAAGTTGAAAGAGAGAATCCATCAAGAAAACAAATATACCAAAACCCGAAAGCAGCAAAAAGAAGAAAAGGAAGGAAAAAAGTAAAAAACAGGAAGCGAAAAACAATGCCACAATCCCTCTGGTATTATCTTTATGCTTCATCTCATTTAACCAAGCCCAGGGCAATGCATTGCTCGTGTGTACACCAATCAAAAATCAGCATAGAGGGGAGGTTGGAGATGTATGGAGATATGGAGGTAGAAAGAGAGAGGAAACCAGCGCTAATAGCTAAAGCTTTTTTTTTGATCATCAACAATAACAGGTAAAAAAGGGAATACGGAGGCAGGTATGCTTCATATCATGCGCTTCTCTTTAGGAAATCAACCAAAACAGTCTAAAACCTCGATATTTAAAAATAGAACGAAAGAAAACTTATGCTCATCATATTCACGACCGCCGTCTTCGCTTGCGTCTCTTTGCAAAGGCATCATCTTCGCTGACTGGTCTATCACTCTTCGTAGGTTTGCCCTCGTCTCCTTTGGGAGGCTGTTCTTTTGGTTGCTCTGCGACCTTTTCTTCTCTCGGTGGTCCGGTGCTGGGAACAACCTTATTGAGGGGGTCCTGTGACCCCTGGTCATCTTCCGAAGGTTGGAAATGGCCTTCACCCGTCGCTAGTCGCTGTTTCTGGTCGTCCGGCATCTCAGCTAAGAGCTGTGGCTTCTCCTCAGGCTTAGGCGGTTCCTGCTTAGGCGGTTCCTGCTTAGGTGGTTCCTGCTTAGGTGGTTCCTGCTTAGGTGGTTCCTGCTTAGGTGGTTCCTGTTTTGGTGGTTCCTGCTTTGGCGGTTCTTGCTTTGGCGGTTCCTGCTTTGGCGGTTCCTGCTGTTGTGGAGGCTGCTGTTGTGGAGGCTGTTGTTGGGGAGATTCCTGTTTTGGAGGCTCTTGCTGGGGTTGCTGGGGTTGCTGGGTAGGTTGTTGGGAAGGTTGGTCCTGAGGGGGCTGCTGTGGGGGTTGCTGCTGCTGCGGCGGTTGTTGCTGTTGAGGAGGCTGCTGCTGCTGCTGCTGGGGAGGTTGCTCTTGTGGAGGTTGCAGAGGTGCCGGTTCTTGATGGGCCGATTGGGCATTGCTATCCCTGTTCAGCCTTCCCTTCTCATGTTCCGATAGCTGTTTCTCCGCGGGCTCAAGCCGAACGTAAGTATTATCCGGCACCGGCTTTTCCTGGTTCCCAAACCACCCGAATGTTCCATCCTTCCAATAATCATGACCCTCAAACCGTTGTTGCATGGCCTTCCTAGCGCTCCATCCGAGCCCTATTCCTTCACCCTGCATATTCCCGACACCTACGCCGGGACTTCCTTTCCCGCCATTCCTTAAATCCGAATCACCAGCACCCTTAACTCTCCAGGACGACATAATAGGTGGTGTGACACTCCACCCTTTCAAGAACCCGCGTCTACAGCCATCGCGTACACCAAAGTCCATGGAGGCGTCCAATCCTTTCCACGAGAGATCGTATAGCATCTTTTGTGCACCACGGTAGCTTACAGCCAGTGCCACCAGCCCGATAGGTTGGTAGGACGGGAAGATTATACGCTGATCATCTGCTGCCTGTGTCTGTTTAATTATATCATTCCAGCAGAAGAAATCACGATCGCCACAGGGTGTGGTGCGATATGTTAGGGATCGCGGGGTATTATATCGGTCGTTGTAACGGTGGAAGAGGTTATTATAAGGCGGTGGGGCCATTAGGTTCTTGGATGTCCCGAGGTGCATAACATCCCAATCAAGACCGTAGGGTGCTCGCTTGAGCTCATCGGTGGTGAACGGTTTCCGGAGCGGACTGTTTCGGAGGGCTTTAGAAAAGGCTGTCATTTGTTCTTTGACGTATATATCCCTGTATACAACAGTTAGCCCACATGGTGCCGCGCGTGAGTCGATAAATTTACGTACCAATCGATATCATCCTCAAGGAGCAGCGCAGTTTCAATTTTATTTTCGACGATATATTTAAAGGCATCCATGTGCGATCTCCAGCTGCCTAAGTACGGCAACGGTAGCTCTGTCCGGGCCAGCCCGTATGGGTATGCCTTCTGATGGATGTCCTCCCCTCTGACGGCATTGATTACATGGGTAACCTTGAGGCCAGCTTCGCTAGCGATGAGCGTGACAGCATCTTGCCTATCCGTCCTTGTTTTCAGCGATATCAACAAGATAGCACCGAATCCCAATGTTTCATTGCGAACCATCCCCACGGGGTCTTCTATCGACAATTCAGGATCAGGACGGGGCGGCGCAGATGGTGTAGGTTTTTCGGCTGGCTTTCCATCGGATTTGTCCTGATCTTGTTTGAACTGGATGTCAGACCATTCTTGCTTGTGATTGTTGTTTGCAGGAGGAGGGGGCTGCTGCTGCTGTGGAGGCGTCTGGTCTGTAGATGGCCGGTTGTTTGTGACGTCCGGAAGGGAGGGAGGAATGGGATCTGAGCTGCCAAAGTGGCTTAATGTGACTAGTATGAAGGGGAGGACAATGCAGACGGCTAGGACCATAGTAAGCCGGCGGTTGAGCATCGTGCTTAACACCACCATTTTGACAATCCAATCCAATCCAATCCAAGCCCTAGGCCTGGAATGTCAAGAAAGCTTCAGTTAATTGTGAGAGGTCGAGAAAAGAAAACTAGGTTTGGCAAAAAAGGTGACAACGAAGAGGATAAAGAGGTTCGGCAGCGATATCCGAACAGGAAGTGCTTGTATAAAGAGGACACTTGGGAGATCGCTGCTTTCCGCCCAGGCCTTGGATTCGATCAAGTCCACAGCACGGCAAGACAGGCAAGACAGGCAAGGGCACAGTGCCGGTTTTGTTTGAAGTGAAAAAGGAGTAACTAGCTGACGAAGTAATAGTCTTGGCTGCAGAGCTAGCTCGAGTTTAAACCCCGATCTTGGAGACGACGATGGAGACGGCGATAACAAGATAAGGAGCGGACGCTTCGAAAAGCAGAACTTCTAAACTAAAAGGTGAACGTCGAGGTCGTTCGTTTACGAAGGATGTATTTCTTCTGGACCAGAAAAGTAGACGGGCACCAAAGGGCGATGTGGTTGTTTTCCAGCAAGCGGCGCGCCCAGATTGTTTGTGGATGCTTGGCCGTGGAAAATTGCCAGACTTGGAATCAGCCGCAGGTGGGCAGCGAATTTTGTCTCGAGAAGCTCCTGCATAGAACATGGTGATACCGTTAGCTAAGTAATTCTGTGACTGTCTGTAGGTCAGATCTCTTGTGAAGAAATCCGTGGGTATGATTTTTTATATACCTGGTGAGGTCAGTGGTTAGTACAGTTAACGGTTGTTGGTTAGAGGTTGTATGTCGTGGTGGTGGTTGTTAGTACCCGGTAAGCACGAGGTTGCAATGCAACGAGGAAGAACAGGGGAGCTATTACGGCCCTACTGAGAAGGTGACCTGGAACCGCCAATGCAATGTTGATATTACGAATTAATTAATATTAATCAACCGAGAAGTGTATAAGAAGAGAGAGGTATTCATAATCAATACAGATGGTAAACAATAAGAGGTAAGTACTAAGTACTGCAAAGTCTGGCAATTAGAAACTTGTCAACATAATTAATCGAATCGCGGACGGGAAAAAAAAAAAAAAAAAAAAAAAAAAAAAAAAAAAGGTGAAATTGGCTTGGCAGCTGAACCCATTCTTGTGCTGTGCTTCTGCTTCATACTCCATGCATATGCCCCTGTCGAAGAGCCTCAACAATGTCAAATCTGACCACAAGAACGAATATGCAGCTGACTACAAATGAACGATCAATCAATCAATCAAATTTAACTGCGAGGGCCATTATCTATTTACACAGTATGGAGTAAGTAGTCCCAGATCACTCGTTTGATCAATTTTCCTGAATTACCTTCTAATCTTCAAGAATAGACCTGCTAACTAGAGATACCACGTAGCTACTACTTGTCGATTACATAACCGACAATCCGGATGCTCGATAGTCAGAATGCATTGTCAGAAGCAATCTACCGCGTGGATGCAGGAGCCTTTTTTTCCCACGTTGGCAGCGCGCTGCAGCATACATTACTCGAGCAATTACTTAAGTACTTACTTAAACTTACTTAAATACTTACTTAAGTACTTAGTTCTTAAGTAATTGGAGAGTAAAGTCCGAGCTGCAGTGGAAATTGCATTCTAGAATCGCTCCATCTTGGCCTGGCTATCTTCCTGGAATGCAAATGCAAATGCGCCCGCGGCCGAGATTTGTACCGCGCACCAGCCTTCCGCTGCATCCACAACAGATTGGGACGTCCGGCCAGATGGATTCCGTGGAAGGAATCCACCTTTTCAAAAATCGATCCTCACGTTCTCGTGTTCTGGTTTACCCGTGCGGCTAAATTTATGAGCTCTGGTAGTCTAGTTTAACAGGTCTAAACGTTGAGCTAACTAAGTACTTAACTTCTGCCAATAGCTGCCAGTAACTGCCTGTATTTGCACAGGAAAGCCTTACACAACGCCTTTGTTGCAACATTTCACAGAACAAGGATCTCGAGCATCTCGACAATGGAGAAACCCGAATCTTCTATGCATTTCACTCGCCAATCCGAATATCGATGGAGGACGGTAATGCGATCTAGGGATTCTGGTCCGTTGGATCCGCCCTTTCATCCCAGGTACTGATAATATCGATACGCATATGCAGTAGATGTAACAAATTAAACAACGGCTTGAATTCAACGAGTCCACATAATTGACTAGATAGCTATATCATATCAACTACACATGATATCGGCCGATGCGCGAATACGAGGAACCTCCAAGGGCAAAGTTATGCCGTCTACTATAACCAGTCCTAGAATTTCTCCCTATTCGTGATATCCGGGACCATACAAGAAATGATGCTTCCCGTACATGTACACTAGCGAATTAGCAGCTGATCATGTCTGCAATATGCCGAATCTACAGTTTCCATCATAAAGCGTACATTTTGACTATAAAAACGGTTATCTACACCGACGAATCCTCTGGATATGCACAGAAGAGTGAGCCTTCTCACCTTACAGCTTTCAAATACGCTTATCAGCATGGCCATCATCTCTACACTAATAATTGCATTCAACTTTAGTCAGGTTCTCTCTTTATCCCAGGGAGTTCTTGCTAGCCCTACTCAAAAGGCGCAGTCGGTTTTTGATCTTACTCTTTCGATTCTCACGGACAATGACCTTACCGGTATGGTCCTATCCAAGACCACATCTACATAGATCTTTGTTCTACTCTCAATTAACATAATTTCATGAACAGGCAAACACAACAATAGCTCTAGTAAAGCAGTCCTAATTGAATCAACCCACTCGTACACCGATGCCCCTGGCGCTTGTGCCCAAATATCTGAATCTCTTTGGTCACCTACTCCCCAAGCTTCCTTTTCTTCCGGTCTAAAAATTTCTCTCTCCTACCAGACTTTCCTTTCGAAGTATCCTTCTTCCCAACTCTTCTGGATAGCTTCCCCATCCTGCACCGCGATTGATACCCTCGGCCATTCACACACCGTATCATGTCATAAACGGCTTCCTGTGCTCTGTACTAATACAGCCCCTTTATCTAACGGTACCTTCACGGATAATACTTCCCCTCAATGGCATGTCACTAGGAAAATAGGGGTAAACGGACCGGAAATCAAAGGCTATAGAGATCAAATAGGTTTTAGATTTTTTGGGCTCCGCTACACTCCACAACCCGCACGGTTCACTCAATCCTCTGTGATTAAGTATACTTCAAACGATTCTGAGATATCTAGTCTTAACTATCCACCAATATGTCTTCAAAACATGAACAATGCGGGAACCCTTTCCGGGGTTGAAGATTGTCTATTTTTAAATATATGGTGAGTGCCTAATATCGCAAATATCATATCCTGCAAGCTTGGTACTTATAGGTATATATAACTTACTTATCAAAATTTAAAAAGGACCCCTTACCTCCCCGGTAAATCTGCTTCCCCCAAAAACCTCAAACCGGTTCTCTTCTGGATTCATGGTGGCGGCCTCACCCAAGGCTCAGCCAACGAACCCGCCGCCGACGGCGGCATGTTTTCCTCCCGCGGCGATGTGGTTTTTGTTGCAATACACTACCGTCTCGGGAATCTAGGGTGGTTAGGTATTAACAACGTTACTGTTCCATCTGGTGAGGGCAATGGTAACTACGGTCTCGGGGATATGCAGACGGCACTTCAATGGGTCAAAGAGAATATCAATTATTTCGGAGGTGATAAAAATAAAGTTACCATTATGGGTGAATCAGGCGGGGCTATCGCCGTTCGTGCATTATTAGCATCGAAGAAGTCAAAGGGATTGGTATCCGGCGCTATTATTCAATCCGGAGCTTGGGGTGCTCCACCGGAGAAAGGAGAGATTGAATACATTTCTCTTCAGAAGTCTGTAGCTACTTTAGCAGGAGACATCGTCACACGCCTCGGATGCGGTAACCTCGATATCTTAGATAAACTAGCCTGCCTCAGAAGACTTTCCACCCATCGAATCGGCTTGAGTGCCTATGCGAACTACCCTCTCGTCGATTCCCGTCTCTTAACGGGCAGCCTCTCTACTACTGGAAAAGGTCCTGGCTACACTGTCCCCGTCCCCATTCTTCTCGGTATCGTTCGCGACGATATGGGCCCCTTCACCTCGATGCTATACGGTACCACCAACATTCAAGATTATTTCGACATGATAGGCCCCCTGCTCCTATCCGAAGACGTGTCCCATCTCGCCCAAAACCCCATTTTCTCAGCCCCTCCAACCGTCGATGCGGCCGAGGCAGCTTTCAACATCAGTACCCGTATCATGACCGACTACTGCTTTACGTGCCTTACCTGGTCGACCGGATATTCCCTTGCTAAACATAAGGTCGTTCCAAGCGTTTACATGTATGAATTCAATCGAACTTATATGTTGCCCTTCTGGTCACCATTACCTTGCAACCCTCCCCAAACTGCAGAAAAACCGCTAGGAGACTTCTCAAAAGAGTACTATAAATGCCACACCGGAGAACTTCCTTACACATTTGGAACAATGGGGTACATGGGGATGCCTGATCGTGATAACGGCGGCGATACGGTGTTCATGCAATGGATGCTTGACCTTTGGGCCTCCTTTGTCAGGACCGGGAATCCGAATCCCGACAAGGGCTTCTTGGAGGCAAGAGGTTATTTAAATACTATCTCAAAGGTTGAAGAAGAAGGTGAATGGAAGAAAGCGGTGGGAAACACAGGAGCAAAAGATGTGAGGTTGATGCAATTGGAGGGAGCGGTCATGAAGACGTATTCTGAGTTAGAGCAGTGTGAGGCCATGGGAATGGAGTTAGAGTATTACGAGTAGTTCCTCCTTCTCTCGCTGCCCCTGCCCCTGCCCCGGCCCCATGGCCATATGGCCAGGATAATATTAACAGTAGTCTAAGTTGAGACGAACTTGACATCAAGTCACCCTACACAGAGTCCAAATATCTAATCATAGGTATCTCGTGGATATCTTTATTTCTTTACTCTCTTTACTACTCCTTATATATAAGCAAACATCAATAGATAGCAATAATGTCTTGTCTATCATCTCATAAAATAGATTTCGAAAAAAAAGAAAAAAAGCTTTTACCCAGGAAAGAGAAACACCATGCAAATGCCATCAAATACAAAGAAAACCTGTACCAAAGAACCCGAGCCATCCAAGTCTACCTTCTCCTCTTCTGTACTAACTCGAAACCGTCTTCATCAACAACCTTCTCGACCCGTTCCTTGACAGCAACCAACTGCGGCGCTTCATCCATCTCCACATCCCCTCCTTCTTCCCCATCCTCATCTCCCTCCTCTTCATCATCATCACTATCACCCTGTTTCACAACCTTAACCTTCGGCTTATTCCTTCCCCCATTCTTTTCCCAAAACTCATTAAGCGCATTTGCACCCGAAAAGTCATCGGCGGCTACTTGTCGTCGTAAGAGTAATATCCTCTGAGAAACTGTATACGCGCTATCGTCTTCCAACGCTGTTTCGAATTCATCGGATAGGATTTGGAGAAGGAAGTCTTCTAAATCTTCGGCGTCGGTGGTTGGATCCGCTGTTGAATTATTCAGAAAAAAATATTAGTTACCCGTGTCTTCTTGAAGGATCTATAAACTGGGTTTTTCTTTTTATTAAGGAGGAAAAGCATACAGTTAAACAGGTCGGCAACAGCTCCACACATCCAATCCCGCTTATCAGCCGAATCCGGTCCTCCAAACTCGTTCTCAACAGCCATTGATAGCGCAGGCCAGGTATTTAGGAGGATTGTCATGCCATTCTCGAAATATGGGGTTTGTGTGGGGGTTAGCGGGGCGTTCGTGCTCTGGGGAGCTGTGGGAGCTGGCTGTGCCATGGTAGGTGAGATATTGGCGGGGTTTGGTATGGATAGATTTCTAGTCGCCAGTACGTGTGTAGATACTAGTAGGTAGATAGGTTGGTAGCTATGATGGATGATGATGATAATGATAATTGATAGTGAGGATTTCGTTGATAAGATATGGAGCTACTTCAGGATCTTGAAAGCTTGAGCAACTTTTTTTTTTTTTTTGTTTTAAGGTTTCTGCGACTGGCAAACTACTGTGGTATTTTTGGAGGGCCTTGTGTTGTTCTCTACCAACACAATTCCTCATGGCCATATGCCAGTCTCGAAACTAGAACAGCCGCCATATACGTATATATATTACGAGACCATATATATACATGATTTACAAATAAATCCTACCCATGGGCCGACAAGACGGTTCATCCGGCAAATTGCCCCTCATCCCTTTAAGGAGAATAGCCAATATCACACCAAGGCCGTCCCTTATTTGCACACATCTTAAATTTTAGAGCGTCAATAAAATGAATTCGATTAATTCAAATATCTCTGTATTATATATATTGGATTGGCCATATTGTGGATTGGAAGTACATCAAAACCTCATAGAATTCGACAGCAATAGTTCATTCTGATAGGATATGACTATTGATACCCAGAATCCCTCAACCAGAATATTCAACCTTCCAATTTCTTCATTGCCCTTTCACTCTCTTTTGGTTCGTTTCGTTCCATGATCAACTACTTAAGTATGTAATAGCCTTAGCCACCGTTAGTACGACCATTCCAATGAAGTTGAATACACACGGAACCACAAGACCAAGAATATACCTTAAAGGGGCCCAAAGGATACAGGGGAATCACCATTCACCAAATCAAAGAGAAAAACATATCAAGATCTTTTAGGAGAAAGGTATAAGTCCGGCTGCGACACAAGCAGCCTGGCAAGTCCCAAAGGCACTATTACAAGCAATAATAGCGGGCGGAGCCGCGATGGCTAAGGTAGCACCCCAGACGAATCCGGCGGCGCCATAGCAGGCCATTACAACGGCTGCACATCCTGCCTGACAAATGCCATATGCTACGGGTCCTGCGGAGGCTACCGAAATCATGACGCAGGTGCTAACGACCGTGGATGGTTTCATGATTAAAAATTCGGCCGGGGTTTTCGAAAACACCGAGGCTTGGGGGCGTGTTAATATTGGTATTCTCAAAAGGAGGTAGTTGTTTTTGGGAACTAAATGATCTCCTAGAGTATACCTAGGTATGTATTGGTGGTGGTAACGCAGGAGCTCAGATGATCCGTTCGGGTTTATATTTGTATGATATACCAATATCAAGTTAGCGGGCTGAGAGGAGGAGAAATTGATAGGCCCAGTTGTCGAAATAATCACTCTTATATAAAGAAATATTTAGACTGCCCTTCACATGCACACCTATTCATTGATATTAGATGCATGTCGGGGCCAAATGAAATGTTATTTTATCACACACACCCCGATCTACATGACTTCAGGCACGAATACAAATTTAACTTCAGTCAGAACGTCATAACACCCAGCGAGCCGATACAGTCTGGACACATACCGTTAGCCGTAGAAAAAATTGGATTTAGTCTGAAGGCCTACAGAGGGCTTTTAGAAAGATCTCCGTATGAAAATTATATTAAAGAACGGGTGATTCCGTTCACTATATACTTAAGAAAGCAGTAATCGTTTGCGGGACAAGTAATGTTTTCAATAACCAACACGGATTGGGGGGGAAAATGCAACAAACTCCCAGGTTGGCTGAGTACAAGTCGATTCCTCAAAGTCATATAACATCATAGCATACCTATACTCCTGCAAGGCCGTGCAAATTGTTTTGTGGATTGAAATAACCTGTGTATACGTATTCAACCACAAAGGATATATATCGATACTTGACATATTTCGAACAGAGGCATATTGAATCGTTGGTAATGTTCGAGTCATACTTGTGCGTTTTTAACCCCTTGAAATGCATCCATGTCGTTATAGCATTTTAACTAGTCGGTAAGCCTTAAGCCCCACAAACGGCCCCAAACTCGGTCCTGTAAATCCCTACAAGTAACTACTTGCTCTCGTTCCCTCCAAAATCCCACAACATTAACCCTCGCAGCCCTCACAAGCCACGAATTAACTCCTCAATTTATACGATTTTCCCGACATATGTCAGCCCAAATTATATATACATCGACTTACAAAATTTAAAAAATGTCCGAAGATACAATCATCCCACCTCTACCTCCCTCTTCTCTCCCTGAATACCTCTATAGAATCGACTACCCTCGTAGTTGGACAGCCTTCTCCCCAAATATCCTAGGCTTCCGCGCCAAAGACCTAATAACAATGGGGCCTGCCACAATATCTCAGCTCACAAATCATCTGCAATGGAAGATCAACATCCCCAGTAGATTCATCTCTACTCTATCTTCAAAGTCTTACGCAATATCCTGGGCTAGATCTTTAGACCAATATAAAGATATTGAAACGAGGAATGCGGTGAGACTAATGACGATCAAGACAGGAGGTTTAAGCGGCCCATTATATGCTTATAATCTTAAACAAGCGTTTGAAGGCGCAGGTGTAACATTACCGGAGGAGTTAAGAGAGTATGTAAAAGATGAGGAATATGTTATTTTATACGGAATCCCAGCGAGCCAGGTCGTTAGGATCGAAGGGATAGATAGCCCCACAGACAGTACTACCACGGAAACTACCGAAATATGTAGTGACTCCGACTCTGGGTTGAATATGGCAGACCCGCGGAGGGGTTTCGGTAGAGTTTAGAACCTTGACCCTTTATAAATTTACGGAAGAGGTGTTTTGTTAACGGAATTAATATTGATGTAGGCGATTTTATCCGAGAAATGGAACAGCTCTGCACAGAGATGAAGCTATTAGTAGAGTCCTTCAACCTACTCAGTAGCTATACCCAGGCTACAATATACGACGCATATGCTTGAAATACCCCGCTTTTAAATGCGCACAAGTTCAAAATATATCAACCAATAGATATGCACGTGCTCTTTTAAGATGCAACCTCTAAAAGCAAGGGAACTATCCGTTCTACGAAAGAAGATCTGATATTAATTGATATATTTGACATCAAAAGAATTAAAAATTAATAAATATATTTGTTTACTACCCCGCCTCGCGGCCAAATCTATGGTAATACTCCAACTCCCCGTGTTAATTTTTAACCTCTACTCCTCCGTTCAACGTTTCCTGATTTTCTATCACAAGCTTATCAAATGGCTCTTTTACATCGAGAGTCGCCGGCGGGCTGCCAACCAACACCGCGCCTGGCACGCTCGCAATCTTCTCCAATCTATCAGTCTGACCCTGCGTCGTGCCCCCGGCAGCAATATTAGATGATGAAGAAGAATTCGAAAGATTGCCTTCCCCTTTCACCATCTCTGAAAGATGACCTGCGGCAACAGGGGCAGTTGGCGGTGCTTGGACTGTAGCAGTGATACCAAAAGATCCTTCCTTCCCCTCCTTATTTTGCTCCATTTCCATCTAAACCACACAAAAGAAAAGATAGTAATGTATTAGTCAATAATATTCTTCGGGGAAAATACAATTACACATCCTAAAACACCCCAAAACATGGGCTTTAATGAAGGTAGTCCTCACCGTTTTCACATCTTGTTTTGCTCCGATCATGCTCCACAGTTTCAAACCATAACTAGGTTTGAAGCTTCGTCCGGGTACTGTCTCTCCCTCCTTCCTTCTTCTAAACTCATATAACACTGGTTAGTCTCTAACAAATGTTTGATGAACAGAGGACGTTCAACCTACCTCCCAACTAGGGCACTTCCAGGTGGTTTCTCTGCAACTCCGCTCCCATCATCTTCAAACTCCAGATAGCCGCCCTCGGCAATCTCCTTTGCTCGCCGCTCCTGTACCCTCTTCTTGGCTTTTGCATATTTCCCATCCCACACCTTTTTTCCCTCCATCCACCGCCTCACCGGCTCAGGCTTGATACATCCGATCTCTTCCATCGGCAACTGCATACACTCTAGTTCCGAAGCTGGCGGTAGAGTATGAATATTACCTTTATGGTCAACTCGCTGTCTAACCATATGATTGGTAAAGGTCGGGACGTTATATGTTGATGCTGCTGGTTGCGCGTTAGTCATTTTCCTAGAGATATGGTTACGGTCGTTGGCGTCCTCTTCATCTGATTCAGAAGATGAAGATGAAGATGAGCTGGAGGGCCTAGACAAAGTTTCCGCTCTGGTGATCTGTAAACCTTCCTGTGAGGGCAACGGCTCTGCAACCCCATTTGGATCGTGCGGGTTGATTGCGTTGGCAGGTTCGACTGTATCTGGGATTGTGTTCCCTAGTACAGCAGCCGCTTGAAGGGCGTCTCGAGCGAACAGCCAGTCGCCAAATTTAGCTATCGAGCGGTACATATACTTCGCCGGTTTTGTGAAAGAAAGGGTCGGGGTGACGTGACCTTATCCCAAGGTTAGAACCATTTGCATAATGAAGGGAATTGAAGAAGCATGCATACAGCAATCATCAAAAACCTGTAAATAGACATCCGTCCCATGTTTCCACCTATTCAATGCCGCTAGCTGTTGCGCCGTCGAAACATGGCCAGGCGGTGGATACTTCCTCGGATTCGCTGCCTTATGTGCAAAATAAATCTGCTCGTCTCTTAAAACTTCAGATCCACCAACTAACACCATCATAGGCGGCAGCCCACCCAGACTTCCCTGTAAAACGGGGGATACAAGTGGGTGGCTAAGTAGTTCATTTGTAGTGTAAAGTTGAATTTGGTCTTTGATGCGAACTTCGTGGCCTTCTATCAAAACTGATATTACACCTTTTGCGGGAACTGCGGCGGTACTCTGTTTGCGAAGTGTAGGGGTTGAAGGGGGGATTATGTCAAAACCTTGAACTTCTTCTTTCCGATCTTTGGATTTAGAAATGCTAGACTTCAACTGTTCTTTGATATTGGCGGTAAGTGATGACGTCCCTTCGGTTCCTTCACCGGTTGGCGATGGAACACTAGCTTCCGCTACCGCCTTTTCGATATCTTCGTCTGTCGGTGGCGGCCATGCAGGACTAGATTTATGAAGAAACCCATGGGCGGGGATGTAATCGCCAGAGTTGTCCGCAATGACAGAGGGGAAGGAATGTGTAAGATCTTTGAAATAAGCATAACTGTCCATTTCCGAATTAAAGATTCGACATGTACTCACCAACCCAGGGACTGATTAGGATCGAGCCTGCAGGGAGAGGAATCCCCTGGTCCCTGCATATGCATAGAAGCGAAGCAACGGCCCCACCCCCAGCCGAGTCACCCATAAATATGATCGTTGAAGCAGCCTGTTGGGACAGAAGGTAAAGGTAGGATGCGAGTATGTCTTGCAGCCCTAGACGATTGTCAGAGGAGTTAAGACGAGACGAGGGTTGAAGACATACCACATGGAAACGGAAACTATTAATCAAATAGTCAGCTATGCTCATCCACTCTCTGAGGGCAGTCTTGTGTTCCGAGGGTTGCTCATACCTGCGGAGCCAGTCGATATCTAGCTATACAAATATTAGCGTATTCCCGGAATGCCTAACCAAAAGCTACTTACGCGCGAAGACCCTAGCTTTCATCTTTCTTGCATGTCGCTGCAACTGATAACGATGTTCGTCGACCGAGCTATCCCGTCAGCTCAATCTTGGCCACAGGGTTTTACAGTGACATACCCAAAAAAATAAGCACCTGTCCCGTCAAGTTAGTTATTCTACTTTATCTAGAAGCCCCATATTGACTTAGAATAAGGATAATAGAGTTCGGAATGCTCACCTCCATGAACATATAAGATTGTCCTAGGAGCCCATTCTTTATGCTTAAGCCTCTCATGGTAATGGCGCCTCATCTCAATCCATTCGCCTTTAACTTCCTTGACCCTCCACTTCCACCATCGTTTCCCACCAACCCGTTCGACGCCATCGGCTCCAAGTTGTTCAACAATTCTGGCAGCGGCTTCTTCAAGCAGTTCATCAGGAATCATAGCTTCTTCAACATGAACCCACGTAGGAACCGGGACATATTGCGCCGTGAAGGCTTGGAGCTCTTCAACGGTCTGATGAGAGGCGTAAACTAGAAACTTGCGGACAAGTTCGAGACCTTGATGGTAACCCAGGTGATAGGTTGGCTTTCCACGATGTTTCGATTTGGTAAGGTAATGGGAGAGACCGACGGAGAGCACCGTTGGGGTTGTCGCAGCTGTATAGCAAAGTACTCATCAGTATCTATAAAGTATATACCATATTTTAAAGATGTAGGCAATTCTATGTATGTACGGTACCTGCGACGAAGAGTGTATTCATGTCTGGCATGACCGCGACGTTAAAGATCTTGTTGGTGATGGTAGAAGCATAATAAGTGATGATGGAGAACAAAGTGTTTACGCCACACCATGGAATGTGCTAAAGAAAGGGGTGGGATTTTATTTAGCATGTGCGAGGCCATATCGTGAAGAATGCTTGGTGTTGGTCGCGGATAGCACTGATTCGGTGATTCGGGGATCCGGGCGAAGCACAACAACAACGTCATCGCGCGTGGATCGATCTGATTTGAAACCGTTAAACGGTAACCTGTGGAACCTGCAAACTTTCCCTAACTTGAACTTTACATCGTAGAGCTAGCAGGGCCCTTTGATTAAGTTTAGAAGCCCTCATTATTTGTTTTTACATCCTTGAAGCTCGATCAGACGACTTGCGCATAAGGCCGAGCTTAGCTAAGAGCTAGACCTAGTAGACCCGGATGTCGATAGTATGCGTACTAAGTACATATACTACTTGGTACCCGTGATGGATCTATTAACTCTGCTCTCTTTGCGATATCTAGACTAGACCCGGAGCTGAGATCGACTGCCCCGACTGAAGTATGGGGCATGCATACTACATATGCATAAGGACTGCCCCATGGGAAACTAAATCCAACAGCTGTAACGTTATAACACAAATGTTCCGATGTGCGCCAAGTTATGCATGTTTGAGCGAGTATAGCTATAGAAAATATTTCTAAATGAGGTCCGGATCCGACCATATATGCATATATTCATGAGCTGAATCCATGAACTATTGCTTCTCAGTATAAAAGTTACTAGCGACTTTGCCCAAAAGGTATTCTCCATAAGTGGCTCCTCCATAAAGCGCCTTTCCACCGGTCTTGACTATACAGCCTTCTAGCGGGCTGATTTTAGCTTCCCAGGATGGTTCGAAGAAGACTGGTACGGATACTCTAATTTCTTTTATTAGTGGCAATCTGTTCGTCATCAGAATATCAATTGGGTATTGTACCTATAGTTGCTCCCTAAATGTACCACTATGCCCATATAAGTCAGCATAAGACCGTCATACCGTTGTAGAAGATCCAGGGTGGGAGGATGATTACCCTGGTGAACAGTACTCTTAAACAACCCATTCGTCCACTGCATCAACATATCTCCTACGTTGACCACATAACATCCCTCCACAGGATTTGCATCAATCCATTCCCCATCCTTCCCTTCAACCTTCAGTGCCCCTCTCGTCTCATCCGTCAACAAAAAGGTCCAACACCCGTAATCCGAGTGGGCGCCGCAACCGACCCCTCCAGGGTTTGCTTTGATAGCTTCAGGAGTAAGCGGTGGATACCCTATTGCCCGGCATACCCAAAAGGAAGGGTTTATGAAAGGTTCAAAGTGATCTTCTGGGAGGGAAAGGGCCACGGCCATGCATCGCATTAGAGCGGCGCCGAGGAGGAGGATTTGGTCAATGTAACTAGTGAATATATCTGAGAATAAATGATTCGGCCAAAGATTTGGGCCGTGGAGCGGTTGATATGGCGGGGATGGTGGAGCCAAGGGGTGGGTGGCGTAGAGGTCTATAGCCTATTTTTTCTCTGAGCGGAACCGTCCCATGAAATCTCGGTCCGGACTATAGAGTTATATATACCTCGTGAAAGTCCTATAGCTCTATGTTAGAAAATCGGGTTTCTAAAACGGTCGAATGAGATAAGACATGCATACGCTTTTCCCTAACGTTACATTCTCGCCAATCTTTTGATACCCCCGTGCTCCGTCTCCATCTCCAACACCGGCATCCTTCCTAGCGATAGTAGCCTTCTCTTCGTCTGTAGCCGTCAACATCCAGTTTCGCACAGTGTCGAGGACCAAATCGCATGTTTCTTTCGGAATCCCATGCCCTTTAAGATAGAAGAAACCGACATCGTGGCAGGCGTCGAAGAGTGATTTGGCCGAAGTATCTTTGGCGGGTGAGGGTGGGGTACCCTTTTTGAGAAAGGGCGACACATCTACAAATGGTAGGGACATATTTGATAGTACCTATTATGCACGTTTAAACGTTTGAAAATTTTGGATCGAAGTTAATGAGGAGAATCCAGTATCCGGGCTAATTAACGTTTGATTGAGCTTGTAAGTTAATGCATCTTTAATCCAACGCAACGCAGCGGGAGCATCTTCAGTATCAGGCCGATGAAGCTCCTGATATTTAAAGGGTACCGCCGTCCCAGCAGTGAGATTTGGTTAGAGGAGTTTTGTTCCATTTTTTTTTTCATTAGAAGCGGCGTATCTCATAGAAATTCCATACAAAGATAAAAACTAACCCTTTACAACAAGATTATCCAGCCAATAACTCCAACTTCGATTCAGCCTTTTCCCTCTACATTTTGGTGTATATCTCTCGTTCTTATTCCGCCCTCCTTGTTGTAGTATGCTCCCCAGCTGGCTCCGTCGGTGCTGCTGGAGAATTATTTGGCGCCGGTAGATGTTCTACCGGGAAATGTGCCGGTGGAGGCTGCTGAATATCTCCTTGCATCCTCAACTCCTCGGGGATAGCCTCTTCCATCCTCCTCTCGCTCTCTATCCAGAACATCGGATTCAAAGTCGCATCAACACCTTTCTTAATTCTTTTCAATGTTTCTTCTTCAATCTTCTCGAATCGTTCCACTTTCCCCAGCCCTATCAACAGGGCTTCAACAAGTCTTCCTTGGTATACATGCTTCCTCAGCATGAAAAAGCTAAATCCTATAAATACAACCAGAAAAACACCCAGAGCTAGCATACCCGCTACTTGTCGGAATGTAATCGCCATTGTGATTATCCCACCCACCATGCAGAGGATTAGGATTGCTGCCAACGCGAGGCGGACGTTCTGGGTTAAGCCGAAGCAGTTCGACCATTTTGGAGTATTCCTACGTTTTTCGGTGAATTCCCTTATTTCTCTTAAAGTACTTAGTAGTCGCTTTTTGAAAACTTTGGTTTCGTGGATAGTAGGCAGGGCTTCGCCAATGCTATCATAACTTGGAGCTTCATGTTCGTCGGATCCGATGGTAGGGGAGGCAGCCGTGGCTTGGTGGTGTTGCGCATGAATTTGGGCAGCGGCTTGGTAGGCTTCCAGGTCCCTAAAGAACTCATCGCGGCCTCCGCGCTTGTATTCGAAATATTTAGGGGGGAGGTGATGGGTTGGTTGAGCGGAGATGGGGGCTTCGGGGCTCTCGAGATCGGAGAGGGAGATGCGGCGATGAAGGGCCATGATATATATATCCTATCTTTTGTCTATGAGGGATTTGAGCTATTTGTAGGCTCATAAGGTAGAGAGAAGTCATGAAAGGACTGAATGTGGACGATGGTGATTATCTGAAATGGGAAGAACTGGAAATAAATGCCATCTTCCTGTAAGCGGGCGATAGCAGGTAGAAGTCGTATCGACAGACTTGCGTTAAATACGAGAGGCTGAGGAGAAGTATAAATATTCCGAAACCAGCTATAGGTCGAATATTTATGTACGGATGTATAAGTCGTATCACACATCGTCTATCGGTGACCGGCTTACAGGCTGCGGGTAAAGACGACCCTGGCGGTTGCATTTACCCCGGTCCCACATTCTCACCATCAAAACATGTAGCGGTACCACTTTTAGATTATATTTGGCTGGAGTTGAAAAGTACCGATACTATTAGGTCGTATTTAAAGAAAAAAAAGAAATCCATGAATTCTAGATCGGATTGGAAGATTGGGATCCTTATTCCAAATTCCCAGATTATAGTGTCAATAATTGATTGATTCCGTGTTGCGAATGTGGTGATATTCAAGTGTGGCGTCTTTAAAATCACATGTGGCGGTGGCTTAACTGCGTAACAGCCAGACAACACTTTCCGCCGTGTTGATACTGTGGGCACGCGGCGACCCGAGGACCGTACGGAGTGCTACGACGATATTTCATGTTAGACAGGCCAGACGGGTGTGAGAAGTATATAACTACTAGTACTACTTAAGTGTCTCGGAGGTACTAAGGCCGATAGTATAGGTAAGTAGTAGATATGGTAGAACTCGAGATTATTTCACCATTCTTCAAGTACTATATATAATACCTCATGTACATACTTAAATATGCATTTCGATGAACATTGACATACATACATCCATACATGCATGTATGGATGTCAGTCCATGTCCACCCGAAGTTTTAACTTGCCGTTTCGAAACGAATTCACAGGCAATTCAATTCAAATTCGCAGCGGAAGGAATGAATGTCAACCAACCGTCAGTGCGGCTCTGAGGTCCAGTCCATTGGCTGTGTGTATTATGTAGTACTGTTGTGCAGGACAGGGATGGCGCGTACTTCTGGCTGCACCAAAACTACTGTTTATTTGTTGGTACACAGAAAACCAGCCTTTCTCCTCACTTGGACTTCACCCAACTCGGACAAGGAGCCCACGACAAACAAAAATATACAATACAATCTTGAGGTTCATACAAAACATCCTCTCCCCTCGTCTTCCAGCCCTCGACCTTTTTTATGTTCCGCATCAGTCGCTCACCGGCTTCATTGCTATCTTTCTCGTGACTTGCGTTTGCCGTTCTGTGTTGTTTTGGTTGGTTGGAATTTGGGCCGCCGGTCGCGAATTTCTCTAATAATAATAATAATAATATTGGCCATCAAATTAAATCAAACTTGACTTAACTTCACTCTTCACCCTTCTTCTCCTCACTCCATCGACGCAACCTCATCAACCACGCAACCATCATCACCACCACCATCACCACCACCACCATCATCATACGCCGTCATCCCGATCCATTTAGCTATTCACTCATCCTATCCGTCTCATCGATCATCCTCAAAATATCTCCCTCGACTCTATCAATCAGATTCAGTATAGCCATCGCTACCTCACCTCAATGAGCACCTGAAACATCAATACATAGACGTCACAGGAACTCTACCCCTTCCTCGACGTTAACCTGTCCTAAACTGTTCACTATCCATCAAGCCATCCAATGCTTTCGCTCCCTATCTCGCCGGCTCCTCCTCCAATGCCTACAATGTCTCGTCGTGTCCCTCTCAGCAACATCCAAAATCATCATGGGCAACCCTATTCCCTCAGCACCGCCACCATCCCTGCGAAACGTCCTGCCAAGCCCACTCGAGACAACCTAGGGCCTCCTCCAGCAAAAAAGGCACACATAGACACCGGTTATCTCGGTCCCGATCAAAAGGAAAATCGCCACACCACTCCATCGAAACTCGTCCTTGTTCCAAGAACCCCTAACCGACAGGATACCACCCGCCGTGATGTTGTTCCTTCTCGTGTCTCTCGGTCCAAGCCGACCGCCAATTCTCGTCGTCAGGTCGAGAAGATCGATAGTCAGAAGTATCGAAAACCAATTCAAACGCAGAAAATCTCGACCAGAGATAAGCAGCTCACAGCAGCAATTGCCGAGAACAACGAAGCCATAAGGCAATGGCAAAAGCATTACCTCAAAGTCTTTCCAACTTTAACGTTCTATCTAGATGAGACCGTGTCTGAGGATAAGATGGCAATGCTGAGAATTCAACTTCGCGACCTCGACTCTGTAAGGAATTACTTTTCAAAGATGAAAGAGCGCGCATGCTAATCATACTTTATATAGACCGTCATCGACCACTTCGACGAAGAAAGGGTAACCCATGTCATCACTGCCAGGGGTGATATCCCACCAGAAACCTCGAAAGAGCAAGAGGCTGCCAGGACAGGCACTATTAATCCAAAGCTTCTTGGCAAGACAGACTCCAGAGCCCCTGTTGCTCCTAGGCTGTATGTCTGCTTTTCCTTTTTTTATATATATCGATTCCAGAGACTAATATGCCATTCTCAGCACTGTATACGAGGAGCAGGAAGACATCCTTGTTCTTGCTCGGCTGAACCAAATGAAAATCTGGAATACCGAAAAGGTTGAGCGTATGATCCACACCCTAAACGAGAAGATCGACGACGACTACATCGTCCCTGCTGCTGCTCCTTTGAAAACTCTCCCTTCAAAGCATAGCAAAGTCGAGGTAACTCGGCCTAAAAGAACATCCGCTGTTGAGTCTACCAAAAAAAATGAAGAAGCCTTAGGCCGATTGCTCAACCAAGACAAGACTCGGTCCAGTCAACCATCATCTTCCAAGGAGATGTACGTTTTCAAAGGACCATATGTCCTTGTCGGTGACGCTAGTGGACGTTATAAACATTTCATAATACGAGAGTTTAGAAACGCTTTGCAGCCAGAAAGTGGGGACTGGCCTCAATTCCGCTCCAACAGGGAGGGCCGTTGTCCATTTGTCTTGGACCCAGATACGAAGAGGGCTTACATGAGGGAGGAGGCTGAGAGAGAGGCCGAAGCCAAGGCGAAAGAGAAGGAGGCTGCTCGTCTCAGAGCAAGGATCGTCATGGAACCTCCACCCCGCAACCAGTCACTCAGGGCTAAGACTAGTCTCTTAAAGGAAGATCCGAGGACCGCTCTTACTGACCGCAGGCCTATTTCCAGTATTGAAAACAAAGTCGACAGAGATATGGCTACTGCAGCCGCGGCTACCGCAGTCAGGAAGACCGAGTCACGTGTTGATAAGCTCAAGGACGCTCATCGTTCCCGACAGGATAATCTTGTCCTCACCGGATATGAGCCAGTTGCCTCGGGCCTTCGTCCAACCGGGCCGACATCTGCGGTTGTTTCGCAGGCCATTTCATCCAACCCTGTCCTTGTGGGACCTAAGGCAGGCACTAGCCGTGATGTCCAACGTCTCAATCGCCGGGTGTTTGAAAAGACAACTGGCGGTATCCGTCAAACCAATACCACTACCGCTCTCCAGGTTGTCGACGAAGAAAACAACGAAGCTAAAGCTGGTAAAAAAACGTTGAAGCGGGCTCGAAGCGAGTTGGTTGTGAAAGAAGCTAGTAAGAAGCAGCCCGTCGCTGGATACTGCGAAAACTGTCGTGACAAGTATGATGACTTCGAAAAGGTATGAACGTCTCTTATACTATCGAACAATAATCGTTTCCCGGTGACTAATAAGATTCTACAGCATATACTGTCCAAACGTCACCTTCGGTTTGCTTCGAATGACGAAAATTTCCTAGAGCTGGATGCGCTGCTTGCAACCCTCGAGCGGCCGCGTAAGAAATCAATTTCTCCAACACCATTCCATTAGACATCGGATGGCCGCTTGGACCTAATCCCAGCATCCACACGCGACATAATTGACCGTGCTACTGCTCGCCTCAGACACATTTACCCTGTGACGACTACCCGATATACGACTCGAAAAAAAATCAACCCAAAATAATTCCCTAATCCTCCAACAACAGGATAAACTACCTGCTGTTTTGTTTCTTTCTTTCTTTAACGGGTGTTAGCTTTTCATTAGCATTAGCGATTGAGCGGCGTTCTCTTTTTCTCATTGTACTCTATTTGTTTTCCGATTTCACACTTGTTATCACCATAAAACCCTGGACCTACCTATTCGGTCTCAAGGAGCATGACATAACCCCCCGCTGCATGCTGCCTTCAATCCTCATCCATTTTCTACCCCCAGGCTCATCATAGTCATAGTTCCCTTTCTTTTGTCACAAGATCTGCGGAGGGTGTTCCTCTTTTTTTTTTTTTTTTTGTTACTAACTGTGGCGTCTATTATTTCGTCCACCGAAGCATTCAAGCGCTCTCTGGAAAAATGGCATCAGCGGATAGCGATAACCTTAAAGGTCGAAACCAGAAAACTTTATCACCACCTTGTTCCTTTCTTGTCTGTCTTTTTGTTCTGTTCTTTTTTTCTTTTCGTCCTATTTTGTTTTGCTTTCTGTCACGTTTAATATCGAGAATATTAGGGGCGAGCATGTACTATAGGTTAGGGGATGGGTGGGTTATAGACATGTACTATAGCGAGCTTCTTGCATTCAGTGTATACTAGCTATTGAGAGGGAGAGCGGATTATCAAGGCATTTCTTTATTCCATCTTCTTTTCGTCTGGTCTTACTGTCGACTCCTTGTACGCACACCCATTTTTCTTTGTGAGCTATTCCATTTGTTTGAAGGAGGAGACCGATATACACGCATATATTGTTGCGCAATAACTATTCGTGTGCGGGTGTATACTAGACTATATACGTACTGTATCCGGACTACTCAAGGCCTATCCCGTATAATTAATTTAGGGATGTCGTGATATCAAAGTTTGCATACGCGATGGTAAGAAACCCTTAAACACACATACATGAGAGCATATTATATATATCCATAGATCCAATTATACGACCGGCTGCTACGCTCAATAGTTCCTACAAACGTATAGTATTCTTCTTAAACTCTACTTCTTCAAGCCCAGCAGGTTTCTCGGGCAGCCCGGCCGCATCACGATCAGGAGCACCATCGCTCCCCTCTCCCGATATCGCCTTCTTTAATGCGTCTGTATCAATATCAAACCCATCTAACGCCGAATTTGGTTTTGCGGTAACAAGTGGGTGTGAGCCGTCTGCGCCTGGGTCGTTTGGTGGTCGAGCACGGTGGATGATTTCGTCGATGACAGACGAAGGGGATAGAGGATTACGTTTTGAATTGTTGGATTTAGCTGGTGGCGGGGAGGTGATTTCTGAGGGGTTGCCCGTTGTAGGAGATGGTGGGGGCGATGAGTAGAAGAGGGGGATTACGAGGGAGGCTAGCGGAGCCGGGAGGAGGGTTAGAATCGCGATCGGCTTAAGGTTTTTCATCGTCTATAGACCTATTTCTCCTCTCTGTTTCTTTTTCGAATCTTGGACATACATAGATGGTTTGCTTAATAGTTGGATGTGCCAGCTAGTTTATAACGTTTATTCGGTCGAGATATTACTATATTGGTAGTACCTTTAGTATGTTCGCGATCTAGATAATGTGGGTGCTAAGGTAATATAATATAATGTAAGCTTCAAATTTATTTCCATTGTAGATATATTGAGCTCCAGGGGTCCATTCTTGTATTCGCTCACAGCAATGGATACGAAAAACTCGAGATAGTACACTACCAGTTAGTCATTTGACTAATACATGCATTTGAAATGTAAAAGTTTAAGTTCGTTGATAACTATGGGTTTTATACAGTAAAAAGGAAAGAAGGGCGAGGTTGTCTTGCATATATTGGATACTGTAACCAGGATTATATTGGTCACGAAGGGATGGGCTTGCAGGTCCTGGGATCAGTTAATTAAGGTTAACTTGTAACTCCTGAAGAGCTAAATAGCTTTAAGCATAGTTTCAAAAATTCCGTAGAAACCTTTGCGACCGTACTATTACAATACTAGCTTTATGTTTCCTATACCAATATATATTATACCATCCTATGTATGCATGATTCCAGCTATATACTTCCAAGTCTAGGTATGAGGCAACTATGTACCTAATATAATATAGTATATATGTGTCATCTCGTGAACTAAAAACTACTGTTTTCATACATAGTTATGTGGCTATAGGTTAGTGCGTTTGAGAACTTTCTATTGTTATCACACATTAAATATCATTGCCGTTTAACTTGGCTCCGGTTACATGGCGCTATTTGGTGCGCCCGCATGTGACGATATCATCAGTCCGATCGTGATGATATCGATAATCCAGAACTCAAATATCGCGCAATTGCACTTTTACAATTATTTTATAGCTATGAGCTTGTCCCCATGGGTGGTTAACCCAACTTTGGTGAGGACACATGTAAGCTAAAAAACGCCGACAGCTTTATATCGAATTAGATTTAACAACTCGATATAAAAATGAGTTCCAACGCGTGATCGAGGTCAACCAGTTATCTATTGAGATTTAGGATAGATTGTAATTGCAATGGTGGTTGACTTGGTTCCGTAGAAATTCAAGGAGGTTCAGTGAATTTCAAGTGACAACACGAAAAATCCAACACGCCAGAGTGCCTCAGTCTCTCAAGTTGAATGTCCATTCGTCGCCCCTTGAGTTTTTGGCGATGGATCGACTAAACGAACACATACTATTCAGTTCAATTAACTATCTAAGGAGTTATCTCCTAAATTAATTTTGCCCACTACCCTAAGATGCTTGACATCATTTAGTTGCGCAAGTAGACTTTCAAGATGCCAAAACTAATACGGGCCCAAATTCCCGGATACAGACATCAACAGCCATACTCGATAAAAAAAGTATAATGGTACATAGGAGAGTCGAAGTTTTTTTCCTATCGTGTCCAGAATAAGTAAAATTGAAGGCAGATGCCGTTTTTATTGTCTAGTCATTGAGCTGTTTTCAAGCAGTCTGTGCGAAGCCCTGCCTCTTAAGTACTGATCAATTGATCGACAGAGCTATTAGATATTTCGGCCGATAGAGAGAACTGAGACGGAAATGGTTAAGCAAGGTTTCGACGTAAGGGGGAGAGCGATTTGTCAGGAGTTATAACGTTACAGCCTCGTAGCGAAGTAAACTCTCGATCCCATAGTGATGAAGCCTGCATATCAGCCGCTCGGTACTAAGATTGCCTTAACGGTGGTAACTGCTAGCATGGATCAGCCCTAGGACCGTCACGAGGTCGGAAACGTGGCATCGGGGTATACATAGGGGAGAATCTGTACTGTCAAAGCTCACGACTCGAGACCAGTCAAAAGTTTAATTCGTCATATAATTCCAATCTACTTACAGATTGTGTTGCCACCCCAGAAAATGCAACAGGAATTCGATCCGAGTCATGAGGCCTCGATATTCTATGCAAATGCCGCTGAAAGAGCCGGTTGAGACTCAAACATCCCATTGGATCTGGGTGAGCTCTCATATCATACCACACGGATTTGGCTTGCAGGATTTCCGGGGACCCCATATCATGCAAGATACTTATTCTCTTTGCAGCGTTCCAACGAGGTCCTATCGATAGTGCTTTAGTATTCAACTAGCAAGGCAGACTCGCACGCTTGATTCATGGCAGATTAGAGTTCATTGTGCAGAAGTTGAAATTTACTTATGCATTGTGAATAAATATACAGGGATCCTGATGCTTACTGCTTATCCTGGACCTATGAAGCTTAGCTCCCCAATTAGACCCACTCGCTTGGTGAACCATTCAAAAACTACCATTTTACGGAACCAAGGAAGATCGATCTGTGTGCTAGAAATCGAGACCATGTTTTGAGTATTGGTGTTTTCCTTGCAGGTGCCGCGAGCCGCATGAAATATTGAGGTTCTGGTTTTCAAAACTAAGTACCTCATTACGAACACGTCAGAAGAGACAGCTCTTTTGGCCAACGCCCCAGCCTCGGGCCGGTCCTCATGAGTGTATCGATCTCAGACTGTTGTATTCTTCATCTGCGGATGCGGAATCTTCTTCGTCCTCAGCATATTAACGCCTTCCTCCTAATGCGAGAGCTCCTAGCCTTTGGCTAAGTGATCCGAGTCCGAGCTGGTTTCCGGCTGTCTTTAACCCCTTACTGGAAACTGTAGACGGTGAGCTGATACCTTTTCTTTTGCAGGAAAAGGAAAAAAAGAGATAATCCCCCCCCCTTCGAAAAAAAAAAAAAAAAAAAAAAAAACTCCCAGGTTTTCATGTTGTCTCAGTCGGCATCCCGAAACTCCCGGCGTTGGACTGAATTCTTCGGAAAATTGCTTTAATTCGAGGAAGTTGAACGACACTACTTGTGTTGATTGGGAGGAAACTATGGCCGGTGGGAAAGCCACCGGTCTAAGATATACAAGTTTGGTATAGTTTGAATGCTAACCATCTCAGATGCTATCGCTACAGTTAGACAAATTCCGCGGCCCGCCGCAAATTCCATGGATGTATATGATATATCTTGGACATTGAGGCCGGGTATCGGATACGAATTTCAAGGTCGCCAAAAAAGAGTTTGCGGATGTGATTCTTAAGATCTTGCGCTTGCAATAGTGAGTTGTAATGTGCAAAATTCGATATGATCAGTAGTTATAAATTTGACTTTGAGGAATATGACCACTTTTGTAAATTTGGCGTGAAGGGAGATTACGGGAAGCTACTTGGTCTTGGGAATTGTGACGTTTTAGTAATTTTTGACTTAGAGGAGAAGCGCTAGCGATACTAGAAATGGGAAAACCAACTTCTGAAGCTTGATAGGCCCCCAATGGCAACTGGTGGTTCCCGCGGAGAGCTGAAGGTAGATACCGAGGAGATGCTACGGCAAGTGGACCTTATAAGGTTTTTTTGTTCTCAAAAGAAAAGAAAAATGACGTGGGGGCGGGTAGGGAGTTAACTTGACTGTTATAGTTAAACGCATCTTATGGTATTATTTTGTCAGTTTTTGATTCGATATACGTATCCTTTTTCGACCCTCTTTCTTCCTTTTTTTTTTTTTTTGGTGGTGTTTTACAGTTGACGAAACCTTAAGTTGACGGGCATTGGCGTTTTCTCATGACCATGGGATATCGGTTTCTTTGACAAAATAGAGCAATTTCGGGTCCTATTCCCATAAGATTACCAGCTGCCGCATCTCGGGAAGAGATCTTAGCAGGCGCGTTAGTGGGTTCCTACCCGAAATTAACCCTGGTGTTTTGGTTAACTAGAGCCCTGAGGTTTTCCATGGTACCATCGAGGTACTTGGGCCTTTCAACAAAGTACCGTGCCATGGAAGAGACATAACCTTGACATATGATCGAACAATATAATAGAACGGCTGTGGGAGTCTGTACATGTGGGGGACCCCAAATCTCAGTCGCCAGATTCCAGACCAATCGGTCGGAAGCCACATCTGGGATCAGGGAGTGAGGAATATGCAGGATACGTGTTAATGTTGGCAAGATCTGATATGTGCTGTGCATGTGCTGTTATTACCGCCAGTTATAAGTCCCTTTTGACTTTCCTTGTTTCGGTGGGTTCTCTCGCTGCTTTTTGTGTAACTTGTGCGGCAGTCTTGGGTACTTAAGCTTAATTTCATTTCCCGGGAGCCGGTGACCTCGGGGCGAAGTCTCGCTCGGGAAACTGCCCACGGTTTTGTCTTAGGAGACACCCAATTTCAGTTTTCCGATATGAATTTCCGATAGTCTGCGGATATTTATTGAGTTTGTGAATTCAATGCTGGCATGCGGATGCTGGTCGAGATTTTGATGCAAGATCGATGCCAGTATCAATATCTGATCCTTAAGGCCAATAAAGCGTTTATGACTAGCGCTGTGATTTCTCTTGAGCTTGTACCGTAATTTAATGTAATATGCATGTTAACTTCCTTACACTACGTACACACAATTGCGCAACGGATCCAACCCCTGCAATGTAGGATGCTGGTGATCGAATCTAGATTATTTTGGTCCATTTCCAACTTGCACAATGCAAGAGACCCTCACGAAACCTTTCCCACCGCATCGACATTGTACATGACGCTAAAATGTTGGTGGCGTCTCGGAAGCGAAGTTCTCAAGGTCCAAATTATGATTGGGCTGGAGCATATGGTTTCCCACTCCTACCAGCAGTTAGCCTTTAACCTTCCCGTCACCCGGCGAGCACGTACCGTCGTAGCTTATGGTTAATGGAATTATTTTCTACGCGATCAAATCAAACTGGTTGTATGAGTCCCGGCACGCACACTTGTGGGCCCACAACGCCCATCGCGCCGCATAAGCCCACCATCAGGGTTATCCCGCTGGTTGCCGCTTTATTCTTTTCTTCACAAGAGAGACAAGCAACCTTCCCAGATCTTCGCAAAATCGCGATTCCATCCCCAGCACGAGCCAATTGGATTAATATAACGCTCGAGAGTTATGCAGGGGTTGCAGAGTGAAAAGTTGGCTCAGCTAGGCGGAGCTGCCCACCAGAATGGCCCGTATTTGTGTCGTATCACACGATATACGCAGTGTTCTTTTTGAACATTGGAGGACCAGAGGGTTCAAAAAGGACAGGGAGGTGGGGACGAAGAAGGGGTGCAGGGCTAGATCTCGGATTTCCTCAAGATCTTGGTTGGGTCCACACGAGATTCCACCTGATCTTATGCGAGCTCTAAAATTCCTGTCCCCTCCCAAGCTCCGAGTTGAACGATTTTCAGGTGCCCAAGTCGACTGGAAGCATAAGACATTAATACACTCACCCGCAAAAAAGTTAAAACGGTCACTTTTTTTTTGGTTCTGTAATTTTCCTTGCAAAAGTTCATTACAGGTCTTTCTATTTTGGCTCCCCTAGTTCGCCCGATTCACGATTACAACCTTTAGAGCTTAACGTACGAGACGGGTCCGGCTCAACTAGCCTAAAACTCTCCCCTCCATCTTACGATACTTAAAGAAATCACCTTGCCTGCGCAAACCGTTATCTTTCTTGATCCTTCAACTAAGTTTTATATAAAAATATCATGCATGCAATGGAGTCACAAGGTCGACGAAAAGCACCAGCGAGGAAACGCAAGGACGACCTTCTGAGAGATCTTTTTGGAGAAGAGAATCCAGATCTCCCAAGTCCACAGGATAGATGGATTAATATTCAGGTGTGACCCCCTCCACACTCCTCACAGCGACGTCTATACCCCCCCAATATCCTACTTCTTGAAAATTGTCGAAAGACCTATCCGTTCTCTTGCACCATCTCTTTTTTGAATTGTGCATAGTTTTCCTGACATATATAATCAACAACCCTAGGCTGTTGTCAGAGAGGTTTACAAGGAGCTTGGCCGCGAGTACGGATTTATCGATAAACGCTGGACCGAAATAACACCACGATGGAAAATCGATTTGAGCAACGAAGTCCTGTCGCGGCTTGCTGAGCCTGACCGACGAGTCCTAGAGTATCGACCCGACGTAGTAGAGAGACTATTGAAGGACCATGTGTCGAATCGAGGTGATTGGAAAAAAGAGAAGGCAAGGAAAATGGTCCAACAGGCAGAGCGAGGAAGCCCCCCATCGGAGCGAATGTCTCCACAAGATACCGGAAGCTTAAGTCCCTACGAAGAAAGGATGGAGTACGAATTTGCAACACCGCGATCGGGCTCGCACCAATCGTTACAGGCATCCCTACCGCCACTTTCTTCATTTGTCGAGGGAGTAGAAAGGATGAGGGGCAGCAGAGCAGACACAAGGCAGGTCTACGAGGAGACACGCGCTCAAAAAAGTGCAGGCTTCGGATACTAGATCTACGAACTCGTAGAGCTACTGCCATAAGCTTGTGTCAAGGGGTGCTATGGTGGAGGTCGGTCGGCTGCATGGGGAGGGCGTCTTGGTTTCATGTTTTGTTTTCTGGACAATTGTTTTTATGGTTTAATAGCTCTCTTTTACACTTCTAGCCATACGTATATCGTCTTCTAGCACTTCTAGTTAACTTAGCATTTTTTTGTATGTAAGCCTTTTTGTCTGTTCTAGATATATTATACAACCCTTTCTACATAAAGTCAGAACACCAATTTCACGATAGGGTGTCTCAACATCAGACGGCTGGGGATTTCTTGGGTCTTCCAACACTGTAAACCGACCCAGGGGAACGGTCCACGCTGGCACCAACGAAACTCCTCCATTTGCTGATTAAACAATAATTCTTCACTCTTGTGACGCCCAGTTCAATCTGCCATTATATTGACGGAAACGGATTGATTTACCCACCCATCATTATAATACTCAGAAAAGGGTTCAATTACCTAAATTTCTATACTCTGACGGTGCTTCTTCAACAGAAGACACGAGTACCTCAAATATTCGGAACAAAATGACCTTTGACGCTAGTAAGCTTAGGAAGTTAATTGTCCTTGCGAATCCACAATTCCAACAGCTGACCACAAAGAAAAACAGCTGCTGGCCTAAGTGTTCTTTGAAAATCATGCCATCCCGTAGCTTAGAGTTACCCAACGCTTAAGTCTATAAGACTACAAGATCGCAAGTTTGTTCGACAAGGGTTTTCAGCCTGGCTCAAACTGGAAAGTCCATGCGATCGAGCCACAAGAGGCTGGAGGTACTTGAGGTTCCTGAACCTAAAAGCGATTGGCATACCTCGGATGGCAGGGGATAGGCGACTGACTTGCATAAGTCGCGGGACATATAGTAATATTATAATATGCATTGCGAAGGTGACAAATGGAGCCATAGGTAAAATTCGCCTACGAACGGCCTTTATCCGTTAGCGGTCGAATCTGGAGAGTATTCATTGTTTCATGAAACGCTTTAATTCGTGCTGACTGATACCTGATAAAGCAAGCGAACTTTGGATGGAATCAAAAGTATCCTGGGCTTGAGGAAACGTCTTCTCCGGGCTAGGCTACTCTTGATTTCAGCAGATCCAGGTACCACGAGGATGACGCCTAAACCTTGCTTCTCCGGATTCTGCGGACGGAAACGCAGAACACACATGTGCGAAAGGAGGAAACATTTTGCATCAGTCGCAAAAAGAAATTTTGACCTCATATTAAAAGGGGCAAAAAGAGACGAAACGAGAATGGAATAAGAAGGTACGGTCCGTGCTTGACTCGGCCCACTATTCCGCCCTTTTCCACCTAAGGAAATAGTCGGAAAGTTCTTTCTATAATTCCTCCGGGACCCACCGAAGAAGGCGGGAGAAATGGATCCCCTCTATTTGCTTCCACAAGCCTGCTTATCAAAATATTTACCGAAAAAATGCTGGGAAAAGCCACGGCAGCCGGGTTCCACTTTACTGAATAGGTCTGGCCCGGGTGAGTGGAACAAGATATCGTGACGAGTTCCGACTCCCGTCCTTCTGACTTTGACAACCCAAGGGCTCATTTTATCGCAAAGTGTTCCTCCATGTCTACTCACCCTCCATCCTAATGGAACTCTAATGATAGATCATTCACGATGTTGAAATACATAGCAGCAGAAAAAATCGTCTAGTCTGCGAGGAATTGGAAGGTAAAATATAGATAATCTCGACGAAACATAGAATTTTTCAAATTGTTCGACTATACCGATGAGCCTCGGTTCCAACTTCTAATTGCGTGCTCTATCAAGCTTCATTCCCTTGCAACCCCAGGTATTGATATATGCGATAAACATTTAGGCCCATCAATAGCGGCTCATAGCTTCTAACTCTATTTTAGCAGGTATTCAGACCCTCATTCTAGGCTACGGGATTGCCCTGTCTACTGATACAGGATCCTAAGATATCATCGCAATTTGACGTATGTGATGGCTTTCCAAGATACCATATACTCGGGGTTTCTGATGCCCCCTACCCTATCTGCTGCAGCGACGGAATCGACTGAGATTGGCGGTATTTTATCTGCGTGCATATACAGACCGTCGGCTTGCCAAGCCCAATGATATATCGAAAAAATTAGAGACCTTGTAAAACTTTGGTGGCTCGGCCTTATTGGGTATACGACAATGGCTGATAACTACGAAATATGATCTATCACGTTGGTAGGTCATTATTAATATCATGATACAGATCATATCAAGGTAGTGTAGCCCATAGTTTATACGTCGCAGATCTCGATCGATTTAGTAGCTAGCTAGTATGCCGTGCTATGCGCAGGCGCCTGCGTATAGATATGCATCGAGATACAATTAGTATCTATCACTCATGCACCACTCAAGAGAGGTATAATCGAGTTTACCTAAACTTATAAAAGTGATGATATATACAATAGATATTTCGATGAGACGCATAGGATCAATTACTCCAAATTTTAAGAGTGTGGGCTTTCGGTGCATTGCATCTTCTTAGCGGGCTAGCGTGTTGCGGATGTTGGATTGATCTACGGTTACACACCCTAACTAGCAGGGGGTTCATGTTCTGCACAGATGGCCATAGCTTTATACTTGCGCACAGACCACAGCTGTGATGTTACATATATTAGTGCTCACGTCCACCCTGATGCTTAAGGAAATATATGCTCCACTTCCGGTGCTACAATAATATTTTATACAATATTTTTAGTATACTAAACGCCTGTAATAAAACCAAATAATAGTATTGTACACAAACTCACGATTAAGTGTCTTGTAAAGCAGGCGTCCCCAACATGCAATACAACCAACGTACTAGACCGATCTCGAGATCTAGAACATTGAATCAACGCTGCAAATTCCAACCTACCCAAGACAAGAACGATTTTATGTTATGCTCTTTTGAAGAATAGTTAGTCGTGCCCATCTTCCATCCACCTTGAGAATATGAATTTCTGATGGCCAACTACCACCGAGCATCTTGCTATGATTCCCAAGCATTTCTTTTATTCTTTCTAAGCCCCGTGCCCCGGACAAAAGATAGAAACAGTCCTCTCGCATTTGGCTTTCGGACATTAGAGATAGTCTTATTGGTTGGCATGGTTTAAATTCCCTTGCGTCAAATAGTTTTCCAGCTAGAAAATCTAGCATTGGTGTTTCGAATTGCAATGTATCGTCTTGCTCGGGGATGAGACGAAGCTGTTTTATATCGCCGGTTGTAGCGTTGTCTGGTTTCACGGAAGGCGGGATCCACAGCCATGCATCGAAGGCCATTTCCGAATCTAAGGGTTTGGCCGGAGTTTTACTGGTCTCGTAGCTTAGGCTGTCAATGACGAGAACATTGTCCCCTGGGGAGCCAAGAGCCGTGAAAAGTATTGGGAGTCGTTAATTTTAGTGCTTTTAACTATATAAACGTGGTAATCGGATGATAATGCTCCACGCTTCTCAAAATTGAGCAAGTTCTTCGATGCTGAGGTGAGTTTTTTCTTCAGTAAAGATTTTTTAGCTGGGGAAACAACGACTTCATAACCCCGTTTTTGGCCGATATGGGGAACGGGGAGATCAACGGTAGGGGAATTTTGTTGGAATTTTGTGATGGCCCGACTTACGGACTTTGTGAACTCTCTGTCGTCCGCAATGAGGGTCGCTTCTGCACTTGCGTCTCTATGTACTGCTGAGAGAAGGATTCGGTCACCTGGGATCACCGGGAGTTGTGTGGTATCAACGGGCTGTAATTTGTCCTTTACGGATTTTGCTAGTAAGCCTTTACTGGATCCCCCCTCTCTTCTCCTAGCATGCTTCCTGGAGTTTGAGTGCGAATGCGGGGTGTTGGGTTGTTCATTCTCGCTACGAGTCTCGAGAGTTTGACCTTGGAGTTCGATAGACTTGGAGGTGTCGGATTGGGCGGGTTGTAAAGCCGTCGAAGAGATACATTCAAAGCTTTCCGCGAATTTGAGACCCCCAAGGGTTTCAAAGGATGTTGTTGGTAGCCCCTGTTCACTGAGATCAAGTGTTCTATGATTAAGGCCAAGGGAACCAAAAAGATGATCGTTCGATTCAAGTGGGATCGCGGCTGCCGCGCCGCTAGTAATGACCTGAGGCTCAGATTCATGCAGGTTTTGAGCAACTATTTTTTTCGTTAGTTTTTCAGCTGGGACTGCTTTACTTGAAGTTCTAGACGATCGTGCCATATTCAGAGCCTTCTACATACAAATTCTGAGGGAGTTGGACGGAGTTTAGGGCGAATAGGGAACCGCTTAGCCGCTAGGTATTGCAAACGTTGAAATTTTCGTCGCGGCTGGCCTTGAAGTTGACTGCAAATGAGCCCAGATCGATCTGACTATTCCCACAACTGACTGCTAGTTTTCAATGAGAGCAGCTACCAGACTAAGAGCAGCTCATTTTATTGAAATCTGGGAGGCTCCAGTCCCCAATAGTCAGTATACATTGGGTTTTATTAATTCTAGGATGTGTTCATGCAATGTGAATACTTGTAGACTTCCTGCATATGCACCGCATAAAACCAATGTGCTTTCCTTGCTAGCCTCGAGGTATGGAATATTGGTTCAACGTTGCACTTAAGATTCATATGCATGATTCCGGCACACCTTTAATAGGGCATGTGTGTACAGTTATTGCTGCAACTCCTAGGATCCTGACTTCGATTTAATTTCAGTCTGATCTTCGTTATTGGAACATACATAGATCTAAACAGCCCCGGGGCTCGTTGCCATTTGTTTCCAACCTAGTAGCTACTAACCTTGGCACCGGTTTCGAGCATCTATCGGCTGCAGGGGGACCAAGAGAAGTACGTTAGGATGGACGTTATATTCCGTCTGCGTACCCTGGACAGAATTGTGTGTCCAAGGACTATGCGTGAATGTACATCTCGATCTCTACGACCACGGTAAATAAGCTAGGGGCTAGCGTGATCGCAAACACCCCCCATTATGAGAGAAATATACAGGGATAACAAAGCAAGAAAAAACATCCAACAAGCATACAGCTTGTGCAGCCCAGGCCGCTTTGACGCATTCGGTAGTCGCTTCTCGTCATATGACAATTTGCAGTTTAAGTTGTAAACGCGCAAATTTAACGCCAGATTGATTGGAAATCCCTCACGCGGTTAAAGGGTTGCGGTTATTCCCTGTACAGATTATCGTTGGATATCTACTGTAAAATGTTACCATTAGCCCTGTTGGTGTATGCACAAATGCTGTTGTTTTTGTGCTTTCGGCCTCTAAATTAAAACATTAAATGTTGGAGGTCCGATTGCTCAAATCTCAGCTAAATTGACCGGATAAGTCCGTAATGAATGTTGGGAAAACTCCGTTAGCCGTTACCGCGGTGTGACAGAGTGTCGGTATTTTATAAGTCTTTAAAACAAAAACGGTTTGGTCGTGCCGTTGGTGTGCATGTATCCAACTTCTGCAGTGTTTATCAAAACCACGCAGCATTGCATTCTTGGAATGTGAACGTCTTGTTGGAACCACCCCGCCACACCAACCCGGCACGAGAAACCCAGAACTTTGGGTCTATCGTGATATTATCTCCATGCTTCCTTGAGCTCTCTCGATCTCATGCTCAGTTACTGACTAGTCGGTCGACTGATAATGTTTTTTGCGAGCAAAATGATCCTTCAGAACAACAGGCTGTTTTCCACAGATATAAGAGAATATCTAGGGCCGAATCCAATATTTACTAATCCCCGCATCGATATCGATACCCATACAATTATGAAATAGCTTGAAGAACCTAAACTGCCAGTCTATCATCATGATATCAAATAATGTTAGGCTATGAGAATCTGTACGCTCTCCACGTTTGACCTTGGCTGGGGAACAAGCATGTACTTTAGTACTATAGTCAAGTATTCCTTTTTTCTTTTTCTTTTTCTTTTTTTCGCATTCACAATCCCGTAATTGCCGCCAGCTACTGTTTCCTGCGTCTAGACTCGAACAAAGGGTCCATAGACGCAGTTGTGCCATATTTAGTCGGCCTCCTATCTGGCCGGTTTAAATATAGCAGCGGGTTTAAAGCCAATGTTTGGGCTTCATCATATTTTGTTACGAAACCGACACCTTCTCCCATACCCCCCTTCAAATTTCACCATTTTAAATTTGCCGTCTTCAGGATATCAAGTAGCTGATTCAGATCATTTCCCTACGATATAAATCCCGCCATTCCAACACTTTTCCTCACTCCAAAAGCAACCCCAACTTTTTCTTGGAAAGGGATTCCTCTCCAACTATTCCCAAACGAACCAACTATCGATCTTTGTCTTAAGCATCTACATGCCCAGACCGTTTTCGAGAAACTTAGCAATATCAAAAAGTTGGATTGCCCATTCCTTTCAATTTAAGGTACAGAAAGAAGGGGTGAGATCTGTCGATTTAGATTTTTGGCGAAAGGACTGCACTGCGGATAGCTCGAGCGCTCCTAATTCCCGTGAGCTGGTACTTCGGAGTACCCTATGCCGCTTGCTCCCAAACATGCCGCACCAGATTAGCCATTGGCGTGCGGCAATATGCGGCTGTCGCTAGGACGGGAAGCTGGTCTTTCCACGTGATAACATAGTTTTGAAACCGTTTTCCAGAAATTTGGGTCAGTTGGGGGTAGCTTTTCATTAGCATTGGTTGAACCTGACTAAGAAATTATATAATACTTTCTTGGAGAAGGAGAGCAGACTTTTTGATGTTAAGATTATACTGTTTTTCATCTGCGAGATCAGTCTATCCCCATTTGACATTCGCTAAGAATTTTTGAACTTGAATGCGTTTTGGCAGCATAGAATTTCTTCCTCCATACGCTTACACCACAAGGCCTTGAGGTACCTAGGTGGGTCATAGAAATATAGATATTATGTATACCTGTCCTTTCTAAATCAATTTACATAGGTCCACATACGCTGTGACTCGACCTCGAGCTCCTTGAGAATTTCCAAATACTACAGCTCCCTACTGAAGTTAGACAGCCCATCTTTTGTTGCCTAATGATATTTTCCGGTCGGTTCGACTTGCTCTTTCGCTTATATAGAGCCCGATTCGATTTCCCGACGTATTTGCCGATCGGCAAGTACGTACCTGGAGACTTATCAGCTTGTATGTGACCGTTTACAAAATTTAATATTTGAGCAACCATCACTATTAATTGAATTTGGCCATGGGCCTATGCGGCCCTTCGTAAATTCATGGGGCTTAGGGGCCGGTGTGTAGCCTCGAGACGCTGGTATGTTCACATTATCACCATGAGCGGGCATGCATGCTGTCTTCTGATTAATATTATTATAATATGTGAAATTTTCTTTGTTAAAATATTCGTAGAACTAAAACCGAAGAACGGTCTCGAATCAAGTACAATCATATTAATACTTTAAGTCTATAAAAATAAATAAAAACCCCCAACAGCCTACGCTATGGCCAGCTCTCGCTCTATATCGTAAAAAACAAAACCCCTGGCCTTATCAAAGCCGCTCCCCAAGCTATATATGCCATCTATGTCTATTGAAACCACAGTCTGAAAGCTCAGTCGGATAAAAAAAAAGACAAACTACCATAAAATCAAGGTGAAAATAAAAACGCCGATGAGCCCGTGCTCCGGTGAAACAAGAAGAAAAAGAAAAAAAATTGAAGGAAAGTGATATTATCACGTTCTCAGAAAGGTTGGATCTTCTATTCCGCCAAACCGGCCGTCTAAAACACCGCAACTGTCGTTGTCTCCTGCAAACCCCCAGTGACACCTTCCTCCTCGCTTGCCAGCTTCAAATTTTGAAAGAAAGAGGTATGTTGCTTCTTCTCGACCATCTCCAGCAAATAGCTCGCCCTAATGACCACCCCATCATATTCGACTCCATACTCCACCGCCTCATCTTCTTGATCTCTTCCTCTAACACCACCACTAACCGCAGGCCCCACAATTCTTCTTCCTGTAACATTGAGTTTCAATCCCATGTTCTCTCCCATACCGACCCAAGTTATCGGGTTATTTTGCTGAAGACCCTCGTAAGTAGCGGCAGAGTCTAGCCAATCCCTCTTAACTCTAAAAAAACTCTCGCAAACGGGAATGATGCTTGTCACGCCTCCATACTCTGAATTCGAAAGTTTTACCAAACTCGCAGAGGCGCAGATTTGGGTGAATATATCCCCAGAGTCGATTGTAACCGTTGTCGAGGGTGGTTGGGAGTCAATATTGAATGACCTGGGTGTGAAATTGGAATATAGGTTGGCGAGGGGGTTACATTCTTCTCCCTCATCGTCTTCGGTGAAGTAAGGCACCTTTTGGAACTTCTTTGTTGCTTCAGCGGAGTTTTCGGCGCCGACATGGGTGCCAATGTACTCGCAGTGGTTGAAGGGATGGTTAACTATATAAACCAGATAAATGCATGTTAGCTGACAGTCCATAAACCAAGTAGGTATATAAATATGAATAATGTTAACATATGTTGAAACTAGCTTACACTTATCATCTGCAGCATAACATTCGAAAATCAATCTATAGCCCTCGATATGTAGTGTATGTCGTAATCGACGGCTAAGGATATATGTAGCAATGTCATGGATAAGTTTGGATGTTCCTGAAATCATCACAAGAGAGCGAGTGGGCATTAAAGAGAGGATCTCCTCGATCAACTATTTTCAAAGAACAAAGGACAAATTAGTATGTCGTACGTAAGCCTATGACCATGTTACACACGTTTTGGGTAGAAGTTGACGACTTTGTGTTCCCAACGCAAATATTCTGCTTTCTGTTTGGGTTTTCTGCCAGGTTTGGATTGGGAAGGTAGCACAAAAAAGGAAAAGCGTGGACATACTTCGCGAGGCAAGTCCTCGAATTGGAGCTTTGGCAGCTCGATTGAATCGATTACGTGTGGCATTTTGTTGAACTCGAAGAGTCTGAAAATGTATTGAATATTGAAAATGTATTGAATAGTGTGTATATTTTATGTAGGTTAGACTTTGGACTAATAATCTCTGGTGCTAAGAGCTTCAAGAAGCGATATAGTATGCAGAGTGAGGATTATTTAAGCGTTCGATTGATCAAGCGTTTCATGCGCAATCAAATCGAGAATATCTCAAAATGGATTAGAATCGAAAAAGGTCGGAACCGATAAGGAGGAAACCGGGAGTGGGCTGATGTGAATGAGGTGACTCGGCCCGTTGCGGTCAATGGCAGACCAAAGGAAAAAAAAA